ACTTGGAACAAGTCGGAGACCAAGGCATCACATCAGGCGTCTATCGTTGGAGCCGGCGGCTGATGCTGACACTGTGACCACGCATGGGGGACGCCCTGAACTTTAACCACCCCCCCCCCCCCGCAGGCTGTCCAGCATACGGACAGACACATCTCAACTGCAAAGAGGGCAAAATCAGTATTCTGCTTCGGGCACAGGCACAGTTTACAAGGGCCGACAGTGAAGCCCCTGAAGCACGGATATTGTGTGCCGCAGATCAGCATCTCTGCTGCGTAATAAGACCTGCGCTGCGCTGAGCCTGCACCACACGAGACGTATTGTCAGTGCACTGCATCTCACCTGCCCCGGTGCCCGATTCCTCGACTGTGCGATGTCGAGCTTGCTTCTCGTCTGTCAGTCGACTTGAAACCCGCGGGGCCGCATTGCAGGATTGAGAGGGAGGTGGAGTGTGGGGGCGAGCGTCTCCTGTGTATGTACTTTGTACCTACTTAAGTACCTGATTGATTGATTGATTGCTTGCTTGCTTGCTTGCTTCGGCAGGCCAGCAAAACAGTCTCGCGACACACGGCAGCGAGCAACAGCGATACCCTGTGAAGATGGGCAGCCGGCCATTCAGACGTCGACGGTCCCAACCCGCTGGGTCGCACCGCAAGATGAGAGAAACCCCCTCCCCAGCTCCCCCCTTGCGGCCCTGCCCCCAGACTTCCCAAGCATTGCTCGCAATCTCGCGGTGTATTTCGGTAACGGTTATTATTGGCAGGGGCCCGCGACAGAGGGACAGGCAACTATGGAGTAGACTGCCGCGGCTGGTCGGTGTGGCTTGGATGGGCAAGCCCGCGCCACCAGCGTCTAAAATGATCACCTCGGGCGATTGTGAGTCGCGTCGCATGTGGTCCTTGGCGCCATATTTTCCTTGGTTGCCTGCGGGTCTGTCGAGATGGCTGGCCTCTTTCAATGCGCATGCGCATGCGCAAAAGGGAGGGGCCATAGATCTCAATGCCATGATGATGACGACGAAAGGGGGGCCCGCCTCAGCCGCCTCTCCCAGATGTCGCGGGATCGCGGGGGCGCGGGGCTTTGGTCAAGGCCCGGCCATCGACCGCGCGTGTGTGCCGCCCACAAACCCGCCATGTTTTGAACATCAGCCACTGTTTATTACAATGACACGCATTAGATCTTACGGTCCGCCGGGCATGGTGTCGTGCAGGCTCGCGTCCTGGGCCTCTGATTGGGCTGCCCTGGCTGCTTGGGCCCCAGCCTGCGTCCGGTCCTATGTAGTATGGGGTCCCTCCCTCCCTCCACCCAAGCCTCCCGCCATTCGCGTTGGCGCTGTCACCAAGCCAGCAGGCTGGCAGGCCAGCAAGCTTGCACTGCGAGGTGGTACTGCCAGCTTTTCGTTCCTCGTACGTGCCATCTAGGCCCGTCGAGGATCTGAGGATGAAGGAGAACCTTGATTCTCACCACAAGCCCACCTTGCCTAACTGCTTTGCGCGTGGGGCGTCTAGGCGGATGCTACCCCATGGGCTTCACAGGGCTTCTGGTGGTGGCCTGTCGACAACCACCTGTGGATCCACGATTCTGGCATGGCTCCCGAGCTGGCTCGTCAGCTGCTGTGCCTGGTGCTCTGATAATAAGTGCCGAATGGAAAGGTGAACATTGTGTTGATCGCCAACATCGATCAGCCTCCTGGGCTGTTGGGATGGGACGTGTTGGCCGTAGGTACCGAGGCTGGGAGAGACCACCACTCCATCCTGAGGTTCTCCCCCACCGTGTATTGGCAGCACCCAGCTGAGATTCCCTCCGGGGCAAGATGCTAGCTTACGCCCATAGGGATGTTCACGGCATGACGGTCTCCAATGTCAGAATACGAATTGCATGCTCGACTAATGGGCAATCTGCAGACTTCGATCCCTTGAGGCCGGTTCCGGATTTCAGGAGATTGATGCAAACCGTAGCCAGGAAGATGCCGGGCCCGGAGCTGGACCGTTGGGAGAGACGGCACGAGAGAAAGAAAGGAAACGGCCGCCAAATTAATGCACAGGCCTGTGGTGGCTCTCTAATTACACGGTACGTATCCCAGGACGCTGGTAATTAAGTGATGTGGTTTAAGGCCTAATTTGGAAATTCGCTTTCCATGGCTGCGGCCGAGGTGTCTGTCCCCTGGCCCTGGCGAGCAACGGCCCCTCCCCCGGCCTCGCAGCTCGTCAATCACTCATTATCGAGCATATGCAGTATCCACCAGGACGCGCACAGCTCGCGTACAATTCGGTATCACAGGCTGTGGCATTATTCTCTGCGCTCTGCAGGCATCCTCGTGGAAGGCACCAAGCCGTGCTCGGGCTGCGTCGACGTTTTCTGTGGGGCCACCTAGGGGACGGGACAATGGGCGGCTCAACGGCGAGCGGTCAAGGTTGATCCATTGATGCCATGCAATGCACTAGACTCACGCTCAACAGGATAATCCTTTGACCACGGTAATAAGGGCAGGCCACGGAGATGGAGCGGTAAGGAGGAGGCCTTAGTAATATCCCAACCCACCGCCTCCGCCTGCCACCAACCTCCTTGATACAGGCACGCTCAGCTGGTACGGTAACAGCTGGCCGGAGCACGAAACCGAGCCCCCCTTTTGCTTCCTCCGGAGGTACACGAGGCTTCTATCAGCTACCCGGCGCCGGCCCAGTGGCTGCTGTGACTCTGATGTGCTGTGACCGGCCCAGGAGGCCCACAATCCTACACGATCCCTCTGGGGGTCCCAGGAAGGAAGCTGCGGGGAAGCTCTTTGACACTGACCGCGACACGGAACGACCGCAGAGGCGACACCGCGTGACGCGAGTGCTTGGGGTCATCTCGTGTCAACCCAAGGTTAGAAGGTCGACGTTGTGTGCAAGGCAAGGCAAGGCAAGGCTCGGGCACACGTGCAATTGGACGGTGATCAGGGGACTGGTAATATCTCTCCTTGTCTTATCTCGCCTGGTCACTTGTAACGCACACTGCAGCATCGCTGGACGGCCCCAGCGGTGATAGACAATAGATAGCTCCAGTGGCGACATTGGCCTGGGGCTGGGGACTCCCAGACGCCCGACGCCAAAGAGAGTGTGTTTCAAGGTAGGCCCAGCCTTGATTGTTGCGAAGACATAGTCTACCTGCTTGGTATCTGTGATGGTCCAGTAGACTGGCTGACTACATTGGCCGGGCCGCTGGGGGATAGTGGCAGGGTGGGCAGAGGGCTATCTGTGCCGCCCAATCCCAGCGCTCTCGCCCGTCCAGTTACAGCCTGTCTCTCGGCGCACACTGGACCGTCCTCACACGCCTCTTGGCGGGCCGGACGACAGAAGGCCCTGTGGCATGGCGCGTGTTTAAGCTTAGCTATGCCACCCCTGCTTGTGTTCGGCCACGGACAGGCCCTGATCATCACAGGCGGTGGACGGATGGTTTTGGCCTCAGCTTCTGAAGCGGCGATGCGCTTTCCGTGGGTGGACAGGTCTCAGTCAGCTGCGCGGAACGCACGACATATGGCACAACAAACCTTGCGATACAGTCTTCTGATCTGCGAACAGTCTGAGTACACTTGGTAGGTGGTCAACCAGCCTGCCAGCCTGCCCTGCCAGCCTGGCTGCCTGCCAGTCTGTGCAGTGTACTATGTAGAGTCATTAGATCCATTGCGGAGGAGCACCAGCAGGGAATCCGAGATGCCACACAGTGGCGACCCGCAGCAGGCAAATTCGGCCGTCCGGATGGGCTCGAGAAAATGGAGCTCCAGACAAGCGGCATCTGCACGCATACCGCCCATCCCCATCGATCACGCATCCGCCCACTGACCGCAACGCAAGGCACGCAATGCGGTCAGTTCTGAGTCGACTGTCCCTCTCGCCCTTGTTGCCCGTCCATTGCCCAGCATCTCCTGACAATGACGGCCAACGGCGAGGACAGCAGCCACGGCTTGTTTTGAGCTACTGCCCTCTCGACCGGGAACACGGCCAACCTTGCAGATGGGCAGGGTCAAAGTCAAAAAGATGCCACACTTTGGGTGCCGGTGCACACGCACAAGCGCACACGCACACACGGCTTTGCTTGCTTGCTTTTCGAGGCAAAAAGGCCACTGTGCCAGTTGTGCCCTGTGCCCCGTGCCCCCCTCAAGTAGTAGGTACAGTACAGTATCGGAACCTGGCCAGGTACTGAGAATTGCGATACCGTCTCGCAGTGCTGCACCCGCCCCATCCGTCTGCCCCGTCCCCGTCCTTGCTTGCTGCGTGTGTGCTTGGTTGGGTGATTTGAGAGTGGGCCGGGGTGTGGTTCACAGTTGAATTGGCAATCGGCATGGGTTCGTCGCTCCGTGCCCTGCTTGGCTGTTTCTTTCTTGGCCCTGGTGCCCTGTCCTTCTGGTCTTGCCAGGACCACTTGTAGGTAGCGGCAGCAGCCAGCGACAAGAGGGCGAGGGCCAGTTTAATAGCCAGCCAGCCGGGGAGAGCACACAGGCACGCCCGTTCCGCCCACACATAACGCATCCGAATAAGTCTGGGGGCTCGGTTTGTGTGTGCCTGCGCGTCGTGGGTAGGTACGCCCCGAACAGACCACTCCTGTCTCGCGGTGTGTGGGTGCGAGAGTGTGAAGTGTGTGAGTGTGTGTCTGTGAGTTTGTGTGGTGTGCCCTGGTGCTGCTGCTTGGGAGCTGCAGGCTAGACAGAGGTACCCGTCCCCAGGTACTGTACGTCCAGCGCTACAAGCCGGCCTGGGTGGCTAGGAGGCAGGGAGGTACCACCACCAACTGGCTGACCTACACACGCAGACACGCTGCAGCTCTGGAGGTGAGAGCGATCCTGGTCCCTGGAGGCCACCCCTGTCTGGCACGCCTGCAAGCCTGCACGCCTGCTAGCTTGGGTGCAGCACTGTGTCCGTCTTGCAGCAGCGATGACCCCCCTGTGCTGGGTCCTTGCTGTGAGGAAAATGCTGATGGGGACCTCCTGTCCAATCCCTCTCCTTGCCTGCGTCCCACCTCCTACACCTACACCTTGCTCTCTCCTTGCATGCAAATATCTGCCTCTCTCCTCCTCTCCTCCTCTCCCTCCACTCGCCATCCGCCATTCATTCATCCTTCCTCTCTCCCGAACCAGTCCTTCCAAACCGCCATCTCCCTTTCTTGACAACGTTCAGAAACGGAGGGAAGGAGAATACTACCCACTGGGCTGCATCGACATCCGCACCCAGCTACCGCTCTTAGCTCCCAGCCCCGAGTTCCACCAGAGGACCGGACCAGCTAGGACAGGCCCAACCACAGAGACAGAGAGTCGGTGACAGCCTTGCAGAACACAAGTCGAGATATATATCTTGGGTTCCAGGAGCACGAGAGAGGAATTAATACCCCCCTCTTGTCATACCGCCACCCCAAGTGTTATCATCTAGACTCAATTGCCCCCCATTCTGCATTGTACTCGACCCGACTGGAATTCTTCGGCTCGACTTCGAGGGAATCTCAATCTCCCCCGCCCCCGATCCCTTCGTCCAACCATTCCGCCCGACTCCCTACCAACCGATCGACCCCTCAGGATCCTCGAGAGGTCAACGGTCAACGGAATCAACTTGTTCACCGACCTGGTAGCAGACCACCCCGCCGTCCTACCAGCAGAGCACCGGACCCGAGCAAGTCGACGCAGCTTACTCGGTCGTCAAAAGAAAAGAGAAGGATAAGCAACGTCACCTGGGGATCCGGATCACTGTTGCACTACATGATCCTGCTCACGGTGAAGCTTTCATAAGCTTTTTCAGGGTGTTGAGAGAGAGAGGTATGTCTTGAGTGGCTCCCCCTCCCCTTGGGACCAGCCGGCGTGCCTGTCCGGTCATGGGCCGGGCCTCGTACCTGCATCAAGCCCTGGCACGGTCTCACCTGACTGAGGTGGGATGCCCAAGCTTGTTGCTGCGTCACGGGAGTCGGCCTGGGTCCAATCTTTCGGGGTGACCAATGATCCTGACCGTGGCTCGCTCCCTTCACAGGTACATGCCTACAGGCCAACCCATCACAGCCAACCTTGACAAGCTTTCTATCCTCAACTGAGGTAATCGCGTCTTGTGGGAAACGTTAATTCGTCGCTCCTACCCGACCTCAGGAATTGTGTCATTTTGTCTGTCTTGCCAGACAATCGACCGTTAGTGGTAAGGGATTCTCCTGTCTGCAGCCTCCCCAAAGCAGTGATCTTTTCCCCTTTTCGTGCATCTTGCTGTCGTGAACCGCGTCAGCGCGATGAGCTCGCGCGAGGTTGAGTGTGAGGTTCGAATTGGGGGCGGGGGTTCGAGAACTGGCCGTCTGCGAGAGAACCTGCAGTTGCAGTTGTGCTTCCAGGCCCATTTCTCGGGCCTCGCATTCAGGTTTGCACAATAGTCGAGGAGGGCGTGAAAGGCAATCCTCGTCAGCCTGAATAGTCCCCATTTCGAGGCGATCAGATGGACACACAATACGTTTGTGTGCTATTCTCCGCACGTCAGATCCCAGCACGCTGGCCTGGTCGGCCTGAGTGCGAGATCAGGCGAATCAGAAAAGAAGGCCGAAAGAATGAGAGAAGAAAAAAAGAGACTCCCTTCCCTTCCCTTCCCTACGGAGAATGGTGGAATCCCACTGTGGGCTGTCTTGAATTTCTTCGTTGAGATCTTGTCTTGATTCACCCCTGAAAGACGAGAATCGAACTCGAGGCTGATCAGAAACCCTTGTCGGTGCTATAGAGCCGTGCATTGCATTTGCAGCACAGTCGCCAAACTCCACTTTTAAAACCGGCCTGTGCTCCCGGCCACTCTTCCATCCCATCTCCATTTCAACCACTGTCCACCGTGGCTCTCGACTCTTCCACTTCCTCCTTTTCGGCACCAGCCATTGTCACTCATTATCCAACCAAGCTGCCACACATTCTTTACAATCAACAACACCACACTCATTAATAATACTAATAATAGTCGACTCGACTAGACCATTTAATAGTCTCTTCTATCACCGCATTTCATTCCTTCGCGTCTCGACAGCCGCCGACAACCGATTTGTTTCTTAGTGCGAATCTTGAACGGCCCCGTCGACAACGCCAACCAAAACAAGCTTCCTGGGGAAACTTGTGTGTGTACATTTTCGAACTGCCGATCCCGCCATCGACCGTTGTCCATTCCGGGTCACTTTCACAAACAGTCCAGCAAGATGGCTCCCCATTCTCAACCAGTCGAGGAGGTCTTCGAGCCCGAGTACCAGAGGGTGCACCAGTTCTCTGCCGAGCGAGCTGCAAGCCTGGTCCACGCCAGGAGGTGGGACGCCAAGGTCGACAGGCAGATCACAATCGCCCACGAGCTCTCAAGGCTGGCCAGCGATGAATACCTCGAGGACATCATGCAACACGCAAGGCACATGGAGGTGAGCTCACTTGCTGCCCAATCAGCGCCTGTTCCGGGCCATCAGCCGTGGAACCATCACTAATCTCCCGACAGGACGAGACACTACCCGATGCCAACCTCATCGACATGCAGCGTGAGATCCAGTGGTTCATGCGGCCCTACCTGATCGACTTCCTGATCGAGGCACATGCCGCTTTCTCGCTGCTTCGGGAAACCCTCTTCCTGACCATCAACCTGCTTGATAGGTACTGCTCTAAGCGGGTGGTATACAAGCAGCACTACCAGCTTGTTGGCTGCGCCGCCCTCTTGATCGCGGCCAAGTACGGTGACAAGAAGGACCGTGTCCCCCAGATCAACGAGCTCAACAACATGTGCTGTGGTCTGTACGACGCTGGCATGTTCACCCAGATGGAGATGCACGTCCTCAACACACTGGAGTGGAACATCGGCCACCCCACCGTCGACTTCTTCCAGTCCATCATCTGGGCCGACGAGCAGGACGACCGTGAGGTCAGGGACATGACCGCCTACCTCTGCGAGATTGCCCTCTACCACCGCGACTTCGTCTCCACGAAGCCATCGATCATGGCACGTGCCTCTCACGCCCTGGCACGGGCGATCCTCAACCGCCCCGAGGTCAACGACGGCGAGTGGGACCGTGACTGCCGCGACACGCTGCTGACCCTGTCTCAACACCTGCACCAGCCCTCCGTCACGCTCTCACGCAAGTACTCGTCCAACCACTTCTCTCGTGTCTCGACGAAGCTCGCCGACTTCCTGGCGCAACAGGCTGCCATCCAACGACCACAGGTCAACGGACCCGCAACTCCCCCGGCCGAGTGCGGCAGCTCTCCCCAGAGTGCCGACATTTACAGCACCCCCCTCAAGGGCCACGGTTCAGCTCCTGGTGTTGCCGATGGCTACATGACGCCACCCATCACCCCCGACGGTGCCTCGTTCGGTGTCAACGGCCAGGTTGAGGGCTACAACCAGCTCCCACCACGGTGTCCAGTTACTCCCACCCCGCCAAGCAGCCAGGTGAACGGGTTCCCACGACCTCCACAAGCAGCATCACAATACAACGTGACATACTTCGATGGACAGCCAAATGCCGTGGCTCACTAGAAGACGAGCCGCGATGCGGCCCTCGCGGGCTTGCGAAACTCTTTCCATCGTATCTTGTCCTTGTTCACCTCTACTCTACCCGAGGACAAGGGTAATTCATATCTTCGTCATTGGGCATACAAAGTGTATTGATTATTCATGGAGACGGACCTAAAATAAGACTGCATCTGGATTTGGATACCAGCGTCATGGCATTTAGCGAGTTTGATATTCACACGCACATGTTTGCTTCTCGTCTCAAAAGACTTTTCACTTCGATTCGGCATGTCCGCACACTTTTCTTCTCATTACTCCCAGTCCACCTCACATTGGGGTTCTTGTCAGGAGGGCTGTTATACCCCAAAATCCCCCAAATCGTTTTGAAAAAAGATCAAGTGCCTCCCCCCCCCCCTGGGACTTGCACCCAGGCACCACTCGAGAAGGCGTGCACCTAATACTACCGACCTACCGGGGGCAGACCAAATTGGCTCTGCTGAATACGAGCGCGAAGACGAGGCCGAAGATGGGTTTGGAGATGTTCCCTGAAGAAAAGGGCAGCAACCGTCTCACTTCGAGGCTGGGGAAAGCTCCAGTTACCGACACAACTGTTTTGGAAAGCATCGATTGGCACTTAGTGGAAACACCAAGGAAGTCGGCCAGCAAGCGAAGCCTGGAACAGTGGGACGACCAAGTGTACCTGGTCGGGTCGGCAGCCTCGGTTTCAGCCTAGCCTCGGGAGGATTGTGTTGAAGTGGGTGCTCAGCCCGTGGTGAGCACCTCGGGTTGCCTGGGGAACAGGCATGGGATGAACTGGCAGGGACAGAATGCTACGGCTGCTCCTTGGTCGAGGAAAAAACAAAAAAAGAGGGTTTCATTTATTTTCTTGTGTACAAACGGCGTGGAGAGGGTTCGTGGAAAGGTAGGAACACGGGCGGCCACAGAGCCCCCCCGAATGGAGGGAAGGATTATGGACTACTTCGGCGCTCATTCGACGACGCACCACAACCAGCACCGGTACGAAAAGACGGATACAAGTCATCGTCCAGCATCCATCATACCCGCATTGGCCTCGTGTGCTACAGCGGTAATCTTTATTGGGGAGCAGCGAGGGAAGGCTGCTATAGCTTAGCTGTATTCTATTCTATTCATCAGATGAACAGAATCGGAAAAGAAAAAAAGACTTATTGTCTCTGAACAAGACGTGCCGGCCCTGCAACGCAAGTGTGTTTGTTCATTTGTGGTGTCTGGTGAAGATGAAAATCCATGTGCCAATACTACTTCACTTCCCCTTGACCCAGCCACCAGCTGCTCCAGTGTCGCCTGGGCAGCTCTCAACCCCTGTTGGAACTCCCCGATTGAGCTCGCCAGATCTCAACGACTGGGGAAGGGACAGGGAGGCGGAGATTTGGGCCTCGTGAAGTCGAAGTTTGAAGCGTTCTCATGTCAGGGCATGGGGAGCGCAGGGAAATTGGGAGCTTTGGTACCCCTTGGCCCCCCTTTCCCACTCCAGCCCGTCCTCCTGCCCGTTCGGGAAGTGACAGTCCACAGTCCGACGGTTTCATTGGACAATTGACCCCACTTAGCTCATCGGTTGTTCCCGGATCCCAGCCCAATAGAACTACTAAGGCAGAGACGGATTTAGACCAAGACTAGGGGAAACCTTGGAGTTCCCCGTCCGTTCCCCAGGTACTTCAACATCTTTTCCGTAGCATTGAAGTGGACGACGGGTGGCTTTGAAAGTCAATGCGGCACCAGATGCACTAGAAGGATGTCGGTTTTTCTTCCTTGGTCGGGCTAGGAGACTTCATGCTCTAGAGAGCTGTACCGTTCAATCAATCAATGCTACTCGGCATATGCTCCTCAACTAGTGTGGATGCAAACCACAAAAGAGAGTGGAAGGATGATAGAGCCTGGTAGGCCCTAATCCACAGGCCAAATGGCAATTGGCAGTTGGGACAGGACCGCCTCGGGAGGGAGACGAGTGCGACTCAGCCCTTTAATTCCGTCAGTCTGGTGGGCTCCGGTCCACTCTAGTCAGTCGTCAGGTCAGCCGTTGTCAGCAGACAACCAGCGGTTGCATTGGGCCATCTCCTCACACGGTCGATCCGACCTTGTCCAGCCCACTCCAATCCAATCCAGCACACTCACTGAGGAAGCTGATGCTGGTTCCCACTCGGCCACTCGGCCACTCGGCCTGAAAGCTCCGTGACGTATAGTGCCGTCCCCCTTACAACCGGGGGCGATGCTGTTGCTTTTCTCGGTCTGTGTTGAGACAATTTGGGCGGGCCCAGGACAGCCCCAAACGCAATTAACGGACGGCAGCCCAGGTGGGATTAGTCGGATGTCAGGACCCCCAGCATCCCAGCACGGGACGGAAGACCATACTGTGGTACATGCGTGCGAGGTCTGCCTGCGAAAAGGCCACCCATTTCATCCCGCAATTATTGCCACGGGCACCGATCAAGAACAAGATTCAATAGCTGGTCTAAATTCACGGGGAAAGGATTGTAAGCTGCTGGTTGGTAGGCTGGTTGGTCGGTTGGTTAGTTAGTTGGTTGGTCGGTCGGTCGGTCGGTCAAGCCCAGCCACGAGCCGAACGCCCGGCGCCCCCTTGTCAGCTGGAGCTGCCCATTATGTGTGAGGCTGGGCCTGGGCCTGGGCTTGGGCTGATTAGCCGGGTGCAAGCACTTCTGGGACAAGATCGAATTTCCGAACTGGCCACACTCCTGCACCAAACCCCGTACACCGGGGAGGGGGAGGCTTGGGAGTGGGTAGATCGCTGGCCTTGCAACTTGGTAATAATCAATCCCAGGAGGCCGCCACTCCAACTGGAGTTTGGTTTGACACCGCCGCAGATTTGCCCTGCACTATTTGCATGCATGTCAGCAGGAAAAGCGCTGTTGGCAATCTGCCCGTGCATACGCTCCAGGCGCTATAGGGACCTGATCAACTGTCTCAATTCCTTCCACCTCCGTCCGTAATTTGACGGGCCCCATTGAGGACTCTTGGCTGGGCATTGGCTCGTCTGACTTTGCCTCTGAGCCATGGGGAGACATGCTTGACATGGCAGAACGTGGCTCCCAGAGACACGGCCGCACTACTCTACCGTAGCATCGGCTCACAGTCCCGGAATGTGCTATAACCTACGCCTTTGATGGCTAGAGGCGCCTCATGTCCTTCTTTTCGCCGTTCCGGACGTGCCGCCGTTGACGTCCGTGTGCGGAGACTCGATGGATGGGTGTGTGGGGCGCGGCCCTCCGAGCCGTTGCATCACTGCGGGTCCGTTCCTTCACTCCGAGTCCCCTCCAAGCTAATTTTGGAGAATCCGGGGCACTTTCTAGTTGTGTAGAGGTCGCGGTGCACCGTAGCGTGATTAGTAGACGGTGAGAGGCTCTGTCCGGATGTGTCATTCATTCGGTGTGGCTCCGTTCTGTTACGTCGTCGTTGCTCGGGCAGCCTGGCTTCACACCGCCAGCATTGATGCTGGCAGAAAGGGTTAACTGCCAAAGCTGTCTACCTGGATGCGAGCATATCTTCGCAAATGTCAACCATTCTATGAGCAAGACTAAACCTCAACGAGAAGATGTGTAATTCAATTATACTTAGCAACTAAAATTGAGTGTTGTGGGCTCTTTTGGAGGCTCATTTGATCTGGGCTTGCAGTCTGCGTAGATGAAGGCACCCATATTATGAGTAAACATATGGTTTCATCTCATATTTGAGCAAGAAGTTTGAAATTTTCCGGCTCAAAACGATCATCAGACTATGAATGATGTGGCATAGTGGCAATAACCTGAACACACTTCAACACTTGCTAATATAGTGACAGTATTTCAATGAAATTCTTTGCACTGCATTCCAACACTCTGCTTCTATGCATAACGATGAAGTCCAAGGATGTATTTCAAAGCTTCTCAATACATGTTTTATTCAGTTGTAAACATATTAATATTTCTAATATTAAGATAAGGGTCACATATAGCACTTTTAAAGATATAGCACAAGAGGTATAACACTTATATATGCTTACTTAGGCAGGTACTCAAGTAGTTAGCCTTATATAAGTGTACTTTCTATATTCATAGACATAAATATTTAATCTCTACATAGTAAGGATATCAGTGTTTAATAGTTTGAACATATTTAACCTAGTCTGACTTTAAAGATCTTGGTCCATAGAACATTAGCATGGATACCTAATGGATGGCTCACATATATAATTGGGTAAGGTCACAGATTGTCTTCGTCACTGTCACATTAGCTGGCTATCATGATAATGTAGTGGTTCAATTCTGTCATGAGGGAAATCAAAGTTCTGCCTAGGTTAGGTATTCAGTAGTAAATATCCCATTGAAAGATCCTTTAGATGGTGGACCAATTAGCTACATTCAAGAAGTCTGGTCTTGCAAATCGCTCATTGACAATTCATTCATTCATTTGAAAGATCTGACTTGTGGATACTCTAAAAATGTCCTGATACTTAAGTGGAAAGGATCAGATTCCCAGCTAGCTATATTCAAAGAGCATGCCAATATTATAATAACAAAGTAACAATATAGTGGAGCGCTTAATGGTAAATAAGAGTGTTTAGAGAATGATCTCTGCCTGGAAAATTATTGTTTGTAATAATTCTATTATGCCTACCTACTAATGTCGTGCAGTAGAGCCCTTTTATCTTAACTTAGATCTTATTAGAGTTCATTAGTATTTTCTTTTTTATAATAAAGGAATACGTTCTTTTATAAAAAAAAATTTAAAAGTTGCATGGAGTAGAATGTCTGGTTTGAATCCTAGGCACCATTGAACTGTATGTGAATGAACTCTTCTGCTCATTGTGCACATCATAATGCACTTCAAGTTATGATGCATCACATGCTGATGATTTAGTGTTAGCCACAGCTATTACACTTCTTCCCAAGTCATAGGCTAATCTGGCTTCCTATAAGACTCACATTATTATATTTTCAACATATAGGTTACTTCTATTAGCATTATATTTTTTTTTCCTTTTAAAATAAAGCTAGGTCTTTAGATGTTTACCACTGTGGCAAGGGACTGTATGCCTGTGGTGCCTAGGTGTATACTAGTATATGGGGTAAGAACGAAACCACACAAATATGGTTGCACTGAATTCACGTCTCATGCAAATTCAGAAGGAAACAAATCAAGAACTTACTGCAGAATCTAGCAGACCCATGTGGTGCTATGACCACCGCTTGCCAGGTATCCACTAGTGGGTCACCAGCGACAGAAAAATAATGAAGAGATTGACAAAAAGAAAACATGCAACACCGGGCATTCGCTGGTCGTCACCGACCCAACTACTACTCCAGCTCTTACAAGCTTGATTAAGGGAGAGCGGACGGGATCCCATATTTTCTTGTAGATATGGTCGCATGTGATTGCTTGGGTTGGCATCGTGGTCTATAACGCAAAGAGGTTTGTAGCAACATGCGTCCTGCTATTACTCCAGGGTGTAGACAAGGGTGTCAAATCATTACTGTTGGGGAATATCCACACAACCCCTACCATCTATGTCTCCAGGCCCAGTCAGCCAGACGCGGCGGCGTTACAAGTGCGAGGAACCGGGCACAAAGGAGGCTGTTACCGGTAGGCAAGCGCCAGCGGAGATCGCGGGAGGGGCCTTATTATCACTGGCTTAGATCAGCTCGAGGATTCACGTTGCAATGTCATCAGGACCCGAAATGTAGTCTCGAGACCGATCTGAAATACCATTTAAAGGCTCATATAAGGACCACATTGATCTGAGCCCGAAAATGTTTGAGCTATTGGAATGCCCCAGCACTTCAATCCGCTACCTAGGTACTTAGGTAGGAAGGCCTTTGGTCCCAAGAAGGCGAAAATCATGCAAGTCATCTTGTCGTCATGAGCTTCATCACATCTTTTCTCCCACAGCGGCCCCGCGGCAGTTCCTCACCAGCGTGTTCTGCAGGGCATTGTTCAACGAGGTCTTGGTTGATTGTGTGAACGACTGGCCGAGATCGACGTTCTGGTCGGCGTACTCAGCATCCCAGATAGCGACACCACCAAAATTACGGTTGCAAAAGTAAGCGTTGATCAGGTTCGTGGTCTCGTTCTGGTTGACATAGTAGCTGGCGTCTTCGACGGCGTACTGGCTGCCGGCCAGGCCGATGAACAGCTTGGCCCCGGAGCTGGCGCTCGTGGTCAGCGCCGTTGTCCACGAGTCGTACGTGAACCCGCCCGAGGGGAAGGGCCGCGTGCCCGCGATGTAGTTCGGGTTGGCATTAGCCCAGGCCCTGGCCGAGCAGGCGGCTGTGTTGTAGAACTGGATGAAGAGCGCGTCGAATGCGACCGAGGCTATCAGCTGACCCATGCTGGCGTCGGGCACGGCGCACTGGGGCGCCCCCGAGAGGACCAGATCCTTCTGGGGAGACGCTGGGAAGAGCCTTCGCAGCTGCGTGGCGAAGGCTATGTAACCTGCTCCACCGTCTGCTCGCTCATGTCTCTTGTCAGCCTTGCTGTGTTCTCACACGCGCAGTGCCCGTATATCAGACTATTTCTGCTTACCATCGGCAGGAGTCTCGATGTCCAGCGTGAAGCCGTCGACGGCAGATCCGACAGAGTCACCGGGCATGTCAAATGGTCTGGGCAGACCCGCCTTGACCCAGATCCTGTTCCTTGGCCCAAACAGACCGAAAAGCATGTTTGCAAACTTGATGCCATCCGCGACGCCATCGACTTGATAGTCACCCGAGTCACCCCCGAGAGCCAGGAAGATCTTCTTTCCATAGGTCCTCTGGCATGTCGCTATGTCGGAGGCGAGGAGGGGGCAGCTCGATTGCAGACTGTCTTTGGAATGATCCACCACACCGTTGTATCCCGGGCCCGGGTATACGGCGCCGCTGCATTGATTCCCGAAGTTCGTTCCTGGGAATCCGTTGGCCTGGGCCGGGAAGAGGTTGACGAACGAGAGGGCAATGGCATCGATCTCGTTTTTCTGACAGTAGTACAGGAGGCGTTGTTGGTCTGCTCCTTGGCCCTGGATGATGAGTGTCAGCCGGGCACTTCTCCCGGCCTCTGCGAAGGTATACTCACCCAGTAGACGACATTATTAACTTTCGCGTTGAGGCTGAACTGTGCCCGGGCGAGGGTCATATACAAGGACACAAAGACAAGAATTGAATGAATGGACGCCATGGCTGCGTAGAGACCCACTTGGGTGGCTTGCCAGTGACTGCGGAAACACGAGAAAGAGTTGACGCGAGCATTGTCTTCAAGGTGCGGAGCATGCTGTCTCCCTTTTAAACGGATGCCGAATAATTGGTGTTGTTTGGTCACTGCCGTGGAATGTTGCGTGTTCTGTCCACGCGTTTGATACCTAGGTATGGGAAGGTCTCAGACACAACGCGTCTTGGACAAATGTTAGACGTGCAGTTCAAAATCCAAAGGATCTGTTAGCGAAAAAAAAAAAACATACTTACGAACTCCCGTCCAGAAATAGATTGTCGATGCCATGTGTCCGGATGCTCGCCAGCTCACCTATGCGTGACCAATACAACGAACGGTGATGTACGCCAGATGGTAAGTAGCGAAAAGTGCCCAGGTGAGCCGAACATTTTCATGCTGCTGCCGCCCATGATTTTTTGAAGAGAAAAGAAAAACTGAACTTGAATGTTAGATAATTAGTCTGTCACAGAAGAGGTCACGATATCTTACAGTTGTAGTGTATTATTGAGGCCATGAAGTGACGACTCCCGAGATCGTTCAATGCAGGCTTCACACCCATAATATCACAAACAACTTTAGCCTCAACCAATACACCCGACCTAGATCTGTGTGCGGTTGAATGCAGAATCTGACAGGTCGAGCTGAAGGCAGGCATCTTTGATGGTTTCAGAAAGTCAGCCTTGACCTTGGACTGGTTGTCTATTTGGACGCATGTGACGAGGGCAAGCTTTTGAAGGTCATGTTGTATCCCAGTTCTCGGGTATACTCCAGCTGCGAGACTCTAATGAACCAGGACCCGTTATCAGATCAGAGTCTGAAACTCTAGATTGCCTCGTCACTCCGGGGCAGCAAAAGTTCCTTCCATTATCGCGGCTCGCCATGAACGAACGTAGAACCGAGAGGCAGTTGGTTGAGAATCCTCGGAACCATTCTTTGCCAACGGACGAGTCCGGCCGTTGTTAACACCCAAGACTATAAAAAGCTCCCCAATATAGACCGCTCTGCAATGATGCCCACAGTGCCCCAACGCCCGACGCTGTTCCCCTGGCCACGCGGGCGCGCGCACTCACAGCCCGCCAGAGCAGTGCTTAATCAAAGGCTTGTACGACGACGGGGGTCCGGTGCTTATCTGCAGTTTGACCAACCAAAGTGAGCCAGCAAGACAGCCAGTCCTGCAGAGGGAAACCGTCGGACCGTACCTATGAGCGTGTCTCTTCCCCCTCGGAGACGAAGGTCGTCCCACGACCCGGCGTGCCCCTCGGCTTCCGAGGGTGCCAGCCCAGGACCAAAGTGCCTTTCGCATCGTGCATGCCCAGGAGGGAAGTAGGATGGTCTGTCGTCAGCAGCAAGTAAGTAGATCGATATCATCTCAGCCCCCGCCCCCGCCCCCAGGGCACAGAGGGCACGGCAGGCCAAGTGCGACCACCCCGCTGCCACCTTGTCCGTCGATCACCTCCTCCCCCCGGCCCTTGCCCTCCTCCGGTTCTTTGGCTAGGTGCGAAGAATCAGCCAACCCACCAAACGAACCATAGAGCTGACGACAACTGGCTCTCGCAGTCCGTCCCGTCCTGCTGGCTGGTGCGCTTGGCCATCCTTCCGGGTTGTGGGGGTGGGGCTGGGTTCACAAGCCCGTCCGCGGTGACAGGCAGCAGCAGCAGCATCGTCCTGCTACAATAGGATAGCAGGGGCGCTCCGTGAGCAGCAAACAAGCGACTCTGGGGGCCCAAAGCCGGCAGGTAAGATATAGCAAGATCGCCTGAGGGGGGGAGGCTCAACTACAATCACTCGCGTTGGCGGGCCCTTCGGGCCGCCGGCCTTTGGGGGAGTAAGGTGGGGGCGGGCGGCCTGTCAATTTGTGAAGAGTGGAGTGGGCACATATTTTCCAACTGTTAATCCGACGGTCATCCGGCCGTAATTCCGAACATCTTGTGCTTCAAGTTGTTCGCGATGGCCTCGGAGGCTGGGGAGAACAGACGACAACAAAAGAGGGGAGCACACGGAATGCACCTTGTACGCGCCGTGCCAAAGTACCTAGGTACCCAAGTATTCATTCCACACGAACAAGACTACCCAGGTAGAGAGACAGGCAAGACAGGGACCATCATTCAATCTCTACTCGCAGACAACAGTGCTCTGCAAGTAGGATGTCGCGGCGACGTTGGCTTCCGCAGAAACTACCCAAATTGCCGGCCTGGCACCCAGGCTCAGCTTGCATGCTCTCACTCAATAAAGTTCACGAACAGTGCTTGCGGCCTCCAAGTGTGGGTCTTGAGCCCCTCGAATGAGGATGGCTGAACAAATGTGGATATTTGGTATCGACTTTTTCGACCCGGCTTCCTCTCCAACGCCCGAGGGCCCTTGCATGCCCAGCCAGAGGAACTCCTAATCATGCCCGATTCCAACGAGGCCAGTCCCGCGCCGTCTTCAGAGACAACAGAAACCGTCATATCCCTCATGGATTGTACCTTGTACATGAAGTGCCCACCCACCCCCCGGAGTTGCCACCCCTGATATACCAAAAGAAATCAAACCCCGCAGTGTTTGTTTGATTTGTATGCAACCGCAATGGATTCGTGCCTGACCAGAACGCCTTGACGCGAAGTCGGTTGCTTCGAGCGCCACAAACCCACGTAACACCAAAAGCATGGCTTTATAAATGAGCCCCGTTGCGCCGGCGCTGACAGACTGTGCCAACGCAGATGAATTGTTACAAATGAAAATGCAGAAAAAAATCGTCGGAATGAAAGTAAGTACAGATGAGAGTCGAAGAGATTTGGAGGCTTTGTTGCCAAGTGTGTTCGAGTTGGCCAGACTCGGTTTGCCGGCAGGAACAAAAAGAGTAGATATTAGAGATATAGGGAATTATGGTCTGTCGGTGGGCGTGGCCGTTGAGTGAGAGGGACCCGAGCCTGAAACCACTTAGGGGAAAGGCGGACGGCGCGAGGGGTCTTGCGGAGGCTGGAACTGCTGTCTTCTTCCATTTTCGCCTCGTGCAGCAACCCACTCGGCATTCCCACTTTGTCGGCCAGGTAGCTCGGCAGGGGTCTTGGTGTCGTCGGAGGATGAAGGTGTTCGCCGGGCGGGCTGCGGTGGAGCGCTGGGTGCAACGGGCACGGCGCCGGGCACGAGCTGGGTGACGGCCTGCGTGATGGAAGAAATGACATAGGTGCGCAGCTCGCGGTCCTCCCGTGCGTCCTCCTTCTCGAGTCGGAATCGCTCGTCCTTGTTCATGTTGGATCTCCGGATGTTCTTGATCTCCTGCAGGATGTACAACAGGACGTCCTCCGGGCATCGGGTCCGCTCAAGGGAATATTCGCTCTTTCGTACATATCGCCGGGTCACATCCGTCGCGCCGTCGATGGAGAAGGCAATGCAGTACGACATCTTCTTGCCCCAGCCCTCGGAGTAGAGCCGCGGGTTATCCCACGCCTCCTCACAGGCATCGACGTGAACCCATCTCTTCTGGTGCTCCGAGAAGACCTCTGTCCAAACGTGGTCTTCGGCGTTCCACACCCAGCGGACACGGCTGCCGACGGCCCGGCAGAGCATGCTAAAGCAGTTTGCCCACTCACCGCACCGGCCTCTCCGTGTCTGCAGTAACCGCCAGACGTCGCTGTACCGGGGAAAGCGTTCGTAAGCCCCGCAGGCACTGTTTGAGCATCGATACAACTCGACAATGAGGGCACCGCAAGCGTTCTCTTCGGGTGTCGGCGCTGTCTTTCCTTGGGCCACTGTCGGCGACAGACACGCTGGGCAAGCCGGGTTGTTGACCCAGGTGAAGAAAGCTCGTTTGAACCATCTGGAGACTCGGGAGTCAGAACACCGATTTCACGAGGGGCATGCAGTCTATGAGACGGTGGACATACCTGAGCAATGCTCGGACTACACAATCTTGGTAGCCCCATTCTGGTTTCCTGCCATCACCCATGCTCTCGGCCTGTGCCTGCAAGACCTGTGCCTCCTCCTCGGCCTCGCCGTAGATCCGATCCAAGGGGATGACCTGGAGTGCCTCGTCGAGTAGTCCCGGGTTCTCATATTTCGTTGGTGTTTGTGAGAGGGTGACCAGAAGATTCCTAAACTTCTGTGACTCCCTGTCGTTCGCAGCCGGCGCTGTGGGCACCTTTGGCATGTTACGCAGCGAGGCATAGGCTGGTGGAGTAGCAGTGTGTGACGAGGATGGGCGTCCGGGTGATGGTGCGGCGGCAGCGGATCGCAGGTTAGCAGAGGAGGCCGACTCTCGGGGCTGAGGGGTGCCTTGACGAGAACGGTTGCTGAGCTCGTTTAATCGCCTATCCCTCAGCAGTTGCTCGAATTGGATGCGGAGATCGTGTGCCCAGGCCTCGTCGTATTGGCCATTCTCAGGCACGTTGCCTCGGTTCGGGTCCATGGTCTGGTCAGTTCTGGAGTAGGTGTGTCTCTCAATCCAGAATGCCTTTGGGGGTTGAACGGGCGAAGATATATGTGGGGGGCGAGTCGTCGTCGTAAGCGCTTGCGGAAGTGCAGTTGCAGCAGTTGCAACCTATATCGCAGTCGCAGTCGCAGTCGCAGTTGCAGTCGTGGGCGTGACGTGATGATGGGGTGACGTCGGCTCGGTCTATTCCACGTTCCTCGAACTCGTGATGGTGAACACCAACCACATCGGCGCTGCCTGGACAAAAGAGTGTATAGGTTGAATGGAGCGCCGCCGAGAGGGAGGAAGAAGACAAGCAGGCGGCGGCAGGGTTGCAAGGCGGAGGGCGGAGGGCGGAAGGGCAATAATAAAGACGAGGTCGAGTGTTAATAGGGCGGGAGAGCGGAGTGGGTATGAGGAGAGAGAAAAGGGGAGGTATGGTGCAGGATGACAAGACACGAGCGGTTGAGAGAGACAAGCAGAGATAGTCGCGGTCGGGAGCAGCAAGGCCAAACAACCAGACCCTTGAGCCTGAGGCCTGAGGAGGGAGGAGACAGGGAGATGGGGACGGCGGATGGATACGTGGGACGCTTGCGTACACTGTACGGTGCGGCAGTGGGGAGGTCTCTGGGTAAGAGCCGAGAGTGGACCGGGGTGGTGGGAGGGAATTGCGTGGACGTCCACCTCATTTGATACCGGCGGGCTGCCCATGCTGCCGTGCTCAACCGTGGAACCCTGCCCAGTGGTGGTGCTCCTGCCCTGCCCTGCCCCTGCCCTGTCGGTCCATTACTACGAAGCCAGAAGGCTGCCTGCTACCTACCTAGGTACCTAGGTACCGAGCGCAGGCTTGCGGCCTCCTGCGCTCTACATAGCACACAGTAGCTGGACTGCCCATCAGCCCATGTACCCAGATAGATACCTTGTCTGGTGTCTGCTGGCCTGGTAGCCCAACACCGTCAACCGATCGTTGCCGATATGCAGGTACTAGAGAAGGAGAGAGACAAGACTCGAGGGGCAGGAGAAAGAACACAGAGAGTTGTCCAACCACCACCACTGACAATGAGCACACAGGTAGGCAGGCAGGCCAGGCGCAGGGCGGGCTCAGGTTCGGTTCAGGTCGGCGCAGCCCCTCCACGCCCTGCACGTGGAAGTCGACCACAAGAGACAAGGTACAGGATACAGAACATACAGTGGTACCATAGGCGGACGGGAAAGTACTCTGGACCGGCGGCCCATCCCTCCCTCCCTCCCACGTCTCGAAGCCCCACCTGGGCTCACTGACCAAGTGAAGAGGAGGAACCCCGGGCAGGACGACCGGCTGGACGCGCGTTCTTGGAACCAGGGCGGCCCAATCACGCCCCGTCATCTCAAAGAGGGCGGGCTGACACACGGGCCTGGCGTGCCTCGGTGGTGGCTTGCTCCCTCTTTCGGGGTTCAGAACAAGTCTGGCACACCACTCCCCGTCTATAATTAACGGTGGCGCCGTACGGAGCACTGTGCTGGTAGATATCCCCTCTTTTCCTGCTGCCGGTCGAGACGATAAGGTTGTCAGTGTTGTCTTGAACAGACGCATTGGTGCTTTGCTTTGATGACGAGGGATGGAAATAGACAGACAGCCGAATTCGCCTGTGGTCAAGAATAATTGCTGTGGTCTATCCCTTTCCCCCTCGTACGTGGACGGATGGGTTAATCTCCGACGCGGTAGACACCACAGTAATAATGTGCTTCTGCCCTTTGACGAGGATGACGAGGCTCAGTTCTTGGCAGCGCAGCGCAGTGCAGACTCTCAGCCCCGGGCCCCTCGTTGCTCTGCTCTGCTCTGCTGTGCTGTGCGTGCGACATGACGGAATTCTTCCATTCACCCAGTCACCCATCGCTGCCGTCGCTGTAACCGGCTCGCACAGCACCAGGCTGACTGTTGAGCCGGCCAGTCAGACACACAAGATCGTGGTGTCGGTACCTCGTGCGCGGCCCGAGTCAGAGCCTGGCCTAGACGACGACTGCTTATTAGTCTACTGAAGGCTGGCTGGTTGGCTGGCTGCCACTGGCTATGCGGCCATGTAGACATACGCGTACCACAGAAGGGAAGCACACTTCCCGGACAAGAATGCTGCGGATCGACAGCCTCTGACTCTTGAAACGTCTCTGCCATGCCCATTGTAGGAAACATGTGTTATGTAATCCAAGCCCCAACCAGCACACAGTGGCACGAGTATGCATTTGCCTCCCCCCTCCACCCCCTTGCTCACAGTGTCGAGCTTTGTTCGCCCGCAGACTGTGCGATGACGACCACTGCTTTCGGGACACCCTGACCCGGCCGGCTCACTGCTTCAGATTCAGATTTGCCCAAAGGTTTTAAAAAAAAAAATTGACCAAAAGATGCTTAATTCCCTTGTCGCCTCTCACACGCCGGGAGAAAGATGGGACGATCGTCAACCAGCCCTTGGTTCCCTTATTTACTTCATCCACTGCCGCGTCTCTGCTTTGTAGGCCTAATTTGTCAAGTTCGCGGAAATGCAACAATCCACGTACCGTCAGTCGTCGTTTCGCTCCCGCCACGCCCTGTTCCCCCGTATCTTACCCACGTATCAACTTCCCACCTTGACGTGGCCCCGACCTTCTCGGCCCAGAAAAATGGACATTGACTAAAATTGACCGACTCGGTGCAGCGTCGCCCACGCCGGCGGCGGCGGAATAAACCCCCAGCGGTGAGCTGAGCCGCCACTGTCTGTCAGTCAGGCTTGCCCGGGCCCCGGGGCAGCTGGGTCGTCGTCAGTTGCCATGTCGTTGATTCGTACACTTCCGGACCATGCACGTGTGGGCCGAGTCGGTCGCCGTCCAGGCAGGGTGCGGGTGACGAACGTCCAGTCACGTCTGCGCGCTGTGTAATCCTGCGATGCGCACTGGAGCACCCAATAATTCGCGGCTCATTTGTCCGGCGTAGTACACAGTCATACGGATGCACAGTACCGAGTACAGCCGGGCCTGTCTGTCCCACGATGACGCGCCAGACTCTCTTGTTCTCCATTCCGTGAAGAAACAAACAACCTGTTCACCCGTCCAGCCGTACGGAGACGAAACACCACGACGGGGCTGCCAAATGCACGGTAGGGGTTCAGAAGCGTGTCGGGTCTTGGCGCCAGGGTTCCTCGATTCCAAATCGCCGCGGCATTGTCGAAACTGTTGTGTGCTGCGCCCTAGACGGACAGATTGTGATCAAGGTTTTTGACGAGGCCTTGGAAGCCTCACCACAGGTCCCCTGCTGCCCCAAGCTTCAGCCTCAGCGGCCCCAGTCGCTGCCAGAAGAGGCAAGCCGCTCTGTGCGAGGTGATCGCCCTCGCACTGTAGCATCAGGGTGAGCTTGCGCGGCCTGCTTGGCCTGCCGTTCCAAAACTCCCAGCCCAGGTCGCGGGTCGCCACCCACCCCACAACGAGCGATCAATGGGCCCGTGCGCTGCCTCACCCGTCCCTCTGGGTAGGTACTTGAGTACTTAAGTAAGCAGGGCAGGCAGGCACCAAATCCTCGGAAGATGCCATGCAGCACTGACGGGAGGAGAGGCTCGATGATTTTCTCCAACCTTGAGAGATATGTATGGTTGGTATCCACGCCGACTGTGATGGAATCTCGACCGCCGACGAGGGGGTGACTCAGGACTTGCGCAAGCCTGCTAACCTGTTATGACCCTCCGAGCGTAATCACACATTGCACAGCTCGTCACCTTTCACCAGACATGGTTTCTTGTCAAGCACAGCTGCACGGTCGGCTATCTGATCGCCAAATGCCCACGCGGCGGGAAATTGCACTGGCGATCCGGCACGACAGCTGGATCCTCCCGTCGGTGTGGCAGCGCGGCTATCACCTTTCAAACCACCCCCAACGAGACATTAGTATATCAGGCTTGTCAGGGCACGCGATCATAGTCCGTAAGCCGGCCTGGCTGGTGATCAAATGTTGCGCAATCGACCATGCTGCTGTGGCACATGCTATGTAAGTACCTAGGTACGTAGCACCCCCCTGCCCCAGGGTGCAGGGTCTCATAGAGCACTATCGCCCCGAGACGACGTCTTTGAGCTTAGTACCTGGGTGCGGCATACTGTACGCCCAGCAATTATATGGCATGAACATACGAAAGAGCCTCTTTCGTATGTTTTATGCAATATCAATTGGAGTCGTTGCCGGCTACCGATCGAGACCGGGATGTTTGGATCTTGGATTAGATGCACAGTAGACACCTGGGCGCCCTGAAGTGGATGCGAAAGCCCGGTCCAACCCCCTTCGGATCCGAGCCACCTGGGCAGCGGCCGATACTCTCCATCGTGTTGACGTCTCCATCAAATTTGATCCCATCCTCCCCTTGTTGTTTTTGATCTCCCTACGCTCGCTGGGAATAGTAACCCCTACAACCATGGACCGGCTGTTGTGCTTGTTGCGGAAGACCAGGCGGGCTGCACTAGTATCCGGCCATAAGTGTTAGCAACACCAAAACTGCTCAACTTTCAGCATCAATTATACAACATCCACAAAGTGTGTGGTAAGATTTATCATCAACGTCCTACTAAGAATTAAATAAGGATTCCTTTGGTATTTTTTTTCTTGTCGAAAATCCCCTTTCTCGTTAACTTGTAGGCTGCGTAACTCGTTGGCGAAGAATCTCACCTTAGCTGTGGCCGGATACTTTTGCAGAGGGCCTGAAGACCAACAACCTCAGGCACCGTTAAAGTATCCATAGATTTCACTCTGATCCGCACAAGGTCACAATGTTGGGCTCGTTGTCACAATATTACACATAACTTCAAACCGGAAGCCAACTACTCCTCGACAGAGCCACAAAAGGCCAGCGAGCCAATCAAGGCCCGCCCAACCATCAATAATAGCGCAAAAGATTTGCGCCTTGCCGGGCACAAAACTTGATCGCCCGCCCACTGACGGCGCGGCTGCCCACGTTACCGGATCCCTCATCTCAGGGCAGCGTGGTTGACGCGCGTCTCTCCTCCCACAACCGTCCGAGTGTCCCCACCACGGGATAACTCAAAGTCCTGGGCCCACCAGGGCTGATCCTTGGCAGCTGCGCACCCGCGTGAGCCTCTAATTTCTCATGGACTTCCTGAGCAAAAGAATATCGCCGCATCTGTCGTAGACCAGGCCCTTCTTTCCCCCGTGCGTGCAGGCCGTAGGATCCACATCCTCAACGCTGTCGTGCCACACGGCCAGGCGAGGAAGGAGAAGGGAGACGATGAGGCGGGCCCCCCAATCGCCATGGGGACGGCGTATCTATGGGCCTCTGGCGTGGAGCCCTGTCAACTCCGCGGACCGTCGTGAGTGGGACGTCACCGCCGACGTCCTTGGCCTCGTAGCCCGCCCAAGAAGAGGATCAGCCCCGCGGGAATCGGCCTCAGCCGTCAATAGTCCGCGTGCATGTGGTGCCACATGTGCGTTCAGTGGGAAAGTGCTGCTGCTGCCGCCGCTGCCTTGCTGACGCTACCGTGCAGCCATGTGCTGCGGCGGGCATGTGGGCGTGCGTCGTGACTTTACCTGGTTTGTTTGCTGACCCGGGAGAAGTTGCCCTCGCTGGTGTGTTCGCTCGCCTCCTCATCATGTACGTACATACCCGTCTGTCCCGTCTGTCTGATGTCCAGCCGGGATGGGATGAAACGGGGCCTCTCTTGCCCCTCGGACGATGGCTGTCGGGTGGAAACGAGCCGGGGTAGATGTTTTTGGCCCCCAGCTTATTCTCGTGGGAAGAATACCGACATGTCACAACCATGCGCTATCAGAAGTTTGTAAGTCATGACAAGTGGTTGGTTGCTGCCCAGCATGATCCGCCGGCGCGTTGGCAGCTATGCGAGCCTTCAAATGTTGCTTGTCCTCCAAGTGGGCACGCGCAAATATGACTGAAACTAAAAAGTTAGTCTTAATTCGCTAAAAACCAAGTCAGCATGAGCCGCAAACAGAAGCCTGATAGTAATGCCCTTCCAGGGTCTGTTTTCTTAGGTTTACGGTAATGTCCGTGGCGGGCCAACGGATCATCACAATTATGCTTTGTTACTACCATATCTAAAACCTTTATACATCACGACGCGTAACGTCCAAGCAGGCATTTGATCGCCTTGACTCAGCGTCGCTGCCGTATTCACGTAGCAGTTTTGACATCCGTCATGGCACTTAGCACTGCGTCCCGTGCACTTGGTAGTTCTCATCGTCTGACATACCTATCGTGCATCGGTCCTGCAAGCGCAATTCAGCCCAGCCTCAGTCGTAATAAAGAAACTCCTTACATGTCCATGAGTAAGTGATAGGGAATTAAGAAAGTCCGGGACAAATGACTCAGACTGAGATTGTTTGGGCTTCTTCATTGTCTTCGTAGACAAGTACTTCGCATTCATAGCACTTCAATGTTGAAATATCGAAAACGCGGGTTAATTGACCTATACATATACATAGCCACAAATAGACGTCCACCCTAGGTGATTTATGTCACTGTCACGGCATAAATATGGACTACATGTTCATAGAAACTAGCGGTGTTGCGTTTTGATTCGAATACCTACTTAAGCAGTACAGTGGCATTGTTCGCAACACTTGTAATATTGCGGAAGCAAACAATACCACTTCGAAACGCTTGGGCAACCACAGGACAGCTGTAGGTAAGCATAACATGATTCCTCCGGGGCCACATGGGACGCAAAGGTACTAGTCTCACGACGGCGTCATGTCGGCCACGGGGCAATCATCCATGTTTTAGCTGACGACGATGCTTTGCCACCAACAACAACGGGACGCGCGTGCTGACCACCAAGACATTATGGGCCGTCTTGTTTTGGCACAAGACGTACGCAGCTGGGTTCTTGGCTGGGGGCTGGCCTCATCGTAGGGCAGGCAGGTCGGAAGGTTGATAGCCCGCTGCGCTGCGGGCGACTAGGACAACTGCATCAGGGCGGAAGGCGAAATGCCTCAATGTGTACGATGTGGGGATGGGGCGGCACAGACTTACACAACATGGTGAGCCAGACCTCCGCATGCGTCAACTGCGGATGAATATCGTGCCGAAGACGTCTACCGACATGGTACGTATGATGCTGGTTGGTCATGCTTGCGCCATGGGATGGTATGTCTGGGTACGCAGACATGTCTGTTGGCATAATTGTAGTGACTTACTGTGCTGGGCCAGTTTATAGGTCACTGGGATGATGGTCAAAGACTTCACTGAGCTGGTTCCCTATTGTCGTCCCATATAGGAGTGGGATCCGAGCTCAACGCCGTTGTTCCAATCCGCTGCTTTCGTCCGGTAAGATGGTTGCGCTACAATATGTAGAAGTCATTTTGAGCCATTACCCAGTACGAAATTAGAACAGCATCATGCTTCCCCAAATGAATATAGTAAAAAATATAGTTAGAAGATTCCACTGTTTCCACGTTTAAGCTATATGGCCAAGAATTAACAATTAAGAGTTCGATTCTAGACACATGTCTAAGCTACTGCATGGACTTAACTGAGCTTTCTTTGTGTTTATCAGTCTTTAAATATATATAGAATAGAAGTAAGACCACTTATTATTATCTATTAAACCTAATATTTCTAGTATATAGAGAGGCAATATCTAGAGCCTCTTTAAATAATATATATTTATAAACTATATTAAATTAATAGAATTTCTATTAAATAGTTAATATATATTTAAATGTATATTTTAAAAGTTTTTATAATATTATTATTTATTTTTAAAAATAATTAAATAAATTAATTTAAAAATAAAAATTAAATTTATTAATTATATAATTTTAATTATATTATTAATAATAAAATTTTTTTAAAAAAATATAAATTAAAATATTATTAAACTTATAATAATAAAGATAATAAAAAAGAAAGATATAACTAAATAGAAAAAGAATATAATATAGCTTTTTAAAGCTAGTTTAAACATTTTTCTGAAAAAAAAATCATGTCATGAAGGGGAATCGAACCCCTGCCCCAGGCATGGGAAGCCTGGATTCTACCACTAAACTATCATGACAATATTATGCCATTTATAATGACATATTATAGTTGTACTAACCCACCTATGATCAAGCCCACCTCTTAAAATCTACCTCATTCTAGTCACATATTACATTACGTTATTCATGAATCCATTTCGTACCTCATTGTATGATTCTTAGTTCTTGGTGACTTAAATTGCATAAAATCAGGTTATTTATTAGTGCTGTAGATGCCCTGAAGATAGTGATGCAGTGCTGCCATTTAGGGATCCCAGCATTGTTCCACCTCCTTCGAGACTTCTCCCTATTCACCACAGGCAATTCACTTTCGCAGGTCCTCAGACAACGGCGGGCATTCAGTCTAGTCTCCCCATCTTCATAGACTCACTTCTGGTAATATTTCAACTACTACTCTTCCCTCCACTGATCCCACCAGTTTTGTGCTCCTGGCTACGACATGCCCCATAGGAAGACGCAAAATTCTCTATTGAATGAAATTATATGTTTAATACATAGCCTTTATTCCCGTTCCTGAGAGAAACCCGCTCATTATTTCCTGGAGTTTTGTACTCGCCAGGAGCGGCATATCTATTCATAATCCCTTCAGTCCGGACTGTGTCAGTAATGGCAGATACCCTGTAATGTAAAACAGGGCCCACCAATTTGAAAATCGTCGACGGAATAGAGGAAATTGTAGGGCTCAGTCTCGATGAAGCTCTCCTGTCCATGTGCCGTCCGCACAATCATCCAGCCCTTGATGAGTGAGGTGACGAGAAACTTGGACGCCAACAATGTAGTAGAGGCTGATGGGATGTAAGGGCCCAATTGTTAATTCAACATTCTATGCCAATCTCAGTGTGTGATATTTCTCGCAAATCTTGATGACGGGCTCTTTGCAGGGGTGCCGAACGGTTGGGCGCAAGTCTCGGGTGCGGGCTTTGTGGCTTTGTTGCCCCGTTGGGACTTCACTTCGTATTGTTTTCCTAGTATTGTTCCATTAGTTCATTTCGCCATTTGAGTTCATAAAATGGATTTCACCGGAATTTCTCTTCTTCACTTTAAGCAAGTACCGTCTGCCACACGAAAGCAGTATTCACCATGCCCAACACGTCTGAAATCAACGAGTCAACCGACATAAGATCAACCCAGGGGTTTCATGTGTTAGTAGGATGGAAAATATACTTTTTTGCAGCGCTCCCGGTCATCATCTACCTACTTCACCTTCGAGCAACCAGGCTCCGGGTCATTCCAAAGGGTGTACCATGGGTGGGTGTACGCAATGAGTGGTTCTCAAAGACGAGAGCAAACGTTCGTGAGCTATTTGAATCCAAATCAAATATTGAAACAGGATACCAGAAGGTTTGATCTTTGTTTATTTCTGTGGCATGTTTCATGTCTCAAATACTGAACGATTCCACTCAGTATGGCAAGCATGGAAAACCGTACGTCACACCGAATCTGACGTTCAAAGCCGAGGTCGTGTTGCCACCCTCGTACATGACATGGCTACTTGCACAGCCAGATTCGGTCATGTCCATTCAAAAGGTACTTCTTGCCGACGTCGAGTTCGAATATACGTCCCCGCGGAGTTGGAAGTTTGTGCGACCATTCCACGTCGAGGCCTTGAACAAGATGAATTTGAATCTTATGACCGGTGATATGGTTGAAGAGATAGCAGAGTCTATCGACGAGTGGTTCGGCAATGTGCCTGGTGAATGGAAAACTGTGGGTGTCCAGGCGTCCATGTCGACCACTTTAACCCGTATTACGAATAGAGTCTTTGTGGGCAAGGAAGTCGCGCACAACCTTGACTACTTTTACTACTCGATTAACTTTGTCGGCAAAATAGGGCAATGTGCTGCCGCAATCTCCTACCTCATCCCGGCTATGCTCAAGCCCGTTCTCGGGCCCCTCGTCGCCCTGCCAGCCCGATATTACGACTACCGCTGCTCGCAGTACCTTGTGCCGCTAATACGGAAGCATTTGGACGATGCGTCGGCATCAAAGGACACACACCATGAGGAACGTAACCCGGATATGCTGCAGCTGATGGCGCGCTTCGCAGCCAAGAGCGAAGACTCGATAGACCACGATCCGCGCTCTTTATGCGCGCGCATCCTGGCGCTGAATTTTGTGGGAATTCACACGAGTACCGCGGCCGCCATAGGTGCTCTTGTCAACATCCTGTGCGCCGGGCCGGACGTATTCGAAGCCTTGCGCCGCGAGGCCGCCTCAGTCTTGCGCGGCGCGGGAGGAGTCTGGAACAAGGCGGCCGTTGGCAAGCTCGCGCTCATGGACAGTACGCTGCGCGAGTCGCTTCGATTCAGTGCCTTCAAAGCTCGCGGCATCGAGAGGCAGGTGGTAAAGGAGGGCGGTGTTGTTATGCCCGATGGCACACTTCTGCCCGAGGGCACGAAGGTCGGCATGCCTACAACTGAGATCCACATGGACCCGGACTTCTACAATGACCCTGCCGTCTTCCGTCACGACCGCTTTGTCGGCAAGGCTGAGCTCGGCATGGTGAACACCACGGACACTTTCCTGGCATTTGGCCACGGAAAACACGCGTGGTGAGTTGAAAGCGCCTATTTCAAACCATCTTTCTGGCCTCTAAATACATTCTTCTGTCATCCGGCCTATAAGAAGGACACTAGCTGACATTGTTTTCTCCACTTAGCCCTGGGCGCTTTTTCTCTACTCATGAGCTTAAACTTCTCTTCGCACACATCGGTAAGCATTCCTAGGTCAATGCCAGTCTTCAACTGTCACGTATCCCCGTCTTTCACGATTTGGAATATTCAGGAGCGCAACAATTTAGAATATCCAGCAGACTAACGTCACCATCAGTGCTCAATTATGACCTCAAGTTCATCGACACAAGGCCCAAGTCAATTTACCTGAGCGACTTCTGTTTCGTGCCAGAAGAGATCTTTTTTGAGACGCGTCGCAGAGAGAGGAGCGCCCATCTTGATTTGGAGGATTGAAGATATCCCTCAGCATAACCATTCTAGTGCTCCTAAACTATTCATACCTAGGTAGATTATTCAAATTACTCACTACACTTTAATATAAATTTACCCTTTAAATGTAAATTATAGTAGTTTTTCTCTTTTATATATATAAAACTTTAAATATAGTATATTTTTTATTTATAATTTATATAATACTTTTATATAATAGTAAATATTTAAAATTTAATATTTAAAAAAATATAGTACTAATAATAGTAGAAAGAGAATATAGTATATAAAGAAAGTATTATTAATAGAAGGTTAGAATGTTAGAATGTTAGAAGGTTTATAAGATAGCTTACCTACTAACTATTAGTGTAATAGACCGCTCGGCTTAAAGACTATAATAACTACTTTATCTAATTTAGTTACTCCAGCAGTCTATAAGCCCGTACCGTCACAGTCTAAAGGTTAGAAGGTTGGGAGGTTAGGAGGTTAGGAGGTTAGGAGGTTAGGAGGTTAGGAGGTTAGGGGGGTAGGGGGGTAGGAGAGTATCCTGTGGGAGGGTATCTTGTGGGAGGGTATTCTATGGGAGGGTATTCTATGGGAGGGTATCCTAGATGAAGGTAATTCTATGACATTATCTAAGATAAGGTTTTCCTAGAGGAGATAGGTATTGATGTTGTGACCGCGGAGTTGTTGATTAGTGCATTCAAGAGGTTGACTGATGCTCCAACAAGACGGCAGATGGCAAACTAGGCGCGGCGGATTATCCAGCAAGCTCAAGACTTGACTTGATGAGTAGAGAGCGAGGGGAAACGCAAGGGCTGACAGAAAGGTTCCTAATGAGCTCTTGAGCGCGGTCGAGGTGCGGTAAAGGATTTCTCTTATATGGTGACTAGGTCTTATTCTAGCGAGCCTTTCGATCGAATTAAGTTTCTGATATTACCAAGTCTCATGTTTATTCTCTATCTTGAAGTATGGGCCGTAACGCACATTTGTTTATTCAGTACTTTTCGTCCTTCTTCTCTTGTTCAGTGTTCAACGCACCCGCCGCAAGGGGCTCCTCAACCGATTGTCCGTCGTGAATGTACATTGTCATCACCTTGGGCCCCGGATAGTTCTTCCTTGCATGAATTACCCACCATGCCGCGGTGAGAACCACGACTCCTACTGTGATCACGCTGTTGTAGTTCATTGCTTCGGTAGTCGTGGGTAGGGCAAAGGCTGGTGAAGACAGATAAATCAGCATATCAGTCCTAAATCTTGACTCCTTCGCCTGATCGGAAGACGTGAAGAGAAGGAACGCTTAAAGTACTCACGAAAGCAGAAAAATATGTCAAAGAAGGTGATGAGGATGACAGCCGTCAGGTTGACAGGGATGCCCCAACGTCCCAGGTCGAATGGGCCCTTGGGGAAATGCTTCCGCCCGGTCAGGACATTTCCCATGAATGGTATCGCGTATGAGACCGTCGTCAGAATGATGAAGGAGCCTGTGAGGTCGAGGAAGGCCGTTGAGCTGCCGATGGGAATAGCACCGAGTGCGGTTGCCACTACCGCTACAAAGAGCGTTGCTGGCACGGGGCATGACAGCCGCTCTGAGACGCTGGAGAAGAAACCCGAGAAAGGAACCGCGTTATCGCGGGCGAGGGCCCAGTAGATGCGGGAGTTCTGAGCGCATTTTGTTAGCTAATCACGGATACAAGGAGCCAAGACCTGCGCAGATATATATCTATATATCTATAGCACTCACTGTGACCAAAGTCCCGATACAGCACATCATCGAAGAGCACCAGATGATGAACAGCAGCCCGAACTGTGCGCCAAGATTCTGAGTCCCATCTTTGTTCGCAGTAGCTTGGGCATAGATGCTTGCCAAAGGATAAGTGTTGATCCCGGTGGTGAGCACGCTCAGGTCTGTGATGGCGTATGAGATAGTGATGGCGAAGACGAACGCGTAGAGGAAGCCAAGCCCTATTTGGAGGCCGATAGCCTTGGGCAGGTCCTTCTTCGGGTGCGGAAGCTCCTCGGCCATGTGTGTAATTGCATCACTACGTATCATGTTAGTCTTTCCATGGGTTGTCGAGTAATAGGAATTGGGCAGCACCCACGGAGTACCAATGGTGAACGCCCCGTTGAGCACGCCGAGCAAGAAGGCGACGCCGTCCTGCCATCCCGTGATGTTGTTCTCTTTGAACGACCCCCAGACGAACTTATTACTCGCGTGCTGCTGTGGCATAGCCGCGACGACAATGATTGACACGATGCCGCCCACGATGACGAAAAACATACCCAGCGTTTGGGTATGAGGAATACTTCGGTTGACGAAGACCACGATCACTACGCATAGCCATGTTATGAGGAGGTAAGCAACGTAAACGTGCCATGCGGCATAGACGTAGGTCGGCTGGTTGTAGACGACGTAGAGGTTGACCGAGACGTTGGCAGTGATCTGGAGGAGAGCTGCGAGGTCGAACATCCACCCGTAAAAGTTGATCCACCCAGTGAAGAAACCTACCATGCGTCCCCATTTTGGCCCGCCTGCGATCGTTGCCCAGTGATACACGCCACCAGCGGTTGGCACACTGCTCGAGAACTACCGTGTATTGTTGTCAGTTCTCATATTCTGCCATGATCACTTCTGGCGTAGCCGCCGGCAGTTGTAAGTCGATATCAGGAAATGAATAGGGGTAGGCAAGAAAAAGCCAAGCCTCCACACACACCTCAGCAAGTCCAAGACCAATGAACGAATAATAGAAGACGGCCACGATAAGCCCAAAGATAAGACCGGTAGGACCTCCATTAGCTATATAAAACGACACATGAGATGTCAGTGTAAGTCAAAGATGTCATCGGAACAGGGGTCAAGTACCGATCGAGACAGATATTGACGAGCCCAGGGCAATCCAGGCGTTGTCGACGGTCAGGGCAATTCCCGCGAGCCCGAGGAGACCATACTGCCGCCTCAGCTGGTCTTTGTATCCAGAGGCGTTGATGACCGTCCCGTCCTGGACTGCAGCCACAGTCTCATCTCCAGAATGCTCACCAAGCTCGGGGCTCTGCTGTCCCTCGGGCTGGTGCTTGTCGCTCAAGCTCATGGTTGCAAGCGTCCTCAGACTTCGTGGCTTGGTTATGAGGTGGCCGACGCCGGTCGTTCTACCAAGTTCTCCGGGCAAGGAGATGTGGAACTGAGTACTGATGGGCTCAACTAGGCTCCAAGGACGAAATCAGAGAGAAGAAGAAAACCCATGGGAAACCCAGGAAGAGAAATAGATTTAATGAGACATCGGGTGAAACCAGATGGATATGGACCGCCAGCACCCAGCTCAAGCCTTAATAAATATCACCACAATGCTGGTCCCATTATCATGGTACACTTGACACCCGCTGCCCCGTGGGCGTTACACAAGATTCTCTTGGTAATTGCCGGGATCAATACCTGGGGAGTGCAGCTGGGCTTCACCATATCAGGACAGAATGCCAGGGGCTGATAAGCCCTAGGAACCGGTAGACTGACATTGCTTTTTGACAAAAGCCATCAGACAGTGCAGATGGAGGCCTGCAAAGATATGCAGCCAGTGGTGTTACAACAAGGCCAGGACCGGGGCTGCATCAACGGGCAGCGTCGACTGGATGGCAGGATGGCCAGGCCACACCCCGAAAGGCGCGCCATCGGCGACGATAGGATATACCCTGGGTCGCATGCTTATCTTTGAGTCCTGACGACTAAGGAAGATACGACCCCTGAGCAATGCAACTTGGGAGCCTAGGCAAGCTAGGGTGTGGGCCGTAGCACAATACCGGTACGGAGTACTGCAGGTGTGCTATACAGTACATACCACAAGTAGCCCGCGTGCCGTTGCAATGATCGCGCAGATACAGTCTTGGTGCTACTGGGCAGACGCTCCTAACACTGAATATGTCAACAATTTGTCAGCGGCGAGATTTTGTACCCGTCATGGGTTGGCCCACGGCGACAAGAAATCTCGCCCGACGAGATACTGCGTGAACGGAAGCCCACAGTAGATGGGCATACTGTTCAGCCGGCCTTGGCCAACAGCATTCTGTCCCTGCAAGAGTCCTCTGCTGAGTGTGAAGATGGGCTGGGCAAAGCCAGGCTCTGGTCAAGCAGTTCAGGGGCGCGAGGAGGAGGAGGAAAAGTGACGGATGGAGGTGGAGAACCAACACATGGCAAGCAACGCGGGATAGTGGAGGTTCCGAGATCCGCGAGGGTCTACAGGTGGGTAAGTGGATCGGCCCGGCTATTATACTGGGGCTTATCAGCCAGAGATGCACCCAGCTACCGTCAGGGTGGCATGATAGGCCTCGGACGCGAATGCCGCCTTGCAAGGGCAACCTGGGCAGTTTCGATAGCTCCGAAAAGAAAGCGAGCCGGCAAATCACCATGTCTTTGTTTACTAGACGTTCCTTGACAGTCGTCAAAGTCCATGTCAGCACAGCCCGCCATCTCGACAACTGTGTCACCTCGCCCCCGGTAGACACCGTCGGCCGTGATTGGGCAGCCCTATGAATTGGATTTTCCAAAACAGAGTTGCGGATACTACTTCGGGTCGTCATGCTACGTCGTGCAACTCCAGTGCGTTACCTCCAAAACTTGAAGTTTATCCCGCTACACTGGCATAATCGAAAGACAAGACAAAGCTATTGTGATCAAGCAGAACAGTTCATGTGGTCTTTTCACTCTGGTGCTACCTAGGTCCTGATAAGAATTCCGACTGATCCGAAAAAGACCAATCATCCACCAACCTCGAAAAATGGCGCGTAATAGCCTTGAAGAAAACGAAATGTATGCCGTGAAGTCTTGGGATTCATACCACCCTGCCTCTTATAGGACCTTCAATTAGTTTGTGTGTGGCTTTGTTGTCATTATATGACCAAACGTTATTGTAGTTAAAGTGGGTGTGGTATGCACACCATCATCAAGTATCTCACGTATTCTTTTGGTAGATATCAATACGTTGGCCCAAGTCCATTCTTTAACTTAACAACTAGGTCTCTACCTATACTCGTGCTTGTAATCTGTGATTCCATCCCCAAAATACGTGAATGACCTTGGCGGCTACAGACGGGACAGTGTCGACTTGGCAGACCGACAGGGAGCAATGATGTTGGTGCGATACATGATGGAAATGAGTTTACATGCCTTCGTATTAGAAGAGACATAGATCGATGATAGCACCATACATGCCGTGAGATGCGTGTGAATATCCCACCAGATCATGAGCACAATACTGAATTCTCCACGTGCTTGGGAGGACGATGGCTCCCTGGAGATTCCTGGCGGAATCTGCCGTCTAACTCGATTCTATCCCGTGGTATCCTTGGAAGTGACAAGCCCGCCCACTCGCTCCGAATCCGTGACAATGAAAGCAGTCCTCGCCGGCGATCCCCAAGATCTGTACTGGGATCCTTCTCCCAACTGAAATCCTAGCCTCTGCAGATGAATCTTCTACCTGGACTTTCCAGATAGTAACCTGAAAACAATCAGTGGGACAGCGCGGTGGTCTCCGCTTTGCCATCTCGCTTTCTAGGCCTTGGTGGCGCCGTCCACACCCCATCGTCGGCTCTCATCACCGTCCTCCCACTCCTTCTCTACGTAGCCCAACTCCTTCTTGACCTTGTCCACGAGTGCCTTGTCACCCATGTTCTTGCCCATGTTGTCACTATTGGGGGGTGGTTAGCACGAGACCGCATGGCATGGTGTGGACCGATGCGTCTTACCTGATCTTGATGGCAGCGTTGTTGTTCGCAGAGCTCAGCTTGATGACAATGTTCATTGGCGTGGACTTGGTGCCGTCAGTCGTCCGGACGAAATCGTTCGTCAGGAACGTTCCCACTCCGAAGGTCGGCTGGAACCCCGCCTCCTCTGCGACCTTCTTGTACTCCAGGCACCGCTCGATGTTCAGGGAGTCCGAGAAGACAATCACCTTCTTGTCCTTGATACCGACGCCGTCGTAGAACTTCCGCATGGTGCTGACAAACTCGACCGGGTCACCCGAGTCCTGCCTGACGCCGGTAAAGACGTCCGCATATGTCTTGGGCGTTGGAGCGCCGTCAGTGAGGCCCGTCTTCGCGATGACATCCTTGGCTGCTGAGATGAATTCGTCCGCGACGGAGGGCTTGTGCTCAGTCGAGGCGGGCGCGTCGGGGAGGCGCTCGATGCCCTTGTTGAAGGCCTTGAGGAACTCTGGGGTGCCGAACGTATCGGTCAGCGCGATGCCGAGGACGCCTTCGCCGAAGCAGGAAACCCAGTGGCGCAGCGCCTCCTCTGTCGCGCGGGGGTAGTCGTTCTTGATGGCGGCGATGCCCATGAACCACTCATGCGCAACGGTGCCGACGGGCGGGATCCCGAAACGCATGGCCAGGTGGACGTTGCTCGTTCCCGAGAGTTTGCCAGGGAGGCCGCGCTTCTCGGCATCCTTGCTGGCCTTGACGAGGCCCCTAAACACGAGCGCCTGGGTGTGATAGTCGCGGCGCCTACGGGTGCCGAACTCAGAGAAAACACATCCCGCCTCGAGGAGCTTTGTCCCTTTCTCATACGCCTTCTCTTCCTGACCATCATAATTCCAGTCCTTGTCCATGAACTTGAAGTAGGCCTCTGAGGTGAGAGCCAGGATGGGGATCTCGTAGAGGATGGTGTCGACCCATGAGCCCTTGATGTCCAGCTGGATGTCTCCGAGATCGGTGTCTGCTCCAGTGTCTTGCCCTGTTGGGGTGAAGCTGATCGTGACCTGCTCACGGGGGTGCAGGCGGAAGTTCTGGAGGAATTCAAGGTAGGCGGGCGTGAGGTACTTGCAGTGTTGCTGGAGGAAGTGCAGCTCGTCGGGGAGTAAGGAGATGTTCCCAAGCTCTGGACCATGGGGGTCTTGGTTAGCTATCCTGTAGCAGGAGGATTTGTGTGTTCTGGGTATATATAGGATGACAGACTCGTGATCTGGGCCTCTAGCCAGCGATATGCAGCTCGCGACAGCTTTTTCTCGGGGGTTCGATTGGTGAAGCCATAGGTCACAGGCACGTCCTTGAAGTACTTGAAGACGGCACATTGCATGGTCAGCTTATAGAGGTCTGTATCCAGAAAGGATATGACACCCTCCGGGTATGGGGATGAACTGTTGAAGTCCATGGCGCAATCAGGACTGGCGAAGACTGTGTGGTTTGCTTGCTTGGCTGCTAAGAGGTTGCAAATGCAGCTGGCTTGGGGTAAGCTTGGTGTTCACCCCTCGGGTTTGGCTGTTTGGCGGGGTGTTACCCAGGTGATATGGCCCGTCGCGCATCAGGGTGGGAGGTACCTAGGTAGGTCATAAATGCCCCTCCATCCTGACTGCCTGACAGTGGGCGTCTCTCCCACTTTGTTACGCCCATGCACCCACGCACCCACGCACTCAGCACGGTGATTGCCATGAATGAGACAAGACCGTGGGCTCTAGAGTGGGGCATTCAACCCCTGCAGATGCCGAAACAACTGTCTGAGCCCTCATTACCTCTATAATATGTTGCCCTACAAGAAAGAAGTGGTCTTGCTGGACAAATTGTTGTAGGAGGTCATCCTGCAGGAGGTTATTAATGTGAATAAGTATATCCCACAAGACAGTGTCACATTGGAGGCAGTTCTAAAATATACTATTCTATAAGATGCTGTCCTACTTGATCATGTCCCACATGAGGTTATCCTGTTTGTATCACAGTTTCCAGGTACCTGGCAGGGTACCCTGAAGACAGCCTGATCAACAGCCTGGGCACGGGCCATCTGCAACTTTCCTTTGCCTGCCGGCCCCCCCAGAAAAGTTATCGATAGCGTCCAGGGTCTGGTAGAGCAGAGAAAAAAAGTTTGGATTTTCGACAGGCTGAGCGAGACATTGCAACACACTCTCACTTGTGTCGCTCGCCCCAGAGCAAGGCAACATGGACGTCCACCGCTGCCGATTCGTTCCTTTCCCAGCCTCCCCTATCAATGCGGTCGCCTTCTCACACCCGTTGCTGTCTGCGAAAAGGCAGGAGGCTCGACTAGCCATCGGTCGCGCAAATGGCGACATAGAGATCTGGAACCCTTTGAAGGGGAGCTGGTTTCACGAGACCACAATACATGGTGGAAGCAACAGGAGTGTTGATGCTCTGGTCTGGGTTACGGGCGAAGACGAGACGTTACCGGATGGCAACGTCATCCTGGGCAAGTCGAGACTGTTCAGCATAGGCTACACGTCCACCATCACCGAATGGGATCTGGAGAAAGGAAAGGCGAAGAAACATGCCAGCGACGGACAGCACGGTGACATATGGTGTTTCGCCGCCCAACCTGCACCGACCAAGGAGTCTCACAATGGCATCACCTCCGTCAGCCAGCCCCAGAGGCTAGTCGCTGGTACCGTGGACGGCAGCATTGCGCTGTACTCGATTGACGATGACGACCTTCATTTCCAACGCCTATTAGTCAAGACTGCCAAGAAGAACATCAAGATGGTCAGCATTGCGTTCCAGTCGCGACAAGTCGCAGTGGTCGGCTGCTCAGACAGCTCCATCCGTGTATACGATCTGAGGAGGGGAGAACTCCTGCGCAAGATGACACTGGGCAAGGATCTCACTGGCGGTTCTAAGGAGATCATTGTCTGGTCCGTCAAGTGCCTCAAGAACGGTGACATTGTCTCCGGAGACTCAACTGGCCAGATCTGCATCTGGGACGGCAAGACCTATACTCAAGCGCAGAGGATCCAGGGCCACAAGTCCGATGTTCTCAGCCTCGCCACTGGTGCAGATGGGCAGACTATCGTCAGCGGCGGGATGGACCGGCGAACTGCCATGTACCGCCCCATAAAGAGCGATCCTTCTCGCTGGCAAAAGGTTTTCCACAAGAAATACCACAAGCACGATGTCAAGACCATGGCTTCATTCGAGGGTCTTGGTATGAGTGTCGTCGTGACTGCAGGTGAGACCAGTCCCTACAAGTAATGGCATAACTGCGCGTCTTGCTGACACTCCTCGCCAGGTCCTGATGCCACCCCCATCGTCACTCCTCTGCGCCAGGCGGGCGTAGAGAACCATCGAGCACTTCCACACCTACCACAGTCTGTACCTCTACAAACAGCATCATCAACCCGCTTGCTAGTCAGTTGGTGGGACCGCGAGATTCATTTCTGGAAAGTGCTGCGGTCGCACACGGGGCCGGCCGACAGCCTAAAACAAAAGAAAGACTTCCCGCAAATTGGCAGAATCCTCATCCAGGGAGAGGCGAACATTACTTCATGTTCCATCAGCAGAGACGGCTCAATTCTTGTTGTGTCCACAGCCACAGCCATCAAAGCTTTTCACCTCACAATCCCCAATCTTGACCTGGGTGAACAACTGAAGATTCGCAAGATGAGCATCCCATCCATCATTGAGAACGCAGGGGCCGCACAAGTTCAAATCTCCCCGGAAGGTCAATGGCTGGCCTGGACTGAGGAAGGCAGTCAGGTTCGCATTGCGAAAATAACACTGGAAGACTCGGGATTCTCAATACAGCAACATCCCGCTAAGCTGACTCGATTGCGAAGAGATATTCCTAAGCACGTACGATTGGGCGGTCTGGGCAATTACGAAAGACACATCACCCACATCACGTTTTCGCCAGACAGCAAGATTCTTGCGACCGCCGACTTGGCGGGCTATGTCGACACGTGGACACTGCGGGAAGACGGCGTGCAGAACGGCGCAGCATCAGCAGAAGACGATAGCGCATCCTCTTCAGACGAGGAGGATGCATCACAAAGCGGGCCCTCATGGGTTCGTAACCCCAAAGCCTCGCTTATACCCAAACTGGCACATGCGCCAGTAGCACTCTCTTTCTCTGACGATATCCTCGCGCCGATACTCCGGGATGAAGGCGAGGAAGGACCAGACGACTACATACTCTTGGCTGTCACTGCAACATCGCGCATTTACACATTCAATCCTTTGGAGGGGTCTCTGACCAAGTGGTCACGAAGGAATGCCGTGTGGAAGCTGCCCGAGGAGATTCGTGCCACCCGAGACCTGATCAAGGGTGTTGTGTGGGCAGGCTCCAGAATCTGGATGTACGGTGTCTCATTCGTGTTCATGATCGACCTCTCGTCAGACTTCGCAGAGCAGGAGCCAGGGGCCTCGAAAAAGAATCGGAAGCGCAAGCGAGGAGCAGACAGTGGTGCCGGGAGCAAGACGGAGACCGGAACACTTGCGCCACAACCTGTTCGCACGTTGGTGGCAGGAGACAACAAGGAAAGCCAGTGGGTGGATGTGGAGATGGCGGACGCCGAGCCACAGGCAGATGGAACTGGGGACGAGGATGAAAATGACGATGCGGAAGAGGAAGCAGCCGGCGGGGAACTAGAGAAGTTGCGCAAGCAAGAGCAGGCTGGTCGGTCAGAAGGAGAGGAAGTTTCACCGCCCGGTGCGGAGGAACAGCGCAAAAGCTGGTGGCACACCTACAAGTACCGGCCGATACTTGGTATTGCTCCACTGCAGAACGTGGGTGGAAGAGACAGGGCGAATGGTGTCAACGGTAGCAGCAAGAAGGTGGGGATACAGAAGGTCGAAGTCGTCCTCATTGAGCGGCCAAAGGAGGACATTGCTATGCCAGAACGCTATGTGGAGGACTAGTCGCGTACACAGTAATGATACACCAAGTCCAGACTGCCTCTTGTCAGGCAGAAATTTGACAAACTAGAGGTCATGCCGCGGGAGACTATTTACGGGCATTGTGTTAGACCGTAGAGGGAAATGGATATGTCTGCACTTCCACTGTAGTTTCTTTTCTAACCCATATATGTATATTATTCTGGATTGCAAAGCAATACTAGTAGTACAATATACTCAGTCATTAGATGCTATCATAGTTCCCCTCAACACGAGTCCGGCGTTTACGGCCTTTAACGGAACTCTCACCATTTCAGGGGGCGATACGGCTTACATCCGAATTGACCCAAGACATGGAAATGCGACTAACAAGCAGCATATACTCTCTTACAGTAGGTGAGAGGGGTAGAAATAAATTGTGCTTGAGATGGACGGGACACAACATTTGAAAGGGAAATGAGACTTCGCTCAAAGCATGTGCGCAATATTTAGTGGCACTTCAAATATTGCCAACCTCGCCGCCCACGGATTCGTCCTGCAAACGTGACAAGATGTCGTCAAACTATACCACAACAGACTATCTCCTCGACCGGGCCAACATTCACGACACTGTAACAAAGCTGGTATGCATAGCCTTGAACTGGGTGGGCTCAGTAGGCAGCGGACTGACAGTTCGACCCTCATACTATCAGGCATGGTACTACGACACACGCTCGGAAGCCGGTCTACGCGATGAGGTCTTCGCGCCGGAGCTCCGAGTCGACTACTCCAAGATCCTGGGTGGTGAGCCCTTCACCATAGCCGGCCCTGCGTGGGCGGCCAAGGCGAGGGAGCTCGTCGGGCGGTTCGACTCGTCGCAGCATCTCTACGGGTGCGCATCCCAAGCTGAGTCTAAAGGCCATCGATGGCGACTTTACGGGTTCCATGCGAGCTAATATGACATGACGCAGACATTTGATTATCGAGCTGCCGCAGCCAGGCTCATCGTCATCATCATCACCGCCTCCGGTGAAATGTACTGTCCTCGGGCAGTGTGGTGCGTCGATGATTCGCGAGGGTGCCAGTGGGGAGGGCAGTCTCCTGCAGAATGGGGTGAGTTCTTATGCGGAATACAACTCTTCTCGTCTCCACAATCCTCGGGTTTCCATGCTGATGCCCGGTTGTCCAGGGCCAAGCGACTATAGAGGTCATCCGCCTGCCAGAGCTTGAGGCTAAAGGTGTCAACCCATGGAGGATCAGCAGCCAGTCTGTCACGCCGGCTTGGGTTCTGGGAAATCAGGGGGTTCTCGAGGGACTGCATGCCCAGAGCTCGTAAGTGGCTACTATCGGAATGCGGAATATGAGCTGTATTCTTGTGTCAGGAAAAAACCACCGCGCTATGACCGAATTCTGCTGCGCCATGGGATATCTCGGTGTATGAAATCCAAACCACAGGACCAAGTAAAATAGATCCAAATCGTGTATCAGTGTACCCGTCTTCATGTGGATGGTCCGCCCTCCTTGCAACTAATGTTCAGGCTTTCCTCGATAGCCTTCTTCAGGTCCTCATCCTCCTCGTCTCCTCCCCGGCTGGTCGCGGGTTGTTTGCCCTGGGCCTTCAGGCGCCGGAACTCCTCCTCAGCCAGGCTCTGCTTCTTGACATATTCCATAATCACCTCCTCCTCGGACCTCTCGGTCGTCCTACGCGCGACGTCCTCCTTGTGCGCCCGCTCCGACTCCTCCATCGCCCTGCGCAGCTCCTCGTCCGCACCGCTCTCCGCCATCGCGGCCCCCTGCGACTCTTGGAGGGCCCGCTCGAGGTCCTCGTCCTCGCTGCCGTACTGGCCCTGTGCCATGACGCTCCGCCTCGCCGCCTCCGCAATCAGGGCCTCGAACTCCTCGTCAGTGATGTCCTCCGCTCCTGCGCCGCCCTTCTTCTCGTCCAACCACGCTGGCGGGGCGGACGGCTCAGATGGTCTCTGCTTCCAGTCACCCAGCTGCCTCTGCTGCTCCTGCCGCCTCTGCTCGTCCGCGATCCGCCGCATCTCCTTGACGCTTGAGCGGATCTGCGCTTCGATCCTGGCGTCCTCGTTGGGGTCGCCGCGGGACGTCTGGTTGACAGAATCGCGAATCGCTTGCTCCATGCCGGGGTCCTCCGGGGGCTCCGGGCTGAGGCTCACACCCGCCGCTTGCTCTCGCTTCCTCCTCTTCCACTCCTCTTTCTGTTCGTGCAGCTTCCGTCTCTCCTCCAGGGACAGGTGCCTGGTGTTCCAGAAGCCCGTCTTGGGTGGTGAGTCCGGGAGCCTGTTGACATCATCCTGGGATGCGGTCGTTGGCAGGCTGGAAGGCGTTTCGCTGGTAGTCTTTTCCTTGTGTTTGAGTACATAAAGGCCCTTCAGTTCAGAGTTCATGGAGTTGAAACGCATGACGATGTCTTGATTCTCTTGGACAGTTGCAGAGCGGAGGTCATCTTGCCCCTGTATTATCCGCGACGTGACGACATACTTGTCCACGCTGCGGTGGAATTTGGATCTGATTTCAGCGTGCACGCCCTTCATCATATAGGCGGGTATTGACCAGATTCCTTCAATATGCAATCAGTGTTCAGTCTTGTGGGCTGGTTAGGTTGGAGTCACTCACCGGCAGCAGGCTTGAGGAGGAATCCACCTATCCCCTTGCCGACGCCCTTGATAAATCCCTGCCCGCCCTCTTTCTGCGCACCCTTGTACGGCTGCGTTACCAGCCCAGAAACACCATCATATACACCAAGGCCAAGCTCCTTCCATGCAACCATCACTCCGCTACCGAGACCTGTGACCTTCTCCTGTTTGCGGATGGTGTCATCGTTGTACAAGCGAGGCGCATTGCGGAACCCCTTGGCCAAGCCCATGCAAAAATTCATTGGAGACTTCATCCCGGTCTCCACGATACGTGAGACGTTCTTGCCAGTGTCGAGGCCCATCCCAAGTGCGGTCTCGACGTCGAGGTTCTTCATCGCCTTGCCTCCCTGGGAGTTGCTTGGACGATGAGATGAGGGAGTAGGTGAGCTGGAGCCTTGAAGCGTGGAACCTCCAAGAATCGATTGGTCTTTGGAGCTGGATGCGTCTGAATGCGCCGGTTGTGATGGAGGACTCAATAGCGCGGACGGCTGGGCGGACCAGGTGCTTGCCGAGTCGGAAGGGAGTGTGAGTTGAGATGACGACGCCGCGTCATTCGATGTCGCCGAGCTATCTTCTTTCTTCGGGGTGCCTGAACCACTCTTGACAGTCTTGTACCAGTCTCTTGGTATGTCGCCAATGGCCATTGCGATGCTGCCCATATCCCCGACAAGGGCTGCTGTCACGGCAGAGACAGGGTCCCATGGCTGCTCTTCTGTATCGTGCTCATGAGGTCGGTACCTGTAGACCTGTGAGTGATCTTGAAGGAATTAGTAAGGATAAAGTTACCTACAGCTTCAGATCTGCGTAACGCAGAAGTCCCTCCTTTACAAGCACGGCCGCCGCCAGGGCACTCAGTCGAACCTTTGTTCGTCTGATACGCCAGACAGCTGTGCGACTAGGAGCAATAGAGCATCGTAAAATGTCGTAGTTAAGTTGGTCGTGGAAACTCTTTGCTCCCTCATCTGTGCCCTTCTCCTGCCTGATCCTCTCACCAAGTTCCTTGGCCCTTGCTTGGGTCTCAGGTTTTAGAGCCGACGTTATGGCATCGGCAAGCTTCTCGGCTGTCAACTGCTTGTAGGGGATTGGGGCGGGGCCGGCGCCGGCCTTTGCGATCATGGCGCCCCAGAATGGTTGGTCACCAAAGAACGGAACCACAACGGTCGGGGTACCGGTCTTGATCCCGGCGGCAGAAGTTCCGGCACCGCCGTGGTGGACCACACACGATACCTTCTTGAAAAGCCAGTCATGTGGACAGTTGCCCAGCATGAAGACCCCTTCAGGGATACCGACAGAGTCGGCCCCAATGCCGCCCCAGCCTTTGGAGACGAGGGCTCGCACCCCTGCCTGGGTAACGGCGTCGAAGATCATTCTCGTGAGCTTGTTAGGGTCATCGACAACGATGGAACCGAAACCGATGTACACGGGGGGTGGTCCGCTCTCGAGGAAGGCAGCTAATTCGGGCTCGGGTGTATAGGAAGTGGCGAGGTCAAGGAAGTAGAAGCCCGGAATTGATATCTCGCGGCCCCAGTCGTTGGGTTTCGGGATGAGAGCCGGTGACCAACAGTACGTCGTCGGGATTCGCAGCCGTGACAGTAAGCCCGGGGCCCAGATTAGAGAGAGTGGCTCGAGGTCCAACACTTTTGTTCGGAAGCGATTAATGACATCCCCCAGGCCCTGCCATGTCATCATCTCCACCAGGGCGTAGGAGACGAAGTTTGTCATGACATCGTCGGTATCGGTGCTTTGGATGTTTGCCAGCGGGTGTGGGAACGCTCGCGTGGGCGACCAGGGCATTGTGAACATCATGTGCAGCGGTATGCCCATCTTCTCGGCGATGTGAATGTGGCCAAAACTCGGCGGATTTGCAATAATGGCATCAGCCACGAAGGGTTTGTCGGCGGGGTTCCCAGGCAGGCTGTATTCCTCTCCTTGGGGCTCATTAGGCAGGTCCGTCTCGACAGGCGGGCCCAGTCCATCACCGGCCTCGATACAGGACCGCCAGCACCCAAGGACAATCTGTTCGATACCCTTGCGCCGTTTTGTGATCTCGCCGCTCTTGAGAGCGTCGATGCCGGGCATGAGGCCGGGGTTCTTCACCATAAAGGCCATGAGCTCGGCCGGGTCCCCCCCGATGCAGAAGAACTCGAGGCCGTTCTCCTCGACAAACTTTTGGAAGGTGGCGTGAGTCGCAATCCGGACCCTGTGTCCGTAGGTGTCTTTCAGCACCTTGCCTAGGGCAACAAATGGCTGGACATCACCACGTGAGCCGACAATCTGTATGACCAGATTCAGCTTAGGAGGGGGTGTTTGACCAGGCAGACCACCTAGACTGGGAGGTATGTATGCTGGTGGCAGAGGCCCTGAGGGAGTCTTCTGAGGGGTTGGTTGACCCTTGAAAGCTGGGGCCAGAAGCTGGGACAGCCTCCGGTTGGTCTGGCTGATGTTGATATTGACACGGCCATCATCTGAGCGAGGGGGTTAGCAGAGTGCTCTGTGGTCTTCGAGGAAGCCATGTGCAATGCTGCAGCTCACCTGTGACAGCAGCACCGGCGTTGAACCCGTCCTGCGACAGATTCAACTGGTCGTGGACCTCGCCATATGCCGGCGGCGCCTCATCACTGGCGCCCAGGTCCAAGGGGCTGCTTGCATTGTCTTGGGAGTAGTTGAAGCCATCCGAGACGCCAGCTGCCTGCCGCAATGTGGACTGCCGGGAGATGTTCCCGGGGTTGTGCTTCTCGACCATGGTGCTCGTGCTCGTGCTCGTGCTCGTACCTCTCTGCCTGTGCCCGAGTTCCAGCTTAGAGCGCAAAGGTCTAGAAAGAAAGAACAAGCACCGAGTCAGCGCGGGACAGGAGTAGGTGAAGACCTGCCAAGACCCTCGTGCTAAGAACCCTGGTATTTTCGGATCAACTTGGAAATCAGTCCATAAGGAAAGCGCTGCCAGCAAGAAGACAAGAGCTGTTCGTCATGCGTGGCCAGGTGTGGTTCAGCCAGGCACGTCACCGGCCGTGGGTGACTGCTATGGAGGGGTAGTTGGTTGGCCTACAGAGCTTGGCCAGGCGCCGGTAATTGTGGCTGTTAGTGGAAACCTTGGAAAGCTTGGTAGTGAGGTAGATCCAGGCTGCTTGGGAGGGACAGGAAGGCCAGGGTGTTTATCCCACTGCTTCAAGTCGTGCGTGTCCAACCAGGCCTGGTGGAATGCCTCGTGCAGGTGGAACATGGAACGGTCTAGTTCAGCTGCGTCTTGGCCCCGTCTTCCCATCTCTTCAGTTCGACGTCCAACGGCCGGGTCCCTATTCCCAAAGCCAGCGCCAGGGGCGTGACGACGTCTGGTGTGGCGCTGCATCGCTCTATCAGGCCAAGGCCCCAGCATGCTGGCCAATTATCCGGCTCCGTATACGAACGTATTTGCGCAATATACGCTCCCAGGTCTCCGGGCTCCTCTGGCTGGCTGATCATGCTTTGACTGCACGAAAATCAATCCTCGCTGCTCTAATCATACTCGGGAACAGACGGGCGGGCTTATCTTGTAGCCCCGTACGCATCTGCGATGATCACTATGTGCTACATCTTGGGTGACCACATGTAAGCCGAACCCGTCGGACCGCACCGTGCTACGGCCAAGGATGAGGCTGCTGGTTGCAACGCTCCGGCGGCCCTTTGAACATTCAAATTCTACATCCGCCGGGTCAGCCATGATGTATCAACGATGCCCACGCCCGTATCATATTGGGGCATTTCTCTTTCGACTGCATTTGGAAATCACAGAGATGAGGGCATTGAATATATTTGTGGAAATAGACAACAGCACCGAGACTCGCAGAGGTTCGCGCATCACAGCTCGCGAAGGCTCCTTTCTTCTACTCCACGAGCCACATGTCACCATTGCAGGTCCGTCGATGCTTTCAATGTTGCGATGTGGTTCGGTATCATTCCCAAGTGCTGTTCCAATTCAACACATCCCTTCTGACGCCTACTAAAATAAATATCTCGTGCTAGGGAGGGTGTTCGGCCGCATTATTGCTGCAGAATAAAGTGGCGTGTTTCCCTCATATCTAGCGATGTTGCCTGATCGAGGCCGATTTCGTCCAGCTAGCGATGATGCTTCATATATCCTCGTCTCATGCAATTGTTGTAGAGGACCGCCTGTCCATTGCCCACGAATGTCCCATTGCCGACCGTTTAGCTCGAGAATTTTCGCGTGATCTTTGCGATAACTATGAGGGGGTTAGAAATGAAGCAGCGTGTTTCAATTGCTTGTGGACAACTTACTGTGAAGAGCAACGACAGAGAAGATGAAGACCAGAGACAATACCAGCACGACCACAGGGTCAACCTTGAGACCGGGAGACTCATCGGTGTAAAGCCCTGTAATCACGAGACGAGTTAACAAGGGGTTCTTCATATATAAGCAAAATTCCCATGTTGACAGCGCTGTTTCAATGGCCCAACAAGCGTCTCAGCCAGTCTTCGGGTGGGATCCAGCTCGACTGCATCCTGCCACTTGATCTTGGTGCGATAGACAGAGACGCATGACGAGGCTACCCATCATGATCTTGGGAAGAGGACGCGTGTGGATCGTTGAACAAGGGCGGCTTCATCAACAGAAAACGAGCCTAGTGGTGGTATGGACCACACGAGGGAGGAGAAGGGTGTTCCGTACTCAGCATCGTCGAGCTGCTGCCACCGGCCCCAGCCGAGCGTGTGCTGTTGGGCCTGGCATTGGCGATCTTCTCCTTCTGGTCGGCGGCGGCGCGCCTGCGGATGACGGCGCGGGCTCCGCCCGGTGGAGGAGGAGAGTCAGGGCGGGCAGTGGACTGGCCGGAGGCGGGTGGGGAGTTCACCGGGGACGCGGGGCGAGGAGAAGACTGTAAAGGTCAAGAATCGGTGGTCAGCTATATGATGTCCGCTTCGGGGCTCCCAGAGTACGACGGGGAATGGTGCTGGGAGGGCAGCGAGCCGTTGGTGATTGGATGCGCTCACGCATCCGCTCTGCTTCAATGGGCTGCTGCGTAGGCTGGGGAGGACATACCATTTTGACAGAGGACGATTAAACGTGTACAGAACGGGATATTTCAGAAGAATTGAGAAGAGTAAAGTCAAGCGTCTGGGCTGGTGGTGAGCTTGGAAGGAGTGTGAGGAAGCGTTGACAACTGGCTTGCTGTCGGTTGATGGATGGAGTGTCGCGTGGATGGAGCTCTCGACTCAATGGCTGCAGGGTGCTGTCCCCCCAGAAATTCATTCAAACAGGTGTCTTCAATTGCGAGACCGCAGGGCCCGCTAACCCAGATCTGCCCATCCCGCCGGTACGTACCTGGGGGCCCAGCAGGAACAGCGGCCGGCACCTGCCCATCGCGAAGCGGCAGCGAGCAGGCAGGTCGGAACTTCGGCTGCAATTCATCCGATCCAAGGCTCTAAAGTCTGGGACGACCCCTGCTCAAGCCCAGAGAGAAAGAACCCTGGGAAAACGGAGGACCCATATTCGGATGGATCTCTCGTCTGACTTCACATGGGGATCTGCAAGTGATCGAGTTCTAGATCAATTCTAGCGACCGTTTCCCTCGGCTGCTCCTGGGCAGCGCCGAACAAAGGCCTATGGATCTTCATCAGCTTCATTGCTCTGAAGCTTTTATATTGTAGAGTTGACCTAGCTTGCCTAGCTAGTCGCGTCTACTTGCAGCTTTGTCTGGGGTTGATGTGTAGGATGCTTGCTTGCCCACTCCACACAACGGCCAGCAACTCCGAGGGGAGATGTCAAGCTTCGGATCGTCACTCGTACTCCTTCCCGACCTGGCCACTCACGTCAAAGCTAGCTCTCATCTCATCCATCGGGTCATGCTGCGGCGGATTTGGCAACCACTTGCGAAGCTGCCTTCTTATTGTTGCCATCTGCTCAATATTGCTTCGTTGTTCGCAAGTTCTGCTCGGGTGTCTGCTGTGTGACTAGGATATCTATGTGTATTTTCCAACTTCCTATCAGACAGCTCCAGCCGGAAAACCCCCTGTAGAACAAGCTCCCAAGCTACAACCTCCTCTGGCACAACCTCCCCTGGACGAACTCCCATGAGGTCAACTCCTAATTTTATAGAGGGTAATGTCTGAGGGAAGAAAAGGTCTATAGAATAGATGAATAGAGGTGGACAAGGTGTAGTGGTTCGTTTGTGTAATAGTATGTGACTTCTTGACGGTGTGGCAGTGTTACGGTAATATTGAATGTGAGAGGCTCGAAGTCATACATACATACAACCCATCGAGCAAAAGTACGACAAAAGCAAGGTTCACAGCACTATGAGATTCCCCGTCTGTCTGCTTGCGGACACCTGTGTCTTCTCTTGTATAATGTAAAGTAAGCAAACAGCGTGATGCTTGGGGAATGGTGAATAGACAAATGAAATAAAAAGGTGAGTTTTCCTGCTGTCGGAAAAAACATGTGGGTAATAGAAGCCTCAGAAAATGCCAAATGCCTGCCAGCCTGGTTCCTTTACACGCAAGTCATTAGGTCCCTTGCTCCCCTTCTTGGCGCCGTGGCAAAGGTAATAGTAAAGGTCGGTATCCTTCCTTCCTCTCTCTCTCTCTCTCTCCTCTCTCTCTTTAGCCCCTCTTCACTTCCCTCCTGAAGCTTGGGGATCTCCCCATCGAACAGAAACTGCTCGCCTTTGATTTTGGTATTGGGTCAACCACCGCCTACCACCGCCTCCTCACTGGCCCTGCTCCGAGCATCATCCCCACCAAGGGCGTGCGTGGGAAGTGTGGTTCACCTGGACTTGTTGTCCTGACCCGGGCCCTTGATCTCTTCCCCAAATTCTTGCTCCAGGCTGGCAGGACATCGCTGCGAGAGCCTTACTATTTATATGCATTAAACAGTAGAGGTCTATACCAGTCGCGACTGGCGATGCACTTCCCAACGCCTCCGCTATGAGCAAACTCGAAAACACTGACGCAACATGATGCGTTGTCCCCTGCGTGACGACGATGTACCTCGTTTGAAGTTGGGGCATCGGATTGTCGCAGGTGGCAGGCGCAGGTGTGGTTGGAAAATAGAAGGACATAGAAAACTATCAACTCTCTCAAAGAGTCACGTCGAGGACGAGGCTGACGTCTTGCACGTTCGAGCCGGCCAGGTCTTCAAGGACGGGTATCAAGTCTAGGAGCTCGTTATCGTGCGCATCTGAAAACCAGCTGCTTATGGGGACGGCATGTTGTGGGTGGAATATGTAGGATGTCGGGGAGTTGTCGATGATGATGGTGTCTTTAAGGTCTCGGCCAATCTTGGCGAGGTCCTTGACGTAGTTGCCGCCGTGGTTGTGGCAGCTCTCCCGGAATAATCTGTGGTGGACGACACCGTGGATGTCCAGCTGATCCAGCAGAGGGTCGCCGTACTGTGTGTCCTATTAGCGGGGCTCACGAGGCAGACGGTGGGGAGGATGATAGGACATACCTTGGACACCGACGCTGTGAACACGACAACCTCATACAGTTCGCCCACTCTTTTCATAAATTGGTCTACGCCTGGCCGCTTGATCACGTAGACATTGTGATAATTACCCTCGATTTCTACGGGAATCGTGAAGTCGGCTTGGTGGAGGATCTACCACCTGTCAGCGCTTGGGTCAAGCCACAGATCCAGAGCAGGAACTTACCTTGAAAGAGCTGTGGACCAAGGTCTCATCCAGATCGAGGACCAGACACTTCCTGCCCTTGAAGTGTGGTTGTATTGGTGGCAGCAGGGCGTCTGGGGCAGGTTGCTCTGTCGCAACAACCAAGCCGCTCTCAGTCTGCGCGGTGGGTGCATCTGGCACGGGAGCAGGTGGAGGCGGCAAGTCTTCGGTGTCAACAGGCTGCGGTGGTTCAGGCGCCTGAAGCGCGGCAGCATCCACCATCTCAGTATCACCGTCCCCGTCCTTGGGAGCAGGGGCTTCCGAAGCTGAGCCCCCAGCCTCGGGCTCTTGTGCCCGAGGTGGGTCGACCGTCACCGTCGGCGCTGTGCCTATTAGTGTCGATTGCTTCGATTCCTCTGCGAGAGTCGACTGGTCCTGGGTGGTGGTCCCGGATACTCTCTGCGCCCTGGAGGGCTCAGAAGGGGGATTTTGCGTTTGCGCCACGTCCTTTTCCTGCGCTTGGGACTTGCTGGCGGCGGTATGCTCCGAAGGCGTCTGCGCCCTCCGACTGGCTGTTGTTGGCCGCGGGGGCAGCTTCTCGACCTTGTGAGTCGGGGCATCTCCAGGCTCGTTGTCCAGCGGATGAGCATCGTCGGGGACTCCGCAGCAAAACAAGGACAGCAGGCCGCCCTTCTTTTTCCGCTGGACTGGCGCGTTGGAGGAGTTTTGGACCGAGTTGCCAGGGTTTGCCGACTGACTAGCATCGACGGCCGATCGGTTGCTGGACACACTCCCATTCCTGTGGCGACCCATAATGCTTGCCTTTGACTCTTTCGAGCGCCCACCGATGCTATCTCTGGATTCGCTCGCGGTCGCTCCGCTCAGCCCCGTTGAAGTAGGTGAGGATTGGCGTTTCTTGGACGATGATCTTGAGGGAACCTTCAACAGGCGACCCTTTTTCGAGGATGACCCGTCCCCTGTAGATGCGGTTTCTTTTTCTCTTGAGCTGTCGTGGACGTCTTGGGGTTTTTCGATTAGGTCTCGGGACATTTCGCCGTTTGAGGTCGATGATGGGATGGATCTACGCTGGCAGCTGGGGTCAAGCCTGCGACGACATTGGTCAGCATTGGGGAAACAGCACGTGTGTTCGACAGCCGGACCGGAACTGGAGCGCGCGAGACGGTTGGCGAGGTCACGCCCAAGTGGCGACATGCCCGCTGATGTTGTCTTTGCGAAAGCCAAGGCCATGGCCCAGAGCTAACTTGGGGTTGGTGCCAGACAGCGCAATGCGTTGATTCCCGCCCGGGGGGAGATGAGCTGGTGACAGAGCGAGTGCCCGTGGCCGGGGATCTGGGAGGCAGAAAAGCGTGTAGGAGATGCTCACGAACCTCTGTAGTCGCAGTCAACTCGGGGCTCCCAACCGCGTTCAAGGTCCCAAAGCTGTCGTTGAGGGCGGTGGCTTGGGGCTTGGGGCTTGGGGGTTGGGGGGTTGGCGCCAATTCAGCTTGTCGGCAACGAGGTTGACGAGAGTGAATGGTTTGGGTTGTGGTCAAGTATGTCGGAGGTGTTTTCTCGAGTAAGCAAGTTGGGTAATTTCGAGCTCGCAGATTCGACAAGGGGCTGATCTCGGTCGGGAGATGAGGGTGCCGCTCTCGCGCCAAAAGGAGGTCGAACGGGGGGGCTGATGATGCTCTCTGGTCGCCCGGGCTGGGGTGGGCAGGTAGAGCGGACCGAAGGCAACCCCAACTTTCAGTTGCATGCGAGCACGAGAGGAGGGCACAGGAGGGAAGCCAGCGCTGGACAGTTGCAAGCCGCGTTCGCCCGTCAGCCAGAAGGGATTCTGGGCTTTGAGGTACGCAGGCAGTGGATGGGGAAAGGAGCTCTGGAGGTTGAAGAAGGTATCGGATCGGAGGCTGAAGAAGTCTAGCAGCAGAAGCGAGATTGGGCCAGCGGCCAAAGAAAGGCAGTCCTGGGAGGCAGACCTGGCAGGGTGGACGGGTGGATGGGCAGGTAAATTACGGTACAGGTGCTAGCTGCTTGATAACGCACCCCGGCCGGGAGGAAGGACATGTTGCCCAATTCCGCCTAAGGGGCCCTGTTCTGGCCGGTGAGTGGCTTGGGGAGGCACCTTAGTCTCCTGAAGCGGACCTCCCTCCGGCTGCACTAACAGCGTTGTATCTGCGCATTCCATGGATCCTGGCAAGCCTGGCCATGCAAAACCGTGTGCCATGGCCCATCATCACCCGTCGTGGCCTTGGGGCCCACGCCCGTGGGAGCGCAGGGCCGCAGTGCTTCCCTTTTGGGCTGAAGCTTGGGTCTGGTCTTATTAGCAGGCGCAACAGGGAGATGACACTGGACACTAGGCAGGTAGGCTGGGTGGACCTGGCCATCTGGGCCTGGAGCAGGAACAGGCACAGGCTCAGGCTCAGGCTCAGGCACAGAGTCGCGGGCACGGTGGTAGGTAACAAGGTACTTTCCGTGCCCACCTGGCTAGTGCGCTCAGTGCCCACTGCCCAGGTAGTTATTAGCGGACGGTGGGGGGCCAGGTTATTATTATACCACAGTATATACAGTGGTAATGACAATAATGACAACGTCCTCCTGCAGGATTTCCGAGGGTTGGCTAGTGTCACGGTCTCCCGTTCTCATCTGAGTCGTCCTGTAGGCAATTGGAGAATGCAACAATATGTTATATAGATTGGTACCCCGTCTACTATCACGAAACATGGAAGCCGGCAGAGCATATCCAGAATCGTGACTGATGGCCCGTCCCGCCCTCGCGAACACGCCCGTGACCACCGGCGATGGGGTAGGGTAGGTCATGCAAAGTGCCAGGGGAGGCGAACGAGAGCGACAGGGCGACAGAGCAACAGCCAGGCGGCCAGTCAGCCTAGAAACCGAGCATGGGGACAAGGCATGACACAATTACCCGAGGGGCCACAAGCAATTATTGGTACCTATGAGGAGCTGCCCTGCCCAGTCTGCATGATGCACAAGTTGGGGGGAGGGTGAAAAGGGGCCTTGGGACTGCGGCAGCACAGGCATCTGGGCACGTTGCTTCTGCTGCAAAGAGATAGCGCAACATTGCGTACGTACGTACTGTGCAGCCAGACTGCCCAGACTGCCAGACCGCGTGCGGTTCCCGCCGAACCCACCAATCCAGGATCGGAGCCCACGTTTCACACAGGCTCGGTGGGGACGGCGGATAGCTGAAGCCAGAGAAGCTTGTCAAAGGCTTCCAAAGGGTCTCTCACATGCTGGAGAGCCTCCCACAGGAGCTACCGAGTATGATATATGACCAAGGGGAGCGTTGAGGTGAGGGCGATGGCTTTGCCCCACCGCCGCGGAATCTCTGATGCTGGTGATAGATGATGCCTGGTGCCCGGACACCTGCCCATGCTGCCCTAGGGCGGGCTCCAGGGACCATCAGACGGCCGGGCCAGTCACAATCCTCAGGAGCTCCCTGCTCGAACTCGGCAGCCGCTGCGGACCGAAAGCAAGCACCACTTGCTGGACATCCTGACATGCTCGAGATGCGGACGGATACCCGTGTGCAGAGCCGAAGGGAGTGGCGGTCCTGATTGGTCGTCTTGCCGCCGAACCATGGAACGGAGTGGCATCCAGAGGGACTAGACTAGGTCGCCCACCAAACGCAATGGCACACACACCCTGGCAGCCTGGCAGCCCTGTTTAGCTGGTTAGGCTTTTGGAGTGAAATGAACTCATGGTCGGGCAAGGCCATGGCACACAGTCTGGCCTGTCTCTGACTGCCCCCGTCTGTCAGTCTGACGACTTGATGATGGGGTGGATGAAGATGCAACGGTTCGCAACGGTTCACAACAAGCCCCGCACCCAGGGACATGGTCTGTCTGTCTACTTGTGTACCACAAATGTGTTGAACCACAGAGAAAAACGGATGCACCCACGGCTGCCACGTCCCCAAGGCGTAGGTTTTGGTATATGACCGACTGATTGATTGACTGATTGGTAGACCAAGCTATGGTTTCCAACTCACACTGTGCAGGCATGGATGGCCCTTCTGCACCTTGGGTACTAGCTGCAGACTGGTAGAACGCGGAGACTTGGGAGAATGGAGTCTGGGAGTCTGGGAGTCTGGGAGTCTTTGTTGGTGTGTTGGTAGGAGCTGGACCAGACTGCTCACCAGAGACACACCATGGGTTCGCATGCGGTCTTGTGTGCCTGACCTTCTTGTGCCCTGCTAACATCTGCAGGAGAGTGAGTGATTGAGAGAAAAGTATTGCATGCGAGGCCGTCAGCTGAAGGCCAGGGAGCAAGCTGCCCTCACAGTAGATCGATCGACCCCGGGCTTGCGCATCCGTCGTCTCTGTCTACCACCGCTAGGCCTGGCTTGCCTGGGTACTTACTATGGGGTGACGGTTGAGAGAACCCGCCCCCTGGAGCGAAGCTTGGGCCAGTTCGACCTTCTCCGCTTGGGGGTGGCTAGGTGGCTCCTCCGGTTCAGAGCCTCGGGCCCAAATTCTGGGGTACCTGGCAAGGGACAATATCACATGCCTCGCAGAGTCGTCGAGCCGCACCGCAGCCCGGCTGTTAATGACATCGGCACAACAAGCAGTGACCTGCAACGCGAGCAGTTCCGCAACGTCTCGTCACCAGCTTCATCGCATACTCCCTGGAACTCCTACATAATCCCTACCTGTCGTGAATGGCTTTGTGAGCCATTCAGTCGATCTCAGTGTCGCCGCTGACTGACAAGGGCGCCGCTCGGCTTCATCGCACAGCGCCGCCGCCATACCCGATGGCAGGCACGTAATCCTCCGACACACTCCCGATAGAAATCCGCCACGCAAACACAGCATGGCAGGCCAGTCGACGCTGCGGCACTCGGCCGCCGAGGGCGCCATTCTGGAGCTGGTCGAAAAGTATACCACCTTGATCCGAACTCGCCTGCGCCAGACCTCGCGGACGACCCGCCTCCTCGCGACCCTCGCCCTTGTTTCCTCCATCATCCTCGGCGCAGAGGGCTCCCGCCGCTGGTGGAGGCGCAGGAAGTCGGAGAAGGAGCAGGGCTTCAAGCTCGTCAGGACCAACTCGTGGCTGCACAATAAGGATGGCTCGCGCACCATCTACGTCCCTTACAAGGACGGCACCTCCAAGGTCGTCATCCACACCACAAAGCCCCTGACCTTTGAGGCGCACCGGAGGCTTTTTCTCAACCCGCCCCGCGTCTCCGGCCTGGGCGATGGCACCGTACCTTCTGCGCAGACCAAGCCGGGGCTCAACCTGGCCTTTCTCCACCAGTTCCTGAGCCTCATGAGCATCATGATACCGAGGTGGACGAGCAAGGAGGCCGGCCTGCTCGTCAGCCATGGCGTTTTCCTCATGTTGCGGACTTATCTCTCCTTGGTGGTAGCCCGCCTTGATGGTGAGATTGTTCGTGACTTGGTCGCTGGCAACGGCAAGTCTTTTATCTGGGGCATTGTCAAGTGGTGTGGCCTGGGAAGCTTTGCCTCGTATACCAACGCCATGATCAAGTTTCTCGAGTCAAAGGTATCCATCGCCTTCCGGACAAGATTGACGCGGTACATACACGACCTCTACCTCAACGACAATCTCAACTACTACAAGCTGTCGAACCTGGACGGCGGCGTCGGCCAAGGGGCAGACCAGTTCATCACCCAAGACCTGACTCTGTTCTGTGCTGCAGCTGCGAACTTGTACTCATCCTTGGGAAAGCCCTTTGTCGACATCTGCGTCTTCAACTACCAGCTCTACCGGTCTCTCGGCCCCTTGGCATTGACAGGTCTATTGAGCAATTACTTCTTCACTGCGTCCATCCTTAGGCGCCTTTCGCCTCCGTTTGGCAAGCTCAAGGCCGTCGAAGGCGCAAAGGAGGGTGACTTCCGCAGCTTACATGCCCGCCTGATAGCCAACGCCGAGGAAGTAGCCTTCTATGGCGGCGCGGAAATGGAGAAGCACTTCCTCAACCGCGAGTTCAAGTCTCTCAAGACCTGGATGGAGGGGATTTACATGCTCAAGATCCGCTACAATATCCTGGAAGACTTCATCCTAAAGTACAGCTGGAGCGCCTACGGCTACCTCCTGTCCTCTTTACCCGTCTTCCTCCCCGCCTGGGGAGGACTGGGTGGGGCATCAGAGCTCTTGGATTCGGCCGAAAAGGGTGGCCGTGAGCGCGGCCGCATGCAGAACTTCATCACGAACAAGCGCCTTATGCTGTCGCTCGCCGATGCAGGCGGCCGCATGATGTACAGCATCAAAGACCTGTCCGAACTGGCCGGATACACCAGCCGCGTGTACACGCTCATCTCGACTCTGCATCGTGCACATGCAAACGCGTACTTCGCTCGGGGTAGGCCCAACGAGCTCTACTCTCTGAGCGACGTCCAGGGCACCATGCAGAAGGGTTTTGACGGCGTGCGCCTGGAGAACGTACCCGTCGTAGCCCCGGCCCTGTGGCCTCAGGGAGGAGACGAGCTGATCGAATCCATCAGCCTGATTGTCCGCCGTGGGGAACACCTTCTCATTTCGGGCCCGAATGGCGTCGGCAAGAGCGCCATCAGCCGTGTCCTGGCCGGACTGTGGCCCGTGTATCGCGGCCTAGTTTCACGGCCAAAGACCAACGGCGAGGACGGGATCATGTTCCTCCCGCAGCGGCCGTACCTAAGCGTGGGCACGCTACGGGACCAGGTCATTTACCCGGACGGCGAGGCAGACATGCGCGAGAAGAGGAAGAACGAGCACGATCTGAAGGGTGTGCTTGAGGCCGCCAGGCTGGGGTACCTGCCTGATCGCGAGGGCGGCTGGGACACCAAGAAGGAGTGGAAGGATGTTCTTAGCGGCGGCGAGAAGCAGAGGATGGGCATTGCGAGGCTGTTATACCATGAGCCCCAGTACGCGTTCATCGATGAAGGCACAAGTGCGGTGTCAAGTGATGTCGAGGGACTCTTGTATGAGACTTGCAAGGAGAAGGGGATAAGTAAGTTGATCCTCTCCGAGAACCGCATAGTCCGAAAGCTAGCACATGGGCTCTTTCCCTGCCCAGCACTAACCGGCATGATTCACGTAGCACTCATCACGATTTCGACCCGCGCCTCCCTCAAGAAATACCACACCTTCAACCTCGTGCTTGGAATGGGCGAGAACGGCGACGAGTGGGAGTTTGAGCGCATCGGCACCGAGCGGGAGAAGATGCACGTCGAGAGGGAGCTCCAGGAGCTGAGAGAGAGGCTGGCGAAAGTCGAGGAGTGGAAGACGAGGAGGGACGAGATCGAGAAGGAGCTGGCGCAGGTGTGGGTCGAGGGCGGCGATAGCCTGCAGCCTCCGGCATACACGGAGAAGCAGGAAGGGCAGGAGACCGGCGCAAACGAGCAGGGCAACGTGGACGTACAGGCATGATAAACGGAGTTGTAAGTGTGTGTCTATGTATGCGTTTTATGCTCTGTCCGCTCGAATGTACTTGGCCACCATTTCAAGCAAAAGAAAAGTTCTCGCCCGTCTCTTCTAAGGCCGATGCTGCCACTGCGCGCCAGGCTGCTAACATCTTCAAATGGTGGCGATGTGGGACTCACAGCAGTCAAGTCAGGTAGAGCAAGTGACAGGGACCGCAACTTTGTATGATTAGAAAGTGACCTCTGCTCGTTTCAGTGAACTGGCTGCGTAAGATAGTTACAAAGCCCAAACGATGCTTTGTGGTGGTTCTTACTGGGTCGACCACCCATAGCTCTCAAGTATCGTAGCACGTTAATCGTCTATTGAGGCACCCTGCCACGGGATCAGCACATCTCGTCGCCCATGCCAATTGTCCGGCCCACTCAGTTTCACATAACCGTAGGGGCAGACAGCTGATAACAAAAGAAAATCTTTTTGAAGTGGTGCAATGACCATCCGTCGTCGATTCTATGTCTACCCCGACTACAGTACAGTTTGGCCGGTGTCTCCACAGGTATTATACAACCAATGCTGCCGCCTTCTCGACCAATTCACTCTCTTCACTTTCCGCTCTCTCTTTTGATTTTCTCTCATCCAATCGCTCAGCTCAAGAGAACATCCTGCTCATGTCGCCACGGAGTCTCTGGTAGTCGAATAGTCCCTCGATGCTGCCAACAGCAGAGACAGCGACATCCTGATCCCAGATCCTCCTCTGTGCGAAGCTGATAACGTCGTTGGCGGAAACAGCGTCGATGGTTCGCTCGATCTCACCAGGGCTCATCCGTCGGCCGGTGGTCACGATCTGTCGGCCAATGTCCTCAGCCAGGGCGGTGGTGCCATCCAGGGACAGCAGGATGGAGGCCTTGAGCTGAGCCTTGGCGCGCTCAACCTCGGCCTCGGTGACGGACTGGGACAGACGGGACCACTCGCGCATGGCGAAGTGCACGAGGTCGTCGACGCGGGTAAGCTTGTCGGTGACGAGGTAAATGCCCCAGAGACTATCAACGGGATTAGCGTACTTGAACATGAAGCCCCGGCCTTGAGCTCAAATCTTACCCAGTGTCGCTGTAGCTTGTGGAGAAGCTCATGAAGCTGTTGGCAAGGTCGTGCTTGTGAACGAATCCGCTAAGCTTGCTGCCCTGGTGAGGCGCATTGCCCAGAGCCTTGTCGTAGTTGCCGACAATGGCCTGGGCGACGAGAGCAGTGAAGTAGTCCTCATCGTTCCAGCTGACACCCTCAACGGCAATGGCGATGTTGGCGGTGGGAATGGTGTCGTCGCGTATCCGGACATCAGAGCCAATGAACTCGGGCTTCTTCTTGGAGAGGAGGTAGGCGTGGGTCTCGGGGGACTTCCCAGACAGCTTGGAGAAGTTCTTGTCGGCAAGCTCGACGAGGGTCTCGTGGGGGATGCCACCTGCACCGACGAGGACCATGCGGTCGGCAGTGTAGTTGTTCTTGATGTAGTTCACGAGCTCGGTCCGGGTGATGTCACGGATGTTCTCCTTGGGGCCCAGGATCGTGCGGCCCAGGGGCTGATGCTGGAAGGCAGTGGCGTGGAGGTGGTCAAAGACGACCTCCTCAATCTGCTTCTCGACCTCCTCGGACTCGCGCAGGATGACGTCGCGTTCCCGCTCGATAGCGGAAGCCTCGAGCTTGGAGTTCTGGAGGATATCGGCGAGGATATCGACGCATTGCGGGACGTCCTCGTTGAGCGCCTTGGCGAAGTATACGGTGTTCTCGCGCTGGGCTATTGTCAGATCTGATACTCTCGGAGCTCAATGGTGTGTGACGCGACGTACAGAGGTGTAGGCGTTCAGGTGCGCGCCCAGGTTCTCGATCTCGAGCTCAAGCTGTTGTTGTGTCCGGTTGGCAGTACCCTTTCAACGTATCAGCATCGTGTCCAGCGCCAGGCTGACTGCTCCGGTCCGGGTTGTGTACCTTGAAGGCCAAGTGCTCGAGGAAGTGCGCGGTGCCATTTGTCTCTGCTGTCTCTGCTCGCGAGCCGGCGTCGATCCACATGCCGACGGTGGAGGTCTGCGCATATGGGGAGTGTTGAGTGGCGACGGTCAAACCATTCTTGAGCGTCGTGGTCTGGGTCTTGATGGGGGCGGAGACGGGAGTAGCGAAGTTTCGTCGCAGGCCGGCCGAAGGGAATGCCCTCTTGGTGAGGCCCTTGGAAAGGTTCAGAGCGAGTCTCCGGGACGCCATCGTGAGCGTTTGCCAATCGCCTGGGCTGATCTGGGGGAGGGTCAATGGCAGTCCTGGGAGCGAATTGAGGCAGCAAGTACCTGGAGACTGGCAAGATACGGGGTTGGATGGGTGGGCTGGGTGGGTTGAGGCGTTTAGTCGTCGAACAAAACTGATGTCTTCGGTAAGCTCAAAAACCTTGGCCTCAGGCAAGTATGCTATTTGGCTCAGCCGGGCTCTCCCGAGCAAACAGAAGGAAAGAGAAATAACCAGCCCGTGATTGGCTGGACCGCATGTTATGTAATCACCAATCGACCCCTGTCGATTGATACGTCCCTTGACGTGCTCACCTCCACTTCGTCCCATTCCGCCCTGGAGGGGCAGGGGGCATGGGGAGTGAGTACCGTGTAAAGGCGTGAGCAGAGCATGGCGATCACTTGAGCACACAGCTTGACGGACTCATCACAGGGAGTTGGGCATTGAAACATGAGTATTTGGGAGACCTTCAGATGCCTGCATAACCGCTACAAGACTGTCCTGGGGAATCGAATAAAAGCCATGCGCATATAATATAATTGAGCCTCCAGGGGGTCGTCAGTACACGGAGGAGAAATCACCGGGACTGCTGCCCGAACTCCGCCTCGAAGCTCTTGCATCCAAGGCGTGCAGAGAGGAGCACTTGCCCGCATCTGCATCGTGCTGCAGGGTTCCGAATGACCTAGGTATGACCCTAACGTGGGGACGGAGCTGGCATCCATGGCTTCCCTGTTCCCTCGTAGACTCAGTACTGTGAATCTGTCCATCGAACATCCCCTCAACCTGCCCGGGTCATCACCACCTGCTCAGTCAATTACTGTCACTCGGACGGGATACCGTCGCTAAGACATCCCCTCATAAGAACCACAAGCACACACCATCAACACACTTCGAACCAGGGCATTCTTTTTTTTCTTCGCTACCATGAGTGCCGCTGACGAGGATTACGACGAGTTGATCTATCACGTCCCCAAGCAAAAAAAGCCTCCAGCTGGTCTGGACAAAATGGGTGCCGCAATTTCAGTGTGGCCGCCCCTGGGCCAGGTCACCCAGGTCCAAAAGGGCAGCATTGGGTTCGTCGTACTTCTTGAGGTCCCAGCCGACCAGGCCAACCAGCCATGGGAGGTTGCACTCTGGCATTCGGCAGGAGGAGACTGGAACGAGACTATGCTGTCCCCAGCTGAGAGGACGCCATCCACATTGCAGGCCCCTGACGAGTCGGTATCTCGCACCTGGTTCCAGGGCACCATTCCCATCACGTCTCTCCTCAACTTCACCGTCAAGTATCGCTCTGGATCGGGCCAGGAATGGTGTTGGATCCGGGATGGGCATGGTGTGGGCGATGGTACCGTCATTCTCAAATCCGATCTGACGACCGAGGCTCTTTCAGACGACTTTGGAAAGATCCTGAAGGGCTACGATCCCAATATTACCGTCAAACCCTGCCAGTCTCAGTGTCCTGGGACGCGATTGTGGGCTCTGGAGGCCAGTGTGGAAGCCGCTAAGGGGGAGCATTCTACCTTCACTGACTTTAATCTGGGCTTGCCATGGGGAGGTTTCCTCCGATGGTTCTCCCTGATCCGCATCTGGGCACCGTGGCTCGCACCGAGGCACGGCAAGACCAAGTTCGAACTTGACAAGGACGCCGTTCTCTCAGCATTTGTCAGCTCTGAGGGCCAACACCTTGTTCTGCTGGCCGTCAGTGGTATCAACGATGTGATGGCCCTGTTCCGAAGTGACAAATCAGGAAATGTCCAGCTACATCTGCGGAACGATGGCGAAAAGGCCGAGAAAACGCTCGTTCTTGCTGCAGTCGGCCATAACTTTGAAAGTGCGAATGCGGCCGTCATGTACCATGCTCGGCAGGCCGTTGCTACAAGTAAGAGGCTAAGTGGGGAGCTTGAACAAGAGATGAAAGCTCTTCAAGAAGGAGTCAAGCCGGAGTGGATGGAGAACTGGTACGACGGACTAGGTAAGGAGACGAAAGAATCAATGTCCCCCAGTCAATCCCGAACTGACGAGCTAGGATTCTGCACCTGGAATGCGCTTGGCCAGAGACTCACGGACGAGAAAGTCCTTCATGCGGTCGATGAGTTGACCAAGCATAACATCAAGATAACGAGCTTGATCATAGACGACAACTGGCAGAACATCGATTATCGTGGCGAGGGCCAGTTTCAGTATGGCTGGAACGACTTTGAAGGTACGTGTGATCCGGTGATATCCCCAGTTGCCTTGAGTACCTGAGCCTTGACATCTTGCAGCCGAGCCCAAGGCTTTCCCCAATGGTCTCAAGGACGTGGTCACCAAGATCAGGAACAAGCATCCCCACATTCAACACGTCGCAGTATGGCATGCGCTGCTCGGATACTGGGCAGGTCTGAGTCCCGATGGAAACCTTGCCAAGAAATACAAGACCGAGGAAGTTGTGCGCGAGGATCAGAATCGTAGGTGGCTACCTCTTGGAGGCAAGATGACGGTGGTCGGCAAGGATGATGTGCACAAGTTCTACAATGACTTTTACAAGTTTCTTTCCGACTCTGGTATCGATGGTGTCAAGACCGACGCTCAGTTTATGACGGACACGTGGGTGTCTGCGAAGGCGCGCCGAGAGCTGATCACGGAGTACCTCGACGCCTGGACAATATCATCTCTTCGGCACTTCAGCATTAAATCGATCAGCTGCATGTCTCAGACTCCAGAGATCTTGTTCTACTCCCAGCTGCCCCGGAACAGGCCTGCAATCCTTTGCAGGAACTCAGACGATTTCTTTCCAGAGATCCCATCCTCTCATCCTTGGCACATATGGACCAATGCGCACAACAGTCTGTTCACACAGCATCTGAACATTCTACCTGTGAGTCACTGATCGTCAGACTGGCATCATACAGCTTTCGAGCTCCATATTAACAATTCAAACAGGACTGGGACATGTTCCAGACCGTTCATGACTATTCCGGCCTCCACGCTGCGGCTCGTTGCGTTAGCGGAGGCCCGATCTACATTACCGATGTGCCAGGTCAGCACAACATCGATCTCATTAACCAGATGACGGGCATCACTCCGCGTGGCAAGACCGTAATTTTCAGACCCAATGTCCTGGGTCGTAGCATCGATCAATATGTTGGCTACCATGACGACTCTTTGCTGAAGGTCGGCTGCTACCACGGCAGGGCAGTCACAGGCACGCCCATACTCGGGGTTTTCAACATCTCTGCTCGGAAGCTCACAGATATCATCCCTCTCGACAGGTTCTCGGGGGTCTTGCCATCGTTGCATTACATTATCCGGGCTCATACGACCGGGCTTATCACTACGCCCGTCCAGATCAGCCACCCAAGCTCGAAGCTGACAGTCTCCTTGGATGTCAGAGACTACGAGATCTTCACGGCCTTCGCGTTGTCTCCCTTTGAAAGTGACAGTTTAGGTCGTGTACAGGTGGCTAATCTGGGTCTGATTGAGAAGATGACCGGTGCTGCGGCTATTGTCTCGAGCGAGTCGGATTATTTGGAGAACGGGAGGGTGCTGGTCGACACTCGCCTAAAGGCCCTAGGCGTTCTGGGCATCTACATCTCCAAGCTGCCGGACATGAGCCTGAATGACGATTTCATGGTCACGATTCAAGGACAGGTGATCCCTCCTCACACGGTTTCGATCAACAAGACTTCTGGCTCAATCCTTGAGATTGACGTTGAGAAGGCTTGGAATGAGCTAGGCCTGAAGCCGGGCTGGAGCAATGAGGTCGAAGTAAAAGTCTATTTTAGCATTGAGAAGTAAGAGATGCCCACAGCCTGTCATAGCTGACTTGAATACATGATTCGTATTACACGACCTTCAGATGGTTTGTCACTTGTAAAGACCTTGTTTCGGTCCTTCATTGTATTTCATTGTACTTTGCCTGTGCATGGCTCATTTCCTCAAGGTGACCTGGCCCTGGGTCGTTCCATAGGCCCTCCCCAGCACCCTGTTCTAGCCAAGATTGATTGCGGCTGATTTTCGCGGTGTCCTTCTTTTTGCCCATTCTGTTCTCTTCTTCCGTTCTTGAAAAACCTAGTGTGTTATCTAACCAAGGCTTTTCAAAGTGTTATGCGCTCGTAGCAAGTTAGACTCTGTTGGAGAAGAGTTGAAAGATGGTAGTCAGATATGCTACTTAGATTTGACACACTCAAACTCATGCAAGCCGATTCAAAGGTTCGGTTCGGCACTAACATTGGATACAAAATAAATGCGAATTAAAAAGTTGAGCCAACTGCCGCCTCTGACACCTTTGGGAAACGAGTCCTAGTACTAACTCGGAGAACGATTCCACCCGTTGTTACTTGGCAAATGGCATATTATTGCCTTTAGGCAACACATTGACTGTAGTACTCGTTGGTGACCTTGCAGGATCCTTGCGCACATGTTGTTGGACCTGTGTAGCCTATACCACCACATTGAGCCCACAGCGCTGCATCTGAACCCAAACCCGATCCTGATCCTGACCCCGAACCAGAGCCAGAGCCAGAGCCAGAGCCAGAGCCAGAGCACGAAATCGGCCCCGGGCCGGGGATGGAGTAGGTCTTGCCACCCATGTAAGGCTGACCAGAGTTGTCATAGATGTTAACCTATAAGTGACTGTCAGCACCATGAGAATAGTGATAGTACGAAAGGCGAGGTCATACCAAGACACCGGGGTCAGTAGGCGAGTATGGACCAGGCATGCTAACAAAGTTGCTTCCCGTGTTCGTCCCCGAGCCCGTGACGCGGATCTGTGCACACTCCATATAAAATTGGGATCCTCCCTGGGTTCCGGCGCTGTGCAGCGCGATCAGTTCGACGCGGAGGAGATAGTCGCCTGGAGCTATGCAAGAGGGCATCGTGAAGTAGTGCCAGCCCCCGCCGGCGATCATGTTATCAACGGCCCACTTGCCGCCGGAGAGGCCCTCGTGTGCAACCTTGAACCACTTGAGACCGCTGGTTCCCGTAGTCGCCGCGTTGTCGACCTTGGCGAGATAATAGGAGATGGGCCCCTTGTGGCTCTTCGCGATCGGGTTGTCCGGGTCATTCGCGCCTTGAGCACCTCTGAAGGGGGGAGAACAAATTAGTGACAGCTTGTCGTCTTGACTTCGCGATAGTCTCATACTTGCCCAATGACATGGCCCCACCAAGCTCCAACCTTTGCTCCAGCCGGGATGCTGATCACGTTGTTGTCCTTGTACACAATTCCCGTGTTGCAGGCGAAATTTGCGTCATTCGGACTGTAAAGCGGGTAGTCACTGCTCGGGGCACGAACGCCTTTGAGTTGGCCTTGATCCTGGCCGTTGATGGACAGCTTCTGCATAATTGAATGTCCTGATGCACAGGCCGCGAGGGCGGCGATGGCGAGAAGGGACTTCATGATACGCTGTATAGGAAGTTCAAACAGCAAATTGTAGTTGGACGTCCTAGACCCTTCCAAGCCACTGCTTTCTGACGTGGCAGACGATGGCTTTTTATGGATTTCATATTGTGCAGGATACACAGATTAACATTTCACCTACACATGTACCTAAATTGCGAGCTCTAGATGTCAATCATTACTAAGGTACCTGTATGACATGTGTTAAGTACGGATACAGGGGCCAGGAACACCTCCAATATACAAATTCGGTCTGCGAGATGAAATCAGATTTCGCAAGCACCGGGCGTAAATGCTCCGCAATGGCAATTCCTTAGATTGGTAGGAGTGGGAGAGGCGTTCTGGTCTAAACGGCTGAGGCTCTTGGCTTTAGTTACTAATTGGCGGCGGAATATAATTGTGCGAGTTTCACGGTCCGTAGCCTCCGCATCCAATTAATAAATTACCCCAGGGTAGTAATAAGTATCGTCGTTCGTTTAGTGAGGAACCCCCGGAGATTGGATTTCTTTCTGCTACCAAAAATAGGTCCAATATTCACATGCAGTTGCTGTAAGTGATTAAATCAACTACATCCGATTATCCAACATACGTTGAATACGACAAAGCGTTCGATGCTCTCAAACCGAACGGATGCGGTGTTTCCAGACAGTTGAATCGTAATAGCGAAGGATATAGGTAGATGTGTCTTCCCTGTGCGCCAGCTTTTTATTCCGGAGTGACATTTTCTGCGCAAGAGGCCTGCAGGCGGGCCATACTGCCTGAAGGCGGGTGTCCTTCGCCGTGTCTACCGAAAGTCTATCGTTGAAGTTCTTCTTGGCCGAGCTCTCAAGGAACTCTGGAGAGCGGGTAGACGAACTGGATGTGCTGGGTCAGGTGGCTGGGAAGACTGTTCCCGCCGACTCGAAGGACGCGCTGCGACTGCGGAACTTCGTACTCGGAGAGGTTGCACCTCGACAAAGAGTTCGCCAATCCGACAGAGGCGTTAAAGGATAACCAGTGACTTAGAATACTGTGCAACGCTCCGGCCGCCCGTTCCTGGTAGGCATGGCTGGCTGCGAGATAGATGTGTGCCGTACTATACACGACATTATAGCTCTTCGAGGCCTGGTTGGCGCAGGCTGGTGGGAAAACTCGCCACAAGTCTTGTTGACTTCAGGCTGACCGAAGTATTTCCATGCCGAAGTTACCGTCACGGTCTCGTGGACAGCCCTGGAGCCCGTTTGTCGGCTGCCTTACTTGTGTCGCTGTCGCCAGCCCAAGAGCCCAGAGGGCTGTTGGAAGTGGTGAGGCCATCTGCTTAGTCTTTTCCCTTGCCCGACTATTGGGACAAGTGATCATTGCTCAACATCGAGGTGAGTGCCCAGGCTGACCGCCGACTACCCCGAGCGAGCAACCGCCACTCCTGAAGTCGACTTTCAATGTTATACAAAAAGCATTGATCTGCCGAAGGGTTGATCAAGCATCCAACAACATTGTACCCGGGCGGGCATGCCTGTAGATCGCTACGTGAAGAGACTAAATGCATTTAGAACAATCAATGGGGACAGAACAGCACAATATCGTATTTTCAACTCGTGGAAGCAACTTTGTCGTCAACGGCCAAATTTAAAGGGCTGACAGGGGTCCACGACCGTCCACGCCCATTCATGACAAGCTCCATTGTAAGATCGAAAAGACATCGCGGTTCAATTGCGGACCTCAGAATAGCTACCCAGGTAGACAACCGAGAGCCGGAGGAGCTCGCGACTGGTATTTTGGCAGCCCATATCGCCTCATCGAACCCCCGCCCCCACACACAGACATTTCAATTTCAGGCCGCCTGAGGCTCGATGCCGAGGCGCTTCGCTTCAGAGGCTACGATTTCCGGTATGGCATCCTTCATGGTCCCACGGGTCGGCTCCCAGCCGAGCTGCTTTCTTGCTCTGTTTGCGAAACTCTTCGAGTTTAGTCCCCAGCTAACGCTTGACCGGATTCCTTGAGCTACGGTGTTGTCCAGGGTGGTCACCTCCACCTTCGGTTCGGCCATAAACCCTTGCTTGACCATCTCCCCAGCGACCCCTAGTTGAGTTCATTGTCAGCTTCTTCTCACATGCATAAATGATCCATAGACCTATCCTCTCAGGTCGCATGGTGATAAGACTCACATCTGGAAACATCGCCCCATTTGAAAGGTCCAGCCTCGCAGAAGTAGTACCCGTGCTTTCCGAAGAACTCTGGATCATTGACTCTCTTGGAGTCCTGAGCCGACTCAACGAGATTGACGATGAGGTCCGACAGGTCATGCACGTGGATGAAATCCCATTCGGTAAGGCCCTTGCCAATGACTGGAGCAAAGCCGTTCTTAAGTGTGAACTTGGCCAGGTCATAGACCTGGATCGAGCGGGTGTTTCCGGGTCCTCTGGACGGGCCATTGATACAAGGCGGCCCGACGATAGCAGTCTTGACGGCACCGGTATCATTCGCTCCCAGCACGACTTTGTCAACATCCCGGTGCATAGCCTGGTCAGGCAGGGACGTAATCTTTTCGATGTCAGCAATGTCGTCGTATTTCTCGTCCGGGTGTGGCGCCTCGCCGTAGCGCTCGTCTTGGACGTCTCTCTGTTGGGAAGCGTCAGCCAAGGCAAATTAGGCCCCAGGTAGCCCGAAGAGAAGTACCCATGTCAGCAGCCCAGTTCCACAGATGTGGATATACACTCCCGGCTTCTCGGAGGTGTGGCCAGCCTCAATGCCCTTCACAATGGCCTTGGCAGAGGGCATGTCATCCGCAGACTGAGCGGTATCTGTAAGAGAACCTGGTCAGAATGAGGCTAGACGATGACGGTCTGTACTGGAGACGTTGACTTACGAACAACAATGTCTGCCTCGGCAGCGGCCTTTTCGATAACGGCGGCATTATCTAGTGAGCCATAGACAAGCTTGACGTTGGGGTACTTGGCTTTGACAACCTGGCCCTTTTCCTCATTGCGAACCAGAAGGGTGTACTCATAGTCAGGGTGCTTCTTCTCAAGCACGTAGAAGGCGTCACCGCCGATATAGCCTGGTGATGGGGCCCTAATTAGACTACTGGAGCGGCTACTTGGACAAAGCGTAAGTGCAGCACCTACCGGTGACTCCAGTGCTGGGAAAGGTTAGTAATTGGAACAGATAGATACCTAGGGTAACTACGTATGTGAGCGGTAAGGGGGCTGCGACTTACAGAAAGATCTTGGGTGCCATACTTTTTGTGCAATATTTCTGGTCCGCGTATTTGCCTTCAAGTTGAATTTGAACGACTTACAACTATTGAGTGCAAGGAAGGGAGGAAGAATGCTGTCACGGAGACGGACTCGATTTGTATACGGAGGGATAGTTGCTACGGCAAGATTTAGTGCACCGTAGACCTTGTAATTAACAATGTCGTGCTTAGATATGGGGCCAGTTTCAATGTTACGCCGAACGCCGCGGGGATCTACAGCAGCAAGTGGCTTGTGTCTGGCGTGAATGACATGCTGATGTGTAAGCATGCATCCCTGCGGGGAACATTAGAAATGGGAACGGATACACATCTTCGTCATATCCAATTTCAAATACAATGTGAAGCCACAAAAGGCTCGCCAATACGTTTTCCCGTTACCGTCATGAAAGTATTTTAGAGACGGTTTCAAGGATAAGAAAGAAAACGAGACGTGAGCGTTTTTAGTTTGCATTTGTCATGCTTTATTAGTACAAGAAGGCAGTAGTACTATCTGTCTCAGGTCGCCATGGTTGCTCTCTATTCTGCTAGTACCTAGATTAGGGTACTGGTGATGTTGTTGGCTGGAGTGCGTTGCGAATGAGGAAAGGGAAATGAACCATTGACAGTAGACATACTATGGCTCAGCATGCGACTCTTAATCCTAAGATTTCGAATTCATGAAATCTGAATTCAATTATCAACCATCAACATGCTCGTGAAATCTTGCGGTGGGCCCAGATTTATGACGACACGACTCTGCCCCATTCACTAGTAGTAGTCTGCGGGTGATCGACGTCATCGACGCATCAATTGTGATTGCAGCAACAAATGGGTGCTGAATTGCCAGATAGAGTCCTTGGTAAACATTTCACTTAGCGGGGCAAATAAAATAGTATTTTCAAATTGAGGGATATATCGGGCTCAGACTGGGTTTACCCCAAATTACCCGACACGGGGAGCACTCCATGTCTGTGACGGCGCGAGGCCTTACCTAGGTATACATTGCTTAGGATTCAAATCTAACTTGAAATTCTGTATTTTTTTTGGCCTGCGTATCCTTTGTGCAAGCAGTTACTGGATTCGTGTTAACATCTTATTCTTATGTGTAACAATCTCTGTGGTATGTAGGTAGAGAAAGCGCTGGCTTTCAAATATCACCATGCCTAGGCAGACCGCAGATGATGCACTGCGTCAGCGAAATAAAAGCTGAGTTTCAAGTTACATGCATGGTAAGACTCCGATAATCTACCTCATTATATCCCATAGCGTGCACTAGGTGTGACGGTACGGCACTTTTACACTGCTTGGAGTTTCAAGTCCGCTAGACTTGAAATTGTGGTCTTTTGGCCGGGACCTCGGGACGCCTATTGCGATAAGCAGTCAATAAAGTTAGTCTCATTTGCAACAGTCCACTGGTATCATGTTTTCCTAGCAACACAATAGACAGCACAATTCACAGACCGTACCAATTAATCTAAAGGATTACCGATAGCATTCCTAGCAGTATTTAAGCACCATACTATCATACCTCAGACGTTGTATATGCTATTACTATAACACCACTATATCTTTAAAAAGAAAAGTCGTTCAGTGTTATAAAAGAGTCCCTCTGAATTACCTACATCTAGTATATTATCTTATAAGACATAGTCTTACAGGATGTAAGGGGGTTACTCAGAAGCGGGGGACAGATGCTATGGTCGAGCAGTGTACACCCGAGCAAAGCTTGGTTGTTGTTAATTGGAACACCAAGTATTGTATTCTTTCTACACTGTGAGTGGTCAACTGGTAGTTTTCATTCTTTTAACCACTGGGTCTTGAGCATTTACCACTGTATGAGGGCACCACAACTATCTGGAAACCCAATGGCATTTACTAGGCTGTCAGCGCTGCCGCCGGTACCCCACTTGTCAAAGACGGATACGTAATCAGCACAAAGGTCTGCACAATGGCTTTCTACAGGACCGAAAGACGCGGAACAGACGTTCATTGTACTTTTAATTTTCGAATGAGGTTGTGGGCCTCTAGTCAGAGACATATATAACCTCCACGGATCACTTGAGGCTCCACCCGAAGAAATGTTTCCTGACTAGAGAACTGAACAGAATTAGCGAATTATCTGGATAAGACCTGGAACGCTGAAGTTTCTCGGACGATCAATCACTGAGCCGACCCACAACCCCTGGATATGGAATTGCATCCGTTTTTCCAGAATCCCTATGTCCCCCACAGGAACGAACCGGTCCCTCAGATCGTTTTACTCGGGGGCCCTTTTCCTGTTTTGTATCAAAGTCTCCAGCTTAAACAGCTCTCTTACGAGCCCCAAGCACTTTTGCAAAGGACTAGGGAATTATTCCAGGACGTCATGTTTTATGACGTACTACAGTCTTTAGTAAAGGCTCACTTCGGTACAGTGCTCTTGTACTTGCAACAGGAGCCTCTTCTTCGCGAAAGTGAGGTACGGCTGTTCATGTACCTCTTCGACGTGTTTTTCTTTGCTGGAAACCTCACCGGGACAGCGGACCCCGCAGTAACACTTGAATTCCGGGAGGACATTTTCGGCCAGTGGCCGACGTACGTGGTAGGGGACAACGTACTATGGGGCAGGGTTACACCGCAGTATGTGGGTGTTGGTACTTCAGAGATGGCAGTCAGAGTGAACATCCAAGTAGAAGCGGCCCAGCCGCAATTCTGGGGAAGCCCTCATAGCAGGAGACCGCTGATAAGAGTCCTGAAAACTCTTCTGCATGAGATGGTACACGCATATCTCATTTGTTTCTCTTGCCCTGGCGGTTGTTGCCGCGATCAGATTGGTGCGAGCGGGCATGGCCCTGTGCCGCAGGAGCTGACCAGTGCCATCTTCAGAGAGGTAGCCAGTTGGGATGAGTCCCTCCACGAATTCTACCCAGACGACCGATATAACTTGGATTGAGTGCGAGATCTTGGCAGAGGTATTAGATTGGTTAGACTACCGGTGTTGAGGGAGGCAGGTCTGCGAGGCTCGAGGGCATACGCTCCTTTCACCGATTTTCAGACAAGGCGACGGCTCGGGGGGAAAACCAAGGTCCAGCATTCCATTTAAGTTGCTCATTAATACAACAAACAATAAATAAGATCCATCAATTATGCATGTTCTATAACGCTGACAAGAGCTGTATCTTATATTATATCATACATTAGGTTATCATTCTTTGCTCATCATCGTATCATGCCATTCCTTCTTTCTGCCTCGCCGTATCCTTCCGGTTCTAAGCTTTCCTATGCTGTCAGTTCTAATACAAAACCTGAAAACGTCAGAATATATACAAAGTCTACTCGTTCTTATATATGCCATCTTTACACAGCAGCGCAATCTTCTTGAATAGCCGCCTCCACTCGAGCGGGTCGCCCTTGATCTTGACGAACCGCACCTCGAGCAGCTCTGCACCCGAGCCGTCGGGTATCATGAACATGTCCACCATGATTTCGCCGTGCAGGCTCTGGTTCCTCCCGTCCACCGTCTTTACCTTCAGAGTAGTTATATGATCTCTAGAGTGCAGATTAAGCGCTGGAGGCTGCAGCGGGACGTTGAGCTGGTGCAAGGCGTCACTCAGCATCTGCACTAGCAGCTGGGCCGGCACATGAGAATAGAAGCGCGTGAGCGAGTAGGAAGGCACAATGTCTCTGAATCGGCGCGCACGTTGGGTCAAGCTGAAAGGGACTCCAGGTGCCTGACTGAACTGGCTCATGGTCGGTTCGTCTGCCAACACGTCGAGGTTGTGGCTTGGTCTGTCAGTGGAGAGATTAACACCACTGGCAGGCTGGGTCGCTGAGATGGCTCCGTTGATGGACCTCATGGCAGGCCTCTCCCAGTCAAATGCCACATCGTTAATTGGTGTCTCTGGCTGTGTCGCAGAGAACTTGGCTGTGAAGTCGGCGGCCGTGGGCTGGCTGTCTAGTTCCATCAAGTCGGCGTTCGCCCTTTGGGAGGGGGTAGGCTGCTGAGTGAGATCGATGCGCAGGTTCGCAAGCATCTGGGTAGCCAGCTGTATGGGGTCCAAGACCCTGCCGTCCGAGGTGAGAAGTTCATTGTGTCGAGTGTACCAGGGGTGCTGTCGTATTTGCGCGAAAGTGAAGCGCTTGTCGACCTCGATGTTCATCATGCCCCGCAACAGAGACAAGGCTTCGGTTGGTACTCTCTCCCACAACTCATCTGTGCTTCGGCCGTTCGTTCGGATGTACTCGCGCCATTCCCACTTCTTCTCAGTCGGCTCCTCCCAAGGCGTGTTCCCGACCAGAAGCACGAATAATATGACCCCGCATGACCATATGTCGACCAAGTCGGCGCGATACTTCATAGACTTGTCTCCAGACGAACAGCGGAGCACCTCGGGAGCAATGTACGGCGGGCTGCCACACATGGTGGAGCTCTCCTTTGTCTTGCCTTTGTACTGGAAGAGGGTGGCCATGCCGAAATCCGCAAGCTTCAGGTTGCCAGTGTCGGAGAGGAGTATGTTCTCCGGTTTCAAATCGCGATGCGCGATGCCCTTGGAGTGCATGAAGCTGACCCCACTGATGAGCTGCAGGAAGTAGACGTGGGCGATGTCCCCGGACACACCCTTGTCGGCCTCGATCTTGTCGAACAGGTCTCCGCCGTCAGCGAACTCCATGGCAATCCACCTCCACACGGCGTCTTCGCCAGTGGCGAACCACTCGATGACGTTTGGGTGCTGTCCAATGTGGGAATGGAGTGAGACCTCCATGGCGATCTGCTTAGCTGAGATGCGGCCATTTTTGATTGCGTAGTCCTTATGTATGAACTTGACGGCGAAGACTGGTGTTGGTGCCTCGAGAGGAACGGCCTTCCTGATCCTGTAGTGGGTCTGTCAGTACGCCGGTAGGGCTGAGATGGGTCTAATTATGTGAGCATGACTTGGGGACGAGGAAGGGCAGCTCACGATGCATATGCCCCTCTGCCAATGGTCTTGGACACAACCCTGAAGGGGAGGTCGGATGGCAGAGGGCTCAGCTGGGAGTGCTGCATCTCGAGCTCTCTCTGAGGGAGGGCGAGCGAGAGAGAGGGCGAGACAGGGCTGCAGAGAGGCAACTCGGAATCACAGTTCAAGCCGTGCCGTGCCCTGTGTGTAAGTGGCCAGCCGGGTCAGTCACGACAGGGGTGGCGAGTCCGGGCTGGTGGGCGGCAACTGAGTTGTGAAAATAAATCTGAGATGAGGCCGCGAACCAGCGATCTCTGACATGGGATTACGCTCAATGCCGTTCATGCAATGAGATGGTGTGGTGTGCCAGCCCGCCGTGTGATGCAACAACAAAGGTCGCGTGCCGTTCGCGTAGAGTGAGTCGCGTTGGGAGCTCGGATGAGGCTCTCAAAGGCGACAGGCTCCAGTCCGGCGGCAAAATGGGTCTCTGCATGTTGTTGTCCGAGACCCTGCATCATGGGCTGCAGACCCAGCGCATTGGCTGAGCAACGCGGTTTCCAGGCTGCCAGGCGGGTGGGGCCCAGGTCATGGCTGCACTAAAACAGCCAGTGGGGAGGGCGTGAGTTACCTGGGTACCTGGATACCCAGGTAGGTGCAGGGCCGGGATGGAGAATTCTGCACTCCCCTGCAAGACTGAGGACTCGCTCGTCCCAAAATGGAAAGGTCAGCACGACTTCAATTTCTACAACCTCAAAGCTACTTATAAGTACCTTCTTCCTCTTTTTTTCACATTCCAGGACCCTATCCACTAACCCAAACCCTAACCGCTAACCCTAACACTAACCATGGGGGCTTCGCCCCCAAGCCCCCACTGGGGGGGACCCCCCCAGACCCCCTGATAAAAAGTGGTTGAGGTACCGTTGAGTACCTGGAAGGCTTGGCATTTGAGGTTGCAGTTAGGTGGGGCCGACTAGGCATCTTTGGGTGCAGCGAGTCCTCAGTCTTGCAGGGGAGTGCAGAATTCTCCATCCCGGTGCAGGGCCGGCCGTTGGCCCTGCTAAAACTCTGGCGGTTGCTGGAGAGCTTGGGTGGGGTCGACCAACACCTTGGTGTAAACAATGCAGCGAGCCCGTCAGCCCGCAAGCAGACCAAAGGACGATCCCGATCCATGATTTGACAATTGGCCCAGCCGCTCCTGACCAACCTCTCCTAGCCAGCACCTACCTGCCTCACCCTCATCTTCAACCTCACCCTTGCCCATCCTGCAAACGACTGGAATCATCGCAGCATCGCGCTCGTACTTTAGGGAATCTGTTTCTTGATCAGAGGCTAGACTATCCTTCCTTAGCCATCTCCCTTACTTTTTAATCTTGCCACGCAGATTCCACGCAACACATAAATTCTCTCAAAGCACTGGCCTTACAACCTATCCTTGAATCCGTGAGCAATAACTTGGCCAGCTATACCTCGCCTGCCTGGTATTTGACTTAACCATTACACTTGCGAAAATGGAGGGCCCTCAGGCTGCAGGCGGCGTGCTTGGTGGTGTTAGGAAAGCAGATTCTCAGAGTGTCACCAAGAGGTATGCGTCTGGGAGCCATGAATCCCCACCACAGCACAGCCTTCTCAAAGCCCCAGAACATGTGGGCACAGGAGCATACAGCTGACGCCGCGCCCTGCAATGCAGACTGCAAACAGAGCTGATGCAGCTCATGACGTCCCCCTCGGACGGAGTCTCCGCGTTCCCCAACCCCGACGGCGACCTGACCAAGTGGCGCGCCACCATCAAAGGAGTCGACGACACCCCCTACGCCGGCCTGGAGTTCAAGCTGTCTTTCAGCTTCCCCGCCGATTACCCCTACAAGGCCCCCGAGGTGCTTTTCCGCACCCCCATCTACCACCCCAACGTCGACTTCTCCGGCCGGATCTGCTTGGATATCCTCAAAACTAAGTGGTCTGCGGCGTACAACATCCGAACCGTCCTGCTGAGTCTGCAGAGTCTGCTCGGAGAACCCAACAAGTGAGTCGGTCTCCTAACTGGATGTCGACGGGAGCGAAAGCCCGGGCAACTTGGCCTGGCTTGCCCGGGGAGGCTCGATTCCGCTATGGGCTGGAGAACTGTTGGCTGACCTAATGTCTCCTAGTGAATCGCCTCTGAATGCTGAGGCTGCGGAGCTTTGGGACAAGGACCCCGAGGAGTTCAAGCGCAAGGTGACGGCACGTCACCGCGACATTGACGACGAATGAGTTAGAGCATGCATTTTCATTTGGGAGCATGGAGTCAACGTGTAGAATACTGGCATTGGTCACTGGGTTGGAGGATTCGGCGATACCGCATTTACAGGGTCGGACAGTTTGAACCTGAGGCCGCATATCTTGTTGGCTTCTGCCATCAGGCGTAGGGGCCTCTTCTTCCAGAAATACATGCATTGGCCTGATTGTACTCCTTGACGCATGCCCTTGAAGCGTGGGTATCTTAGATACACGTCGTGTCCCTTCCCCCCTGTCTCCACGGTGATCACAACGGTCGGTCACGCTCGATGTCCCGGCAATCCTGGTCGGCGCTGGGGGGCGCTGTTTGTTGTCTTTCGCATTTCTCATTTTTTTGCTTCCTCGGTAGTATGAAGCTAGAAAAAGCCGTAGAAAACTCCGGAAAGCCACCATGACCAGACAAGGAACCCAAGTTTTCACGGACCGACCCTCAAAAACACCTGGGACAGGCGCCCCTCGTCGTATTGTTTGCAAGCGCGGGTTGTCCCTCCAGAGCCCCTCCTGTCAACACTCAACATGACGCTCGCTTAAGCCTCCTCCTCCTCGACGGTGGTCGTGACCAGGCCCTTGGGGTTCTTGACGTTGACGGCCTGGACGTAGCTGTACAGCTTCTCCTTGGCGCCCTCCTCATCGTTTCTTCGTCGGGAGATGCGGACGCGGAGTCTGTATGGCACGCCCTTGACACCCTGCTCCCACACCTTCTTGTTCAGCTGGGGGTCAAGACGGACATCGGAGGTGCCCTGTGAGGTGGAGTCTAGTCAGTGATCTGGTCTCGGTGTCACATGCGGACTGAGCGGTCGTTCCAAGTTCGTCGATGTCTTGCTCGATTTCGTCGGTCGCGGCATACGTAGCCCTCGTTTCGAAAGATGGAAAGGGGGATCAGCATACCATAGCCTGGTGCGCGAAGGCCTTGATCTCCTTGATGGCGCGGGGGGCCCTCTTCTTGAAGGTGACACCGTGCAGCTGTTCCAAAACCGCCCCGTCAGCATCCAGCTCCAGCAGCAATAAATGGCTCCTCAATTGAAGGTGTAGTTCGTCGGTCGGGGTTGGCGAGACGTACCCTCTTGTGCATGTGGATGGTGTACTCGCGGGCGACCACGTCCTGGATGGCGGACCGGCCAGACTTCTGCTTGGACGACATTTCTGCACACGGGACTCGGTTAGAATTGTTGCAACAGAATTGAGAAAAACCGGGAAAATGAGCAGTAATCGGACTCACTGAGGGGTGTACGGTGTCGTGAGTCGTCGGTGGAAGTTGGGGCGTTGTCGTCTTCGAGGTTGTCGGCTGCACTCTTCTGGAATACGGATTCTGTCAGAGATCCAAAAGTTGTGGGCGGCGGAAAAATCTGGCCCTGCTCAGGATGGTGGTCGGCTGTGATTGGCTGTGAGCGCTGACATAACCATGGCGCTGCTGACTAAGACAGATGTGGCTGTGGTGGCTGGGCTAGGGGCCATCGCCCGGGCGAGTGTTGTCCAGGGGGAAACACGTTTGCCGGGAGGGAATTGCGACGTTGTTGTTTGCTTCACGGCAATGATTTTGCCTTGGTCTTTACGGAGTATGCTATGCAATACTGGGATATCAGCCTGTGCAACAAGAACTACAGCGTCTCTAGTAGCAGTCTTGTGCTAAGCGTTGGATCCGACTCCTCTTCTGATCTGAGCATGCTAGGTGCTCCGGTGTTTATTTACTCTTGCAGCTGAACAGGAATGCATGCGCACCCGGTCCACCACAACACAGACTCACAGCGCTCATGCCGACTACCTAGGTAACCACCTGGGCAGGCAGGTAGTAAATACGGAGTGGGCTGCAGCCGGCGTTCCGTCGCACCTCTTCCGCCTTATCCATCCCATATTCCGCACCGGGCACAACCCGCGCGTTGCGTGCCAGTTCTGAGCAGTGCCAACGGCCCCTCTTACAGTCGCGCAAAGGCCACAACCAGTAAAATTTCTTGTCTGGATACATACTCTCAGAGCTCGCGTCCAGAGGCGGGTTTTCCCAAGGTGCATCGGCTGCCATCGATTCGAAGGGAATACGGCAAGCGACTTGGCACGGTAAATTAGGTGAACCCACTCCCGTGGAGCAAATCTCACCTGGGCTGCTGGGCATCACGGAGCGCCTGGCCCGTGCGCGAATCTGCGACCTCTTTGCCTCTGGGAATCCCAAGTCCCCGTCAACCCTTCCCCATCACCCCGTCCAAAAACAACCCGACCGAGCAGACAGAGGCCGCACAACACCATCAGTGACCTCATTGGTCTAGTCACAATCTCTCCGGTGTGCGCAGAGCACACCCTGCCGCTCGCTTCGCCCTCAACACCAAGCCCGCCCTCCCTCCTGACCCGTCCGTCGTAACCGTCCTCGCCGGTTTCTTCCCAACCGGCCCCCTTCGACAAACCGCTCACTTCACAATTCTCGACCCCCACCACACCCAATCGAGCTCCTAAACTTTTCGAATCCAAGGCACAGTCGCTGGTCCCACAGGCCTCGTGTGTTCTGTCTTCAATCTCGTAGAATCGAAGCCACTAGCGACTCGAAACAGTAGCCTGAGACCAAGGCGGCGACGGGCTTTCCACCATGGAGAACACGCACTCACCTTCGCCGGTGCCCGATTTGAATCGGAACCGGCTGCCGACCCTTTTCGAAGTTCTGAGCAGGCGGACGCTGCCGCCAGTCGACCTGTTCTCATTCTACATCTTTATGAGAGATCAGCAAAGATCAGTGGACTACCTAGACTTTTGGTACGGAGGCCCCAAACCCAGCACAGGACGCAACGGGGCGGCTGCCCCGCCAACTTGTCTCGACTGCTAACAGCCCTCTCCCGTCAACAGGCTCGATGTCGCTCAGCACATGACGCTATGCCGGCACTACGTCCGAGAGATGCGGAGGTCCGTCCTGATAGGCACACCCGAACCCGAACACGCCTCGAAGCGCTCCTCACAAATCCTGGAGAGCATGGGCGACATGAATTACGCGGCGCCGGGCCCCTCGATGTATGCCAATGACAAGGATCGAGACCAGGACGCGCAGATGTCGGCCTACCTGCGCGAGGATAGGGCGTCGCCCACTGCCGCCGGCTTCCACGACTCCCCGCACAGCAGCGGCGAGCGCGCCAGGCCCAGCCCCGGCACGGGCAGTACGCCGCGCGACCTGATGACCGACTCCAACAGCCCCTTCCACGAGGTCGCGAGGCAGGACATCCGTGCATCGGCCGAGAAGATTCTCTACACGTTCCTCCTGCCCGGCGCGGAGCGGGAGATTGTCCTGCCATCTCAGATCACCGAGGACGTGACGAGGTCCATCGAGGAGGAAGGTAGAGATGACCCGGAGGTGTTTGACCTGGCCAAGGATTATGTGTTTCAGGCCATGGAGCGAGACGCCTTTCCTGGCTTCCTGCGCATGAAGGCACTGGGCAATTTGATCCCGCCGACCCTGATCATGAGGCTCATTATCGGCCTAGTCTCAATGTTTGGTGGATTCTGGGCTGCGTTCGTCTTGATCTTCCTCAACGCCTCAAGGCTGACGAGATTATGGGTATGCTGGCACCCTTCCCGCTTCGAACCGAACCCGCTGCTAACGCTCAGGCTCCAGCTCATCCTACCCTTTACGCTCGGCGTCTACTTCCTCGCGTCATATCAGTATTCCCTCGACCCCGTGCTGGCTCTGATCGGCCTGAGCGAGTACACGCCTTTCAACTTCTCACGGGTGCGTGAGCCATACGTCCGAAAGCTGCTCGCAAAGCGAGCCCTGATGGTATTGGCTGTGACGGCAACCGTGGATGCAGCACTACTAGTGCTGTTCATCCTCGTGCCGGGCAAACGGCTTTGAGCAGCCAAGATATTCAAGTTACCCTTTGGAGCTTCTGCGAAATAGGAAGACACACGTCTATTTTCCTAGTGCATTTAATCTGACGACGCTCATGACTGTTTTGCTTTATGCTATTTGACACCTCCTTTTCCCTCGCTTCATTTTGTCTGTGCTTTTACAAGTCATTCTTCTGGTCTTGTTTTCAGGATACGATACCAATTTGCAGGCGACGGTTTCTTCATCTATTTTTGGGCGAGACGGAACGGGGCAGCCTGTATCGCAACAATTACAACATTAAAATGGGGGAATGGCGTTGAAATGGCTCGAAGATCATGCAACATTTTGCTCTTTTTTTGGCATCTTCACCGGACGGCGGGAAGCGCAGGGGAAAGTATCGCTGTAACAACACTTGTATGATTTCACCGAGAAAGAGGAAGGTTTGGGATCTGTTTCTGTCGAGGACTGTACAATGTACTCTTGTCCAATCTTTGCTGATGCACGAGAATACAAAGACTGATACCTGAGTCCCAACGCTGGCGTCACTTCTTGGGTCGCGTACTACATTGTACCGCGTGGATGGACCGCTTCTCGAACCCCTAGGACGCAATCGAAGCCCAAGGACGCGATTTGATGCAAATATGTGCAGTCCTTCGGAATAATTTAGTTACGGGCAAGGTTGCCCGTCTATCCCTGGGTGTATCGGAGCATTCGGGCCCAGCCATTCCTTGACATACGGTCGACGCCTGTTCATAGCTTCCGCCGACTCGTCCTCTTCTGGTTTTGACTGGTGGAGTCAGCACTGTCGTCCAGGTCCATGGCCTCGTCGTCGTCATCCTCCAAGCCCTCGGTCAGCTTCTCCATGCCGCGCTTGCTCCCGCTGCCAGCACCAGCTGCTGCCCCATGGTGAGAGCCCACCCCTGCTCCTCCCCCAGCCCCCGCGATAGCCCCGGTGGTAGCTGCCTGTCCTCCGGCGCCGCCAGCGGCAGATCGCATACCGGTGCGCCCCGCCGCCCCGCCGCCGAGCCTCCGTCCCGCGCCGCGGGTCCCGTTGGCGGGGGCGCCGGAGGCCGCCGGGTCCGAGGGGTCACTGGTCTCGGCCTTGACGACGGCCTGGAAGGTCCTGTCCCACTCCCTCTTGTCGTTTGCCTTGCGGGCGGCCTCCCTCCTGATGTCGGCGATGTTGGCCTCGATCTCGGCGAGGGTGGCGTCGCAGCGCTGGCTCCAGTTCTGCAGGGTGGCGACGATGCTGGGCACGGTGCCGGGCTGGACGTCGCGCAGGGGCGCGACGGAGGAGACCTGGACGACGGAGCGGAGGGGGTTCAGCTTGGCGTTGAGGAGGCCGGCGTAGACGGCGGAGATGACCAGGTCCTCGACCTCGCGGGGCGAGGCCAGGCCGAGGTGGCGCTGCAGGGCGTGGTAGGTGAGGTTCTCCCTGTCGCGGCTGAGGGTGAGGAGGGAGAGCTGGCGGAGCTTGAGGGCCTGGCGGTCGTCGAGGGCCGGGAGGTTCGGGGTGGAGAGGTATGTGGAGTAGAGGCCGTTGCTGAAGATGCGGAGCTGGGTGAGGTAGGGCTGGTACTCGGGGGAGTCCTGGAGGGCCCGGATGGAGGGGCTGGCGAGGAGGTCGGAGAAGATGTAGGTGCCCTGTGCGGATGTGGCGTGTGTGATGAGGTCTGCGGCCGCCTTTGGCGAGTTGGCGGACTTTGTGAGGGCCAGGAAGGGCTGCGAGCTGGTCAGCGAGTGAGGGGAGGCATGGCCATGGCCCAGGCATGGGAACCTGCCTCGAGAGCGTTGAGAGCCTTGGTCTGCTCCATGATGGCGAAGACGAGGCGCAGGCCGTGGCTAGAGGTATGAGACGAAGAGGATGCACCGGCCGAGGAAGCTGGTTGTTTGTCAAGCTGTGCTCGGTCAAATCAAGCTTCGTTGATCGACGTCAATCAGTCAATCAGCGACGGACGGGGATAAGATAGACGGCCTGAGCGGGGCAGGCAACCAGGCAGGGAGGCAGGCAGGCAGGCAAGCCTGGCTGTTGGCTGTCTGGCTGTCTGGCGGGCAAGTTTAGCCTGGGCTCGCCTGTGTGGAGTTACGGGCGCACACAGTAAAATCCGGGGGGCGATTAGATTGTACACATTAGATACCAGACTACCAGGACTATCACAGCTTCGTGACCAGGGTCATGTGTCAATTGGCAATTGTGTGACGGCCTAAGGAGTGTTTGGGTGAGGTGGGTGTATCAAGATCAGCTCAAAACGCTCTTGAGACCTGAGGCTCTGGGGGCAGGGGTCTCGGTCGACGGCCGGGCCCCCTCTGCCCAGGTGGCCCTGCAAGGTAGGCAGGCAGTCTACTGTGCTGCAGTGTATAATAAAGATGCCTCCCCAAGCTCCCGTCGAAGCCACATCGGCGGATTCTGCGGGTGTGGTGACATGATCTGCAGCTATTGGAAGGTGTCGTCGATAGTCTGGTGCAGCGGACACTTTGGATAAACACCGGCAGACTGTTCCTATTGCGGTGGCCCCGGAGGCTCGGCAGTGCGGTTGCAAAGATAAAGAGATGCGTGCTGAGTGAGCCCTGGCCCGATGGCGAACACAGGCCTTGGCCGTAAAACAAACGACGGCCAGACCTCGAAACAAGAGCCGCCGCCTCTTGTCCTTTGTCCCCCTGGATACCTGCTGGCCTCAGACAACGACCAGGCGGATAGACAGAACGTGCTCATGCGCCCGACTGACTAGTGCCCTGGGGCCCCCGGTCAACCCGCCCTCCTTGTTCACATCACAAATCAAGGGGCCACCCCCCACTGCTGATGAATCCAGCGGCCCAGCCCTGTGTGCGGGTTCCAGGCTTGCACCACGGATTTCATTAGCCAGAAGGCCCTCGGGGCCCTCCCGCTGACGCCTCTTCTCTCTCGCTTCTTATTATTCTCTGATCCGCATCAGGGGTACTGGGTACCTGGATACTTCTAAACCTTAGCTCTCTTCCAGAAACGACAAACCTGCGACACACCTCAACCCGCCCGCCAGTGGTCACTTTAGACTCAGATCCCGCACTCCCGACCGAGTCAAACCCGACTGCCCTGCCGCCTTTTCTCCTCCTCCCCTCCTGTTTACAGAGCAAACCTTTTGACCTCTTCATGTCCTGCCTGTGTCACTTCTCGCTCCCGCCCACTGTCACCCTCCAGCATCCTTGAACCCCGACCGACTCCATCTTCCACGCCGCCATTTCTTCCGGGCGCACGCAGCCTCACGAGTCCTCGGCTCGCTGGCCCCTACTTGTACATACCTTGCCTGTACATAAGCTGATATCAGCCCCGGAAGCTGGTCTTCTGGTCTCCCCACCAGTCTATAATCCACATCTTCCTCTTCCAGAGACACATTTCCATTAGCCTGCATTGCCTATCTTTTCCCAGTCCCCAACTCCCAATCCCCAATGCGTTGCGACTCCATCTAGCATCGCCACGCCCTAGCTTCCGAGCACAGTCGGCCTGTCGACGACACCCGCCGCCTACAACCAACAGCCAGCGATATGGCTCCCTCACACATCAGCATTCCCTCTGGGCCATCTGGGGGCTTATTATTAAGTGCCCCGCCCTCAGCACAATGGGCTACCACCACTTTGAAAGTTGGCGGCATGACGTGAGTCTCCTGCCCTCAGCCTCAGCCTCCGCCTCCACCCCCGCCCCGGGAACCCCGTCGCCAATACTGACTGACTGATGATAGTTGCGGTGCATGTACCTCGGCCGTCGAGAGCGGGCTCAAAAACGTTGACGGGGTCGGGAACGTGTCCGTCAGCCTAATCATGGAGAGGGCTGTCGTTATGCACGACCCTGCGAGAATAACCGCCGAGAAGATCGCAGAGATAATTGAAGATCGAGGTTTCGACGCCGAGGTCCTCGCAACAGACATACAAACACCCAGGGCAAATGTCGACCATGCTTTTAAGGATGCCATGGACGACGGCGGCGTTAAATACGTTGGGACCGTCGTGGCCATCGAGGGCATGACATGCGGCGCCTGCACCTCCGCCGTCGAAGGCGCATTCAAGGACGTCCCCGGCCTCAGGTCTTTCAGCATTTCCCTGTTGTCCGAGAGGGCTGTTATAGACCACGACCCCGTCGCTTTGCCAGCCGACAGGATCGCAGAGATGATCGAGGACCGGGGCTTTGGCGCAACTATCGTCGAGTCGACGCCGCTGGAGCCTGAGAAAAAGACCAGCTCTGCCGCCTCAGCAAGGAATTCGTCATCAATAGTAACGACTGTTGCCATCGAGGGCATGACCTGTGGCGCTTGCACCTCAGCCGTCGAGTCTGGATTCAAGGGGGTGGAAGGCATGATCAAGTTCAACATCAGCCTTTTGGCTGAGAGGGCTGTGATTACACACAACCCATCGATACTGCCCTCGGAAAAGATCGTCGAGATCATCGAGGACAGAGGGTTTGACGCCAACATCATTTCAACCCAAGCCGAGTCAGCCGATGCTGCCGAAACCACGTCCACCGCGCAATTCAAAGTCTTCGGTGTACCGGATGCCACAGCCGCCACCGCCCTGGAGGGGACCCTGCAGGCTATGCCTGGTGTCAGCTCGGCCAAGCTGAGCCTTTCAACATCGCGCATGACTGTGAACCACCAGCCGCACACGACAGGTCTACGTGCGATCGTTGAGGCGGTCGAGAAAGCAGGTTACAACGCTCTGGTTGCCGACAATGATGACAACAACGCCCAGCTAGAGTCTCTGGCCAAGACGAGAGAGATCAACGAATGGAGACGCGCCTTCAAGACGTCCTTGTCCTTCGCTATCCCGGTTTTCTTCATCGGCATGATCCTGCCCATGGCTCTGCCCTTCCTGGATTTTGGATCATGGCAACTCCTGCCCGGTCTCTTTCTTGGCGATATCTTGTGTCTGGTCCTCACCATTCCCGTTCAGTTCGGCATCGGAAAGCGCTTCTACATTTCCGCATACAAGTCGATCAAGCACGGCTCACCGACCATGGACGTTCTGGTCGTCTTGGGCACCTCCTGTGCCTTTTTCTTCAGCTGCGTTGCTATGCTGGTGTCCTTCTTCTTCCCGCCTCACTCGAGACCGAGCACCATCTTCGACACGAGCACCATGCTGATCACTTTCATCACGCTCGGTCGATTCCTGGAAAACCGTGCCAAGGGCCAGACCTCCAAGGCACTGTCGAGATTGATGTCACTGGCTCCATCCATGGCGACCATCTACGCTGATCCCATTGCTGCCGAGAAGGCTGCCGAGAACTGGGACAACGTCGCGGGAAATGGCGAGCCAAAGACCCCGATGGCAGACGGCAATGCTGCTGAGGAGAAGATCATCCCGACCGAGCTCATCCAGGTCGGAGACATAGTAATTCTCCGACCGGGAGACAAGATCCCTGCTGATGGTGTCTTGGTCCGAGGTGAGACATATGTGGACGAGAGCATGGTCACTGGCGAGGCCATGCCTGTCCAGAAGCGCAAGGGCTCCAACCTGATCGGGGGTACCGTCAACGGCCACGGGCGATGCGACCTCAGGGTCATCCGCGCCGGCAGGGACACTCAGCTCAGCCAGATTGTGAAGCTCGTCCAGGATGCTCAGACAACAAGAGCCCCGATTCAGAGGCTGGCGGACACCCTCGCCGGATACTTTGTCCCGACTATCCTTGTCCTTGGTTTCGGGACCTTTGTCGTTTGGATGATCCTCAGCCATGTCCTCACCCACCCACCAAAGATATTCGAGGAGGAAGCCAGCGGTGGCAAGATATTTGTATGCGTCAAGCTGTGCATCGCGACCATCGTCTTTGCTTGCCCGTGTGCACTCGGCCTCGCCACTCCGACTGCCGTTATGGTCGGCACGGGAGTCGGTGCTGAGAACGGTATCCTGGTCAAGGGCGGAGCGGCCTTGGAGACCACCACCAAAGTTACTCAGGTTGTTCTCGACAAGACTGGCACTATCACATATGGCAAGATGACAGTGGCCAACATGAAGGTCGTTCCCCTCTGGCAAGATAATGAATGGCGTCGTCGATTGTGGTGGACAATTGTTGGTCTCGCGGAGATGGGCAGTGAGCATCCTGTTGGTAAGGCCGTGCTCCGTGCGGCCAAGACCGAAATCGGTATCGGCCCCGAGGACACCATCGAGGGCAGCGTTGGCGACTTTACTGCTGCCGTTGGCCGTGGTATTTCGGCCAGCGTGGAGCCGGCCACCAGCGCCGAGCGTACCCGGTACACAGTACTGGTTGGCAACGTCAAGTTCTTGCGTGAGAACAATGTCGACGTGCCCCCAGAGGCCATCGAAGCATCTGAACGCATTAATAAGGATGCTTCCTCTGGCAAGGCCGGCGATTCTGCTGGAACGACCAACATCTTCATCGCCATCGACGGCAAATACTCTGGTCACCTGTGTCTCTCCGACACGATCAAGGAAGGCGCGGCCGCTGCCATCGCCGTCCTGCAGCATCGCATGGGCGTCAAGGTGGCCATGGTCACTGGCGACCAGCCCGGCACTGCGCATGCAGTCGCTGCTGCGGTTGGTATCGCGGAGGAGGACGTCCACGCTGGTGTGAGCCCAGACCAGAAGCAGGCTATTATCCGCCAGCTCCGTGAGCAGGGCGAATGCGTGGCCATGGTGGGCGACGGCATCAACGACTCTCCCGCCCTCGCGACCGCCGACGTGGGCATCGCCATGAGCTCTGGCACAGACGTGGCCATGGAGGCGGCAGACGTGGTCCTCATGCGACCTGACGAGCTGATGGACATCCCTGCTGCGCTTCACCTCGCCAAGTCGATATTCAACCGTATCAAGGGCAACCTGGCGTGGGCCTGCATGTACAACATCATCGGACTCCCCTTCGCCATGGGAATCTTCCTGCCCTTCGGCTTCCACCTGCATCCCATGGCTGCCGGGGCGGCCATGGCGCTGAGTTCCGTGTCGGTCGTGGTATCATCGCTGCTGCTCAAGTTCTGGCGGAGGCCGCGCTGGATGGACGAGGCCGCGGGCCAGGCTGCCATGAACAGGAGGGCGAAGCGGCCTGGCAAGATGGACATGGTCAAGAACCTCGCTTCGGACGTCCTTGATCGCGCGAAGGGTGTCGTAGGCCGGAGGAGGAAGGACGAGGAAGGCTACGTGCCCCTGGCGAATCTGGCAGATGCCGAGGACAGAGTATGATTGGGTTGTTATCATTTTGGCCGGGAGAGATGGATAGCAGAAGCACCGCCACCTTTACGATTGTCTTTTCCCTTTTCTGGGCTTTGGGAACGAACCTATGTTGATGGCGTAACTGGCATAGCGTATACTTGAATGTATTAATCGACATCAAGCTTGTTCGGTCCGATCCAGTGTGATAGTTCGTGCCTCTTCAGTCAAGACTTGTCCAAATCGACCCTCGTACCTGGTCCCATTGTATTCGCGACCACAACATCGTATTGGACTGACTGGCTTGCTCTACCATTTCTTCTCGTTGAAGAGTGGATCCGGACTCTGGAAATTTATACACATTCAGCCACACAACATACCCGACCCATCAATCGCTCAAAACCAGTAAAGAAAAGAGGCTCCATGAAGTCGCTTCTCAAAGTGCGCGAGAATCGCTCAGTAGGAAGTGTGCCTCTAATAACGTGAAGGTGACTGGTGACGGGCACGTACGCCTTTTCCTTTTCCTCTCAAGTCCTTTTCCCCTTCACTATTTTCCTCTTTTTTGGGGGGGAGGGGGGCATTTGCTCTGCTGGGGTTCTTGCTAGAAATAGATTGTCAGACATTTGTAGGATTCGCTGTTCCCCACGCGGCCACAAGATACAGTGCATATGGATCGGTAGTGGATCACCACCAGCTGTCCAGCTTCCTACAGGACAAAGTCTCATGGAAACATCACTTATGGGATGAACTGCCGTCAAAATGTCTCCTACAGAACAACCTGCCGTGGGGGAGCCTTCCTTCGGGAAGAAAGCAACCAAATCACATGGCTTAGTTCTACACCAAGTTCGCAGTACTCGAGGATGTGGCTGGGTTATTGGGATGTTGTAAGTAGGCAAACGGTGGCAGCAGGACCGAAGACTGGAAGCGGTTGTCCACGAGACAGACAAACAGAGTCCTGCCCTCCAAGAAAGCAGATGACTTGGCAGGTCCGTTGGTCACGACATGGTGGCAACAGCATTGTGCACTTCTTCTGCATGGCAGACAACATTGAAGCTGCCAGCTCTCGTCGCGGGCGGTATTCGCAGCATGCAACATTACGACTTGGTTTTACTTGCTCATGTTGAGCCGTCTGATATGTTCACGCCTGCAGCGCTGACAAAGAACACGCAAAAGACAAATCAGTAAGCAAGGTGTAGAAAAACTGTTTGCCTGGGCATTATTCTTTCCTAGAGTATCGGGTCGGCAGGACGGTAGATAGGTACGTAGCAAATTTTCAACACCGACCGGAACCACCGGGTTTCCAAAAAGGCTACCCGGACCAGGGAGCTATCTCACCGAGAAACCGCACCCGGACGATGTTTCTCGAGGCATCGTTCTGAAAAGACCGCTCCATTGCAAGCGCGAGCCCTTGCTGGTTTCCCCGGGGGCTCAGACCCACTCCTCCAGGCAAAGGGAGAACCAGCCCGGGAACACTACGCACGAATCCTTCCGGCTAAATCACCACCGGTTGTCCCCATTGCGCACACGTCGACTGGCTCTTTCCCCACTGATAAGAATGGAAATTTCGAAGAGCGCGAGAGAGGTGTATCGGGGTATTAGTTTTGGCTAAAAGCTCAGATGTGGAGAAAAGGACAGGCTTGCTTTGTGCATCGCGGTGAATCATGAAAGAAACGAAAACACACAAAAAGGAGCTTTTCTAGTGGTATCATTTTGATATTTGAAAAAAGAAAACGTCGGAAACATGGGAGGAATAAAGGCTAGGGGAATGTCTCGAAAGATTCGAGGGCAGAGTTTGGGAATGTGTAGGTTTGAAGGAAGCCCAGCCCGCATCGGCGGCGATATTGGCGACGAAAGAAAGGGTGATATATCTGCAGACCGACGTGGTAGGTGAGCTGTTCAGGCAGATGATGTCGTCTTGGTATGCCCGTCACAGGCTTCCCGTCCAGTCATGTGTGTCGGCCTTGTCGTGATCAGTCGCGGGTTCCTAACGCGGGACTGGAGGTCGCGAGCCGGGGCCCTGGACACCCTCCATGTTGCCGGTCAGCTCGGCGACGCGCGCCTTGATCCGGGCTACACGTGACTCGATGGCTATTTGATTTTGTTAGTTGTCTGTTTGCGGTTCTGAGACGGTCATTCACTTACTCTCCTCACCACTGGTGTCTGATTCTGGCTCTGTCTTGGGGACACCTGGACGGTGCTGGTCGTCACTACGGCGCTGGTTCTGTTGCGCAGCACGCTCAGCGGCGTTCTTGCGTATCTGTGCCCATCGCTCAATGGCAGGCGCAGGACCCTCTTGTTGAGGCTCGAACTTGGGCTTAGGCTTGGCCTGGGGCTGAGATGATGGCTCTGGGGGTGCCGGTGACCTGTGGCGCTGAATTGGTGGAGGGGCCGCGTCGTCTTCTTCATCTGCCTCATCGGACGGGACAAATGCCGGCTGGTCTTGCAGAGGTCCTTGATCGAAGCGCGCGAATTCGTCCCGGGCTTCCTCCGCGTCTGCTGTGTCGACCCGGGACACATCGTCGTGGATCGACGGCTCGTAAGCTGGCTCGTGGTTCACCGGCGAGACCGGCTCGTCACGAGCTTGGGGAGGCGGGGTAGGCTGGGTTGTCTGGGTTGCCTGCGTGGCTGGCGTCTCAGCAGGTTGCGTCCTTGGAGTCTCATGTTTGGGCGTCTCGGGCTGTTCATGCGCCGTGGGCTCTGGCGTGTGTCTGCCCTGCTCCTGGGCGAGGAACTGGCTCATATCCACGGCCGCATTCTCTGGTAGCTGTGAGACCCGCTTGTTACGTCCGAACAGTTTCCGAAATCCGCCTTTCTTCTCGCCCTTGTGCAACTTCTTGTGTGCCTTGGGGCTAGACGTCTCGGCAGGCTCGGGTGAAATCATGTCTTCCCGTGCCAGGTCCACACTGTTGGGCTCCTCCTTAGGGATGGGAGGCAACGGGGAGTCGCGGCCGTTTTCTTTCATAGGCGGAGCAGGGCTCAGGGCCCCCTGCCGGTGATCCTGAGACTGAGCCGAAGGTGAAGGCGGCGGGAGAAGCGAAGAGGGGTACGAAGGCTCTTCTGCTATCGCGCCATAACCGTTTGATCCTAGATGTCCATTTGTCTGCATCGTGCTCTGCCCAATCCCACGCCCAGCGCTCGTGTTCGCCAAATAAGCGTCTCGGATAGAGTCCTTGTCGTATTTGTTTGCCCACTTCATGGCCGGCGAGGCCTCTTTCATGATCATCGGCTGCAGCGTCATCACACTCTGAGTCTTCTCCGCCATGAGCTCAGCGTCAGTTCGGCCGCGGCGAATGCCTTGGGCCAGCCCTGCTTCCCTTCTTTCACGCTCCTGCTTTGCCTGGAGTTGTTGCGCTGCGGCTTGGATCTTGGCCTGCTGGTCTGGGCCGAGGCTCGACTTGCTGATTGCACCCGTTGTGGAGCTAGGCTTTAAGTGGCCATCGCCTTTCTCGAGGACGTTCTTGCCGGCGGTAGACTTCCGCCGGGAGACACCACTCTTATCCTTGTCCTTGTCCTTGTTGCGCCTTGTCCAGCTGAAGAAGCTCTTCTTCTCGGCAACGTAGGCGCCCTCCTGGGGTTCGGGGGCGGCGCCCTTGATGACTTCCTCGAACACCAGCCACCGCCCACTTCGAATGACTGTCTCGATGACCGCACAGCGTCCAAAGGCAGACTTTCTCTCGGGTGTCTCTTCGGGCGCTAAGCTGATCATCCACACCCACCAGAACGCATCATCGAGGTCGACCCTGTTGATGCTGGCAAGCTCACCAGCTTCGACCTCACGCCCGGATTCTAGTCTTGGCCTGTGCGACTGGGCAGAGCGTTGGCGCACATTCGTATCGATCGGTGGAAGCACTTTGTCAGGCGGTAGGAGGACATTGTTGGGACCGTGGCCGCTGTCGTCAACGAAACCAGATGAGAGGAAATCAGCCCAAGATGGGGTGGTAGGTCTACCACCGAAACCAGGACCAGAAGCCGGGGCATTTCTCAGACCTTGTCGCTGCGGGCCTGGACTTATCGGTGGGTTCTCAAAATCGTCCTCTTCATCAAGTGTGCTCGTGAAACCTATGTCCTCAAACCTCGACCAAGAGGCGTCGCGCAGGCCCGTGGAGTGTTTCGAGCTGGATACGGATTGAGTCTGGTTGGCGGCTGCGACGGCTCGCAAGACTCGTCGACATTCTTCCGTCAGGGCTGCCACAGGATCCTCGTACTCGGAGAATTGCTGCAAAGACGACTCTCGGTACTGGAAATGATTTCCGCGTCGTAAGAGGGCAAAGGGAGTGGGTGAGACGGTTTCCACGATCATCACAACTTTGTAGGTGGATGACTGCATCAGCACTGGTCTCTTCGGCGGGTACTCGGTCTCCTGGAGAAGCTTCGAAAGTGACATGGGCAGCATAGAAATTGCACCTGGGGTCTGTTGTTGCGGGGCGAGCGTCCTGAGGTAGGCGAAGAAGAGGTGGCTCGTGGCGTCGGCGGCCCTGTTGACGGTCAGTCCGTGGGGCAGAGTATCAAAGGGATGTACGAGCTCACTTCAGCCACTCCTTATATCCACCGTCAAAACCGTTGCCGGTGTCTCTATGGTCAAAAGCCCACCAAGCTGCCATTCGGGACAGCTTACGGCCACCAAAACCGTTCATCTTGCCATGTGCAGCGACTGCGGCGAGCAAGTCGAAGAAGTTGAAGATGATGCTCGACCGGGCGCCATTCTCGACGCTCAACGGAATGAATGTCTTGAAAGAGTCCCGAGCCATATTGGAGTCTGCACGGTCTCCAGTCAGTCTTGTTCCCGTCGGCCCCTGGAGCTGCACCGCGCCGCATACCTTGTTCACCCACTTTGAACAGCTCGTAGGCATCCCAGCCGACCACGCCACCTTGCAAGCGACTCCAGCACCATTTGATGGCGCCAGCGATCACCTGTCGCAATGGTTAAAACCAAATCAGCCAGGCTCGGACAGACAACGTAACGTACCATTGGCTCAGCCATGCGCAGCTCCTGCGCCAAGGTCTCGCCGCGAAGTGCATAGTTGTCGAAGAAATGGCGTATGAAAGTCCGCACTGCGCTGGGATCTGACGTCGGCCGGAAGGGCAGTAACAGGAAAGGCTGATCGAGAGCTGCACAGTGAAGGGGGTTAGTTTTATTGCGCCCGAGCTAGTTGGACAAGAGTCTGGAGCAAGCACCGACACAGCGCAGAAGGAATGGGGCCTGGGGCTGCAGGGCGCATGCAGGATGCTTCGCTTGTCCAGAGACCGGCTTGACTTCATACCTCTTGACTTTATCTCCTCTGTGCACCGTTTGACTAGCTCATGGACCTCCTCCGGCTCGACCGAGGTACGGGCCCATGCATCGGTCCATCTTGGCTTTGCAGGCTGCTGGTCGGCGTCGTCATTTGCGCCCTTCTTCTTGGACTTGCCGTCCTTGCCCTTTCGTCGAGTAAACATGCCCATCGTGCCTCAGGAAAAGGAAGTCTTTCTGTGAGGCTCGTGGCAATGAGACATTCGACGAGTTGGCAGCGAGGGGGGTGGGGAGGGGGGAACGTGAAAGGGGACGATCTCTCGATAGGGTGGCGGGACGCGTCTCGGTCGATCGAGGCTAGGTGCGATCGGTAGCAGTGCTCGGGAAAATTAAAGTGGACGGATCGTCGACCTGGTCAATTCGACTGAAAGTTGCAGTAGCTGGAGTAATCTCGTTTGAGTCTGGTGCTGGATTACGGATCGCAAGGCGACACAGGGCGTGGAGTCGAGCAATGGGTGCGGCTGGCCACGACTTGGCGACGGTGGGTGAAGGGGAGGGGAGGCTATCGCGGCGTGGTGTGTGGGGGTATCGAAGAAGTAAAGATTGGGATGAACGTGGCAGGCGTCAGGGAATGCCACGAACATAGAGCAGGAAGAAAGAAAAAAAGGCCAATGCGGGCTCAAGAACAGCCTGCAGGGGAAAACGATAACGAATGGAATGAACAGAAGGAACTGAACTGAGAGATGTGAGAGAGTGAGAGAGTGAGAGGAAGGGAAAAAAGATTGGGTCGAATTGGGACAAGTAGACTTCAGGGGTACGGGCTGGAAGTGGGAATAGATGGACCAGTCGACACGGGATCGGATCTGTTCGCGCTCATGGATGGACGGACAGGTTGCAGTTGAAATTAATTGGGACGGGCCCTGTCCCTCTCATCTGTCAGTCGGCCATGCCAGGTCAAATCGAGACGGGCAAAATAATCTAGACAGGCAAAGGCAGAGTCGAGACAGGTCAAGTCGTCCGTCTCCTTGCCCCCCACCGCGAGCTCGACGAACCTGATACAGACAAAAGGGCGCCGAGTCGCGCAGATAGCCAGATACCGTCTCCTCTGTGCGCACCCGACGGCAGTCTGGCCAGATTGGGGAAGGGAGGGGTGCACTCACAGGAACCACAGTCCCGTCAAGCAGGTACAATGGCGGGCAAGTGACAAAGTGGTGGTGCAAGTATGGCCCTTCGAAATTACAGGGCGGCCGGCGTGTGTGAGGGGTGCGCGGTGCACAGCTCGGCAGACGGGCTGGCCCCAAGACCACCCGTTCTTGTCTGGGCCTGGTCGCGTTGGGCAGTGAGTGGATGTCCTTGTGCAGATGCAATGCAGGCCCTGTGGGTATGTGGTCTTGTTCTGTCTTGTCTGCTTGTCTGGGCGGTGGGTGGGGGACTGAGAGTCTGAGACGGAGGCAAGCGAGGCACCTCGACTTGGGCAGATGAGAGAGAGAGGCAGGCAGGCAGGCAGGCAGGGCCGCTGGATGCAACATCTCAATCTCAAACGTGGAGGATTGAGCCCGTCATTGCCCTGCAAAATGGCTGGCCCAGCCCCGCCCGCAGCTCCGTGGCCCTGCTCCTCGCCTTTGATGGTGTTTATGCGCGCTGGCCCGAGAGTCAGGACTGCCCGCATCAATAACGCAGAAGCTATGATGCTCCCCGACACACAGCTTCACGCGCCCATGGCTCGTGCCACAGGGATCCATAGTCCACCCTCTCTACACAGAGCCTGGCAGTCAGGCAGTCAGACAGGCAGCGTCTAATAACCATGGGCTCATGCATGATCGGCACCGACAACGACAGGCCCGGTTCGTTCCTCTGCGCGTTTCAACCCTCCCAAACCTTCAATGTCGTCCTACTACTCCGTGCTACCCGCACCACGGAACATTTGCCCGATCTACACTACATGCCTAGGCACTGTCTACAGGAAATAGCCACACTAACCAGCCTGGGCACAGCTGGCACAGATGCATGGGCCACCCTTTTGTGCTCTAATTTTAATTTGCGTCGAGGGCACTGACAGGAACCCGTTTCTTCAACAAGTCTGCATCGGTTCAGAAGAGATCCAGAGCTCCTCCTTAGTCCCACCACGGCGTCCCGGAATGTTACTGGCCTTTCCCCGTTTGGGCCTCGGCTCCTATCTCATCACACCACCCCTGTTGCCACCTGCAGCTGCAGCCTCTTAACCTTTTTAACGCCAGCACATCCACATCCAGCCCACCACGACGGTGCCAACCAGAGGCCCTGAGGCCCTGAGGCCCGAAAACACCAGGCATATCGCCAACGGTACCGTGGACGGGACTCAGAACCCCATTGGCCTCTCACCTGGCCACCATGGCGTGGGAAATGCGCTGGCAGCGCCTAATAATCTGCGAAATAAGAGCCACTGGTTTGCAGCCACCTAGCCAACTGCCAGGCCAATTGCGTGGCCCCGCATTCGTCCCTGGCATGGTTAGATTGTTCAAACTTAGTAATTACTGCCCAACAGTCGGTACAAGTTCTGTCTGTTGGCCTCATGTTCGCCGCCTTCTTGTTGGAATTCCAGCCTGTGAATCAAGCCCCTATGGGATTCCCTCCTACCTCTTTCCTCCAGAGAGACCGTCCTATATGGGCCGCAGTAACTTCCAGCACAAATCGTCATCACTTCAGATCCACAGCATGTTGTCGACCATGCGTGCCACGATGATGAGGAGCGCCACGACTGCCACGATTTAAGCTCATCTCGCGTGTGCTGTGGCTTGCGCCTTGCAGGTCAGCGTCGTCAAAGTGCCTTGCAGTCCCGCCCACCCAACTGCATACTGCCCACCCACCGTGAACCTGCTTCCGGTGGACACTCACTCGTCTTGGGGGCCAGGGCACCACTTTGGTTGGTGCAGTCCTTGTCCGGCCTGGTCGCTAACCAATCTAATCAGCGTGCGTATCTACCTATCTATCTATATCCATCTATCTGTATCCATCAACCACCATTGACAATTGCGCCCAAGTCGCATGCATGATGAGACTGTCTCTCACCAATGTTTCTGGTCGTTTCTGCTGCATATCATCATGCTCTGCCCGAAAGCCCAACCCCCCCCCCCCCAAAAAAAAGAGAATAAAATTGTCCCCCGACACCATTCCACGCTATAACACTGCTTAGTTGGGCGGCCCCGCGCGCATCCGATTCGCAAGTAGTTGGGCGTTGGGAACTCTCTCCATAACACCCGGGTACGAGGAGCAAAACAAAAACCTAAAAGCATAAACGAGCACGGTCCCAGCTGACCCGCACCAATGGCCCGGTACCGCAGCAGAGATGCACACTATTGCTAGGGAGAGCTCGACGGACCGCAGCCTTAGTGTCGCATACTCGACCATGCCTCCTTCCTTGGGCCTAGTCCCAGCGCCCGAGGCCACCTACGGAGTACCCCCCCTCCCCAAGATTGGCGAGGCGTTGCACACGATCCGAGGCTGAGAAAAATAAATTATCGGCCCGTTGCCACAAGCTGCCGCCAAACCCCATGGCATACACAATATGCTTTGCAGACCGTCCGCGAATGTCGGTTTGCTGCTCCCTTTCGTGGGTCAGGCGAGGTGGCTCCCTCCCCTCCCGCTCTGACCGGGCGCTGAGTAGGTGGCATTAATCTGAAACCACGACTTCATGCTTGACCTGCCTAGCGGAGCTGCCAGACGTCGGATGAACGAGGCACCCATGCCGTACCCGTGCCCCATTTCCCGGGACTGGCCGAACCAGATCTCGTCCATCGTTGCGCCTCGTCAAATGTTCCTACGTCGTAGTATACCAAATTTATCTCAGTGGAGCGTTGTGCCTCTTTGGGCTAGTATATTCTTCCCGCTCTTAGGTCTTGGTTCTAGTTAGGTGTACTTACTGTAGTATGCCCCCGGCATTCTAGTCTGCCGTGCTCTATGCCAGTCGATCATCCGGTGCCTCTGAAAATCCGTAGCTCTTCACCCTGCTGAAAAAGAAGGGCTTGATATCCTTGAGCGTGAACTCGTCCCACTCCTCCGCACTCTTGTTGTAGCTGTAAAACCCACGCCAAGCGAGCTTGTTGTTGCTCCCGGTCTTGCCCGCCGTGCGGAGCGCCAGCTCCATCCTGTACAGGTAGTTGCCCCCGCCGTCGGACTCGATGAACAAGTTGCCCTCCGTGTCTGCCAGGCTCACGTCCTTGTCTTCGTCAACAAAGTCTACCGCCGAGCTTAGCCTCCACCTTGCCCTCAGGGCGTGCTGCATTGTGCTGCTCGGCAGGTGGGCCATCGCGCCCTTCTTGTGCAGTGCCAGGGCCTCCTTGGTCATGTGGTGCACCACATTTGATGGCTCCTCGACCGTGCACAGCGTGATGGCCGTGCCGTCCCTGAAGAGCCTCAGGTACCGATAGTACGTGACTATATGTACGGGGGAATTCCATGCTAGGGAATTGGTCTGCTGTCCCGCCCTGATGTAGTTGATGGTCGAAATGTAGCACCCGTTAAAGCGTACCCGTGGCCGTCGTCGGAACATGCGCTGCCATGTGCGGTAGGTAGTTTTGAGTAGAGAAACAGTAGTGGCCTGGGCCTCTTCCTCGCGGCGACGGCCCGCCTCCGCTGGATCCTCCAGGAGGGTGTGCTCTTCGGCAAGAGATTGCCAGCTCACACTCGTCCGAAATTCATAATGCATCCCCGTGAAGCCGAACTTCGGGCCAAGGCATATCCGCTTCCATATGCTGTCCTCGGTGGCGACCAGCCAGGCGAATCGCTTGCACACCCGTGAGAGCCGCACATAATCACCAACATCTTCCACCGCGAGTTCTTGCAGAATGTGGATGAGGATCTCTTCCGGAAGTTCAGCGATAGGGCAGGGCGGCTGCGGCATGCCTTTGATATACGGCTGAGCGGGCTCAATGGACAAGCCGGCAAAGCTTGCGACGAGTTCCGCTGCTGTTAGAGGCTTACTCTCGGCAGAGGACTGACCACCCTTAGATGAATTATCCTCCGCGGGAGGCTGTGGCGCATCTCGGACCACAGGAGGGCCCGATTTACTCGCCTGGGCTGGTTTCGCCCAAGCTGCAGCATGGTGCTTGTTCTTGTATTTCTGATCGACCTTATGATCCATCTGGGCCATGCCACCATTAGCAAGGAGATAAGTCAAGGTCAGAATACTACGGCACGTACCCTGAAAGCCTTCCGATACAACCGCAGGCTGTCACCCAGTGACCCCTGGCCTTCCTTTTCGACAGCATGCTCGTAGTGGTCAAGAGCGGTCACGGGGTCTGCAACGTTTCGCTCAGCTTGTCGCGCCGCCGGGTGTGGCTCTATGTCACCAAAAACCCTGACCTGCACATGGTCATCGTCGGTTTCGAGAACCTTTGGCCTGCTGGCGCTGAGGTGGGCTGGCCGAGGCGGGATAGATGCGGCGGGTTGCGAGCTGTTGGCAGTGTTTGTGCTCGATGAGGCATGTTCTTGTGAGCCGGATGACACTTTGTTCCTCGCCCGAACCTCGGCACGCCACTTCTCACGAAACGATTCAAGCTCTGGGTTGGCGTCCTGAGAGTCCATCGCTGGCCGGCTTTGCGCGGGTCTAGGCTGACCTGCTTATGAATACATCAAGCGGGCCTTTTAGGTTTTGGCTTGTGGTTGAAGGTGGCCTTGGGGTGATATCCGGAGTTATGGGATTGCTGATAAACCTTCCTACTCGAGCTCTACAAATACACGTGGAGGTGGTGGATTCGGCTGAGGTATAGGCAGACGTGTGGGTAAGCGGCAGGGAGTCACCGGGCAAGTAAGTATCAATCGATGAGGTCGTTCCGACGGCCGTCATGACGCCTTATCTTATCTCTGACGGACCTCAAAGGGGACGGGATCATGCAGACGGTTACTCCACCTGCCCACCTGCCGTCCCCAGGCCGTCCCCAGGCCGAGGCATGCGGGACGTGCAAGCTGCAGGGATCAAAGAGCTTATCCAGGGACCTAAGTTCTTAAGTACCTGAGTATCTTGTTGAAAGTGATCACTTTGCAGTCCATCCCGCAATTCATCGCAAGGTGCCATGGTAGCGGCGGGTGTTGTGTAATAAAGGCCCCGCTCAAGATAGCAACATGGGCTGGGATGTGCAGGAAGATGCCCTATAGAATAGAAGGGTTATCTGGAAGCTGGCTACTGCGCAGGAAGTCGGGGTATAGCAGGTTATGAGCTGGTAAAGTTTATTATTGAAGGGGTTAGCGAATAGCAGTGCTTCTTCTGTAGTGCACCCCACGGCATTTCGGGATCTGTTGTGCTCCAGCTGCGGTAAGTAACGGCACAGGTGGCGGTTTGCCGTGGAGATCTCGTGCATTCGAGTCAAATCCAGGCTGACGGGTACCTAGCAGAGACGGGCAGCCGATGATACTATGAAATACGATCTTAGGGCTGCTAGCCTGTGCCGGCTGGACAATGGCTTCAGAGGCACCGATATCGCCGAGAGCTTGCGAAGCCCATCTGCGTCCGGCCCCACCCAATCAGCTGCCATTGGCCACTGACATCATCGAAATGCAATTGGGACCCTTGCAAACCGAGAGGGAATCGCCGGAAGCTATTCTGACTCTACTGGAGGGCGGGCATTTCAGGGAAAAAAAGCATATCGCAAAACCCGACACAACACCCCTCCCATGCCTCCCAGCACAACTATTGACTGCTGCTCCTCTCCACAACGTACCACCAGTGCAGCGCGACACACACTTTCGGTGCCTTTCAAGGCCCTTGCCTCTCCCAGATTCACGCATCGTGCGTGACTGGACCGACATAACTGAGCCGGCTGTCCTCGTCGCTGCGCGCCTGTGCGCTGCGGTGCTCCCGATATGGCCACCGTTCTGCAGAGCAGCCCGCCCGGGCAGAACCACGACCGGTTCGATCACACAAACGAGCTAGGCCCGCGAAACGCGCTGCTTCCTAGGCAAGACAGCGTGGACGGCGGCAGCGGCAGCGGCAGCGGCAGCGGCAGCGGCACGATCCCCGACATCACGCCCTTCCAGAAGATGTTGTCTGCGACCACGGGGAGTCTGTTGACTGGACTGACGAGTATGAGCCGAGTCTTGCATCACTTGGTCGCGGCGGACACAAGGCTAATTGCAGGCAGTGACACCCCTCGACGTCGTCCGAGTGCGCTGGCAGTCCCAGAGCCTGAGCCAACAGCAGCACGCCCCGAAACTAACAGCCGAGCCTCATCACTTCGCCCTCAAGTCCGCCGAGATGTTCAGGCCTCCGAACCTCGGCGTCACCTCTTGCTGCAGGGAGGTCTTCTTCATGAACAACAATGCTGAAGTTTGTGTCGTCGGCCCGCACGTCGACGGGCCCGCAAGGGTAGACTGTGCCGTACAGGAGACCCAAAAGAAGACATTCACATCTACGCTCGATGGCATGCGCAAGATCGCCAGGAACGAGGGATTCTTCACATTGTGGAGAGGCCTGTCACCCACGTTACTCATGGCCATCCCCGCCAACATGATATACTTCCCGGGATACGAATGGTTAAGATATGACAAGAACAGCCCTGTTGCCAGATTAAATCCAAACTACGCGCCTCTCGTGGCTGGTATCCTCGCACGCGTCGTCGCAGCCACGGCCATCGGCCCGATGGAGCTATTTCGAACGAGGCTCCAGGCTTCTCACGGAGAGACGGCTACCGGCCACGTCAAAGACACCCTCAACAGTATGCGGGCACAGCTGAAGACGCACGGTTATCGCTCATTGTGGAGGGGACTCAGCCTTACGCTATGGAGGGACGTGCCGTTCTCTGGGATGTACTGGTGGGGCTACGAGACGATCCGGGGGAAGCTCACAGACGCCAGGGAGCGCAACAAGGGACGGACTACGGTTGGCGGCACCAGGGCGCGACGGCTATCGCAGAGCAACGAGAACCACCGCGAAACCTTTGTGGACAGCTTTGTCGCGGGATCCATGTCAGGAGCGCTTGCCTGCATCGCCACCATGCCTTTCGACGTCGGCAAGACGCGCACCCAGGTGTACCACGAGAGCGGGAGAAGCGTGGCTGGCGAAGCTGTGAAGGCAGGCGCTGCGCCCGAGGAGCAGACAATGGTTCGCCTGCTGCAGCACATTGTACGGACGGAGGGGCCATCCGGCCTGTTCAGAGGATGGCTGCCGCGCGTAGCCAAGGTGGCGCCCGCATGTGCGATCATGATCAGCAGCTTCGAGATGGGCAAGAAGATCTTCCGGGACGTCAACGAGCGGTCGTCAGAATCGCACACTGAGCTCGATGTTGAGTAAGCAGCGGTCCGACTCGAACATCTCCACTTGATGATTATGGCATTGTAAGGCGTTGAAAAGGGGGTTTGATCTATACAAGGCGTTTAGCAGCTGGGGTGAGGAGTCATTCCGTGCCCGGTTTACCTCAGATACCGATGGCATATTTGCGGCTTGAATGCCCTACAACAGAGTATTAAATACCAAAAAAGCTGTATAATGAATACCATCACCGACCTTGCAAGGTCGGCATCAGGACGAGGGACCTACCTATCGATAGTACGTACCACCGCATTACGGACACAATTAGGATACAACCTTCATTGGAAGTGTGGCGAGCAGAACGCGATGACGACGCCCACGGTCCACAGAAACTCCAATGAAGCAATCTGCAATTTCCCCAGATCTCCGAGGCCCCTGCGGGAGCAAGAAAGCTGCGAGCTTGTTATTTGTTAGCCCTGCAAGCCTGCGTCGTAACGGGATCTGTTGCAGCCTGCAGGCGTGCAGTTGAACCCGTTGGACTCCCTGGGCAAATCACCCTGAATTTAGGTGGGGTTCGGTGCAGGGGGGGCCTGGCAGCTGCCGCTCCCTGCGTTCCCTGCGTTACATTTGGGAGGCTCCCCACAGGTGGGCATCGAACATCAGACGTGCAGGACGCCTGTAACCCTCTGGCCCGGCCCACTGACAGGCTCAGCCTCTGGGCTTGGCCCGGGCAGGACTACGCAGGTGATCTCATCCACCAAGCTCCGGGTATCATCTTCATTTCTTTGCGTCTACGGCGGGCAGGCCTGGGCTGCGATCTCAGCTCAGTCACCACTTCCACCACCATCCCGGTTGGCTCATGCTCCCGGCACCTGTTCCTTGATTGGGCTCCCTACCTTGTCGCCATCCCGTCCTTGCATTCTGGCCCATGTGCCTGCTGATGAATCGCTCTGTCAGTTGGCTCTGTTCCGTCCTCTTTGCGAAAAGAGGGTCTCGGCGCCGACAACCTTGATATCTGGACGCCCCTGCCCTTCCAAGAACTCGTCCTTTAATCTTCAACTGAATCATTCGGCACGAGGGACTCCTTCCTTTCGATTTTTACTCCACGACATTACGAGACCACGACTACGACAAGAGGCCAACATCACAGGCTCGCGCGTGCAGACTTGATCTTCACCTGACACGCCGGCGCGGCACCCAAGCTGCGACTCCCGAGGTAGCCGGTCTTCTCCCTGCTGCAATACCATAGAAGACGAAGACATCAGCGCTGGCTTGTTACGGAATCAGATCGTAGAGGCCTCGGACAGCCTGGGTACTATGGCGTCCTCCGCAGGGCAGCCATGGACGGGGGGTCTCACAGGTGCAGGCAAGTTCCCGGATCGTCGGTGACACGGCCTGGGCGCACACTTTCCATCTGCTAACACACCACATAGCCAAGCTTGAGGCGGTTAAGAAGTTAGTGGAAAAGCTCACAACCGACCTAGAGAAGCGGGACCTTACGACTGAGCGTGAGTTATCCCATACATTCTCTCTTCATGAAAAAGCATGGCCCCTGACAGTATCTAGAACGAGATGCCGCCCTGGAGGAAGTCAAAGTTCACGGCAGAGACCCAAGGAACGCAGATCCCATTTTCACCAAGGAGGGTATAACGACGCTCACACGGCATGCATTTGACACGTCTACCATTACGACCTCACACAATGCCCTGAGATGTTTGGCCAACGCAATGCTGATCAAGCCTGAGGCAAGGCAGGTCTTCGTCGACCTAGGTTGTGAGGCCAAAGCATGCACACAGCTCAAGCGGGACACCTGGGACGATGAGTTTCTCTGCTCGAGGGTGATCTTCCTCACCACCTATGGCACCAACGTCGACCTGGCCAAGTTGATTGATGAGTATGGGCTCGCGACTACTATTATTGCGAAGCTGGCGAACCATGCAAAACTGGCCTCGAATCCTGGAAAGGCACAAGCAGACCCGATGCAAGATATGGCACTGGGGGACACGCTGAAGTTGATGTTCAACGTTTCGCATTTTTGCAAAGCAAGGGTCGAGTCCTTCACGCCGGCTGTGCCTCACATCCTGACCCTACTTACGAAACGAGACATTGGACCCTCACGACCACTGGATGGCCCCTTCAGCGCTCTTGTGAATGCTCTGGTTAATCTAAAACTGGAAAGCAGCGAAGCCCAGGCAGCTTTATACCCACAGGGCGACCAGCGGGCATTGGCTGTGGAGAGACTAACACATCTGCTCGACCTCTCCATGCGATCATACAAAGACGCTGATCTCGAGCAGATTGTCACCCCACTGGTTAGCGTTCTGCGCAGCATACACGAGAGTGCACCAGACGACGTGCAGATGATAATCCGAAACAAATTGCTCCCAGCCAAAGACGACCGAGAAACAGTCCTTGGGCGCGGAGAGTCGCTGCCGGCAAGGTTACTGCGCAATTCGACCAACCCGCTGGCACCACAGTTCCGAGACGTCATCTCGCATTTCATGTTCGAGCTGTCCGACAAGGACGCCACCAAGTTCGTCGAAAACGTGGGCTATGGCTTTGCGTCTGGCTTCTTGTTCCAGAACAACATCCCTGTGCCGCAGAATGCAGTTGGGGCAGACGGCGCGGGGCCTAGTGGGAGACCAGTGAACCCCATCACGGGGCAGTTCCTGGATCAGGAAAGTGGCCCCGATCTCCCAGAGATGACTGACGAGGAGAAGGAGAGGGAGGCCGAAAGGCTGTTCGTGCTGTTCGAGAGGTAAGCTGACAAAGCCTGTGGCCAAAGTTGATTGTGTATTTGTTGACGCTAATAACTTGGACAGGCTCAAGAAGACCGGCATTGTAGATGTGCAGAATCCCGTGGAGCAGGCTTTTCGCGAGGGTCGGTTTCAGGATATCAAGGATGACGAGAGGGTTGAGGAATTGGACTAAACCGTTCGGTCGCCGTAATGACACTGTCTTGATACGGGGCGCCAGAGGGCCTGGCTGAAACTCGTTGCGGCTGCTGAGAGACTTGTGTCAACGACATATGTGGCCCTGGTACAGCGACGTGGATGAGGCCCTGTCATATTGTTTTCGGGTGAGGTCATATGGTAGTCGTATAGAAACAGTACCATAGACCGGCATAAGAGCACTTCAGATGCGTTATTACTGTGACGCCACCGTATCTTCCAAAGAGCTGCATGGTGAAACGGTATATCAGAGCCCCTATGGCTTGCTGACATCTTGTCTGCCGTCTTATGGGAGGCTGTCCTGCAGGAGGCCCGGAGGTCATCGTACAGGAGGCTATCGTAGAGGAGATTATCATGCTGGATATTATCGTCGGAGGCTGTCTTACACGATAAAGTCGGCTACTAAGGATTGCCTAGGGGCCCGCTATGTACATTGTGATGTGCCCGCGCAATGGATACACACTGGAGCAAAGCTCGTCTTACAATAGCACGTTACGAAGGGCCATAAATGCCCATAGTCCGCAGCTGTTCCAGTGGAATGAGTTGAGTCCCAGATGGATAGGACTGTCATCTGCACTTTTCCTTAGCTGATTGTCTCATTTCCCTTCGTAACGGTTATGCACAGTAAAGTGCAAAGACAGAGCCCCATCTTCCCCCGCCCCCCACGCCTATGTACCCCGTACCTACGAATGGGCGACGTACCTGCTGGAAGCACAACGGTCGGGCCGCATGTCACTATGATGCCCCCAGATTGTCTTGCGCTTTCGAACACCCATCGTGAAGCTACCCGACTTCAAAAGTATTTAAATCGTGTCGTGTGAATCCAAATATTGCACAATAAACACGGACAAATCTTTTCGACCACGGCTTGGTTGTTGGGATCAAGGTGAGCCCTCTTTAAGTGTTAACCGAATTCACCTCTTGGGTGCTGAGTCTAATAACAGTTAGCGTGCGCTCAACTGCACCAACACTCTCGTTGCAGCGCACTCGCTCTGGCACAGTGTTTACTGCCTACCTACCTCTCCTACCGCGAACCTGGCACCACCTTCTTTTATCAATCTCGCCATCTCGCCCATCAATTGAGTCTCGAATCAACTTGAGGGACAAATGATTTCGCGCCACTCCATCTCCAGTCCAACGAGCCTCTCGTTGATTTTTCTGTAAGTCTGAAATTGCAGCTTTTGCGCGTGCGCACTCCGGCGAGCTGCTGCTTTCCCATCACGACGCGACCTACTCATCGCCTGCCTTACTGCCCTCGTGCGCCGCCTCAGACTCATCTCTCCAGTCGCGCCTTTCGGCACACCATCTCTAAACATCGTACAGTTTTGCGCTTTAGTGGAGCAGCGTCTTGGGGTCCTCAACCCAGACGCGCTGTCCAAGACGGCAGACTATCTGAGCCCGCGCAAGTTCGCGTCACTCATCGGCCGAACAATCTTCAATAGCGGCGGACCCTCGAGGCCCTCGCAACAGGACACGATGCCTCCTTTCGTCGAAGACATGTAAGACTACCCGCGACCAAGTCATGCCTGCTGCCACGTCCCGCTGTCCTATCACGGCGCCTCCAGCTCTTCCCAGCCCCTGTTGCGCGCGCGGGGTCGCATGGCCAGTCTCAGCTGATGTGTAGCTTCGCAGGGAGGAGATGATGAACGAGCCGCCGATGACCAACATTGGCACAGACCTGTTCGACAACTTTGCCAACTTTGACGACGACGAGGAACCTCTCGACTCGGGCCCTATTCTCCCCGACATTATGAAGGAAGAGCTTGCGCAGACCGTCGTAAGCATCGAGGACGAAATGAACGGCAACAGCCATGATTCCGACGACGACAACGAAGACGGCGCCGACGAGGACCTAGAGAACGGACACGCCGCCGAGGCGGCCGTGGACGTGCCGACCCCAGCCAAATCCAAGAAGGCAGCCAGCGCAAAGAAGGCCGGCCGCCCCCCCAAGGGCGCGTCGCGCGTGTCCATCCCGGCCAAGACTCCAAACTCTGCCAAGACGAAGGCGGCTGGTGGCCGTAAGCGCAAGGTTGAGGAAGGCGCAGAGGAGCCCGTCGCCAAGCGGCCCAGTCACGGCCGCGCTACTGCCGCGGCCGCGATGGAGGGTATCAAGGAGGCGAGTAAGAAGCGACCGCGCGCTGCCCCTGGGACCGTCAAGAAGGAGGTACGTCTACAGCCACTTATTCCTAGCTTTCGCACTGTGCTGGGGAAGATGCTCGTTACTGACAGTCTTCGGGCTACCCAGGCACCCAAATCTGGTCGCGGCAGACCTGGCCGAAAGCCCAAGGTCGAGCAGGATGGGCCTGCGGCCGAGGAGTACGAGATTGAGGACATTTTGGACTCCGGCATGGACCATGATACGAAGCAGGTCCTATTCCTCGTCAAATGGAAAGGCTACGGTGACGAGGCCAACACCTGGGAGCCCAAGACCAATTTGACGCACGCGAAGGAGCTGGTGAAGGAGTTTGAGACAGCCAAGAAGAAGGAAGAGAAGGCGGAGAAGGCGGCAAAGAAAGGAACGACTGCTGCCAAGAAACCCGCACCAGCAAAACCAGCTCCACGCAAAGCTGCTGCGAAGGCACCTGTCAAGAAAACTGCAGCAAAGGCAGCTCCTGGGCGTCCGGGGCGTCCTGGCCGCCGCGGTCGGCCCAAGAAGACGTAGGGCTCGCCAGGTCAAGTACTGAGGCGCGTCGACGAAAACCAACCGGGGGGGGGAGCTGTGGGAGGCCCAACATTTGACATTCGGCGAGTCGGGACACGATGGCGCCGTCGAAATTTGGAGTGGGCTATAAACGGCGTTGCGTTTAGCAGTCCGCGCCCTTGGATTTTGAGTCTTTGGTGGATGCAATTGGCTGGAATATGAGGACTTCTGCTTTGAATTGTTTGCTGCAGAACTTTGGCTCTGCACCGAGTCACGGATACCCCATAGCTGGAGCTACTCCCAGAGCAGCCCTGCAAGGATCCGATGTACCGGCAGGTACTGGAAAAGGTTGGTGCTGTGGTCAACTAGTGACAGGCATCAGGAAAGCGGGAGAAAATGTACAAGAGAAACCATGAGTGATCAAATTTGGGTGAAAACCAATGCGTCTGGAAGCTGTCTGACATCAGGGTCCCCGGGGTACCTAGCTAGGGTGCCACCCAATCATACCAGCCCCTTGTGTCAGCTCGGCCCCACAGTAGCTGAGTACTCCGTACAGCTCTCGGGCACTGCGGGCGGGAAGTTTTGACACTTGTCTCCCGAGGACCATCACACCATCAACCGCCCGTCGACCCGGCCGCCCCAACATCCGCCGCCCAAGCAAGAGGGACGTAGCAGCCTGCTGGCCCCGACCTGTCGCTGCACGAACCAGCACCCCTGAGCGGGATATCTCCCAACAGCGAAGATGGAATCCCTCCGCGACACGCTGCAGCCCTTGCTGCAGCCCATCACGCACAACCTCCCGGCGCCGATCCGGGACCTGGGCGTGTCGCTGATCGGCGACAAGTGCTACTCCTCGCTCGTGCTGGACATCGACGTTGCTGACGAGGCGTGCCTGAAGCTCGCCGTGTCCAAGGCGCTGGGCGTGGGCATCGTGGCCGCGTCGTCGGTGGTCAAGGTGCCGCAGATCATCAACCTGGCGCGGTCGCGCTCCGCCTCGGGCGTCAGCTTCCTCTCCTACCTGCTCGAGACCTCCAGCTACCTCATCTCGCTGGCCTACAACGTCCGCAACGGCTTCCCCTTCTCCACCTACGGCGAGACCGCCCTCATCCTCGGCCAGAACATCGTCATCACCGTGCTGGTCCTCAACTACAGCGGGAGGGCCGGCCTCGCAGCCCTCTTCGTCGCCGTGCTGGCCGGGGCCTTCGGCGCTCTCTTCACAGAGGGCTTGCTCGACGCCAAGACCATGGGCCTCCTCCAGGCCGGCGCGGGTACTCTGGGCGTCGTGAGCAAGCTGCCTCAGATTGTCGCCATCTGGCAGGAGGGTGGCACGGGCCAGCTCAGCGCTTTCACGGTGAGTCTTGAGGCCGGCACGTCCGGCGATAGAATTGTCTGGAAACACAGAAGGCTGATCTTATCTTTGAACAGGTCTTTAACTACCTGCTCGGCTCGCTCGCACGCGTCTTCACAACACTGCAGGAGGTGGACGACAAGCTGATCCTGTACAGCTTCATTGCGGGCTTCGCACTGAACCTCGTACTCGCTCTCCAGATGCTGTACTACTGGAACCAGCCGTCGGCCAAGGCTCTGGGGAAGCGGAAGGAGAAGGTCCCGCAGCCCATCGCGGCGTCTTCGTCTGCCAATTCCGCGACAGGCTCCTCCACTGCCACTACTACTCCGAAGAAAGCGCCCACGACGCGCAGGCGGGGTTAAGAAGCACGCGAGAAGGCCAAGTCAGGGGCGTTGAGGCGTCTTCACGAGATCAGACATTTTGTGGTGATTCAACATGGAGGTGGATGGGGGAGGGTGCAGGAGGGCACAATCTAATGGCTTGTCAGCCAAGACCTACGGTAGTTAGATCTACACAAATGTCAGACCTTGATTCCTAGCTCATGTCCGCTTTGGGGAAGCCCGCGATAGCCGTCAGCCCGTCATCCACAATGCTGGCCTTCGGGTATTCCACTCCGACGGGTGGTCAGGCCCACGGCGCCCGAACTGACTCGGCCAGCCCCGGTGCAGGAGGAGGAGGAGGAGCACTAAGCCAGGGGTGGTTCGCGGATTGCTGCAGACTGTGCAAACCTGCGCAAGGGCACGACGCTCCCGCGCGAAGATCGAGATTGGGCGGATGCTTTCGATTCGCCTGGGCACGATAACAAATGCGCACGTCTCGCCCTGCTGGTAGGCTAGAGCGCGGCTGTCGGCGGGATAGCCGCTTCAAGATGCCCGATATAGAGGGGAGGGATGAGCTGTTCACTCATGCAAACAAATCACCAGACTCGATGCTATCCGGCCGAGCCGTCGAGCCTGATGAGAATGCTCCTTGGCCAGAGACGGGCACGTGGAGGGAGGAGAGGGGGATGCAAGACGCGGTTCGGGGGCGCAGTAGCGCATCGACCGCAGGCGAAGGTTTTGGTGCTGGCAATGTGGTGTTTGCGCAAAACTATAGGCCTGAGATTGTGATGAGCTGTGTCTTTGTGTGCGTGTTGAATGAGTTGTTCTAGACCGGCGGCAGACGTTTGCTACGACGCTCTGCATGCGAGGCTTGGTCCGCCGGCTTCGGTCCCCGGTGGACGAGTGATTCGCTGCGAGACTGGTGATCCTTTCGGTGTTGCCCATCCGCCCCCGATTAATTCTTCCCCTACAGATGATCATCAACGGGCAGACAACTCAAGTCAGGGAGATAACGATCGGTGTGATCAGTGGAGGAGGGACCTGGCCACAGCCCTGGTCAAGCTATCAAGCAGTCAAGGTGATGCCGGCCCTCGTGGGCGGTCTTTGTCAGTCGGATATGTGCTGCATAATCTGGGCCAAGGCGGCTCTTCCAACCCCTGCCTGGTCCACCAAGACCGGGGGTCGCTGAGAAGGCCTGGCGAGGCTTGGATCTACACACACGTGTACCGGGTCTGTCCGTCCGACAAGCCTCGCATGTGCATGTCAAGTCATCTCATCCAGACCCCCCTCCTTTCTGTTGGCTCATCGCCGTCGGTGAGCTTTGGGGAAACACCTGCGGGTCTTGGTTTCCTCTCACGTGCGCTTGTTATCTTGCCTGCCTTGATCTGCGGCGTGCCGAGTGGCACCAACGGATGAATGGTGTTGCGGACGGTGGACCGCTGGAAACGGAGCAGAGGGAGGTGAGGTCAACCAGGCGACGAGGGCTTTCATGGCGTCCCCTTGCTCGTCACTCACCGCCCCCGCCAATTGGGCCAAGGAGCATTGGCTTGAAGAGCCAACGGCGATGCCATGGATACGTGACCCATTTCTCCCGACCTGCGGCCGTCCACGTAATGCTGTGTGTGTTTCCCTTATTCCAAGGCTTACACCATATCGTCGGTGCAGGACGATCGTCTACAGGCTGGCCTCTCATGGTCCCTGCGATCCTGCCTGGGATGCTGGTTCAGGGAAACTCTTCTGAGATGACATGCAACCTCTGGGTCAATTGGTCTGGGAGACCTCACATGATTTCGTCCTGCATCGGATAGGTGCTCTGATGGTGACACGACAGATAGAAGAAACCAAGGCGGTCGGAGTAGATTTGTTGTCCAATGCACAGGGCATATCTTGGCACGGAAAGGGTCTACTCCTATCATTACCCCAATTCCAAGCAGTCAGATTCCCCCCAGTCGGTTCATGAGCCTGGACCCCTAGACCCTAGACTACCCCAACAAGGCGGAGAAGAGAAGGCGTGGGACGACGAGGCGGCAGGGCGGGCAAGGAGACTGGCTCTTTTTTTTTTGGTCTTTCTGGGAAGGCTGAGGAGGTGGGTCTGCCCGTGTCTGTCTTTCTGCTCATGTGCCCTTTTCCTCCCTCCCTTGTCCTGTCCACCTTACTCTCTCTCGTTCCGCCCCAGATTGCTGACGACTGCGTACAACAAGACGTGCACGGAGTAGAATCCAAGGCCTTAAATGAATTACAATCAAACCAATCACGGCTTCTCACCACCCTGTCCTGTCTCACCGCATCAACAACCCGGTCCCGCCCCAAGCTAGCCGTCCTGGCTTGGCCTGATCTATAAAAGGTTGAGTCAGGCCCCGTTCAAACGCGTTGACCACATTGTCCAGGAGAATTGCGTGATCAAAGCCGTGGATCATCATTTTGCGCTGCAAACAGTCTGGAAATACTACACACGGCGTTTCTTGTTTGAGAAGGAGAACTCCCTCGTCACTTCACCCTGCACCAAATCCCCACCTGTATCTCTGTATCTCTCCGTACCCATTGGGAAGAAGGAGGCTATACCGTACAGTCGGAGCGTTTCATTACGCATACGGTCAGCCGTTGCCATCGCCGGGCTGAGACGCACGCACACACGCAACTATTGGGCTCCTTCCTCAACCCGGCCTCGGTCATCCTCTGGTCATTGCTCGGGAGACACGGAGGCGACTTGGAAAGGATTCATAATAAGGCGTGACGGACGGGTCGTCTTGGGCTACTCTTCTACCGCTTTTATCTGATCTAGGCTTGGTCCATTCTTCTGATATCAAGTTTCACGCACCCACCCCGCGCCGGCTTCACACCACCACCATCACCACCACCACCACATTTTCTTTTCTGCTGCATTGCGTGTTGCTTGTCCTTTTTCTGTTCCGAGATATCTGGGTCTAGTTTACTCTCTGGGTTTGCAGAGCTGTCTATACCTACACACAGATACAATGGCACCCGACTTAAACTCTCTCCCTTCGTCACCAAACCTGACGAAGGAACAGACTCCCTTCAATGGCCAGGGCAATGGTACTAACCCCAGCTTGGGCAATGGCACGAAGCGGCCCAACATCCTGTACATCATGGCCGACCAGATGTCGGCGCCCCAGCTGAAGATGTACAACCCGGACTCCCAGATCAAGACGCCCCATCTTGACAGCCTCGCGGCAAGATCCGTCCAGTTCGACTCGGCCTACTGCCCCTCCCCACTCTGCGCGCCCTCGCGTATGAGCATGATCTCGGGCCAGCTTCCCATGAGGATCGGGGCCTATGACAACGCAGCTCAGATCGGCAGCGATGTCCTCACATATGCCCACTACCTCCGGCTGCGGGGCTACCACACCGTGCTGGCCGGCAAGATGCACTTCGTCGGCGACCAGCTGCACGGCTATGAGACCCGCCTCACCAGCGACATCTACCCGGGCGACTTCGGCTGGGCCGTGGACTGGGACAACCCTGAGACCAGGCTCGAGTGGTACCACAACGCCAGCTCCATCAAGCAGGCTGGAGTCTGCGTCCGCAGCAACCAGCTTGACTATGACGAGGAGGTCATGTACAAGTCCACCCAGTTCCTCTACGACCAGGTCCGGAAATCCGATGATCGACCTTTCTGCTTGACGGTACGTTTGATAAAGGAAGACGGAAAAATATCAGTATATGGATGGCCAGACTTTGAGCAGCCATGACATAACCGTAGATTTTGGAACCACTATGCCCAACGTTTTGCTGACAGCGCTGCTTAATTGTGTAGGTTTCTCTCACCCACCCACATGACCCCTACACCATTGAGAAGAAGTACTGGGAACGGTATGAGGGAGTCGACATCGACCTGCCAAAGGTCAGGATACCCAAGGAGGAGCTGGACCCCCACAGCCAGAGGTTGCTGAGGGTCTGCGACCTCTGGGATGAGAACTTCACGGATGAGCAGATCAAGAAGGCCAAGAGGGCATACTACGGCTCTTGCAGCTATGTTGATGACTGTATTGGCAAGCTTCTGCAGACGCTTGAGGACTGCGATCTGGCTGATGACACCATCATCGTCTTCTCTGGTGATCATGGAGATATGCTTGGCGAGCGTGGCCTGTGGTAAGTTCCACCTTGCGGCCCATAAAAGAGGCCAAGACATAAGCTGATCAAACAAAAACAGGTACAAGATGAGCTACTTCGAGGGCTCTGTGCGGGTCCCCATGCTGGTGTCGTACCCCAAGTGGTTCGCTCCCCACCGTGTCTCTCAGAACGTCTCCACTCTGGACATCCTCCCTACCATGTGCGACCTTGTTGGTACCAAGCCGGAGCCAGGTTTCCCCATGGATGGCATTTCCATGATGCCACATCTGCTCGGCCAGGAGGGTCACGATACCGTTTTCGCAGAGTACACCGGCGAAGGCACCGTCTCGCCGCTCATGATGATCCGCCGCGGCCCTTGGAAGTACATCATCTGCCCGGCGGACGGCGAGCAGCTGTTCAACCTGAAGGACGACCCGTACGAGGTGCATGACCTAGTCAAGAGCCTCTCCAAGAAGGGATCCAACCTGAGCGCCGAGGACCTCAAGGTCAAGGAGGTGTTCGAGGCGTTCAGCGCAGAGGCCAAGGCAAAGTGGGACTTCGAGAAGATCACCAACGAGGTCCTCCTGAGCCAGAGGCAGAGGAAGTTTGTCTGGAAGGCGCTCAGGATCGGCCACTTCACGAGTTGGGATCACAACCCCATTGATGACGGGCGGGATAAGTAAGCATTCCTTGAGATTCTGAGATTCTCGCATTCATGGAAGACGGCACGGCTGACATTCCCACCAGGTACATCCGCTCTCACATGGACCTCGATGATTTGGAGAGAATGGCACGCTACCCTCCTGTCGATCCCAACGGGGTTCCAACCAAGAAGTTGCTGTCTCACCAAGCTGGTGCTCTGGGCGAATAGGCCTGCGGACCTCTCTGCACATACATTGCTCGAATGCTCGAAGTTGTCCACCAGTTCCTTTTCACGTGTTTGATGGGCCCAAGTGGACGCTTCTACGACGATACGAACTTTATAGCTTGCTGATCTTTAAGGTCTCATTGTGACGGAGTTTGTTGCATGGCTGCGTTTCCTCATTATTATCGTGTTCTCGCCACAGACTCTTGCCATTATGCAGGAGTCAATTGGTGACAGGAGTCAAGGAGTCAGCGAACGGAATCCGGATGACACGGGAAAGAGGGCCTCGTTCAGGTCCCTGTATGTTAGGTAGTCGAACTCAAATCTTCAATTGAAGCATACCCCCAGGTTCTGGCCACGCTGGCATTGCCATTCTGCCACTGTGACAGGAAGCTAATAAGTGATCGCGTGCTTGTGAGCCTTATGTTCACCATTGCCAAGAGGAGGCGGCAGCAGTATGGCATCATGTACCTGGACACTGACGCGAGCGGGCGTGCCTGCAGATCCCGTCTCTGTCTGTCGGTAGGGCTGCATTGGCCCGAACCGTCTGAACTCAATTCCGGCTTCCGTTTTGGGCGGACGCCCGGCGTTACAGTGGCCAACAGTAGCAGCACGAGTCCGTTTCGAGGCGGATCATGATGCCATCACTAGCCCGAATTGCGTGCTGGATGCTTCCAAAGCGAGTCTGGATTGTTCTCTGCCACGCCTGGGCCATGGAAAGCGTTAGTCAGACATCATGGCCGCTAGCGGACTGCGGGGTAGAGCATCAGCAGCATCTCCAAAAAGTGTGGGGTAGCTCGCCCAGCCGCCCTGCCGCCTAGGCAGTTACCCAGGTACGGAGTACCGACATCTGCTCGTGGGCCTGGTGGGCACGAAGCCCCATTCGCAGCGGAGCCTGACGTCCAACAGCTTCGGCAGCTTTTAGGCACAGTCCAATTGCTGATCGCGAGACAACCACCAGACTTACCAGCGACGCACACTGCAGCACGAACTCCAGATCCTCACCTGACCCAGTTCTGACCGAGTACAACCAATCTATACCCTCGAGACACTGGATACTGCCCGCCTTGCCGGCTGGCTGGACTTGCGACGATGGCTTCCATGAGCGCCCTGGCAGGGGCTTTGGCGGGAGCTGTGGCCTCGTCAGATCAAGCCGATGGTCAATCGCAGAAGGGATCTCTTAATTTGAGCCCAGATGAAGTGCGAGCTCTGGAAATGACCCGTCTCCGTCTGGTCCAACTGTGCAATGGCCTTGAGCGCTTCAAGGCCGACATCTACCGAAGCAACCCGCTACCCAACCCGTGAGTATTCGGGTTTTCTGCGCCTCCTCTCCCACGTCGCGCAACAACATACTGATAGACCTCCTGCTATCAGTCAGAATCTTCAGAACTCGGCGCGGATCCTAAAACAAAACATGACCCACCTCCTCGAGATCATCCAGCAGCATTCCTCCACCTTCCAACGAGTCGTCGTATACCCTTCCACCAACTACCCCGGCCGCACGCAGGAGGGTGTCATCATGCAGCTCCTGCGCAAGAAGCTCGAGCCCGACGTCGAGACACTCGTGGAGGCGGCCCGCGAGGCAGCGCTCGCCGCGGGTGTTGACCCCAAGACAAGTTTCAACTCCACCGAGGACGCACAGCAGATGAAGGAGCGCAACAAGCGCGCCAGGCTGGAGATGCAGGGCTATGGTAGCAACGACGACGACGACGATGAGGACGAGGACAACTCAGACGACAGCGAAGAGGGCGACCCGGAGCCCCACGGCATAGGCGACGTCTGGTTCGACTCCCGCGCGTGGTGCAAGACGCGACTCGCCGAGTTTGTCAGAGATGACTATCAGGATGCCTACACGGCGGAGGAGCGCGCCATAGGCATCGAGAACGTGCGGACCGGCCTGAGGCAGAATCTGGAGGACGAGTATGAGGACGAGGACGAGGACGAGGACGAGGAGGACACAGAGGGCGACCAGGCCATGACGGATGCCACCTCTGCTCTCCCGGGCGGCGGGACCTCTTCTGCGCAGCCTGGCAGTGCCGGTGCCGGGCAGCAGGTGAACACCTCAACGCCAACGGTAGGGGAGGATCCAGAGCGCATGCTGTGGTTCGCGCTCAGGGGAGACCGTGACCTGCCACCGGGTGTCGAGCTAGAGTCTCAGCGGGTTGAGAAGCCTGGGCAGAAGAGACGGTTCGGTGATCGCTGATTAAGCATCAGCTTGACTTATCCACTGCATGGTGGCACACGAGAGCAGCCACGGCACGGGACAGACTACTCGCTTCATCCGCATTGACACGATGCCACACGCAGTATACCCTTCTCGAACAATCTCGCGTCGCTTTAGTTGAGGAACGATGATGGCACGATCGTCAGAGAGGTCAGAGACCTCACCTGGTGAGAACCGGCACGAGGACAATGACGCGCGGCAGTTTCAGCGGTGGCCACCGCTGTTCCCAGCCGCCCCCCATCACCCTCTGCCATGTCATAACTCGAGGTAATTTTGCAGCCACGGAGCTCAAAATATGTCCTAGGCATCACATAATCTCAGCTTTCTGCTGCGGACCCTCGTCTTTGGAACATAGTTATCCTATAAACCTACCTGGGTCACTTAGGTGAGGCAAGAATATGCCCGGGTGGCCAGCATTATTCAGAAGCCATCAACAATATGACCACCAATGGGACCAGACGTATTCAGGGTGGCAATATAAGACAATGATATTGAATGCAAAGGACATTGCCTTTTGCTAACGCTCTCTATGCTATTTCCGAATGGGTATCTGTACGCCTGTCACATGCAGTCAAAAGGTTCGCTTTTTGGCTATTCCCACAAACCCACACACCCAATTACAGTATCTAGACCTTGACCCAACTCGGCACCCAACTGACAAAGACGAAAGTAGCAGCGCCTTTTGCTTCCCGACCCGAACGCTCTACACGCCTGCAAATGTTTGGCCAACGATCTCACCCCCACACATCTTGCCACCCTCCTGCTCGTTGAGCGCGATCCAGCTCTTGAACTCGTCCATGGTGATATTAGCTCTGGCGAGCTTCAACTCGATGCTGCCGGGCTGATAAACTTGCGCCACAGTGCGCTCAACATCTCTGCTGCTGCTGCTGCTGCCAATACCGCTGCCCTCGGTTCCGTCTCCACTACCGCCCTTGCCACTGCTCTTCTGCAGGATGCCGAAACGTAGTCCGACTTCACTCACCGTGACGCAGATGGAGATGACAATCAACACTATGATGATCCAAGTGATGGCGCTCATCTTTGCGTCGGCCACGGTGTCGGACAGGATCTCAGCCAGGTCGAGAAAAACGCGACACCGCTCGTTAAGGACAGTAATCCGTGGGTCAATCTCCAGGTAGTCCCGGATGGCCATATAGAGAGGGTGGAGGGTTGGTTCGGACTCCCAGAAGAAGTTGGGCACGGGGAGAATGTTTGATGCTGCGAAAATGTAAGCGAAGTGTTTCGGTTGCAGCTTTTAAGGGACAGATAGTCGCTCAACGAGATGATGGGCAAAAGGGAAGCTGGGGGCAGACGGGTTTCTTATGGGGGCTCCCTCGAATACCCCACCGAAGTGACGCAGTACCTGTATCGCGGTTGTGGCTGGAGAGAGGAAAGTTAGACTTACATAAATTGATGTCGACGCGGCTTTTGAACAATCTCCCCAGCAATTTGACAATCTCGGTCCTGCCCATGCTCAACTCGCCTGTCATCGCAAGCCTCTTGGGCACGTGTTCAGCGTGCTTCATTGTCTCAGACATCCTCTCCTCAAAGCTGCAAAGCTTCGTACTCTGCGCCACGGCGTGACTGATAGTCAGTTTAACCATGTGGTCCGAGCGTGGAAGCAGTGTGATCATGTCGTTGAAGATACGAGGGTGTTTGATGTCTGCCGAGTACTCAAAGTGGAATTCTTCTGTCTCGAAATCGCCCGGTTCGAACGGCCTCGTGGCGAGGGAGATGCCCTTCTCACTCTCGGCGAAAGTGAGATCTCCCAAGATGTCCTTCTCCTGGTGCTCTGACAAGTTCCAGAAGACCACAACGCCGTACGAGAAGACGAACATCTCAGCGAAGTTCTTGGCGTCTGGGGCTAGTCGGTTAATAGGGCTGAGGGATGCGCGGTCCTCGTCGCCATCTCGTCCCATGTCCCGCCCTCGTTCGTCCGATCCGTTGCTCGCAATCGGGTGCAGATTCGTCGGGCTCGATGAGATACCCCCAGGACTTCCGGAGAATTCATCATTGGTCCACCCGTAGTGCTCGTCTCTCCGCTCACTCCTCTCAATTTCAAGATCCAGAACAGTCTTCCCAGTGCCTGGCGTCTTGAGTATGGGTCTGCTACGCACCCGGTACCCATCTGTGCCATTCATCAGTGGTAGATGGTAGACCACATAGAGGCAGTCGTCGTAAAGTTTTGTTTTCGCCTCGTGTTTAGTGCGCAGAAACTCAGCCGTGGCCTTCATCTTGAAGCCCTGAGCCGTGCAATATGCCGTGAGCCGCGACAGCTTTTCTGCCCGCTGTCGTTTCGGTAGCCGTTCTGCGTAGCTCTTGCCGCGGATCCCACCACGCTTCCGGAGCACGTCCAATTCCTCGTCCCGAAGTGGGCGGTCCTCCTCCTGCTGGATGACTGCCTGCCTCCTGGCCCTCTCATCCTCCCTCGCCATGGCCTCTTCGACGTCGTCATCCTCGGGGGAGTCGTCGTCGGGTGTGTCTGGGATGAGGACCAGCTTCTCGCTGACCTTTGTCGTCCGCTGAGGGACGTTCTGCGGGACAGCTATTCGCGAGCCGGGTACGGCACCAGCGATGGGCGGCGTGATGATTGCGTTCGCGGGCACGCCCGCCCTACGGGCTGCTGCGCGAGCTGCGGCCCGAACGGAAGCCATGGCACCCGGCTGGGGCTGGGGGGAGGAGCTCTGCTGCACTGGTTGCACCCGAGGCTGACCGGACGGGATTTCGGTTGAATTGCGTAGGACGCGGTCGACGGAGATGTTCTGCATGCCCATAGCTTGTCGCGGAGGTATCATCCCCGTGTCCTGCCGCGGCACCATGGGGCGCTGGGAGGGTGCCATCGTGGTGTGTATCAATCGTCAGCTGCAGTTGTGGCCCGTTTGGATGTGTCCGTGACCGTTGGGATAGCTTGACCGTGTCGCTTCCGATGGCCGATCAGCTGTACGATGACCTTCCCATACAGACAGCTGAAAGTCTCGTGCCGTGGCTGGTTCCGTGGTTAATTGGTAGTCTCTGGGCTCCTGGGGCCTCGTCAACGAGGTTGCGAATCGCAGACTGGCTGGGGCCTAAAGAGGTTGAGAGGAGGAGCTTTTCACACGTCATTGCTGCCGCTTTGGTCAAGACCTAACCCTGTGGTAGTCAAGCTAAGGGGGCTGGGTTGCTCGCAATGGGAGTAGAGGAGAACAAAGCAATTTTCCTGGTGCTAGAAGAGTTTACCGATAGCATGACCTAACATTTCTCATGATTTATATAAGAGTAGATATTGCTGTTGCAGATCCGGGCAGGGTATTTTTGGGTTTATGGATGTTTCTGGCGGAAACGTCTGGGGCTTGTGCCAGGCTCGCGTGGTGGCACTGAGACACCCTCATCTAGGCTCTGCTGGGTCTCCCAGGAACAGCAATATCATCCACTGGCCATTAACACCTCTCACTTGGATTCAATCTCGACCTTCCAGTAGCGGTTGGCGCAGCCAAGGCCAGACCGTCGCAGACATGACCCACGAGGCGAGAAATACGGCTTGAAAATAACAAATTACAATACTTGTATAAGGTATCCTTTCCTGGAATAACAGTGTCCCACAGGTCCCTTTAGTCCCCTTGAAAGCGCTGGATCGTGCAATCTCTAGCATCCGCGTCACACTTGCTCGATATCGACTCGTCGTCATTCGGACCGTCCCTCGCCAGGTGCTGCATCGCCAGTGCGACCCCCCCCCCCCTTTCCCCCCAACTTCCGACGCGCACTGGAACAAACAACTGTCATCGCGAAGCCGGCCAGAAGAGACTATCCATACCTCATCCCATCGTTTCTCGGAGGTTGTTGTCCCCCCCAACCCTGGTGGCCGCCTTGTTGCGGCGGCGGCTGTTGTTGCTGTAATGGGACGCCCCCGCCCGCGTCCCTTTTCATGGACTGTACATCAGGGCGCTGCTGGACGGGCTGCGAGAATTGGCAGACCTGGCATTTGACATCTTCGTAGCCTTTGATGGACAAGGGCACCACCGGCTGGTAGCCAGGTCAGCGATACTTGGCCGGGCTTTTGGGGGTGGAGTTCGAGTGTAATGAGAACTTACGATGAAGCAGAATGTAAACCACGGGTGCTCCTTGATTACATGGCCCGAGTAGTTGCCGCAGTTATGACACCGGCAGACGACGCCCTCATAACCTTCGACTTGTTTGCGGAACGTATGCTCCCCGCAGGTGAATATGAGGCACATGGTGGGCTTGACTGCTGTGAAGCCTTGATGTGTTGCGAGAAACTCGTGTCCTCCAAGCGCAGCGAATAAGGCAGCTGTGGGGTCCCTGGTTGATTACAGTTGCTGGGTAAATACTAGTAAGATTAATATGATGACCGCGACGGCGTATCGACTTAGGGGCGTTCTAGGCTGATCCGTCAGATGCCGGGTATTGTTGGTATGAAGACGGCTGGCGGAGGACTGCAGGCTGGGTAGGTATCGCGGTTTGAGACTGTCCAAGCCAAGGGAGACGGCTGCCTCTCGTGACTGCTAGAGGCTTTGGCTTTGTCTCGGGAGTTCAAACACTCAGGTGATATCATTAGCCGCGTCCGCGTTTGAGGCTGTGCGGTCTTGTAGGCCACTGGAATTAGGCGCCAAGACAGCCCAAGCCCGCCAAAATTGAAGTTGATCAGCGAACTTTACAGGGGCGCAGGGGGGTTGCCCCTTCCTCTTGAAGGCTGGAAGGATGCTCCCGTACTGCCGTGTCACCTCCCCTCTGGCCCTGTGGCCCTGTGGCCCTCTAGCCCTCTAACATGCTCAGTGTCACCTACCATCCAACGCGTCGATCTTGCGTCGACCAGAATTAAGACCGGGCGGACCCTATGGTGGCGCACTATTGAGGAAGAGAATTGATTAGTTGCCAGGTTGTCACCATTATATACCAATGCTTGTGGGGATGAATTGGATCCCGACAGGATCGTGACTTCTTGTGATAGTTGACGGTACACAATATCACGGCATACACCTCAGTCATGTCTCGCTGACGTTTTCGAGCAATGAGAGAGAGTGCACAGATCTGATATAAATCTAGCGAGGACTGTTAACATGTCCCTCATGTCCTTATTCAGTAGACACTGCTGTTGTGCTATGCTCAACTTTGTGCTGCGGCATGCTTGATGGCCTTGGGTAGGTCCGAGGCATTGGGCTGGCTACCGCTAGTACTTAGTACCTAAGTAGTCAGCTATGTCTTCCGTCTCAAGGTCCCCCTACCGGTATATTCAACAGAACAAAACGGCATTATATTCAGACATATACGTCCTTATTGGACCTGACCATGCTTCATTCGTATGATGGATGGGTTGGGGTTTCCCCATTCGGTCTGCGGAGCGGCAGGGGAAACCTTGCAAAGAAAGCGCAGGGAAGCTCCGCACACGTGTAATCGGCCAGGTCGGTCATCGGCCCACCTTTAACTTTTTGATGGCTCCGGGTCCGTCCGCCATCCCGACATCACAACCTCTGCACCGGCTCAAGCAAAAGCCTCGAGCCCCCTCCGGAGTGATTGTGCAGGTCGCAACGCGCAGCACACGCACCCACAATGCTCTACGATCTCAACATCCACTGGACACCGCAGACGTCGGCCTCAGAGCTCGAGCGCACCCTCAGATTCAGCGCGTCGCTGGGATACAATGTCGTCGCGATAAACCACACGTTTTCGGCGCCCATACCCTCACAGATCAACAACCCGGTCCCACAGCTCGGCCCAGTCCACTCGTCCTTCCCCTCCCAGAATCACCGCCACGGCCAGTCGTCTTCGGCCCCAACCCCCACAGGCGAAGATGCACCCACGAACAAGCCCAAGCTCCCCACGACCCTGCGCCGCGCCACCGTGGTGGTCACGGACCCGGCGACCAACTACCGCCTCCCCTCCATAGCCGCCGCCTACGACATTGTCGCGTGCCGGCCCACGACGGACAAGGCCTTCGCGGCGGCCTGCACGAGCATGTCCGAGATCTCGCTGATCAGCCTGGACCTGACGCAGTTCTTCCCCTTCCACTTCAAGCCCAAGCCCTGCATGGCCGCGGTGAACAGGGGCGTCTACTTCGAGGTGTGCTACGGCCAGCTCGTCGCCGCTGCCGACCAGAGGGCCCGCGGCGTGTGGATCGCCAATGCCATCGAGCTGCTGAGGGCCACGAGGGGCCGCGGCATCGTGCTCAGCTCCGAGGGCAAGGGCGTGGGGAACCTGAGGGCGCCAGCCGACGTGGTCAACCTGCTCGCCGTGTGGGGCCTCGGGCCGGAGAAGGGGCTTGAGAGCCTCGGGGTGAGGCCTAGGGCCGTGGTCGTCAATGAGGGGCTCAAGAGACGTGCGTTCAAGGGCGTCGTGGATATTGTGGATGTTGAGGGCAGGATCCCGGGCCGTGAGAACGAGGGGAAAGATGCTGACGGCAACCAGAAGAAGGATAAGGGTGGGAAGAAGCAGCAGGGCCAGAACCAGCAACAGCCCAAAGGGAAGAACGAGAATGGCAAGCGGAAACATGAGGGTGGGGCTGGGGATGGAGGCGGTGGTGACCAGACATCGCTGCCGGTCATGAGCAAGAGGCAGGCCAAGAAGATGAAGATGGCCGATAAGAAAGGAGCTCCAGAGCCGAACTAGAGCTCGGAGTAAGGTCTTGGATTAGGAACAGTCCGCATGGAAGGCGTCCCGGGAAAAGTCTATGATACCCCTGAATACAGTTTCTGCTGTACTATGAATGCATCGAGGGCAAGGCATCGTTTTCTTGCACTCATTGAGGTTTCACATACTCTATATGGTCGCGAAATGGCCGTTGTATGACACTCATACATACAGGGTCTATTTCATTACTATTACTATTAAGCCTGTAGATTTGACGCTCATCTGTTACACAGTCGCAACTTGCGAACGGTACGACCTGAAATGGCCAACATGACTCTGCCCATCTTTAAGGTTGTCGTGACCCCCCGGTCAACCCATCCGTGCTCTGATCCCTCTCCGTGGCCTGGCTGGGTTTTCCCGCGTTCTCACCCCTGCCCTCTTCCGCTCCGGTCTGGCCAGGAGGGCCGTCTGCGTGTTTCGCGGGATCGAACACGTACATTGGGAACTCCAAGAAGATGGTCCGCTTCAGAAATACGGGCATCCGAGCGTAGAGCTGTGGCGGAAAGGGGATCAAGATGCTCGTCCGGTCAAGGTAGCGCTTATACCCGTCCCAGTTGGTGCCTTTCTCGTAGCGCTTTTTCGCGCCGGGTCTTTCTGAGAGCGGCAGGCCGGAGACGAACATCAACAACACGGTGAGCAGGAACGGGCCGACAATAGATGCATACAAAGCGTTATAGGCCTGTCCTCGGACGAACCCGTCGGCTGCAGAGGACACGGCGATCATGTAGATGGCTTGGCATAATTGTCAGCAAACTCAAATTCTAACACAGGGTGCCAAGAGATGAGACGAAATATAGCCCTCCAAACCTACCGAACTGGATAATGATCTCGCCGAAGTAATTCGGATGGCGGGTCCAGGCCCAGAAGCCCTTGTCACATACAGCACTCTTGTCCTGTGTACTCCTGAACTGGTACTTCTGGACGTCGCTGACGCTCTCCATGACAAACCCGATGGCAAACATGATAATGCCAACGATATCCCTGGCAGTACCGAAGCCAATGAAGGGGTACTGCCTCACGGCGGGCGAGTTGATGAGAGTCACGGGAAGTGAGACAACCCAGACCCAGATCATCTGGAAGACCCAGAAGCCGAGGAAGGGGAAGAACTTGTCGCGCTTGTCATCGAAGCGGTCATCCTTGCCCGTCTTGAGGATGCGGAACAGCAGGAAGCCCGACAGTCGCACCCCCCACAGCATGATAAAGATCGAGGGGACGATCTGCCGGGCATGAGGGCTATCCCCGGAAAAGGCGAGAGTTATTATGGCGAGGACGACGAAGTTGGTCCCACCGGCAAAGTCTAGACTCGAGAGTTAGTGCGTCATATTTCCCTAGCCACGTAGTCGCACACGAGCGATGGGCCCAAGTGAGGGTCAGTACCTGTGAGCTTGTCGAATTTGAACGTGAAGGCTATGGCGAAGAAGAACAACTGGTATGCCACGGTGATGAGGAGGGTTATTGCGAGGTAGTAGTCGTCCAGGACATGGACGGTGCCCGCCATCTTGGCTGATTTTCTCCAAGCTACCACTTGCAGTTGCGAGGTTGGTGATGGCTGACCGGCGAACGGATTGTGTTTACTCTGCGAGGAAGCGAGGCGTGGTCGCGGACTGTAGAGTTGTGTCCTTTCACCTCTTGTTGGAATGTTCTCTCATGAGAGGACGTTTCACAGACGTTTCGGCAGTCCGGGTGACCGGTCAATATCTATGGCGATTTCACGAGATGTTTACGGTAGCCCGGAAGTTTGCTCATGATTGCTCATGACTGCAATCTGCAGCAGAGCGATCACTGTCAGTGTCACTCTGGGGCTGAGGTGAGTACTGTCGTCATAGAAGCTCTAGTCAGAGGTCTAGCAAATAGGCTCCCCTTGGTGCTGGTAAGCTCGGGTCAGGTTCCAATGCCGCGGCGCCACAGGGCAGTTGTCCCTAGCGGCTGGGCACCCGCAACCACAGCTGTCACTGCTGTCGCTGCTGACTGGCTGGCAGGCCATGCGCGGCCCACCAGCTTGGCCATCATCATCATTATCATTATCATTATCATCATCACTTTCGGACTCGGACTCGGACATGCACAGAAATCCCGGGCCTGTTGCTCCGCGCCGAATGACATTTGGCAGCGGGGCAGGCTCCGTTCCTGAAGACGGCATGCCACGGCCCACCGTGCCCCCACTCTGGCGGTACCGCGGTACCTGGGTACCTGGGTACCTGGGTACCTAGGTGAAGCGACATCCACAAGGAGGTCGTCACGGCTTCGAATCCATTTCTTCGCCTCTTGGCAGGTCCCCTGGCCCGCAGAGGTGGCCTCCAAGTTGATGGTCTCGCCTTTCGCGATGCCTCAGGTGGCTTCTTGTCATGTGCAATATCGTACGGCCCAGCCTGGCCCAGATCTTGTCAAACGGGCCCGGTCAAGACAAGCCCAACAAGAGGCGAACCCCCAAGACCCCCAAAAGCCCCTTCTCATCTCTACTACTCGATTGCAACGCCTTGGCTGGTTCTCGGACCAGTTGGACGACTGGTCGGTACCGTTACAAAAAACACCACCCAAGCCTCCTGTCAGATAGCATTCAGCCCGTCTGAGAAGCCTCGTCAGGCGATGATGATGCATCCTGCACTGCACCGCACATGCTTCGTCCACAGGTTCTGGATTGAGATCGTGGGCGCTGGTCAGTGCGAAACCTTACGATCGTGTTAAAACCTTCCAGGCTCGGCCCGGGGGAAAAAACCCACGGCACGCTCGTTCATGTTTGTTGTTTTATCGATTCCATCCGCCACGGCTTTCCCGTCGTTCATTGCCGTGCAGCACACAGCATTATTGTTGTGGTTTCTGGTGCTGCACCTGCATGATGTTTCTCTCCCTCATCTAAAAACGGCCACCATGATCATGCCATTTCGCCCAGTAGCCTGCTGCGCCCTCGCGCTCGCTCCCAGGCGACGGCGCGCAGGCGCTCGATGCTACTCGGTAGCGTAGGCGCGGCAGGTGGGAGCTGGTGTTTCGCCACGGCCAACCTCAGACACGTCCCGTCAGGGGCTTGTCTCACCACCCCTCGGCCAGGCCACCACCACCCCTCGACCTCTTTTTTCAATGAGGCTCAATCTGCCTTGTCTGGCAGCAATAAGCTTACCCAGCGCCGCGAGTGACACTTGCCAGGGAAACTCTCCTACTGGTCGCTGGCCGGGGGGTCTCGGGTGGCGGGTCCTCGACCAAGCATTTGACGCTGCCACCGTCTTGGACTTGTCTCTTTGTTCGTCTTCAACCCCGGCCGAAACAGCCTCGTGAGAAGTCCAGGCTTGCATTGGTTTGTAATCTCTCACTTTCTCTGCGTAAGGCTCGCCTGCATGATCTGGTGGTCCAAGATGGCCCAGATCAGAGACCGCTATTGCCTGTTTTCTCTCCTCCTTCTCGCAAGTCGCCCCCTTCGCGTGCCCACCTCCTTCATCCCATCCCATCTTTTTTGCTCGTGGGAGAGCACCAGTCTTTACCAGCAAACTTCACTCCGTCGCCATCCTGTTGGCTCCTTTGATTTCTGTCAGGCACAGTCGTTTCGACCACCGCGGACGCCTCGTCCCAACTACGTATTCGTGCATTCGTCCCTGGGTGCGACCTGGGAGACAGGGAGACAGGAACACACGGCATCTGACTGCCCGGCTGCCGTTCCATGCTGTGTGCCTGAGAGGGCGTGCCAGTCGCAACATCGATCCACACTCTGTAGCCCACTCTCCTTCCTAGCCTATTCCTGCACGTCCCGTCTCTCCTTCTTCGCGCCCAGCTCTCATTCCCCCAAAACCCCTTGGCCGTCCCATCTCGGCAAACCTTTTCGCTTTTCCTCCGGTCGATCTCGTTCGCATCGCTGGTCCGGGCCTTCGAAGTTGCTGGTCTTGGCTCTCCTCTCGTTCCTTCACCCAGTGACAACACCACCTTCCTTTCTCCAAGGGTTGATCCCACTCTCGGCCTGTCGTTTGCAATACGACCTCACGAACCGACGACAAAACGGCTGGTCTGTTGCGCCACTCTTTAATCACCACGGCTTGAGAGGGCTTCTCGCTTGAGGCGAAGCCTCACTGGTCTCGACGCCACCATGAAAGTCTACCTGCAGTATTTACTGCTACTAATAGGATATCTGTCACTTGTCAACGTGCGTTCAACTGGCGAGAGGGTGCTTGTTCGGGCTCTGACGGTGCTGACAACTCATCACAGGCGATCGGTTTCTCCCACGAGGTTCGACGGGCTGACGATGGCATAGAGGCAAGGAATGGCGTGGGAGGGCTGCTGGGACTCTTGGGGGCACTGGAAGCAGGCCAAGGGAAGGGGAAGGGGAAGGGGAAGGGTGGTAACGCGGAAAAGACGGTCACGAAGACGGTGACGGCAGCGGCCAAGGCGACGGCTGCCGCCGCCGCGGGAGCATCGAACAGTACGGCTGGTGAAGCCGCCCCGGCTGCAGCGGCTCCCGCTGCAGCAGCCCCGGAGGGTGGAGCGTCGAACAGCACCGCTGGCAACGCGGCGGCCGCGCCAGCTCCAGCCAACCCGAACGCGTGAGTCTCGAGAGTTTGATGGGTGAACGATAGGCCCGAGGCACTTGTACTGACCCTGTGAGACCAGACCCGCCTTCGAGTTCCTGACGACTACTGTCTTCGCCCAAGGCGCACCCCCGACGCAGATCATTAGCCTTCTGCCATCCACTGTTACCCAGACAGTGTTCGTGACCCAGCCTTGTGGCAACCCCGCCGCGGCGATTCCGGCTGCGCAGAACCCGGCCGCCGCTGCAGGATCGAGCAATGGCACGGGACAGGCCAATGCCGGCAGCGGCAGCGGCGCCGGCGTGGGAGTAATCAGCGTGGCTGTCCCCTCGAGCCTTCACACGACGACGCCCTCGCTCAACGCGCCGCCCGGAGCCGCTGCTACGCCACCAGCACCAGCACCCCCGGCGAACAATCCTCCTCCTCCTCCTCCACCCCCGGAGAACACCCCCGCGGCAGCCCCCGCGCCACCCCCCGCGGCCGAGCCCCCAGCGAGCCCTCCTCCGGCAGCAGAGCCTGCCGCAAGCTCTCCGACGCCGCCTCCGCCGGCTGCTGCACCGCCAGCTGCGTCCCGTGAGTTTACCGTGGCCTGACCGTATTCTTGAAACCTTGTCACTGACGTTGGCTTTGAAGCACCACCTGCCTCCTCGGCCCTTGAGTCGTCAGTCAACCTTGGCGGTATCGGACAGAGCGCACCCCCAGCAGCAGCCACCCCTCCAGTTGCCGCCAATGCCCCCCCTGCCGCCGCTCAACCCACAGCGCCCGCTGCCAACAACGCCGCGCAGCCGGACATCGACACGAGCGGGTTGACGTTGAAGTCGGCACTGAGCCTGGGCAACCTGGCGCAGCAGACGATGCCCCCGCAAGGGTGAGGAAAGCGAGGCTTGGGATTTAGGGACAATGAGGGAGACATGGGACTGACTCTCAGGTCGTCGTGATGATAAGTGTGACACGAGAGAGAAGTGAGGCCTACGTGTTTTAGTAAATACCCAGCTCGACTTGTTGACCCTGGGGGTTATAAAGGTTGTGTCTTTTCTGAGATAATAACATAGTTTCGCTTCTTGCTCGGTAATTAAAATACAAACGTCTGCAATGTATGAGTCGGCTTATGGTGGCCTTTCTGTCTATTGTGAGGGTCTGAGCACCGGGTGGTATAGACCGCCTGTCCGCCCGCGGTTCAATTGGCCAGTAAGACCATCACATTCTGTTTACCATAGCACCACTACGCCTTCAACAATACATTATACTAACTCTCCTGCATCTAAATGATTTCCTATTTACCCATGTATTTGTATGTGATTATACTGTATAAGGGGGGTGCTTATCTATAGAGCATAGTTCTATTAAAGGATATTCTGCAAGAGAGTATCTTACAAGATTGTATCCTACCTAGGTATCAGAGAGGTCTCATATAAGAGGGAAAGCTGTAAGAGTGTATCCTATGAGAGAGTACCCTAAAAGAGGGAATCCAATAGGAGGGACGCCTGTAGGAGGCAAGACTGTAAGACGGAAGCATGTAAGATGTCATCCAGTAGGAGGTTACCAACTTAGAGGTACCTAGGCAGGGAAGAGATAGTACAGTGGTCGCGTAGCGGACATTCGAACAGGGCTCGCTCTATATTCTCGTCTCATATCACATGGGAAGTTTCCAAAATTGATCAGACTCTACATATATGGTCCGTAAGATCTCGAAGGGTGACAAAAATGGTATCAAGTAGCCAACCACACCCTGGTGAAGCCCTGGCCCCTGGCCTCCTTTTAGTGCACGATATCCCGCACCGTGTCCACGTCCAGCCCTTCGAGCTCCGCGCTCTTCTTGGCCTGCCTCTCCCGCATGAGGACCTCGCGGATGTCCTCGCCGGGCACGCCGCCGGACCCGGCCAGCAGCATCCCCGGCTGGTCCAGCGTCTCCTGCGAGTCGCTGTACCCGGTCGTCTGGGACTCCTCGTACGACTCTGCGTCCTCTGGGATGGGTATCATCTTTGCTGGTGTCAGCCAACATGTGCCTGCGGGTCTTGGCGCTTGGTGACGTTCACGTAGATGACCTTGGGTATCGTGGTCACGGTGAACGTCAAGGCTGCCTGCTTCCGAGTTCATTGCTTACCGCAGATTTTGTCCAGATGTGTATGGCGGTCTTCCAGTCGAGCCCCTCAAGGCATCCTCCTTTTACGGAGACGACTCTCTTATTCTACAACGGGCGCCATGTTAGAAGATGGGAGGTCAGGATGCATTGATGCAATCCGCACAGAAAAAGCGACAGGGCAATCAAGTCTTGGCCGGGCCAGGATAAGGTTTCACAAGAAGGGTGGCATCTGAATACCGGCATTGGGACAATGAGAATAGGTTGAGCTCACAGGTGTGGTGTGGATGAGCCTCGTGCCACAGTTCTTACAGAAGTAGCTGTTGTAGTTTGGAATCAGTAACCTGAGAAGGGCTTAGGATGGGGGGCCATCCGGGTGCTTGGGACTCACCAGTAGAGAGTGTCCCCGGAATGAGTGGGTCGCCTGGGGAAGAAGTATAAGTATCAGTCGATCTGTCACTCTCACTTTCAGGTTATTTCACGACCACCTCCTCCGCCCGCCCGCCCCCCCCCCCGCGTTCCCTTTTCACAGACTTTACTTTGCTCTCCCCGTCGGTCCATCGCTCGCTCTCTCCCATCTACAATGTGGGCTTTTGCGCCGCCTCTTCCCCACCTCACCTCACCCCTCCTCCGTCACAACTTTAGCAGGAGACACAGGGACGGCGCTTGAGACTCACTTATAGACACTGAGCAGCTCAGCATCAGGCAGTGCGAAGCGGGGAAAGATTGCTGACGTCCCAAAGGCCGACGATGTCTGCCTCCGGCACTCAGTGCAGTGGCATATGTACAGCGCAAGAGGCTTCTCGAGGGGCGTCTTGAACCTGACGGAACCACACTGGCAGCTGGCGTCCATGGTGTATATGCTGTGGGTGTGGGTGATATATGTCCGGCAAGCCTATGTCCCGTTCCAATTGGCCTATCCTGGCAGCAGCAGCAGCAGCAGCAGCAGGATGGTTCGGTGACAAGAACTTCGAGGTGTTCAAGCCCAAGAACTAATAGATCGACGCCTGAGGAAGAAGGTGGGAAGAAAAATGAAAAGAAGGATATGACTTCCTGAAAATTGAGGTTCAACTTAACCAACAACAGCCCTGGCCGTTCCAACGATGAATAAGCCGCATGAGCCGGCCTGAGGACGATGACTCGACGGCGAGTGCGCGAGAGAGTGCGAGGTTCGCAAGCAGTGACAACACACAAACACACATACACTCGCTCGCTCGCTCGCTCGCATGTCAGAACAGCAGCAGCAATGGAGACGCGGAAGACGCGGGTTCGCAGGGCATCGGCACGGCACCGGGGCGTGACTCATTCCAGGAATGATCCAGGGCCTCAGAGGGCCCGGGCGGTGAGGTGCGCTGCGTTCGCGAAGTCACATGTTTCGCCAGTCGCCGATTGATATGTAAGAACTGCATTAACCTGCCCTGGAGATAGCAGGCAGCCCAGCCCAGCAGCCTGTCAGCGCTAATAATGAAGGTGCCCGCAACTTGAGACACGCACGCTCCACTAGGAGGGGCCTGCTATGTCCTCTCCCCCCCACCCCTTAGTCCGGCACGGCGTTCGCGGGGTTTTCGCGGCGCATCGAGAGGAACGTGGCACTTAAATTGCCCTGCATGTGCCGTGTCTGGCCTGCGAGGACCGGTCCAGTGGCGGTGCGGCTGAGCAAGGAAGGCCAAGAAGAAAAGGCCCTTCGTTGGTCCGTCTTACAACTCAAAATTGGCCAGGGGCCGACTTCCGGCTTCACATGCAATTCTGCGTCTTGGACAGTAGCAAGTCTTTCTGTTTTCTTATTTTTTCTTTCTCTTTTTTGTATTGCTAATAATAAAAATGTCATAAATGCTAGTAATAAACTGGTCCGACTCTGTTGCACTTCTAATGGGCGTTGCCATTTGATCTCGCCCCGAGGTCAACATCATTGTCGAGCACTTTTGTCTCGATCGTCCTGGCCAGCTTGACCATGGGTATATCTACTAATCTCCAAAACAAATCTGCCACCCAGATTACAATCGGGCCCAGCAGGATCATCCCCATGACCCAGCAGACAGTCCTCTGCGTCGCCGTGTCGATCCCAACCATCCCCTTGACCCCGCTGGGCAGGACCTCGGGCCTGAAGCCCGGCAGCTTTGGCGTCCCCTTGGGCGCCTCGTAGACCCGCCCTGCAACCTGCCTCTGGAGGCATTCGAGCACCGGCCCGTGCACAATATATATCGCGTAGCTGATGTGACCCAGATACTGCGCGAACTCGCCCTCGAGGAACTCCTTGATAAAGTGGAGCTCCCCACACGTCCAGACCATCCCGATGGCCTGCACTGCGAACCAGAACTTCTGCGGCGTGACGTTGTCCACCTGTGGGAAGGACGAGGGCGTGCGCGCGAGCAGCCATCGGATCCCCGGCGTCCGGTCTGCGTCGAAGTTGGGCCAGCCGCCGGTGAAGATGCAGGCTAGGAAGATGGCGCCGTGCACACAGCAGTGCAGGGCCGGGTTCTCGATTATGGGGGGTAGTGTGCCCGGCGACGAGGGCGAATAAGAGTCGATGGCTTCGTAGCGCTTCATCCGAGACGTGCGCCTGATGTGTATGTCGGCCAGCATCATGCCGGCCCAGAACTCGAATGCCGCCCACTTGCCGCACGTGACAGCGTAGGCCATCAGGAGCACCTCGATGGCAAGGCGCGCCCGCGTGCGCAGCCTGGCGACCATGAGCAGGGTCAGGAACAGCAGCATGGAGTGGGCGAACTCGATTGGGATCGACCACAGGTGGATGTCGAAGGCTGGCCGCAGGTCAAAGTCCCAAGCCCACGGCCAGGTGATGCTGTGGAACTGGGCGTCGATCCAGGCCAGGATTTGCCTCCAGAGGCTGGGCAGGGGCCTGTACATGAAGCCGCACTGGATCAACACGGCTATTATCGCGGTCGAGACCAGACACGGCCCAAACAGTCGGAACGGCCGCCTGAAAGTGGACGAGGACAGCGCGGTGTAGCACTTTTCCAGGTCTCTTGTGCGGATCGCCTTGAGGGGCTTGTAAGAGAGCACGAAGCCCGAGATGACGAAGAAGATGTGAACCATGGGCCGGCCGCTGTATAGGATCCTCACGAAGGGTAGTTGTAAGAAGGACGACTCGCCATCCTTGTTGAGACCGTAGGTGGGTACCAGGTACGGGTGGTTCTCCTCGGTGTAGTGGCAGAAAAAGACCAGCAGGCTGGCCACGCCTCGCAGGCCGTCGAGGTAGGAGGTCGGGTGTAGCCTATGAGTCTGGAGGGGAGACTTGTGGTCGGGCCATATTGCGTCGGCGACAAAGCTGGGAAGTATGGTTTGGGGAGACATGGTGGTGAGGGAGGCGGGTGACCATCGTGGACGGGTCGAGGAGCCGAGTGCCATGCGGTGGGGGTTGCGAGCAGGCGACACGACCTTTTGGGGTATTGCGCAGTTCGAACAGGCGAGGGGAACAGAAGTATCGTGGGTTTCGGCGTCACAGACGGTCGGCGGTGGTGGTAACTTGGTCTACTCTGCCACGGGGCTGCAGGACGCGCATCCTGGTGGTTAGCTAGGGTGTACGGGCTGGGCTGGCTGGCCGCAGGGCGGGGAGGGAACTATTTTTGAAGGGGCAGAGGTGGGTGGTTATTCTGGGGGCGGCAGCTGGGGTGCGGCAACTGCAAAGGAGCGGCGCAGACATGCCAGCCGTTGCTTAAGCTGGACAAGGACGGGCGACGAGGGATGGTTCCTTTTAGGTTCCAAGGCTGGGATTGGGATGGGAAGCTGCGCATGGGCACAGACAATGATGCTCATGCAGGTGTCCAGGCGGTCTCGACCCTTGGGCGAGCGGGTCTCCAAGGGGCCAGCTTCGGGGGCCAGCGGGCCTTGGGCAGGGGTCGCTGATCGCTTACCCACCCACAGGGCTCCTCCAGCATCGGGTCTGGCTTACCGGTTCTGGTGAAACAGCCCTCCACTGCCTCCTGTGCCTCGGGCTACAGCGAGTCTGTCCTCTTGTCTTCAATGTTGTTTCTTGTAAAAAGCTCAACACGTTTCGATGATTATATGTCGGCAAGGCTCTGGTGTTGAACGGGTTCACTTGTGTGGCAGAAACTCGTGGTCAGCCGATCGGGTTGGCTCATCCGAAGTGCTAAAGGCACATGTGTGTTATAGAGAAAGGGGAGGATTTATGGGGCACTTGCGAGGACGTCTGCTTGCCACGACTACCAAAATGAAGGCTCGGCAGCACGCGCCATGTGGGAGTCTGGTCAGCTTTTATACCGTGCACAGCTTTCTGCGTTTTGTCCAGCCCGTTGGGAGAAGGTTCATCCACCATCAACCCTGCTGGCGAAACCAAATCTTGCTTCACAAGGTCCCAACGTGGCCCATCAACCCATCTATCCCTTGCTCACCTACCGGCCAAGCAGCCAAGTCGATCTGGTCCATGTTCTGCCTCAATGTTTCAAAACTCTCCTTCCACCGAGACGGTAGATGCCATTCCGCAGCTGGGCACGCCGGGAGGGAATGCATAGTGTGTTGCAAATCTAATCAAAACCAGATCCTCCCTCAGTCTGCTCTGACCTCATCCATGTCCATCTAGAATCTCCGGTTGGAATTTACCTGAAGCCGATTGGAACCGTGTGATACCATGCCTGCGTAGCCGACAAGGCTGAGCAGTAAGATATATCGTGTTTTTTGCTGATCAGTCCTGTGTCAACTCCTGTCAAGTACCGGTGGTGTATAACTGCTACTTCGCAGTCAAGTCCAAGGAGATTCCATGGCCACTGGATGCTACAGCACGCGGTCATCTACCCACTCGCTCACACCAATTGTCTAAAACTGGTCCGTCCACTCACCCCCACGCCAGCAACGTGTTCTCAGTGGTGGCTTCTTGTCAGCCTTGCCTTGTCATGGTACAAACAAAGCCATCTGATCTGGAGCTGCTATGTGTGATCTGAGCAATGTGTTCCCATTAGTCGACGTACTATTGCGGACTGATATGGATCGGATGACGACGTATCTACAACGACTGAGCATGCAGTTCGCATTCCTACCTGCTGAACAAGAACTCGGGAGGCCGTCCTGGTGAGGGCATGCTCGGCACAACACAATTGTAGGTTCCAAGGTTGGCAAGGGAGTGGGGACTGCGACCATGTCTGCCGATCTCCAAGCCAGCACATTCCAAATGCCCCGACCGCTTCTGTCGATGTGCATACGTGCAGGCAAGCAGGCGGGCAGGCGGGCAGGGCGCGGGCCACAGGGTGTCTGGGGCGTCAGGGCGATTGCACGACCCTGCAAGATCTTTGCTCGCGATGCCGCCGAGCTTGCTGATCAGATGGGTCTTTTCTCCGATGCGCTTCGCGCAGTGCGCCCAGGCGCCACGCCGCCGATCTGCTACCTCGCCAAAACAGCCCCCCCGGCACGGCCCGCCTCCAGACTGCCGAACCCCCCGGGCTTGCGCGTACCCGGATGGGGCCCTCCCGGACGACGCGGGCCGATGGACTCCGGACGACTTTTAAGTAGCTCAGGAAGGTGTCCGTCTTGTGGCGGAAAACAGCACAGGTCTGAAATGGAATTTGCCAAAAGCACTACTTCGAAATATATATGCCATCATCAGCTGAACGGAAATATCGGCCGTTTGGGCTGGCCGTGCTGAAGTACGCGACATAATTCCCACCTGCTGGAAGTCATCGTGGCCAAAAGATCACTGTCGCTCGTTTAGACGAGGCTTTCTGTGCCACGTGAAGCTAGAAACGCCACTTCTTACAGAGACTGTCCAGCAAAAGGGTCCCAAGGGTCAGCTTAGACACGGGAATGTACTTACTGCCGTTTATGCCATTATCGAGCCTGGCTTTGCTCGATTGTCTGATACTTAAGTATCTACGTGGTCACCGCATCTACATTGAACCATTGGTAGATTTTACAACTGAACCTACTGGTAAGTGCTATTCCTGCGGAGCATCTCTTCCATTATTACATACCTCCCATAGGAAAGCTTCCCATGAAGGAGTCTCGCACAAATTGACTCTCTTTGAATGGCTTTCTGTGTAGGATATCATACAGGACAAATACAACTAGGTATGTTACGGAGGTAAAATGATTAATTAATGTACATTTATCATGAGGTCTGTGAGGATGCAACTCTGTCGATTCAAATAATTATGGACAGCCCGCGGCCACGCATCTCCAGCCAAGCAATTTGTTGACAAATTCGCCAAAATCTCCCAATTGATGTAAGGGGGATATCGGTGGATTACAACAGTTGCCGAAGGACAGTAGGAAGTCCGACGGCAAATCATAGTGAGAGAAATATCCCACGAAACACCTCTTCATTTTGTAGTCAGATTTCCTTGCAATCTGTGGCTCAAGAACCGTTCAAGTTGGGGAAAGCTCTTGCGCCCATCTTGTACTTGCCGGGCTCTGGCCGACCGTGTCGGGTCCCTCGGCGTGGGCGTGGACTTTGCGAAGCTGCCGAGTCTAAGTTGTAATCAGAAAGTCTGCTGTGATCATTGTAAAGGGGAAATGACAGGGCTTTGGTATACCTGGACCACTGTGCATGCTCTCATCTCCGTCCTGATCGAGGCCATTCTTCATCCTCTCCGGTGGGGCAGAAGACGCAGGCCTCTGGGCGGCCTTCTGAGCCCGAGTTCGCTTGAACTTCTTGAGGGCCCTCTGGGAAGATCGTATTGGTGAGTCTTGGAAAGTGAAATCACTAAAATTGTCTTCTTCGACTTCGTTCACGCTCTGGGGCCCATCATCAGTCTGACGATCGCCACTTCCAGACTCCAGACTTGCGCGCCTCTTGCGCTTGGTACTGTGAAGGGCGAACCTCGCCTTGGTTGTGGCCTCCTTCGTGATCTTGGGCATAACTGCCGGAATGGATGACTGATCGCTAGAATCGTCGGCCTCATTAAGAAAATTGTTGACGAGGGTAGAATCCCTTTGATCATCCTCACCCTTCTGCAGGTCAGCAAGCCACCTTAGCAGATCAGGTTCGGGATGGGTCTTATCGCCACCGTTCAAGGTGTTGCTTACGTCCATCGCTGCCAGATCAGGTGATCTGGGAGCCCCAGCAAGAGCAGATGGGAGTGGATTGGCTTCAAGGCTGACGGAGCGATACTTCTGTTGCGCTTCAGCAAGCTTTTGTGTATGCCGTTTCTTGATAGGCACCATCTTCGCATCATAGAGTCTCTTCTTCTCTGCCAACTCCTTGGACTCCTGTTCGTTGAGGTCGCGACATGCCTGCTGTATCTTGGACTTGTAGTTCTCCTTAATCTCGAGGCATTCGAGATCGTAGATGGCCTTAGCGGTGTCGGTTTCTGCAGTGCACTCTTTCTGAACTAGTCGAATAATCTCAGCCTTTTTCTGGTCGCATGGCGATGAAGCCATGCTGAAGGCAGCGTCGAGAAGAGCGCAACTGGAACCTTGGTTGTGACTGGATACGTGACCGCAAGGAAAACAGTATGAGCAGTAGACTCAGAGGTGGAATACTTTCAGAAGTAGATTGTTGCCAAAAGACCAGATGAAGGCATTCATGGGTTGGCGATGTTTTGCTTTCAGCTGATGGAATTAATGGCGAGAATGGGGGACCGCATGCAAAAGTGGAAGGTGGAGGGTGTGTTCACCCAGAGAAGCAAACAGGGAAGCAAAGAAGTAGGGGATTTTCGTCTTGGAATTAATAGGCAACTACGAAAAGGGAAATTTGCAGCTTCCCTGGCTACTTCTGGTAACCTATGCAACGGCCTGAGCTTCAACAGCACCCCGCCCTGCCAGTACCGCGTTCCTCGTGTATGTGCATTTGAAGCTGACTTTCCATGGCTGTCATCAGAACAAGCCAGCCAATTCTCCTTAGCCCAGTACGTGAAGAGCTACCTAGGAAACCAGCTACTGGTAAATGGTTGCAACCATTGCAGGATCATTTGGCTGGTAGACGTGAATGTGCCCGTCATGCGGTATGGTCGCCACTCTCGCCTTGCATCGTGAACAGTAGATGTGCGTGTCCTCGAACCAGTGACACAAGTACGGCAGGCAGACTGTACACAAGCAGAATAGGCAGCACAAAGCCGCTGCTATGGTCTGCATTGAGGTTCCCTCTGTCGATACGTTTGTCTGAGTCCGCTGTAGGCAGAAGGGGCAGTCGATAAAAGTTGGTTTTGCTGTCAGTCTGGACAGTGGCGTCACCATCTGCGGCTCGGGCTCCGAGACGATTGGAGGCATCTCCATGTGAGGATTCTTTGCAGGAGGTGTTATAACCTTTTCCGGCACGGTTGGTCTGGTGATCGCGGCTCGTCAATATCATTGAGACTCCCTGGGTAGGTTAGAGGGAGACGACCGGGACGGGTAAGCATACCCTCTATCTTGTTCCACCTGTATCAAGTCTGCAGGTAGGTTCTGCCAGTCATTCTGTATGGGCTCTGTTCCATTTTGAATGGAATGTTCTTGTGCCAGATCAGGATGCTGTGGTGCTTGGGACTGACGCAGGTCCCCATCCGTCTTTACCTCTTGCTGAACTTTTTCCGTCGTCATAATAACGGACTTTAATCCTTTCCTGAAGCCTTGGGGGCGAGTTAAATCCAAATGTCAGGTGTTGAGGTTACGAGAAGAACCGGGACCGGTGTTACTGCTTTATAGAATGAAAACATTACTCCACAGTGGATTGTGGAACAATCTAGGTATGAAGGGCAAGACTAGCCGTTGATTTATTATTTTTGGGAATATGCGGCCTTAATTAAAGGAGGCTACAGTGGTGCACAGCCTACATTCATAGCACGATGCCCCAAAGCTGAGCATTGTGTGTAACATCAGTTGTGGCAAAGGCAGACAATCTATTTACTACCTGGGCAGGCAACCGTATTCCTGGCGCTTGCGACGAATGAGACAGGGTCTAGGGCATGTGAAAAGCAGTGCAACAACAAAGATTGCAGCAGGATGCACAGTGTGAAATCAGCAAGTAGATAGATCAACTGGCCTAATAACCTTGGCGTCATCCAGGCCCACAAGGCTACAACACCTTAAATGTGCAGCCTTCACCCCAGGTCGTATCATGCATCTTACACAGGACCGTGTATTACACAGTACATTATAGAAGGATTGCGAAGGATTCAAAGACCCTGCAATGTGACTGCGCAAGGGTGCTGGTATTGCAGGGGCAGCTGAGGCTGACGAGACGCAACAGATTCCGAATCTGATCCACGTGCTGGTAGCACTGAGACTAACTACTCTAAAGACAGCTTCATCAACTCCCTAATGCCTTCAGGCTGTACTCCTTCTAGTTCATCGTCCCAAGATCGTGTAAAAATGCGGCTTCTTCACACAACCACTCAAAGGCTATTCGAGAAGACACCCGAGGAACTTCGAAAAGAGAATATTCGATATGCTATCCTCTCCCATACCTGGGGGCCTGACGAAGTGGTCTTCGATGACATCGTTCATGGCACCGAATGGACCAAGAATCCAAGCTCATTGTCAAAGGTCCAAGGTGCGTGCCGTCAGGCTCGGAGCAATGGATATGATTACATCTGGATCGACACGTGTTGCATAGACAAGAGCAGCAGTTCCGAGCTTTCCGAAGCAATCAACTCTATGTACGTTTGGTATGAGACGGCAGAAGTCTGCTACGCCTTTATCGAAGACTTCGACTATGAGAGCCTCGGTTCGGCGGAGAAGAAGGCATCGTTCGCAGCGAGCAGATGGTTCACACGCGGGTGGACATTGCAAGAGCTTCTTGCGCCAACCAATTTAGTCTTCTTCACGAGAGATTGGGTCAGCCTCGGCGAGAAGAGAGCTATCAGCCCTTTTCTAACAGAAATCACGGGAATTGACGCCGCCATCATGACAGGTGCGCGTCCAATCGAATCCGCTAGCATCGCAAAGAGAATGTCATGGATGTCACGCCGACGAACAACACGGCCTGAGGACTCGGCCTATTGCATGATGGGAATATTCGGCGTCAACATGCCTATGCTCTATGGTGAAGGCGGCCGGAAGGCGTTCTTGAGGCTCCAGGAAGAGATCATGAAAATATCCGACGACCAATCGCTTTTCGCATGGGTAAATCGAGACGGAGACCCCGATGAGCTGCATGGGCTCCTGGCCTCATCTCCAGCAGCTTTTGCACATTCAAACGGTATACTTCCGTGTAAGCAGCTTCTAGACATACTTTTTACCCCTTTAGCAACAAGTATAACCCATTTCCCGCCTTCGTCACCAAGACAGGCTGCAGTTATGGGACAGGCTGTGGCGACCTTGCAGCCTGCTCCGGTAAAACCACTTCCCTGGTCCTATGATAGCTAATTCTCAACGATGCAGATCACGATTGGGGTGACTCTCGCGAACCTTATACGATGACTAACCGGGGTCTCCGTATACAACTCCACCTGTCCGCACGGGAGGATGGGATATTTGTTGCAACGATCGATTGTCCCGTCCCGCCCAACTACGCGGACTCGAGCTTCTTGGCGATATATCTAAGGAAGATATCCAGCGGCCGAGAAGATAAAGAGGGGCAACACTATGCCCGTGTCAGGGCTGGCCAGTTCGGCAGCGTGCAGGTCCGGGGAAAGTTAAAGACCATCTATGTGCGTCAGGACCAGCGACCACCCATTGACGGGGAAGCGGGCGTGTTCCCTCAGCACATTCTACAGCTCCGCAGCGGGCCCCATCCTGATGCCTACAGAGTCACCCAAGTACTTCTGCCTGCAGGATACGCCAAAGAGATCCCGGAGCCGATGACGCTTCGGCAGTCGCCCCGGACCTGGGTTCCCGAAAAATGGCCGGTGGCATTCCGCCTCCCAAAGGGCGAAGGCCAAGTCGCAGCCGCGATCATATTTGAGCGTGACGACGGGGAAAGGCTAGCAGTATTAATGGGCTCAATACGCGGATTTCAGGTGGCTTTTGGCGCTGTGAAAATCGAAGGTGAAGCCAAGTCCGGGGCAAAGACCATGTCGTTCGAGATGCTGGCCTCTGAGTTTCAACCGTTGTCGGACGGGAGATTTGAGAGCGATTTTCACAGCGTGCGGGCCTCTGCCACGCCAGTCGTAAAGGACTCGTGGAAGTACTACCTGATAGATATCGGCGTTGAAGATGTCGGGCGACGGCTGCCCGAGATGCTGGCACAAGCCACTCTAGGAGCTTATAGCCGTGCGACAGGCACCGGAAACCACCCTGCTTACCAGCTTGGCACAACGCCTGAGACTGTGTTGCACCCTCATAAACCACAAGAGGTATACTCTGACGATGAAGATGATTGGAGTATTGAGGAGAACTTGAAGTCACAAGGAAATGCTGAGAAGATTCCGCCGGAAAAGAAACGGGACAGGTGGAGAAGGTTAATGAAATAGACGAAGATTGAGGCAGATCGAGGCAGACACAATACACCAAGTTGCCTCCCCAAGCGAGTTTCTATATGCTTAGAAAACTGTGGAAGGGAAATCCATCATGATTTCTTAGTATTTCACGGTACATACAAAAGTTTTGACTTCCCATTGAACTGAGGTCTCCCTTGGAGAAGCATTTGAATAAGACAGTCACACGAAAGCCTGCGAAGATATCGAAGATCCTGCTAACATTTTGTGACACAGCTGAAGTGAGCCAACATTGAAATGTCCCGAGTGAATGATGTTCATGTGCGGGTCTCTTTGGTCACTCTTTCGAGTGAAACATGTCAGTTTCGCCCCGACGCTATCTGTGTTCACAGCATATATACCCAGGCCACCGTATGAAGGCGCCATGTATGTCCTCGGACGTATACGGAATAGAAGCGAAACCACACCACATATATACCCAGGGATTGAGGAAACAGTCCAAGCTTCCCAACACAGTACAATAAAGAAGCCTTGCATCTCATTTTATCACGCACAATATGTGCGAGATCATGCTCACTGTTTGTAGAGAGGGCGGCACGATCCATTGGGCCCGAAGGACGGTTTGCCAGCCTGTTAAGGTGAAATTTCTAGCACTTGAGGCCTTTCAGACCTCTGGAAGATATTTCAAGTTCATGAGAAACTCTTTTGGTCACCAATCGAAGGTTGCGAGAGATTGGTTTTCGAGGATCCAGTCCTCTCACAATCTTGCGGGGGTCGTGCTGGCTGGTCACCTGAGGAAGAAATGGATGACGCCTCAACAATACAGCTTAGTAAATTTGAACGTCCACTTATTGGTGAGTAACTGGTTTCGCTTCTATTCCGTATACATCCGAGGTCATACGGTGGTAAGCGCTCAAGACCCAGCGCTTGAAAAGGACACAGTGTCGATAACTATAGTTATAATACGATAGGCGATTAGTGAGTGAATATTGGAATCCTCAACACTCTTTAATCATAATGTGACTCTCCAGCTTCATAGAAGGTTTTGAAAGTGTCCTTTAATCAATATGTTTGTTAGTAAGACAATGCCATATCTTCATCGAGCCTCTGTGCTGCACCTCCAAACTGCAAGTACACAATACGGTCCACGGGTTCCATAACACATGGGTGAATTTGAAAATATTTTCTTTATACCTCGATGTTGATAAGGCATTGATTCCATCACTACCATTGCTTGAGTGCGTGTAAATTTCACGGTTCAGAACCCCACCATGCGATGAATCCCTATTGTTGCATAACATATTGACTGGGTGATCAAACTTTGGGAACCCCGGGGTAGTGGTCGACACGGTGTCTAAGTCTACTTGAAGTGATGTGAACTACAGCGTAAACCCTCTCCTAATCCCTTCCACTCCCAACCGGGACCCACAATCGCAAAAGATACCTAGGTACGGGAGCACACTCAACTAAAACCTGCCTTAATATTGTATTCTCTCTGTACTGTTATTGGCATTGTATTTCTTAAACATTGGGCTTTGAGCGTTTCCCACTGTATGAAGGTGCCGTATATGGCTACGGACATATACGGAAGAGAAACGAAACCAGTCAGTCAAGCGGTCTCCCCACATGTGCAAGCTTCAATAACGAGAGTATTATTATCTGAATCGGGAGACAGCCGCTCATCGTGATCTGCGGGATTGTTTTGACTAAATACCCGGTAGGGATCAGCTCTAACATTTCACAAAGTGACTAGAATCGTTGATTTTGACACTTCTCACAGCGGTTTTGAGAATATGAATCCTCAAAATTCGTTACGAGATAAGTTTGTAAGCGGTCAAGCGATGAGGCATACAGTATTTGGGTATTCCAATCAAAAGAGAGCATCAATATCTAGGTCTCGAGAGGACGGAGTTTGTGAACACATTCCTATACTTGCTCAGTAAAGTTCGAGCCACGTATGTACATCCTCAGATTCATCCCTGCTCTAGTATTAGACATTGGCTAGTGAACTTTACAATGCCGAATGATCACGTCAAGTTGCCGACATGTACACGCGTACCTGTGGCCGAGCACTCGGAATTCCGGCACCCATCTGCACTACTAGTTAGCTCCCATCAAGTTTTTCTCTCTCGAGGTTAAGAAGGGCTTGCTCGTGATTATGGAGCATGATGCCAGTGCATTTGAGCCAGATACTGACTCCAGCATGACCAGCGTGTTGCCGGCCCGCGGAATGGCACGGCGTTTGGTAGCTGGGCACGTGAATGTGCAGAGCCGAGTCCCGAACCGGCCGAGGGCAGCTTCACTTTGTCGACTCATGTCTGCCCATTGGTTTTAGAGTTCGTTCGATCTTACTCGTGCTAATTACTGCATATGCTATAGAGGAGACTCGTCACCACTGCAAGCGTCCAGGCAGAGCATGACGCTCCGCGACACCCGGGCGCATAGGGGCCCATCGACTCATCGATGGGTGATGAAGGGTGACGAAATGTGCGTTTCCAAATGCCAAGCTCTAACCCGGCGATGGATGATCCGAGGGCAGCATGTCGCACGTCCAATACAAGGTGCCACAGCAGAAACTGCTTCCATGCCGCCGGGAAAATCTTAATATTCTCCTTGTGAAGTACGCTTATCCGTGGGCCTGGGAGTATAAGCAACTGCTTGGTAAACGACGTGGATTGTGTGGATGGATGTAAAGACAACGTGGCCGCCAGAAGCAGGCTCTATACCGCCCTGGACTGCGGCGACCGAGCTTCTGCAAATCCGGTCTCTAGGTCCGAGACGGGGTGCGGGAAGGCCCAGACGGCCACCTGTCAGATGTCTTGGCCACGCATACCATAAATGTCGATTTCCTATGCAATCATTGTGGCGGGAGGGACTGAAGTGATGCGATGATCCACGGTGACGAGGCTGTGCGGTGTTTCAGGATTTCTTGTGGGAGGCTCGACCTGTGGGAATGGACACGGGCAGACGGGTTGGACCTGGCCTAAGCTCGGGTGAGACAGCACGGTCCCTATGTAATGAATCACACTGAGTACGGAGTACTATGCGGCAGTACATATTCAGAGGTCCGAGACAGCCGACAGGCCAAAAAGGGCCAAGCTTCAGCAGATCTGCGCCTAGCACCAGCTGGGGACTTGGCACAGGACCCGGTTAGTCGGACTCAACGTCCAAGGCTGGACGTCATCCAGACCGAGAGGCTCTCATCATCTCAGGAAGGTGGGGACAACAGTCCGAGTTGGTAAGGGAGCTTGGTGGACCAGTGGATCTCGCATGCCATCTTGGACTAGTCAGGTGGGAATCCGTGGGATCATTGATAGCACGAGCCTGGCTCATTTTGAGACAGAGTTTGGGTGGGCCACACGACTCGGTATTTGAGGGGATGCTGGCCGCCTCCGTTCCCGCAGTCTCGTGCCCATCCGAGCCCAGCCTCAGAATCTTGTTGGCGCCAATTAATCTGGTGGACTAGTAGATGAAGAATGAAGGCATTTATTTGTCAGACTGCTTTTCCGCATAGGGAAAAGAACAAGGCGCGCGCGTGGGAGAGGGGCCTGAGGGGGCCACACTACTCCGTAGCAAGATCAGACCCACCCTGGGGGACCCCAGTCGCAGCCGGGCACGACCAGGGTGTCGGGAAAAGAAGCTCGCCCTAAGACGGCGCCCGTCCTTGGCAATGTGGGCGAGCGAAGCTTGGGAAAAGCTTCGTTGCCCGCCAACGACTGCTGATGACCTATTCAAAGTTCGGCAATCTTGGAGCAGCGGCAACTAGGGCGATTCGCCGTCCCTGGTGTGACGTGGTGTGGACCGTTGTGTTGACTTGCTGGCCGCAAGCCAGTCTCGAGCAGGATGGGCCTGCGATGCCGAGTTGAGATCGGGCCAGACTGGGCGTGGGCGGTTGGCGGGCTGCCCGAACCACACCACAACAAGCACAGCCAGGTACTGTGCGTGGTAGGTGCATTGCATAGGCAGTAGTAGCGCAGGCCGACCGACTGTTTGAGGTTCTGGCAATTCTGTCCCTGGCCGTGGCTCTGGATCCGGTGCTGCTGTTTTACTGTTTTGCTGCTGCTGGTGCTGCTTCCTCCTTCTGGCTCTGGTGTTTTGATGCTGACTCTGACGGAAACCATGGCCGATTCATTCCACACGTCTCGGGCTTGTGCCACCCAGGCCGACCAACGGCAACAGCGGCAACAGGTCTGTCGGAATATGCATCCGGTTTGATAGATGATAGCTTTGCCCCCCCTCGAGCACAGCCTTGTTGCACACGCCGCACGACGCCCACGCAGTGCAGGACAGCGAAGGACAGCGCAGGAATGGGTCCTCGCTAAGGCTTCCGTGATAACCGAGGTGCACTCCCGTGCAGCTGGCAACCCGGGCGTGAGCTGGAGGGTGAGGAGAAGCAGCGCGAGGATACGAGGAGGGCGGGAGGAAATGGGAAGTCGTCTCGGAAAGAAGGCAAGCGGCCAGCTCGAAGCAGCTAGCCCGAGATACCCAAGTGACTGTTGTAGCCAACTCGTAGGAGACACCCCTGCAGAGCTGGACATTCCCTGGCCCTGCTGGGCTGCCTGGCCCGTCTGGCCTGCCCATTCCCTGGTCGGGATGCCCTGGATGCCCCAAGTGCCCACCCGGCCTCCTTGCTGCTCTCCGTGGGTGCTCGTGCTCGTGCCTCTGGCGGCCGTATAAAGACCAGACAGGCCACAGGTCTTGGCATTTCCCACGGGTGTCGTTCTTCCCATCCCCCCTCAAATCTTCCACTTGGATTCCGTCGCACACACCTCTTCTCGCCTCAGCCGTGCCTCCCTGCGTGCCTGTACCTTTTTGGCCGTGCACTCTGGACCGCTGCCCCCACATAGCTTCCATTCCTGCACAGTCTGACAGTACTCCGTACAGTCACGCCCAAGCCTTCCGTCGTCCTGTCTGTGTCTGGGTGGTCCAATCTCACCTCTCCCACTACCTTGGCTTCCTCCTCGGGTTGTGGCATCACTCCCTCTTTCTTCTCCCTCCTCCTTCACCTTCACATACCCCATCCATCGACACGTACACGTGGGTGACGGAGGACCTCGCCTGCTGCTGGCCTAGCTTTCGTGTTCAATACTCGTCCCAAGCGTCCTAGATGCCTCCGTGCCTTGAGCCTTGGGTTCTATAGCCCGCACAATGATGGTCGACAATGATGGGCAACAGTAAGTTTGACCGTTTGGTTTTTTTTCTTTGCTTATGAGACGATCTGGTCCCGTTCCTGGTTACTCCAGGGCCGAGACGTCAAAACTCTTGGAAATCTCTTGGGTGTGGTCTTGGGTTGTTTTGATCGGTTTTTCCCCAGGCCTTGGGCCCTTGGCACCCGCCTTGGCACGACCCAGCAGCCCAGATCCAGATTGCCCCAGAAAGCACAAGCACACCCACAACGTGCCAATGCCATGCCAATGCCACGCATTTGCCATGCGACGGCCAGTTCCTCGGCTCGGGATCAGGAACACGAGGGCTAACTCAACATTTGTGTCACAGCCTACGTCGACGATATCCAAAATGCAGTGTACGTCTTGACTGTGTTTCCTTGTGCCGTCTTGCCCTGTACCCCTCGCCTCTCCTGTCTACTCCCCGTCTTCCTCGTCCCACGCCAGACACCCTGCGTGGGTGACACCGGCGACACGGTGGTCTCGGTGACGTTTCGCCTCACCTGCACATATCACCACCCCCTCGTTCGTCCACAGGTGCCACGCTGTGCCCCACAGCCGAGCTGTCCTTCTTGATGACGGCTTCCCGGCTTCCCGGCGTCGCGGGTCATGGGGGCTCTGTGAGACGCCGCCTACGCACCTGTATACTCCCATGAACCACACAAAGCACACCCCCGCCGTCCAAGTCTGTATACTGACATCATCAAAGGCTTCTCTTCAGCAATCCCGTCTGGTCTGGCGCCGATAGCATTCCATCAACCATCATCAGGAACATCACTGCGCTCTCCGTAAGTCATTCCCCGCCCGACGCAGCCTCCCTTGGGCCCCAAGTCGTCCCGCGCCATCCCTCCCGGCCTCTGATTAATGTCATGCAGAGCGACATAGCCTACTCCGCAGAGATCAACGAAAACATAACCATCCTGTCCTCGAGATACGCCCAGACGAACAATGGCATCATCCAAGGACTGCTCTATGTGCCCGATCTCGAGGCCCGTGACCCGTGCACCGGTTTCGAGTCTGCATATGTGCCCAGCACCGCTGTGCGACAAGCCCACCTGCCACCTTCCGATTACAACCTGATCGCCCTGGTGCCTTGGTACAATGCGAATTGCACGAGATCATATCTCGCCTCTGCAGCATTGGATCCTATTCGCGCCCTAATCACCTACAGACCCGACAACAGCGTTGAGCGGCCTCCGCCTGCCGACGACGAGATCTGGGATCTCCAGGACCGCGATGCCTGGAAGTCCTACAGCAAATTCCCCATCTACGCCGTCTCGGGTGCCGTCGGCTCATCTATGATGACACAGCTTAGCCTATATTCAGGCAACGTGACCTCCGTTCCCTACGGAGAGAACATCTCTGCACTGTACAACCCCGACGCCGACGACTATGTCCGGATTTGGTCCCAGATCCATGTGGCCACGACGGATTCATTGCCGACTATTTGGATCTTCATTCTGATATGTGTGGCGGCACTGTTCTTCATTGTGGCTGGCATCTCCTGCACAATGCATTGTGTTCAGTACAAGCGTCGGGCTTCTCTTCAGCGTCGTGTCATGAGTGGCGAGGTGAACTTGGAGGCCATGAACATCAAACACGTCTTGGTCCCTCTCGAGCATGTCAAAAAGTTCCCCCTTTTCACGTACAACTACGAGCCAAACGCGAACAGCATGCCGCCCTCCCCGACGACACCACGGGCACCTGCACGAGTCCATATGCGGAACAATAGCCTGGGGATCGACGAGACCATAACATCCATTCCCGCACCGCCTTATTCGGAAAAGGCTTTGCCCAGCCCAACAGCGAAATCAACGGTCACTGGCATCACTGCCGCTAGTACGGCAACAGACTATCAACCTGCATGTTCGATTTGTTCCCAGGACTATGAAAACAGGGTAACCATCATACGCGAACTCCCATGTGGTCACATTTTTCACCCGGACTGTATCGACGAATTCTTGAGCAGCCACAGCTCCTTGTGCCCCCAGTGCAAGGCCTCCATGCTCCCCAAAGGCTTCTGTCCAAAGGTCACCAACTCCATGGTCCGTCGGGAGAGGGCGATTCGGAAGCTTCGGGGTCGCGTCATTGTAGACGAATCGGACGTCGAGAGCGGCCGTGCTCGGACAGACACCTGGAAGTCGAGTGTGAAGAGGAAGATGTTCCGTCCAAGTAACAACGCGGCCAACCTCGTGCAGCAGGTACCCGCTCGTCAAGCTGAAGGCCCAACACCCGAGACTCGACTGCGAATGCGCGACCTGGCTGGTGAAGAGTTCCACGATGGCCGCAGTTTAAATGGACAGCCCAAATGGAAAAGGGCCACGCGAACATTATTCCCTGGATTTTCTTGATATCTTCCTTCTTTTTTTTTCTTTTTTTTCCCACATATTTTGGAGCTTTGTTTTCTTCTTTCTGTTTTTGGACCGGTTCCCATGTGATACCCCGGAGCAATCTCCACAACTGATTTAGTGAGCATCGGATGGCGTTACTAGGCCAGGTGGGTTCAGGCCGAGCATACTGGGTGGGGCCTCAGGGGATGTACACCATACTGGATATGTTTTTATGGCGAGAGTGGTCACAGTGGAGTATTATCAAGTGGTACGAGATACTGCTTTCGCGGTGGGAAGGTGGTCAAGAAGAACAAGAAGAGGTCGCCGCCACGCCAAGCCCCCGAGTTGGGCGACAAGGTAGTGGTCGAATCGGACACATAATGTGTGCCAATTCAAGTGTGTACATGTAGCCACTTCAGCTTGACTCCGACAAGGGGTATCAAGACTCGCATAAAGACAATAGAACTGGAAGTATCAACAAAAAGCAGCATACCCGTATATTTGTGGGCTACAAACATGATCCGTGGAAAACAAGAACACGTATTTTATAATTAAATATCCATATATTACTTATAGTCCCAACCACTTATATTAACAAGTTGACCGTTCGGAATTATTAGAATAGGACTTTCGCCACGCAACAAGCCAAATCCAATAGTAATGGGTGCTTGGGCACTTCTGTCCTCCAACTTGGGATCATTCTCTTATCGTCTAAATCTAGTCTTATTGACTCCAGCCTTAGGTTTGTCCTGGGTAAATGGAGGCTGTGCGCGGGCATTGCTTTTTCAACGGACCATCATTCGATTCGCGTGTATGATATTCAGCCATCCCTTGATACCTCCTGCAAAGACCGAATCAATCATGAGCCGGAGTCGTCGTCGCGGGCCACGATGCCTCAAACTCCTTCACGAACCGGGTGATAATGTAAAGAGTCTCCATAATAACGTCTTGTTCGTTCACATGCAGTTCTCGGTCCCTCGTTGAAAGAAACATACTCCTTGGCTAAATGTGTCAGAAAGTGCCAGTGTCATGTTCAGACTGCGTGTCGTGGAGCAGGAGCAAGTAGTTGCACACCGTAATGGGACCTTCAGGCACCCCAGAAGGCTTAGACAGGCGAAATAGTTGCGCACCACGCAACAGTTAGCGATCTGCACAGTGGATAGGCCAATTTTGGTATAAAAGTTATGTGAAGCTTGGAAGAAGTCGTCTGTTTGCTTCGGCACGAAGTATGGTCGAAATAGGATTACGTTTTGGAGCACTCAAGTGCTAACTATACGAAGTTTGATAATCTTGACGTGGGAAGAATGTGGGAAGTCGCAAGAAAGTCTTTTAGTGCTTCACAGCCTTCAACTTCAAGTTGGTTTGATGATACCTTCGTGATTAGGCAGCCTCTAGGTGACTGCTTCCTAAACTTGTACCGTCGTACCTGCGCAAGCCTTATGGGGTGCCAGGAAGCACCGGTACGGCACCCAGGAATGCCATGTGCCAACCCAACGCTCAGGCTTCTCGTCGGCTTCGTCGCTCAGATATCTCTACGTCGATGCTCCGAGAAGTCAGAGTAAGGCACCTTGAGGACTTTAGGGGTGTATCCGCGCCGCCATCACGAGGAAGTATCGTGTCACACGAACAGCGACCTTTGCGCTTGTCAAGACTGGTGAGTAGAGCTGCAATGCTGAATTATGTTCAGCTTTGCAGATTGAGTCCTGGAACCAAGTGTTGCACTCGTTTATGCACTTGGGCAGTACTTCGCATAAATTAAATTTCTGAGTTGCGCGTCACTTACTATATGAAGGCGCCGCATACGGCTTCGGACGTAAACGGAATAAGAACGAAACCAGCTATGCAACAAGAATGTGTGCTGGAGCCATACACTTTCGCTTACCTGAGGAATCTACGGCTCAGACGATTCGACCATGACAGGCATCTGGGTAAAGAATGACTGCCGGGTAGCTGCTGGGGTGGATCTGGTGGATCGCCGTTCCGGCCTCCATCTTTAACAGTCGCTTTGTTCAACTGTCAGATATTATCACGGACGAGAATGTGCTGAAAGTGCTTGGTGGTGGCAACGCTTACCCGCACGTTCTGAGCACACACGTGTCGTCACTTTCAGATGAGGTGAAGGAGCAGTTGGGCTATGTTTGTGACGATGCTTTGATGTTGGTCTGGCATGTCACGGTCTGCCTCGCATTTAGCGCCTTTGCGCTGCTGCTCACATTGCTGGAGAGGGAGGTTATGATGCGGTACTGTGGCAACAGCGTGGCTGAGTGGGCGCGCGGAATGAGAGAAGAAAATAAGATGAAATAAATGAGAGAACGAATGTAACAATAGCTCTAGTCCATCTACCTAGGTACAAGTGCTTATGGATCTTGATATTTGGCCTCGGAGAAATCAACTCCTGAGGGCATCTACGTACTGGGTCAAACTCATTTTGCAGGTGCCTCTGGTTGTATCAAAACCTTGGGAGGCTTGAAAGCTTCTTAACGATTTGCAGAAGTCCTTCCGGCGCAGTAATAGTCTCATGGTCACTACACATTGAATTTTACCTAGCACCATTGAGTTGGTGTCTGTTCAGGACGCTCACCTGGGCATAGCCCTCCAGTCATGGTTGGAACTAGAAATAACCTGTCAACGCCAACCCAACCAGTACTGGTTCCAGGACCCGTTTATAATGGGCCTCATGATCAGCTGTGCATGTCGACATTAGGAAGAGGCTACATGATGGCCATGACCACAAGAAGAGTGGGTGCATACATCTTCCTCAATAGCTTACCCAATAGTACTTACTAGTCGAGGTGGAAGTTGGTGGAGGAGCAGATTATTGTGGGTAAGGGATCAAGGTGGGAGGCCGTGCAACGGGCCGGGCGGCTCCTGAAACACAGGTGCCCACCCCTGATATCAGCTCATGGAACGGCAGGAGTGCTTCTTAGCCAGCGGGCTTGAGAATCACGGCAGCACGGTGAGCAAGACTCATCCAATGCCACTACCTAACTGGGTACATACTAGAAATCAAAGATAGACATACCCAAAACTGTCGAAGGTCAGGCAGGTCACACCTCAGTATATATGTGATTAAGCAATTAAGTACACTGAGTCATTGGGCGCGGCTCGGGATGATGTCAGGCCTAGCACCGAGTGTCCTCCCGTATGCCTCGTTCTCTCCTGACATGGCTTGCTTTACTCACTCACAGCTCCTGTTCGGACCTGTGGGGTTGATCGAATCCATCGAATCCATCGGCAGCGTATTCCATGCAATACAAGTACCGAACATGCCACCGTCTGGCCAGGAACGGCCCAGCGGGTTGCAGATCAATATAGCACATATTATAGAACATAGGTACCTTGCCTACTTAAGTACCTAGGTAGGTACCTAAAGTATTCAGGTAGACTACCAGGAGTGATGCGCGGCTGGGGTCTGTTGGAGCTTGAGGAAGGCCTACTGAGGGTTCCCCGAAGCTCGCACGATCTTGGAACCCCTCGCCAAGGCTGTCACAAGCAAAGGACCCGTCCTGTCGCAACCCACACCGGCCAGAGACTGTGAACATCGCGCACAAGCAGCAGGGAAATCAATAAACAGCTGTGTCATAAGTTCAAACATGAGTCTCTGGGAAAGGACAGGCATTTGACCTGGCTGTCAACTGGTAGCTAGCTAGGAGGCCTGCTGGGAGGACAGACGCGACGATAAAGAAACGGACCCCTGAGCGAGTCGCCTGCTGGATTTCTTGGCTGACGACGTACGCGACCCAAGAGCACCCCGCCATCTGCCACCGAAGCTGCCCCTCTCCCCACTCAAGCTCACAGGAAGTGAGCTCTGTATGGAGTCTTGGCACGTTTGACACTTCTCCCTGGCCAGTCCCTCTGCGCCGCCGTCCAAGGTCGACCACACCAAAGGCAGTGTCTTTTCCCTCCTTTCCCCCTTTTCCTTCCTCTGTTTTCCCGCATACACCAGCTTCACCATAACAAATTGTCTGCCAAGGGACTGATCGAAGTCGTCTCTTTTGAGCAAACCACGCATCTACATACCCCGCCACTGCTTCCTTGGGCTTCACCAAGCTCCCAAGTGATCACCAACGCTGTAGATTCACACTAGCCAACCAACAAGGCGGTCAGCAAGGTTCGTCGCCCTCGTCCTCCAAGACATGGCCTTACCAAACAACACTCGCGGCCAGTCCAGCCATTCTGCTTCGAACAACCAATTGTTCAATCGCAAAGCCGCGCTCTCGAGCCTCGCCCACCCACCAGATCCCAGCTGACCAATGCCTTGAACCCGCAGACTACAGACCGCCATGTCGTCCTCCCTCAAGATGACCCCCCTCTTGATGGGGGTGGTCGTCCTTTTCCTCTTTGCCGGCCATGCTCATGCATTTGGTGCTGGAAACATCGCCAGCATCTCCAAAGTTGAAGGACAGAACTGTAAGCGCGCACACACTACCATGCTAATCATACTGGGGGGGACTCGTACTAACCATGGCCTTTGACAGGGCGTCATGGCGATATCGAGGACGCCCTCCTGAAGATTATGATGGCTCGAGCCGTCGGAGGCAAGAAGTTCGACAAGCTGGCGGTCTCGCGTACTTACTTCGGCAACTGGTAAACAATGCATAATGAATCTCACAACCGGCCCTCACACTAATACGGCTCTAGGCTGAGAGATTACTCCCAGGCCATCGATGTTGGCACCGTGAAGAGCGTTTCGGCTGAGGCTATTCGCCTCCTTCTCTGCGTATTGGGCTTCTTGACATTTGGCTACGGATCTCGCGAGTTCGAGGTCACTGCTGACCGTCTCGGCTGCTACCGCCCAGAAGGTAACCGAATCTCGTCACTTGACATGTTGCTTGGTGAAACCAGGGACTGACAGCTTTTGAAGACCACATCGACAACCCCAAGAATTATGCCGACAACGAAGACGCCCGTCAATATGACCGTCGCCTGCGAGGCCCCATCGACGAGAGCGTCGAGCTGGCCGTCGATGAAGAGACAGGCATGAAGAACTACATCGCCAATGAGAACGCGAACATCATGACCAGTGCTCTCCATGTCCGGCGCCTCTTCACCAAGTGTGTCGAGCTCGGCAGACGGTATCAGCGCGATAACAGGAAGGAAGATCTGTATGAAGCGCTTCGCCTGATGGGTACTGGACTACACTGCTTGGAAGGTCAGTTTGGTCATGAAAGATTTCACAAGGTCTGTTTCTAATGCAATGCTACAGACTACCTGGCTCACAGCAACTATTGCGAGCTTGCGCTTATCGAGATGGGAGAGCGCGATGTGTTCCCCCACGTCGGTCGCAACACCCAGATGCGCCTGCCTGGTGCTCGCCACGAAGTCTACCCGATTGTCACCGGTACCTTCGGCGGTGTTGACTTCCTGCACTCCGTCACGGGTGAGGTTTCCGACAAGCTGACCCAGAACGAGATTGATGAGCTTGAGGGCACCCTCCAGCAGAGCCAGAACACGGACACCAGCCTTCTACGCAATCTCCTGGACAAGATCCCCGACGGCTTTTTCGGAGGTGACGACAAGAAGTCCAAGATGGACGACATCCAGCACAACGCAAGCGCTGCCCAGGTCGAGCAGATGTCTGTTTCTCCCCGTGACCCTGAAGAGTACACGCTCTACGTCCAGCAAATCTTCCGCCAGGTCATGCCTGCGATTGAGTTCCATGACGAGATTCTCCAAAGTGTCACCGAGGCCATCGAGAAGATCCCAATCCTGCCCCAGATTGTTGAGCAGCTCGAGGAGCAGCTCTCCGTCTTCGTTTTCTCCGTCATCGCTCCTTTCGTCGTTCCCGTCATCAACCAGGTCAAGAATGAGCTCAAGACCGGCTCTGAGGAGGTCATCCACTCCAGTGAGAACGAGCAGCACATCGTCTTCAATGATGACGACAGTACTGACCCCACCCACTCCATGCTGTCCAAGGATCACTTCTCCAACATCCTGAACGAAATTGCTGGCAGGACTGCTAGCAAGGTCGTCGCCTGGACCGTCCCGCAGCTCATGGAGGCCATTGACGACGATGGCGCCGACATTGACCGCGTTTGCAGCCGCATCATCTCGGGTGTCCTTCACCACCCTGCCCAGCGCGACATGGGCGAGGATGGCGCCCGCGAAGGCCGTGAGATGATGTTCCGGAGTGTTGAAGAGTGGTGGAACGATATGTCCGAGGATGCCAAGGATGAGTATCGCCAGAAGCTATCTCGCAGGGGAGTTCAGAACGGGGAGAACCACAAGGAGGGCGTGCACGACACCGGCCACGGCCACGGATGCTCTGGCAAGCTGAGCATGCACAAGCAGTTCGGCAAGGGTGGTGACCAATCCGTCGAGGACAGGATCGCGTCTGCGGCCGCAGGTGCTATCATCGGCGGTGTAACCTCTGGCATCTCCGACATGGTTTCCAACCAGACAGGCGGCAGGGTCAACCTGCCCGACAGCAACGACCCTAACAAGGGCGGCGGCCTCCTCGGCAACGTGTCATCGCTTCTTGAGGGCGCGTTCGACAAGAACTCGAGCTCGTTCGAGTCGCGCCGTCGTGACGACGATGGGGGGTACACGCAGTCTGTGTCGCAGTACGGCCGTAGCGATGATGGCCGTCGCTACGAGCAGGCCGAGTACTCGCAGACCCGTTATGATGACGGGCGTGAGAGGGAGGAATACCGTCGCACCGAGCAGAGGGAGGACGGCGGGGGCCGGGAGCACGGATACTCCTACCAGGAGACCCAGGAGAGCTACGGTGGGCGTCAGCACCACGAGGAGAGTCGCTGGGAGGGCGAGACCTCCAGCTACCGCCGGGAGGAGAGTGAGAGTTATGGAGGGGGGTACGGCGGCTCGCGGCGCGAAGAGTCTGAGAGCTATGGCTCTTCGCGACGAGAGGAGTCTGGGGGCTACGGTGGCGGCTACGGCCGACAAGAGTCGGGAGGCTACGGCGGTGGAGGAGGTGGCTATGGCTCCTCCGGACGCGAGGAGAGCTACGGGGGAGGCTATGACTCTGGACGACGCGACGAATACGGCGGCGGCCAGCAGGAGGGAGGCTACGGAGGCGACAACTCGTCTGGCAGGCGCCGGGACGACGACGATAACAACAACGATCTGGTCGGAAACCTTGTTGAAGGCGCTGCGAAGCACTTCTTTGGCGGCGACAAGGACCGTCGCGAGGGCGGGGGCGGGGGCTGGTTCTCTTAGGCAGATGACCTCTCACGCAGGTTTCGTTCCAGATCACCAGATCGTGGAGCCGACTAGATCGGGCCTATACCAAGCTATGCCGAGCTTCAGTCTTGCCGGAGAGGGCTGACCGGGGCTCGCGGACGAATTACAAGTGTTTTGTTTTAGTAATGATATTTCGCCATGCTCCTTCACTCCAAACTCGAATGCCGGGCCGTCATAACAAACGCACCTACAACTGTAGCAAATATGTGCTGAAGTATGCATTCTACTTGGTAGCACCCGCCAAAACCTGCTGAATGGTGCGTGGTCTCCCCGCAGCAGCTCTTCGCGAGCTCAAGGCGGATGGGGCGAACCATACCACCCATGAGAAGGAAGCCGCATACGGTCCGTTCCGCGCGATGCTCGGGTGCCTTCTAGATCAAACCACAGGGTATTCTGCGACACTGCAGTCTGCAGCTAGACAAGTTGAACGACTCATGCCTGTGAGGGCCCGGCATTGCAAGAGAAGAGCCAGCAGGCAAGACAAGCACAAGCACGGAGCACGGACGGGAGTTGTTGTTGCTGCTGCCCAGAAAACGTGCCCCGACGCCGGGCACGCGTTTCACCCTCGGGAGGAAAATGCCGCGCTCGCTGAAGAACTTGCAGGGGCTGTGGGTGATGCAGCAGCATCAGCAGCGGAAGCAGCTGGTGCAAGCTCCCGCCGGCGAGCTATGCAAGCGTGCTAACAAGTCTGGTGGGATGGCTGGGTGCCAGGCCCTGGACCCCAGGACCCCTAGGGACGTTGGTGTTGCGGAATGTCTCTGACGCACGATCTTGCCGCGCACAAGACCACACCACACCCCTCGGGCCGTCGCGCGGGGGCCCCACCTGGAAACCACATGGAGGTGGCACGGTAGGTAGGGTCCCTCTGTTCCGGGAAACATTGTTCAGGCTCGTGGGCGCAGGCGGCGGCACGTACGATCGTTTTGCTCCCCCCGCTAGATGGAGCGCGTGTCGCACTGGCGAAAACGGGTGCCCCCGCACCCCAGCAAGGTACGGGGCAGTTGGCTGCAATGGCAACATGACCTGGTGCCACGCGATTTACTCGTTGTGCACCAGCTTCCTGATGGCTTCTTCGCAACGACACGCTACATCAAGGTCTATATCAAACGGCACACGCCGCTACGGTCTCCTCTACCTTCAGCCGGTACCGGCGCTTTCATTCCCGTAGTCGAGTTATGGAAGCCAGCTCGCCATTGTTATAAAGCGTTCGAGTCCATCGCATATATGGCCAGAGCACAACAGGTGGTACTTGGCGCCGCGAGATATTCTGATATATTCTGACAGACACTTGCAACTGTTCCCTGGTGGGCGTTTTGAATATGGCGGGTCAAGCCTAAGCCGGTACAGGCCCGCCGCTACTTGGGATCAGTCTGGGTAAACAAGTTGGGGAGGATGTGGTCACGCTGAGTACACAGTATATCGAACGCGTGGGTGTCCCCACTCACCAAAGCTCCCGGCGCGTCTCGCCTCGGCTCTCCCAGAGCTGGCATTATCCTCGACAATGTCAAGAAACATACTTAGGTACTTAATGTGTGTAATTACCATCATCGTATTGGCACACACCGGAGGCTTGTCAAACGCCAATATAGGTAGGTGCTTCTGGTCATGATGCCTCATGGCGGGCCTGCTGTCTAGAACAACACAACATGGTGCTCACTACTCAAGTACCTAGGTAGTATGGTGATGACACGCCTACTGCAGCAAGGCTTCCAGAATGTATTCAGGGCACAGCCTCAGGCCAGGGTGGAAGGTCGCAGCAGTTGCACGATAACAAGGACGGTACAATTCACAGACATTGTTGCTTGCCGCATTTCCAGATGGCTGTGCCTGACAGCAAGGGAAGAGCTCTAACGAGCCGGCCGAGCTTCCTCAGAGGGGTCTCAGTGCGACTGGGAGGGACCTCGGGTGCCCCCGAGGAGCTGCCAAGAGGGGTGTTGAGCTCCGGTGCAAAGGACAACCTGTCGGCTAGGTACTTACCTTAGGTAGGCAGGCCAGGGCAGGCGAGGTGGGAAGAGCTGGGAGGCAGGGAGGGAGCAGCTTGGGAGCAGGATGGCACGTCTCATCGTCCTCGGGGAGGGCCGGCAGGCCTGGAGCTCTGTTCCCGAGGCGGGAAGCCCCCCCGGGACAGTTCTTCTCCTCCTTCCCCTCTCGGCGCCTGGGCACAAGACCTATGAGATTGGACGCCCCCAGCGGCCCCTGCCAAGCAGAACGCTGAGCCACACAATTGGCTCGAGCTTCTCTGTGAATCCCCAGCCCCTCATTTGATCATCTCTGGCGGGTGTTGCACACATAGCGCTGCTCAGGTGCCTCGGAGGAGGGCAGAGTTTCGGAGTCGGCTCTGAGAACCGCCTCTACGCGTCGACAGAGTACATCGCTCGTATGGTCACTGCAGCCATGATGACTTGATGATCGTCTACTTCGGGCAGTCAGAACACCAGATGTACCGAGTCTGAGAATTGCAGATTTAAGTAGAATATGGCAGACTCAGTAGCACCACCACCTGCAGTGCTTGAGAAAGCGGCAGGCGTCGAGCAAAGTATAGGCACGAGTGGTGGTGCATGTGCTGGCAGAGATGGAAAGTCAACGGAGGCATGGACAGAGGCAGGTGCAGAGGCAGGTGCAGCCGCAGCCGCAGCCGCAGGTGTAGCGTCCGTAGGTGTGTGCTGAGTAGGCTTCGGTGCAGGCAATCGAATTTACGGGTGGTGCTGAAGCCCGAGTTCGGAGGCACTCGACTACGGGCTGTGTTGAATTTGGAAGCGGACCCAGAAGGGAACAGAGCAGACCTTTCTGACGGATTCTCGTAGGTGTTGCAGGCTGGGTATGGGGCACACGCCAGTGCAATGAAGCCCAGAAGGAGGCGTGCCGTTGGACGGTGGGGGTGGGCTGTGGAAGGACAAGTGGATGACCTCAGTCAATGCCCAGGCAGGCGTGCGCAGAAGCCCAAAAGGACGGGGGGCGGGGGGACGGGGAGAAGGAGGTAGAGGAGCAGAGAGGCAGAGGCGGAGGCAGACCTGGAGGGCTTGCTGGCTGGCTGGCTGGCTGGCGGGCTGGCTGGCTGCTTGACGAGGGAAGAACGAGAGGAAAGCCAGTTTCCACAAACCCACGTTGGCCTCCCCTGCCTGGCCCTGCCTGCTGTCCTCCAACCCCCCTGGGACGGCGGGCACCTGTGCGTGCAGCTTGGGAGTGGGAGACCTGGGGTCGGCAGGCTTGCCCGTCACCCGTGGCCCGTCGCTCACAGAAAAATGCCCAGTGGAAAAAGTGCAGGTGCAAGTGTGTGTGGGTGGGTGCGGTGCGGTGCGGTGCGATGCGGTTGCTCTTGCGCCTGCACCTGCACCGGCGGACTCCTGCGCCGTCCCAAAAAGCTGCACACGCTCCAAATCAGCCAGCAGCTCTGGGCCCCCCAAATTTCCAATAAACCGTCCCCCGCCCACCTTGGCCCATCAGTTCGGTTTCCCCCTCCTCTCTCTTTCATCCTCTAAACCTCCAGGCTTCCCAGGGCATTTCCACCCACCGCGTACTGAAGCCATTATCACTAGAGCATCAGACCAAAGACATACCACACCAGCTGCACCCTGCACCTGGCCCACCACTCCACTGCGGCAGCTCTCCCCATTTTCCCATTCACCTCCAGACCACCACTCTGCAACCCACCCGCTGCAGCCCGCAGCCAGGTCCAGTGCAAAACCACCAAACCACCACAAACCACCACAACCACCACCGCAATGGCGCGCCCCAAGAAGGTCGAGGAGAAGCAGCTGGCCCCGGCTGTCCCCCAGCCCGTGCCCATCGCTATCCCCCAGCAGCCTCAGCAGCCCAGCCTGGTCGGCAACAACCTGCAGGGCAGAGTCATCGATGTTGATAACTTCATCAAAGTGCGCAACTCTGTAAGTGCCAACGCCCCCAACCCCGCCCTGCCGCCTGCATCAGTGCCCGTTTCCATCACCAATGCTGCCAAATTGCCAAACTGCCAAACTGCCAATATCACCACATGCCCCCCGCCCCATTTGCCTTGCACGCTTGAACCATCAACCTGCCTCGCCAACCTCCCCGCTACACGTCTGGTTCCAACATGGGCGCGTTCCCGCTCTCAATCCCAATGGGATTTCTCACAGCAGTGGCCATCACACCAGAAATGCCCATCTTGTACCACCTTTTGATCTATTGCCCAATGCACATGCAATTCACAACGCACCCCAGCAATCCGGTCTTGTTTCACGTGATCACAAGCAAGTCCATCCTCGGCCTTTGCATCTCCTACCACCACTTCCACTCCACCCAAGCACCCTTGCTGCATTTGTTTACATCACCATGTCGCGTCGCACAATTGGCACGCGTCGCGTTGATTGACATGATGCCACTCCAACTGCCCTACCACTGAGGTCTCACCCTCGAGGCTGCAACTGCGGCTTTCGACAGTTGACCTGCTGCTCCTCTCTTCTCATCGCCATGGCGGCAACATGACCTCGTAACAACACCGGCACTTGATGCTAATGCCCCCCCACAGGTCTACCACCGTTTGGCCACCATCCAGGAGTTCATCCGCTCCACCAATGCGGACTACCTCCGCCAGACCAACCTCCTGATTGGAGAGCCCACCCTGCCTGAGGATGACGCCGGTCTTGCAGACATCGCCGACATGTTTACGGCACAGTCGCTGCCTCAAGTACCCGGTATCCCAAATGTTGCTCCTGCTCCAGTCCCCGTTGTGGAGGAGAAGAAGGAGCGTAAGAAGCGCCAGCATGACCCCAACGCGCCCAAGCGCCCGTTGACCCCCTACTTCCTCTACATGCAGACTGCCCGCCCCATCATCGCCGCCGACCTTGGTGACCAGGTGCCCAAGGGCGCCGTGCAGGATGAGGGACAGCGTCGCTGGGGCTCCATGTCTGCCCAGGAGAAACTTGTTAGTATCCACCCGCCGTCCTCTTCCGCATTTCACTGACACATCGCGCCAGGGCTGGAACTCAGCGTACCAGTACAACCTCCGCCTGTACAATGCGCGCGTTGCTTCTTACAAGGCCGGCAACCTGAACGCCAAGAACATGACTGATGACGAGGCTATGGAGTACGCTGAGGAGTTTAACATCCCCATGCCTCCCCTGGGCGGCGGTGACAACAGCCATGCCAACGACCAGGCCGCTATTGCCGAGCAGCTGCAGCAGAGCGCGCCGGCCCCGGAGCCCATTGTTGAGGAGCCCGCCAGCACCACCAAAGCAGCCAAACCAAAGGCGTCCCGCAAGCGCAAGAGCGAGGCTGAGCCTACGGCTACCCCCGCTCAGCAGGCGGCGGCGACACCCGCGGCCAGCCCGGACAAGAAGCGCAAGAGGGCGTCTACAAAGCCGGTAGAGCAGCCTGAGAAGGATGAACCCAAGAAATCGGGACGCAAGAAGGCTAAGAGCGGTTAGGCGGCCCCATTCCTTGATCAACACGCTATCGATCCGGCCCTCTTCCAAATCCAACAATGATACCTCTCTTTCGGTGCGGCTCTCGTCTTTGTTTTTCGTTCCAAGTACCGAGAGAAATATCGACACCCGGCCCCGGAACCCCCTCTACCCCGACACAGAAGTTTCGAAAGCATCTTGCCCACACCTGCCGACGTCAAAAGACGTGGCTCGCTCTGCGAGCCATGTGTGACTGTCAAGCGCAAGGCCCAACCATACCGGCCTGGCTCCTCATCTGGTGCAAGCGCACAAGCAACATCTTTTCTGTCTGGCTCGTCTGGTCTTGTTTTCCAGTAGATCCAGGGCCTGGTAGGATCTTCTATAGCCCTGGGTCCTAGACCTAGACAAGGGAAGTATACCTGGGCGGCTCTTGTTGAGAGGTTTCTTGTTTTGCCCCAGCTTGCCTGCTTTGCATGTTTTGCATGATCAATGAAAAGATGCGGACCCAGACCGTGCAGTCGCGGAGGGGGAGGGGCTTAGAAATGAAACACTCACTGCCCTACTTAGGGCCCAATATCTGGATGGAGTCGGTCTGCGCGTGGTGTTGGGCGGTAGGGGCGTACAGGTCAATGCAGGACAAATGCGTGGTTTACGTTGCTGGCTCTGCTTATTGTATTTCTTTTTGGTTGTGTAACTATTTGTTGCTGGCTCCGGTCTTACAAGGGGCAGTCTGGTACATGGCCTAGGATGATAGCAATTCACGAACACTTGAAGCGTGCCTCGTGCCCAGCATACTACTCGTGCAGTGCGGACATCACAGGTGGGATTCCCTTGGTCGTCACGGCAATGCCGTGAACAGTAGTTGGATGACCTCTCTTAGTGATTATCTCTCGTTGGCGCAGGTTTGGTACATTATAAATACTGCGGTGCACGTAAACCCGGCGAGCCCTTCTCTCGGGCGCCAGCTCTCGTGGTGCATGTTGAGGCGTTGGTTCGTCAAGGCCACTGGACGTTGGCCAGCTCTGTTGGTCGTACGAGGTGCAACGATATCCCGGCACTGGGCCAAACTCTCCGGCGGAGTGGTACGGGGCATGTTGGAGGAGGGCCTGGACTCGCGGCCCAGTGCCACCTTGGCACGGTGGTACCTGGTAGGGGGGACGTCGTCATCCCGACCTTGTAGGGAGCTGTTGGTTGGGGAGGGAGGGGCCCTTGTGTCCGCACGGCGTGTGCGGTTCGACGGGCAACATGAGCTACTACCTACCTCCGAGGTACCCGCCCAGTCATGGGCTGCTGGGTTGCTCGCCCTCCCGCGGCCAACGGGCGGGCTGCGTCAAGACATGCCGGGAGGGTAGCTGGTGCGCGCAGGGGGCTTCCCAAGCTACTTAGACAGAAGCTAGGACGGGCTGGACGGCAGTATCTACAGGTCACCATGGCGGGCGGGGAGGTCCCTCTGACCGTTTAATATACCCACGACAGAAGGGCCCCTGATCCAGCCAGCATGCGTCGGCTCAGCAAGATCCCTCTGCCTTGTCTCTGGTGCCTGGGCGGGCACGTCCACTGCTGCCAGGTCTCGCTCAATAATCGAAGCTGCAGATGTGCCCCATGGTATCGGTTGTCTACCGCATACATACAATATACAGTAACGGGCAGACGATCGATGGTGGATGGGTGGGGGAGGCAGCTACCCAGCAAATGATAAGCACTCACACATCCGAGTCCAACCTGCTGCAGGTGTCAGGGCTCGGGGAGGGTGGATAGTGGGGACCTAGGCAGGTGGAGTGGCGGGTAGAAGAAGGAACAAGTGGTTGTTCAGAGCGATAGCCGTTGCATATGCATAAGGGACAGCGGTCAGGTCGTCGCGGACATCGGGCATCGGGTTGAGGTTGATTTAGTCTTAAGGGTGACTGGCGATGGAGGGGTGAGGGGTAAGGATGGCGGGCTTCTTATCAGCGAGCGAGCCCCGGAACAAGATTGTTTTGTTTATTACAGCTTGTCGGGGAATCGTCCAGTGTCTGCCCGTCTGCCCCGTCTGCCCGCCCGCCCGTCTGCCATCTGGATATTCCAACCGTCTCGTCTGTGTGTCACTCACTGTCACTGGTCGATTGCGGGGTAGTTGGTAGCGTACAGGACATAATGACTGCAGGATGCGGTACCGACCTGACAGGTCAGACTGACTCTGGCTGATATGGAGCTCCCCCATGCTAGGCCCATGCTGGGGTGGCAGATCATGACGGAACCCAGTCGAGGCGTCGAGGGCCGAACAAGGGCCCAGACCCTAGGTCCCACGCCAGAAACCCCTCGCTGCAATTGTGGACTGACACCGGCCGGGAGCATGGGGGCTGCTGCTGCACAGTAGGTACCTGGGCAATTAGGCATGTGCTAGGACGAGACACGCATGAACGATGGCTGCGACGGCCCAGAACGCACCAGCGTCAGGTAAACCCAGCAAAGCTGTGCATGTCCGTCTCCAGTCTGTCTGTCTATCTGTCTGTCTATCTGTCAGTTTGCCCTGCTTCTTGCCCTGCTTGCTGCTTGCTGCTGGCTGCTGGCTGCTGGCTGCTGGCTGCTGGCTGCTGGCTGCTGCTGCTGCTGCTACTGCTGCTACTGCTGCCTTTATCCCCTCCCCTCCACCCCAAAGGGCCACGCAGCCCAGCCCAAGTCCGGCACGGCTCAGGCCAGCCCATCCCAGACCGAGACAAGCCCAGTGGCAGCTCCCGAGACGTTGGCTTGACTTCTTTTTATTACTCACTCGTATCCGTACACCTCTTCCGCGACGCTGCACCGAGATCCCACCCACCTCCCCTCCGACCCTGGCCGTTTATTATTATTATAAGCAGCGGGACCCCATATGAATATTCCGTGACACTTGCACTTGCACCTGCTGCTCCCTGGCTTCGTGACGACGGGTGTGCAGACGAGAGAAGCGCCCGCAAAGCAGGCAAGATGCATCTTGCCCCAAAAGAGGTGCGTGCCATATAATCTGCCCGGAGACATGTGATCCAAGTGCAGCCAGCCCGGTGCAGCATCCCAGTGCATGGCAGTGCAGTTGCAGCCCAGTGCCGTGGCCGTGGCCGTTGCGGTTCGGTTCGGTGCTCTGCCTCTTGCTCTGCCTGCGTGCCCTGCGTGCCCTGCGTGCTGCCCTGGCTCGCCCAGTCAAGCTTTTGCTTTGACCCGCAGCGCAGCGCAGCCTCTCTCCGATGCTCCATCGCGCATTGTGTGTGTGTGTGTGTGTTTGTGTTTGTGTGGGCGGGCTCACAGCTCTTTTGCAGACCGGGCCCCTTCCCCCAACAAGCCTCCCAGAATGCTAACCGCACACTCCACATCACCAGCTTGATAAGCTCGCCATCTCGCAGCTGGGCCTCCTCGCCCAGCGCCGTCTCGCCAGAGGCGTCAAGCTGAACCATTCCGAGGCCACTGTAAGCTTGCTTGATCCGTCCCGGCCCCGCTGCTTGCCGGGGCTGGCCACCTGCGGCCCGCCCTCCATGTACTCTCTTAACTCGGCTAACCTCCTCTCAGGCCCTTATCGCCAACAACTTGCAAGAGTTGATTCGCGATGGCAACCACACCGTCGCTGACCTCATGTCCCTCGGCGCCACCATGCTGGGCCGTCGCCATGTCCTGCCCTCCGTGCTGGCCACCCTGCATGAGATCCAGGTCGAGGGCACCTTCCCATCCGGCACATATCTGGTGACGGTCCACAACCCCATCTCCAGTGACGATGGCGACCTCGCCCGCGCGCTCTACGGCTCGTTCCTGCCAATTCCCAACGCCGAAATCTTCTCTCTGCCTCATGCCAGCGACTTTGAGCCCACGCGCCAGCCTGGCGCCGTTGTGCCGCTCAAGGCCCATGTCGAGTGCAACACAGGCCGCAGGAGGGTGCGCCTCAAGGTCACCAGCAGGGGGGACAGGCCTATCCAGGTCGGCAGTCACTACCACTTCATCGAGACGAACCCGCAGCTCGACTTTGACCGCACCAAGGCCTACGGGTACCGCTTGGACATCGCCGCTGGTACGAGCGTCAGGTTCGAGCCCGGCGACACCAAGACCGTGACCCTTGTTGAGATCGCAGGAAACCGCATCATCCAGGGCGGCAACGGTATTGCCAAGGGCGTGGTCAGCGCCTCCCGAAAGGATGAGATCGTGGCAAAGCTGCAGCAGGCCGGCTTCGCCCACACTCCTCAGCCGGATGCCGACTCCTCGCTCAGCATCGAGGGCTTCAAGATGAGCCGAGCCGCGTATGCTGCCATGTTTGGGCCCACAACAGGCGATGTCGTGCGGCTAGGCCTGACGGACCTGTGGATAAAGGTCGAGAAGGACTTTACGGTCTACGGTGACGAGTGCAAATTCGGTGGAGGCAAGACGCTCCGCGAGGGGATGGGCCAGGCTAGCGGACGGCCAGACTCAAGAACTCTGGATCTGGTTGTTACCAATGCTCTGATCGTGGATTGGACAGGCATATACAAGGCGGACATTGGCGTCAAGGACGGACTTATCGTGGGTATCGGCAAGGCGGGCAACCCGGATGTCATGGAGGGCGTGACGCCGGGCATGGTGGTAGGCAGCTGTACAGATGTCATTGCTGGAGAGGGCAAGATCATCACCGCTGGTGGTATTGACACACATATCCACTTCATCTGCCCGCAGCAGGCGTATGAAGCCATTGCTAGTGGTATCACAACCATGTTAGGCGGTGGTACAGGGCCGAGGTCAGTCTTTCGAAACCAGTCCCGGCCACGACCATTGATTATTTTTGGTGTCTCACATACTGACCTGGGATTGCAGTGCTGGCACATCTGCGACAACATGTACACCCGGCGCTAATTACATGCGGCAGATGCTCCAGGCGTGCGACAGCGTGCCACTCAATATCGGCATCACTGGCAAGGGCAATGACAGCGACCCAAAAGCCCTGCGCGAACAGGTTATCGCTGGCGCTTGCGGGCTCAAGCTCCACGAGGACTGGGGCAGCACGCCCGCGGCTATCGACGCGTGCCTCAGTGTGTGCGATGAGCTTGACATACAGTGCTTGATTCACACGGACACCCTTAACGAGTCTGGGTTCGTGGAGAGCACAATTGCAGCGTTCAAGGGGCGCACCATTCACACCTACCACACCGAGGGTGCGGGCGGTGGACACGCGCCAGACATCATCAGTGTTGTGGAGCACCCCAACGTGCTGCCAAGTAGCACGAACCCGACCCGGCCATACACACGCAACACACTGGACGAGCATCTGGACATGCTGATGGTGTGTCACCACCTCTCCAAGAACATACCCGAGGATGTGGCATTTGCCGAGTCGCGTATCCGTGCCGAGACCATCGCCGCCGAGGACGTGCTGCACGACCTCGGCGCCATCAGCATGATGTCCTCGGACTCGCAGGCCATGGGACGCTGTGGCGAGGTAATCCTGCGCACGTGGAACACCGCTCACAAGAACAAGGTGCAGCGCGGCCATTTGCCCGAGGACGAGGGGACTGGCGCAGATAACTTCCGCGTCAAGAGATACATCAGCAAGTATACCATCAACCCGGCGCTCGCGCAGGGCATGGCCCACCTCGTGGGCAGTATCGAGGTGGGCAAGCTGGCGGATCTCTTGGTATGGGACCCGGCTTGGTTCGGCACCAAGCCCAACCTGGTCATTAAGAGCGGGTTGGTGTCGTGGGCAATGATGGTAGGTCTCCTCATAAACAAACTTACCCCCCGATAGGTGACTCGGGCCAAGCTAACAAGACGACCAGGGCGACCCCAATGCCTCCATCCCGACGGTCCAGCCCATCGTGGCACGGCCAATGTATGCACCCATGGTGCCCGCGACGTCGGTGCTGTTCGTGTCACAGGCATCCATAGAGCACGGCGTCGTGCAGACATACAACCTGCGCAAGCGCGTTGAGCCCGTCAGGGGCTGTAGGTCCGTTGGCAAGAAGGATATGCGGTACAATGACGCCATGCCGCGCATGCGCGTCGACCCCGAGAGTTATACAGTCGAGGCGGACGGGCAGGTCTGCGAGGCCGAGCCCAGCGAGACACTACCGCTTACGCAGGGGTATTTTGTATACTGATCAACCCCTTTGCGCGGGTGACCTCCTCTGGTACTGTTCAGAGTTGAAGAGAGAGGGAGAAGGAAAGGCCGGTTCTCCCTCGCGAAAGAAGTAGAACGCGGCATAGTCAGGCGTCTTCCACACACACACACACAGCGGTGGAGTTAGAAGCTCTAATGATGCACTGGATCTCAGTCACGTGTGCTACAGAAGCAAGGAGGAGAGAGAATGTCTACAGCGCTCGGCGATCTAGGAGGACCATATGAGGCAGACCACATGATAATTTGGCGGCTCTTCAACCCTCATCAAAGAATTGTCAGTGTCGGTACTTAGGCAGATATATCATTCTCAGATTTCACACAAATTATATGCCACCGCCACACGGCTATTTCCTGTCACCGCCTGCTCCTCGTTCAGCCGTGAGCCGTGCTCAGGGCCGTATACTACTAGGGATATAATATCAGAGAGCATGTGGAAATTGGCGCTGACCATTTGTGATGCTCGTTGCTTCAATGCAGTCGGGCAACGATGCCCTCATTGGGGTATAACCTCACTTATGAAAACAGTATAATGCTTCTAGGAAATGGATCTTTCCCTTCACATCACACTGCTTTGATTCAAGTCATAAAGATGAGAGCTTTGCTTGGATTTCCGCTAGGCGGCCACAGTCTCCCTAACCACCCCCTTCTATAGGAGAATCTCCTATGGGATAGCCTCCTATGGGATAGCCTCCTATGGGATAGCCTCCTATGGGATAGCCTCCTATGGGATAGCCTCCTATGGGATAGCCTCCTATGGGATAGCCTCCTACAGATCAACCTCTTGCAGAACAACCGCTTGTGAATACACCAGGGGTAGGTCATGTGTGTGTGTGTGTGTGTGTGATGTGTGTTTCTTCTCAGGTGACAGGAGCTCACGGGTAGCTAGGGAAAAATGAGACACGATCCAAGTTGTATATATATTTGACATAGACTGACAGATCAGTGTCTTCCATACTTGTGGGAAGATCTCCTGAAGGGTTACTATGTATCGGTGCAGGCATGGCGTTCATCCCATCCTATCTGCAGCACTACCCCCGCATAGTTTCCTGGGCTTGGATGATACAAGTGCCTCAGTCCTTCTTCACCTCGCTGTCGGGCCTCTCCCCGGCGGCCTGGGCAGCACGTATCAAGGCGGCCCCAACCTCCTCACTCTTGCCATCCAAGGCCTGCTTCGTCCAGAACTTGTCCAGGTCGGCCATGCGGGCGTCACTCCTCTTGCGGCGCAGCTCGACGCCGCCCCCAGCGCTGAGCAGGAGGGCGTCGCGCATCTTGCTCTGGGCCTCGAGCTCGTCCAGGTGGCGCTTGCGGAAGGCGTAGCGCTCGTCCTTCTCGCGGCGCAGCTGCCTGCTCCCCACCACCCGCTGCAGCACCGTGTGGACGAGCACCCGCAGCAGGATGTAGATGTGCTCGCTGACGAAAATGGTCGCCAGCAGGCCCAGCCACGACGCGGCCTTGCCCTCGAAGCCCCGCCCGCCGCCGCCCCCGGAGAACATGTGCACGATGGCCGCGGTCGAGATGCTGCCCAGCCACACGAGGGCGTCGAGCGCCCCGATCCAAGGCCCTATGCCATCCGTGCGGACGGGGTGGGGGCGCTGGTGCTGCGTGCACAGCTTGAGGAAGTCGGAGCGCAGCTCGATCCAGTTGTTGATCAGGAACCCGACGGACACGAGCGGCCACGCCGGCGCGAAGAGCGCGAGGTGCCCGAACTGGATCGCCATCTCCGAGATGTCGTCCTGCACGTTGTACGGCTCCAGGTCGGCCTGGTGCCGCACGCTCCGCAGGAATGCCACCTCGGCCGGGTCGTCGGCAACGACGGCCGAGTTCGAGCGGCGGTGCGAGGCTGGCTTCGCCGCGGCTGCCTGCCGGTCGTGCCACCAGTCCCGGAAGCGGATCTTGATCCAGGGGAGGATCAGCTCCTCGAACATGTCTGAGAATTGGCCGGTCATGGTCATGGCGATAATCTCGTTGCGCAGACGCTGGGGGTCGCTGCGGAAGTCTGCCGCGATGTGGACCAAGGTCGAGTCGGTGCCGCGGCCGAGCATCTTGCGCAAGGCGTCCCTGAGCTGGGGCACGATGAGGTCGCCCATTGGTATCTGCAGCATTAGGAGTCAGCCGTCAAAGAACCAGACTAAGAATAGGGTATGTATGTTTTTGAAAGGGTAAAACTGTGATCAGAAGCTGCTTACGTAGACAAATGCTGTCAGAAGTATGGGCAGGTAGTTGGCAATGAAGCTCAGGACGAAGCGCTTCTGCGTGAGCGAGACATCCAGGGTGTCACTTGTGCGGTGGTTCTCGAACTCGGCCAGCCATTCGGCCACGTCCTCGAGGAATGTGTTGATGTAAGGCAGGGAAACGGCGAGCAAGACCGTCGGGAGATATTCGAGCCAGTTTTGATAGGGGCCGTCGTAAGCCTCCGACACCAACACCTCGATGGCAAAGACAATAGTGATAATGGAGCCAAGCACTAAAAGCGCCACGACAAAGAACGGTACTTGGACCAGCTGCCGCAGGATCGCCTTCCACTTGGGGTAGATGTGTTTTGTGCGTCCCACGGCGTCTACCACGACCTTTTCGTATCGGAAGGTCGGCCGGCTGACCTTGAGTGACCCGACCCCCTTGACATTCCATCTGATGCTGAGGTCGATTTGACGGATTTTCCAGTACTCCAGAAAGATGGTGGAGCCGAACAGAACGAGAATGGCGTACGTAAGTGAGTAATTGGGCAGGAACATCCAGGCGAGGAAGCCTGTGATGGCAGGGAAGAACAGAAACGCCGTATAGGTCTGCATAAAGGCGAAATAGAACGCGACCTTGCTCCCAAACAGGTCCCTGATGGAGTCGAGGTCGTCATCCCCGAGGAACAGCTTCTTGCTCAGGTGGCGGAGCAGGGCGCTGTTGGCCGGCTCGTTGTGGATGGGGAAGATGGACCTGACGCACTCCCACTTGCCGCGCCCAGGTGTGATACCGGCGCCGCCAATCTCCTGGGGCCAGTTGACCAGGTGATACATGGACAGCACGTTTTCAGCCTCAAAAGCGTCGTCGACGAAGGGGCCATCCTTCCCCGTCGTGGGCTGCAGCCTCGTAATCTCCCACAGCCAGTCCTTGACACGCGACTTGAAGACGGTCGATTCGAGGTGGTCCTTCCGGGCTCTTGCGAAGACCAGCAGCGTCTGGTCGTTTCCTGGGCGGACCTCCACCTCGAGGCCGGCGCTGCTTAGGTCCCCACACAGGGTATTGAGCTTGGCAACGGCCTCATCTTGGCCGAGATTCGAGAAATCGTAGTGAATCACATATTTGTCGTGGTAAGTGATTGGGAATGCAGCCTCGCCCTCTCTCGGCGGATCATGCGCAGGCACTCCTCCATTTTCGTGCTCGAGTCCCATGTGTGAGCCTGTGGACGATTCAGGTCAAATGGTATGCGCCGGGGGGGGGGGGGCTTCGTAGATTTCTTCTCCTAGTCGCCACTGAAGAACCGAAAAAAAGAAGGAGAGGACGGAATGGAATAGGGTGGGTAAGTGTTCAGCAGGTGAGAATGTACACGTCGGATATCGGTGAGACAAGCTGCGGGATGATAAAAGATTCCTGACGACCCACAACATTAAGTAATCCGTGCCGTTTAAATATCCGAGCTGAGGTCCGTGTTGTGCCAGTGGTGAGGCTGTGTAGGTGCCGCTTTTCCGGTGTCGTGGATACATATGTACGTACCGATCAAATGGATTGAGGCTGTCAGGCTGTCCAAAAGGAGGTGCCAACAAATGCTGATGTACAACCCCTTGGAGGGATCAACGGTACATCCCGCTGCAGAAAGACACCTTAGGCCTGAAATAGACAGAACGGACGTTGTCGGCTATTAGCAGGCTCCTTTTGATGAACCTCAAGTTATTGTGCTCCGCCGGATTGATATGAACATTGAGGTATGAATAGCAAGATAAATTGTGTTATCTGCACATGTGGCTAACAAGCAATAGACCGAGACATGTACCTCTGCTCGAATCTCCCATATGGAGGTTGTTGCTTATAGCGTCAAGACCACTTAAGCCTCTGATTCTCCACACGTTCAATTCACAGTGTCAAGACGTGTGGAGACTTGCCAGTTTTGGGTTTCTGCCCTATGCTGTCTACTTAGACCAACTAGTATTAAGTGGTGTTGGGTTACATTCGTTCGCTTACGGGCCGAGTGGTCTGGGCGACTGGATGGAGTGGGACTGCTGTGGCCGGATGGGGTCTTGGACTCTTGGTAGATGACGAACAACACACTGGGCAGTCACTTGACAACCGTTCTACTTCATATTTTCGTGAGGATAATTTCCTCAGACGGGAAACCCCACAATATGGTGGAAAGAGATTTGTTCATCTCTATCGTTTGAAGCTGTTTATTCTTCGGCCCGGTGTGGGAACCTTGGCAGATCTGATTGAAGCCACTATAGCGCGTCCAACCTAGCTACACTCATTTGACATTGACCAATACAAGACACGCGAGCACAACTTGGATTGCACTTAGTGCACAATGCAGTAAACTTGGTTGATCGTGATATCCGCCCGGCCAAAAGAACATCTCAAACACGCAACACCCATTGAATGATTTGATCCTTGCTACCATAATAAAAGAAATGAAGGTCTGCATCAGAAGAAGCTGCCCACCCACAGTCTTGGCCGACTGGATGTAATCATGCCTCATATGACTTATTATCGAGCTCTACTCAGGTGTCTACTACGCATCCACGGCATCCATACCCCCATACTCCCACAGGATAAGATCTTATAGGATAACCTAGCCGGAGGCTAACATCCCAAAGAATAACCTCCCATAGGATAACCTCTCAACCTCCCATGGGATAACCTCTCGACCTCCCATAGGATAACCTCTCGACCTCCCATAAGGACAAAGTTATCGGATAATCCTGAATGTAACCTACTCGAGGCAGGCAAGTTACAGGGACTCTGTTAAAATGGTACTTAACTTTCAAAGGCGGTAGTGTTATAATAACAATGTATGATAATATTCTGGGGAATACACCATAAATCATGGAGAGCGCTCACACATAAATCATTATTGATTCCTTACAGACGAAATCAAAACGAGCTACTAAGTTGAAATGCCATCGCGTGTGGGATAGTTTAGAGCAGTGTTTTCCATTCTGATTAGCTCCTCATACGACCATGGGAATGGAAGTCGTCGCGTGAAATTGAACTTAGAACGTCAATAAAGTCCTCAAGAATCGCAATCAATACAGTAACGAGACAATATGCCGGCATCGCTTCCCGTTCTCAGTCTGACCCCCTCCCCCTACCAAAAAAAGATTCTTAATCTCAGGGTACTCGGCACGCACAAGCAATCGGGGTATCTGTATTTGCTACCGCTATCTGCAGAATTGAAGAAAGCAAGCTACAGTAACTATGCAGGCTGTGTTCAAATGTTTTCTGTGAATCCAAACCGTTCAGTAAACCAGAATGACTCCGTCCGCTCAAACGCCCTGTTTCCGACTATCGTGGCTCTATGATTCATGCTACCCGTGTTGCATCCCCCCATTTCTTTCGTAAGGAGTTTTTCCCTATGCGCCTAATTCTCACGTGGATTCTATCAGACGCTCCTCAATTTTGCCCCTGGCCAGGACTTCGTGGATCCGATCGTTTTCGATGGCCCTGATCCGGCTCCTCGCATGCTCCAGCCGCTCGACGCCGCGGTCAATCGTCTCGATGTGCACACTGAGCGGCATCGGCCCCTTGGGCGAGGCCGCCGCGACCTCGGGCTCCGCGACCCTATCGCGCAGATCATCCAGCCCGGCCTGGATCTTCTCCAGCTCCACGATGAGCTCCGATACCTGCCTGACAGCGTCGCTCCTCTGCGAGTCCACGCGGCGCAACAGGGACAGCTGGGAGTTGAGCTTCGAGATCCGCCGGTAGTTGGCGCCGACCAGCGTCCAGATGGTCCAGAGGACGTCGTCTTTGCGGGACTGGACCGTCTCTTGCGTGCGCGTCACGAATTCGTATATGATGCCCAGGTGATTCTCCGCCTGGTTCAGGGTCTTCAGAACCGCCTGGGCCTCGATGATCAGATCGGCGATCTTGTCTCCCACCAAGGCCGTGTGCTCGACGTACTTGTCGAGCAGGTTTCGCTCGGAGAAAGTCGCGGGCTGGAAAGGCGAGAAAATCCAGGATGCAAAGTCGCTCAGCAGACCTTGGCCTTCCTGGTCGGCCACCAGACCGTCGAGATAGCGACTCGTCCACCGGTTGATACTAATCACGGCGTCCACTGCGGAGCCCACGTGAGAGTTGAACCTTTGCAGCTCATTCGAGGCCGACCTGGCAGTCTCGATGAAGCCGTCGAACTCGAGCACCAGCTCTTCTTTTCCCTGGAGCTGGCTGTACCGGACCAAGGTGCGCAAATCTCGAATAGAAGCCTCGGAACGCTTCATTTCCATGGGCAGAGAGACGCCGTTTGCGCTCTTCTCCAGGACCTCCTCGAACCGTTCCTGGACGTCCATCAAACCATCAAACTCCACGGGTGGCTTGTCCCCTGGGTTTGGGATATTGGGACCGACCGGACAAAACGGCAGCTCCAGGTAAGAAGCCCCAGGTATGCGGCAAATTGGGGACAGCGAGGTGTAGATCGACTGGGTGACCATGTTCTGCACAATGATGAGCCCCCCAAAAGTGAAATAGGCGGCGAGGGCGAGGGCAAGCGGCTTCTGCGCCATCCGGAACGCCATGCCAACCACACCGAGAGCCCAGACCAAAATGTTGTAAAGGCCATGTGGAAGATCCGAGGACATGCGGTGGCTCACACTCAGGGGCGGATCCTGTGGCGCCGTCTGTTGCTGTCGTCTTTTCGTAGGGCTTCCGCGAGCAGTCCTTCCTGGGGCACGCTGGCGCAAAGACTGACCGTCTGCCGGTACCATGGTCCGAGACGAGCCAGCGGACGATAGGCGGCGGGGGCTGTCGACGTCGACACGTGGCATGAAGAACTCGGGATTGGGTGAGTGGGGGTGGTTCTGGTTCCTTGGGGACCTCCTCGCCGCGGCGGGGACGGACGGCTGGAAGGGAGACCTCATAATGACGCGCTCGTCGTCGGCCCTGCTGATGAAGTCCTGGATGGTGCTGTCGTCCTGAGAACCGCCAATGTGCCAGTTCCCCCGTGACTGCGATGAGAGCTGCGATAGCTGCGACAGGTTTGAAAGCTGAGATGGCCCCGTGGACAATGGAGCGTCGTCGTCGAGAAACTCATCGGCGACAATGGAGGCGTCGAAGCTGTCGTTTTCACCCTCTACCATGCGCCAGGAACTCTCCACGGGAATCTCCTGCCTCCTCGACCTCGAGTTGCTCATGTCGGAGAAGCGAGCTGTGAAGGTAGCGGGTTGTGGGAAGAGCAGACTTAAATGCGCAGGCGCTGAGCTTGACTCTTGGGCCTGCGTACTTGGGCCTGCGCCTGCGCCTGAGGCTGTATATATCAGACGGACAATGGTGGATCAGCTTCAAGTCGAAGGTGGACTGCCAAGGAGAAGCGGGAGTGGCAAAACAAACACCGTCTTGGGTGTGCTGCCTAGTCTGGTGCTCCAAGCGCGACCCGGATTGGGATATTGTGAAGCAGCGCGTCGCTTGTTCGCGACCGAGAGGCGGTGTGGGTGAGTCACGGTGCAGCAGGCAGCCTCTTGGGCTGCTTTGACAGGTCTGTAGATGCAAGGTAATTAATGTCTTGGGTGGGTTTGAACGCGTCGATATTCACACGGCCACCATTGTTAGCCGTGTCGCACCGAGGCGAGATACGACTATCGCTGGATGACGTCGGGTGCGGCGGGACGCCCGTGTCACACTCCCCGGTCAGCTGGTCCCTGCGGCCGGCCCTCCGACAGGGGTCCACCCTCGGACCCACCCAGTCGGGTTCGGGTTCAAGCTCAGGTCGGCCGCAACTGAACAGCTCGGTCGGAGCTTCGAATGAATGAATGAATGTCTGCCCAGACTGCCTGACAGACCTGGAATCGACAACGCCATGCTGGGCACACGGTTCACCAGGGTCCCACTACGGTCAGTTCGACACCCACGGCTCCCAGCCTCGCGCTGGCGGAGGGAGCCTCTCCTCCCAGCTCCGGCTCCGAAATGTCAACAGCAGCGGCACTGCGCGAGCTGCCCTCCGCCGAAGCAGTCGCCCCTGCCGAGACCACCCGCTGATCACCGCCAGCTCGCCGTGCAGCAGGAGCTCTTCACAACCTCGGTCTACTCCCCCGGCAGCCCCATCTTCCTGCCCGCCGGTGCCCGCATCTTCAACCGCCTCGTCGAGTTCCTCCGCCGCAAGTACGTCAAGTATGGCTTCCAGGAAGTCATCACCCCCACCATCTACAAGAAGGCCCTGTGGGCAAGGTCGGGCCACCTCGAGAACTACGCCGACGACATGTTCACCGTGACGAGCACGTCGCCCTCGCGCAACGACCCCGCCGCCGAAGAGGAGGACGAGTACGGCCTGAAACCAATGAACTGCCCGGGCCACTGCCTCATCTTCGCCGCCCGCCGCCACTCCTACCGCGACCTCCCCATCCGCTATGCCGACTTCTCCCCGCTGCATAGGAACGAGATTTCCGGCGCCCTGAGCGGCCTCACCCGCGTGCGCCGCTTCCACCAGGACGACGGCCACATCTTCTGCCGCCCCTCGCAGATCGAGGACGAGATCCGCCGCACCCTCGACTTTGTGCGCGAGACATATGAGACCTTCAAGCTGGGCCCCTACAGGCTGGTCCTGTCGACGAGGCCCCAGGACCATTACATCGGCACCCTGGACGAGTGGGACCAGGCCGAGGGTGCGCTGAAGAGCGCGCTGGACCACGCGGGCCAGTCGTGGACCCTCAACGAGGGAGACGGCGCCTTCTACGGGCCCAAGATCGACATCATCCTCAAGGACTCGGACGGGAAAGAGCACCAGACGGCGACGGTGCAGCTGGACTTCCAGCTGCCCAAGCGGTTCGAGCTGGAGTACGAGGCCCCTGCGCCTGAGCTGGAACAGAGGGGCGTGGCCTCGTCCGATCCTGCCCAGCAGTCTGTCGTGGGCCGCGTCCGGCCCGTGATGATCCACAGAGCCGTGCTGGGCTCCGTAGAGCGGTTGATGGCCCTGCTGATCGAGCACTTCGACGGCAAGTGGCCGTTTTGGCTGAACCCCAGGCAGGTCGCCATCATCACTGTCAACGACACTGAGCCTGTCGTGGCTATGGCCAGGGAGACCATGGCCATCCTGCTGGGCACGGCAGACAGCCGCAGTGAGCCGCTGGCGGATGCGGTCAGCCACCCATCACAGCTGGCGGTTGACCTGGATGATAGCCCGCGGAGTGTGGGCTTGAAGGTCCGCGAGGCGAAAGCCAAGGGCTACGGCGCGATCGTCGTCATCGGCCCCAAAAATGTAGAGAGTGGGAGTGTAAGTGCCAACCTGTCAGGCATACCGTCGTTGAAAGACCAGAAGGACGATGTGCCCATGACAGCAATAGACCTCCTGCGCTTCCTGAAGCAGCAGGTAGACATGTACGAGTAGGAAGAAAGTAAAAGAAATGTCAAATTCGTGATACCCTCGCCTCGCTCGGGAAGAGCTGGACTCAAAGGGCCCTTTTCGGCTTGGTGGTGACTGTAAATTTGATATTTGTTTCCCAGCGACGTGTGAGATTTCGAGGTGAGTCTCTTCGTCTGAGGCCGATCCTGATGGACTTGTCTCATAATCTGACTCTGCAAGTGTTCAGATAAGTAGTAGAGGAGAACGAAAAAGAAAAAGGCAGTTGATAAAAATTGCCTAGTCCAGGGATTGAACAAGGGCTTTGGGGAACGGAGCGATCATCACATCGTGTCAAAACATCAGTCATGGAGTCCAAAAAATTACACGTTCTTATGGCGTCTTTTTGGATATTCCGTCACCAGTACGGCGGCTCGACCCCTAGTGACCTATGATCTCTTTCACCTACTCGTTCCAAGTCGACTCCCATTGCCCAATGTTGTGCTAGAGATCCCGTGGGTGTGCAGCAGAACTGCCAGGTCGGGGATGCGCTTCCAAGGGCGCAAGATTAACAATCGAAGCCTAACGCGGTGAACCGCTGCGCCAACAGCCCCCATTTTCAGTGATATCCTGGTGGGATCGCTGGTACATAAGGTCGAGGCGGGGTCTGAGATGGGACGAAAACCTGGAGGGCCGTGGTCGACAGTGTAAGATGGCCGGCCAATCCTCCCCCCCCCCTTCACTCCCTTCTAAGATCAACTTGGCCGACCTGTCTGAATCGACTATCTCCTGCTCTACCACACCTTCAAAGTACCCAGCCTCCCCTCAGTCGCCTCGTTCCTCCTCCTCGTCACTCCACTGGACCTCCTCCTCCCCCTGCTGGAAGATGGCCTTCTCCGCCAGGGCCAGCGTCTTGCGCACGGGCAGCCCGACGACGTTGTCCACGCTGCCCTCGAGCTTCTCGATCAGCACCAAGCCGCCGATGCCCTGCACGGCGTAGCCGCCGGCCTTGTCGGCGCCCTCGCGGGTGCGCACGTACGAGTCGATGACGTCGTCGGGCAGGCCGTCGTCCTCGCTGGCGAAGAAGACCCTGGTCTCCTCGGTGTGGGCGGCGATCTCGTAGCCCGGGTGGGAGGCGTCGGCCTTGGGCGCCACGCAGACGACCGCGGTCAGGACCCTGTGCATGCGCGTGTCGCGGAGGTGGCGGAGCATGCGCACGTGGTCGGCCTCGCTGCGCGGCTTCTCCAGGATGCGCCCGTCCTTGGTGACGATGACCGTGTCGGCGGCGATGACGAGCTCCGGGTCGGCTGGGGTCTCGGCCTTGGACTCGGCCAGCTCCGCCTGGGCCTTGAGGGCCGCCTCGTACACGTCCAGGCACTTTTGGCGGGCCGTTGCCGAGACGTACTCGTGGGGCGTGTGTTCCTTCTTGGAGAGGTCTTCGGGTTTCGTCGAGGGGAGGATCTCGAGGTCCTTGAGGCCGACCTGTGTGCGAGGGCTGGTCAGCATGCGCGGGCTGCTCAGTCCCTCTGGCTGGGGCTGGCTGGGGCTGGCTCACCTGCGCCAGGAGCGCTTTCCTCCTTGGCGAGGCCGAGGCGAGGATGACTCTCTTGCCCCTGAGATGGCTGATGATGGGCAGTTCGAAGGGGAGCGGGCCCTTTCTCACAGGGGCGCTCTGCCTCAGGCGTATGCCATGCTCCCGGGCGGACTGGATGTAGTCTGGTGGGTTGTCGGAGGGTACTGACGTGTATGCCATCGTGTCGTCCAGTCTCCCGAGAGAACACTACCGGCCTGTGAAGGGGTTGTCTGTCTATTTACGGAGTACCTGCGCGGCTCAGCGGGTGACGTCTGCTGTGAGGGAAGCCGGGCCCCACTACAACAGCTAGCTCAGGGGTTCTGCTGGCCCTACGGGCCTCGGGGCTGCTCGATCGGGTCCCAAGGTACGCCCTACCAAGGTTCCCCGCAAAACGCTTGACAAGCTCCGGGACGCAGTACGTAGACGCAGCTGCAGGGGTGCCTGCCGATCTGCGACGGTACATGGTCTATCACATGTCTGCCTCGCTCCATCGCCCAACACTGCGCAGAGGTCACGCATTTCCGTCTCATCGGTCTCAGGTCCCTTGGTACCTTCCCAACAGGAAACGGTAGCACAAGGAGGAGTAGGACCCCAAGAGGACAAGAGGACAAGCCCGGCTCATCCACCATTAGCACATCAACGGTCCATTCTTTGCATCACGGCCCTGAGCGCATTTGCCATCATGTCTTCTCCCGACAAGTCATCCCCACGCGACGGCGCCAACGGCCAAGAGGAGAAGCCCCGGCTGACAGAAGAACAGAAGCGTCAGAATCACATCTCCTCGGGTACGTCTCCATCCCACAGACAAACTCGTACAACGGATGCGCCCGCGTGGACGCGATTCCCAACCCAGTCCCCAACGGCTTTTGGCTAACATCCCCCCAAAGAACAAAAACGGAGGCAGGCCATCCGCGATGGCTTTGACAAAATGGCATCCATCGTCCCGGGTCTAGAAGGCCAGGGCCGCTCCGAGGGCCACGTCCTGAATGTCTCAGTGCAGTTCATACTGGAGCAGATCCAGGAGCGCCGACGCCTCGTCGAGCAGGTCGAGGCGAGAGGGGGTGTAGTCTCTGACGAACTGAAAGCGTATGTCACACATAATACCACCCACCTCTCTCACCCTCCTTTTCACAAACGTCGCCACGTCGAAGCTCGGACGTTGACACATGAGACGCAGCCCGCTCAACGTGGACTTGAGCAAGGTGAACCTCGAACATCTACAACGTAATGGCAGCGCAGGCGGCCCAGGATTATGAGCGGCCGCTTTCTGAACGCCGGCCCCACGAAATCACACTCGAGCCGATCGGTGATCGCATGCAGTCCAAGTTGCAAATCGCCAGCTTCCCGTTACCAAGACTTATTCGTCGCTCTCATTGTCGGAGCTTTTGGGAGTTCCTACCAAGACCGAGGCCCTCGGAGAGAAAAAGGTCGAGAAACGGTCGGTGGCGATCCGCAAAGGGAATCTATTGACTCGACAAGGATGAGATGCCAACATATGCCAAGGCGTCATCCGAATCAGCTTCAGGTTGGAAGGATAGAGACGCTCAACGCACCGTTGGTTGCAGAGAATGCACAGGATGCATGGGTTTAGTCAGGGTGCAAGGGGCAGGTCCTCATTGCTGTCTGGGTGGAGCGTTTGACATGATACCCAAAACCATCCCCGGATAATAGTACTGACCAAGTGTACGGAGTACGTATTACAGCAAGTCACAGCTGTCAGAACTCATTGCGAACCCCCTGGACAACTTCCGAGGGTGGAGCGCATATGATCCTTACGCTGCAGACATCCTAGCTAGGTATTGCTGACGGGACGTCGATGCTCTTAGAGTGTTGATGGCTTCGCCCTGTGAAGTGCATCATGCGAGGACGCGACTTGTGCGCAACAGAGTGATCATAATTTATTTCTTTTTCTCCATCTTTTTTGAGATGATGGTGCTAAAAGACTCTTTTGCGGATAGATGTGAAATTACCAAGATACCTATATATCTACGAGAAATTTGTGCAGTGAGCATTATGTTATATAGTGTGAGAATACAACCCTTCCGGCCATTCTGTCGAGTTTCTATAGTCCAACCGATTCCCAGTAACTCCATGCAATGCGATAAGATCATGACCATGCCCCAATTATTCCAGGTATCCCATTAGCAGTTTCCCCGACGATGCAACTAGTAGACACCTTTGGGAAATGGCGTTCAAATTGAAATTGGTGTGCGCGTCCTTATTTCACACATCCTGTTTGCCGGTTATGCTACACGAAGACGATCTTTTTCCCGCCCAGACTAGACATCATACGCTCGCATATGGATGCGGCGTCTCACATGCTGCGGGCAAGATGTCGTTTGTGCCGGTGCGAAGTCCAAGTCCACGCTTGGCTCTTCCCCATTTCTCCAGTCATGGCTTCGGTATCCGCAGAGGGTGCGCCTCCGTGTTAAACGCGTAGTCGTCCAAGCTGATCAATTCTGGCTCAGAAAAGATCAGATAAAAATACTTGAGGGTCTCGGCGAGCCAGAAGCTCTCCATGGAGTCGAGCTTCTTGGGCGAGGTGCCCCTGGTCACGTCCTCGATGGCAGAGAAGCCATACTTGGTCTCGGTGACCTTCTTGATGTTCTGGAACATGTCCCAAGCCATGTCCTGCCACTTGGAGTCGCCCGTGATGCGATAGAGGTAGAAGAGGCTCTCGATAGCCTCGGGCCGTAGGAAGTATCCGGGGGCATGGACACTGGAGAAGCCCTTGGGAAAGTTCTTGTTGCCCTCCTTCTCCCATCGTTCCTCGTCCCACGAGCACTTGCCCATGTTTGCCTCCTTGCAGGGGACCATGGAGAACTCCTCGGGCATGACACCAGCAGGCATCGTTTTATACGCCCAGTGGCAGCCCCGTGCCAGCTGAGCGCCGATCTCTAGGTCCTCGGGGATGCCGAACAGCTTTGCGCCGAGGGCGAACATGCCCCCCACGAAGCAGGTCAGGTGCTGGCCCTGTGGCTGTAGGTCGATTATCCCCAGACCATTCGAGAGCACAGTGCCCGAGAATAGGATGTCGACGTCGCTCTCCGTGTCGGGCAGCATGGGCCGGAAGAGGAGGAAGGCCTTGGCCGTGTTGACAGCCTTGAGGTACATTTCCATGTAGCAGTCATCCAGGCCGCCCAGCAGCGCGTACATCTTTGGAAGATACTCGTACAGCGAGTCGGCCATGGAGCCGAGCGTAAATGAGCTGTCAGGTGTCAAAAACCCGTTTTGAACATCGACATAGGTCGGCCAGAGCCCGGGGAGCTTGGTGCCATCCTGAGTCCGCTTGAGCTCCTTCTTGACCCGCTCGGTCGCGTCGAAGAATTTGGGATCTCCTGTAAGCTGCGACAGCCGCGTGAACTCCATCGATAGGCTCCCGACGTTGGCCGAGATCTCGCGTGCGGAGGGAAGGAGTTCGCCCTCCTTAGCCCTCTGGAAATTGAACGAGTTGGCTGGCATCCGGTTCGGGGTGTCGAATGCGCTATAGAGCATTTCGCCGAGCTCAATGGCCTTGTGTAGGATGACTGTCTCATTGCTGAGGTCGTATGCGGCGAGAAGGCCACCCAGATATCGAATGGTAGTTTCGAACGTATTGCACATTTGGTCATCTGGGTGAAAATCCCAATCGATCGAGACAACCTGGTGAATGGCCTCCCTAAATTCCAGCTTCATGTCCATGATCCATAGAGCGTCCAGAGAGTCAACAAGTGTAGCACCCCAGCCTGAGAAGGTATTGGTCCCCATCCCGGAGATGGGTTTCAGCTCGTCGTACCCCCACGCATATTTCCTATAGTTGTGCCAGCACTTCTTGAATGTGTTTTTCACCTCCCTTCTTCGGGACTCCTGGACGCCTTGACCCTCCTCGAATTCGAACTGTACTCTGGGCAGCTGATGGGGAGGGTCCTGAGACGGGGTTGCGTAGGATGAGACAGGATGTCTCTGCTTGCGACGCCCCCAGTCATAGCTGCTGCGGACGTATGCATAGGGATGATTTATGTAGAGAGCGAGGTTCGACGACTCGAAGTATTCGGAGGAGAGAGTGAAAAATGAGATGGCCAAAACAAAGCCAACAAACAATACCAGCCTGAGTGGCTTGCGAGGGGTGGTCAGGATGGCCATTGCCTAGGTAGGGTAGCAAATGGAACGAGGACCCCGGGACGAAGCGAACGAAGAAAGACCAACAGAGCCTTGTATATGTCACGGGGAATATAGACACAAGGCTTGGGAGAAAGAGGACAGGAAGAGAAGGAGAGGCCTACATTTCCATTTCTCTCTCAGACAAGGTGCTCAGAAGAATGGGTCCCGTCCGTGGTCCCAGCTTGGGCTCCCAGCGGCCAGCCACAAAGCTCCTTGTACCAAACGTTGGCAAACAGGCAGGGATAAAAGCCAACCTCATCGGAAAGGAAAGTTGATCGGCAGTGCTGTTGCAGCCTGCAGGCCCTTCCAGTCTTTCACCCCGGGGAGGGGGACGGTGGAGGCCCACTGTGTGGTTTCACGGTCGGGTGGTGGCAGCGATATGCCATGATTCAACCAAATGGCGGACTTCGTATAGAAAGAAGTTGGAAGGGTAGGCCTGTAGACGCGCCTTGCAAACTCTGAGAAGCGAGCAGCCAATGAGGAGATTATGCTCTGGGAGGTTAGGAGGTTGTCTCACGGGGGGTCATCCTATAGGAGGTTGTCCCACAGGAGGTTCAAGTTGCGGACACCCAGGCACCAGGCAGAGCTTGTAACATGTAATCGCACGCAGTTAATTTGTGACATCACAGTCATGGCAGCTTCGTATTTGAGAAGGAGGCTTGGGAGGGTCTGGGGTTCGTTGCCGGGATCGAGAGAAGCCTGTGGGCCCCGGAATAGAAGGTCTGGAAAAGGGGCTGCAGGCATATATCGACCTTGTGTCGCAATGGACCAGCGGGTCAAGGCCTGGATCGGTGGCCCTGGGATGGGTAAGGGTGTAAGTGTATGTGCTCACTCACCCCTGGGTCCATTTTACCCACGGCTCTATGGCGCAGCCAAAGCCAATCTTACTCCCAGTGGCCCGTCCTCACTCCCTACTTACACAAGTACCTGCCATGTCCGGAAGGGTCCTGAGACCATAAGCTCATTGCATGCTCCGTGTGGGTCTGGCTGGTGGTAGCTAGCGCCTCTCTTGTACTCGACGTTGACGTACGGCAAGGGGAGGGCCAGCTCCCCGCTCTAGCTCTCTAAAAATTCCAGGTAGGTTCAATTCACATAAACAAAATGTCCAATTGTCCCCTCAGCGGTCACCCTTCGAGATCCCAATTTTGAGCGTCCTGCTTGTCCAGCTGGCTTGCCGCGGGTGGCTGATAAGTCTCAGGGCAGTCTGAGTGCACCCAACTGGGCAGGCTAACGGCTCTACGGAGTACACAGCGCCCCAAGGTCTTATCTTATCGGCCGCAACCTTAAGATTTTCCCAGACCGGGTTGCCAGCCCTTTTGTCTTGCGACGGTTTCTTCCTCAGCAACCAGCCAACACCAAGACAAGCAGCAAAAATGTCGTCCATGCGGAACTCGATACAGCGGCGCTCGCACCGCGAGAGAGGCCAGCTCAGAGGCCGTGAGAAACTCGGCCTCCTCGAGAAGCACAAGGTACACCTTCACTCTACAATGCCCCCCAGTCCACCGCGTCCCGGCTAACAGCGAGCCAGGATTACTCCCTACGTGCAAAAGACCACAAAAAGAAACAGACCGTCCTCAAGAGCCTCAAACAAAAAGCTGCCGAGCGAAACGAAGATGAATTCTACTTTGGCATGGTGTCCCGGGGCAAGTTCTCCTCAGGGAAGCTGTCAGCAGGCAAGAAGTGGGACGGCACCATAGCCGGCGACAGAGGGAACAAGGCCATGGACATGGACACGGTCAGACTTCTTAAGACCCAAGACATTGGCTACCTGCGCACCGTGCGCAATGTCGTCGCCAAGGAGGTCAGAGAACTCGAGCAAAAGGCTGTCATCGCCGGGACCTTTGCGGGCGTGCATGCCGGGGACGATGACGAGGACGATGGCGAGGACGACTTTGACAGCGACGACGATGTCGCACCCAGAAAGGCACAGCCACAATCAAAACCAAAAAAGATTGTGTTTGCTGAGACAGAAGAGGAACTCGAGGAAAAGTTGCCCGAGCAGGACAGCGACGACGACGACGTGGATATGGACGATGACGACCTGGAGGGCCCCGACAGCGAGAAGGACCGCGAGGCAAGAAAGAGAGCACAGAACGCAGAGCGGTTACGCACGAAGCTGCGGAACGCGAGGAAGAAACTCAAGGCTCTCACGGACGCGGAGAATGCGCTCGAGCTGCAGCGGGCGCGGATGGCCAAGACGGCCACGGTGGCAAGCGTCACGAAGAGGGGCCAGAAGATCAAGATTCGGGAACGCAAGAGGTAGGATCTTTAGATTTTTCTGCTCTTGCTGCCGCAGGCGGGGGCCGCCGGTTGTTCAACCCCGTAGGATCGTCCAGATCTGTTCTTATACCCGAACATCGCGCGCCCTGCCTGCGAGGTATCATGTTGGGGTTTGAAAAGAAGAAAATAAGAAAAGAAAAACTCCCCCAAAGACCAGCCTTTGAATGCATAATCCTGCGACTAGCTCGGAACCATTACCGGGTGTCTCGCCCTATTCGTTTTACTCATCCAGTTCATACAATAACATTTGCCCGCTGTTGGCTACACCACACACACGCACACGCACACGCACGCATACAAACACATGTCTAAAACTTCTCAGAAGTCACACACCTGGCGAACAACGAGATACACCCCGTCAGCGCCTTGAACAGGACCGTGGCGCACCAGATGAAGCACTTGAAGATGGCGCTCAGCAGCGAGATGATGACCCTCGCGCAGCCGGGCATCTTGTCCTCGTCCTTGCTCCGCCTCTTGGAGTGCTTCTTGAGGTCGCTCGTCTGGCTCTCGAGGTCCAGCTCGAACTCCTCCAGGCGCGTCCTGCCCGCCTTCTTGTCCTTCTTGTCCCCGCTGTTGGCGCGCGGGCTCATGCGGCCGAGGCGGCTGCCCCTCCCGTCCTGCTGGCCCTGGCCCTGCCTGCTCTCGCTGCGCAGCGACGCCGGCGGCGGCGGCGGGTCAAAGACCTCGACGCGGCTGAACTCGCCGTCGGCGTGCGCGACGAGCATGAGGGCCGCGACGGCCACGTCGGCCAGGTAGACGGCGTCGATCTTGGCGGCGATGCCCGTGTCGACCTCGAGCCACCCGGTGCCGGTGCCGTCGCGCGTCAGCCGCGCCAGGTGCTGCGGGCTCTCGACGTGCTCGAGCGTGTACTCTGTGCGGCTCCACGCCGGGTTCCGCTCCACCGTCACGCAGAAGGGCATGGCCAGCGCCGGGTGCACCAGGAAGTGGTTGCCGCTGTCGTCGTCCCACACCAGGCGCGCGCACTCGCGCTCCGCCGTCGCGAACGCCGCCGCGTTGGTGAAGCGGCTCTCCACCGCCAGCTTCGCCGCGGGCAGCGGGTACAGCAGCGCCACCAGGCCGTCGTGCGGCGCGTGGTGCCGCGCCGTCTCCTCCAGCGTCGTGCTCAGCACCTCCTGCCAGCCCTTGGCGCCCGGCTCGCCGGCCCCGGCCCCGGCCACGCTCTCGCTGCTGCCGCCCCTGGGGCTGCTGCCGCCGTCCTTGGGCGGCACCGGCGGCTTGTACGGCTTGCTCGGGTCGAAGCGCGACAGCGACACGTACGCCGACGCCGACGTCGGGTCCAGCTTGAGCCGGTAGAAGGGCTGCGACGACCTGGACCCCAGCGTGTAGATGGGCGTGTCCCGCTCGCCCGACACCGCGAACGTGTACACCCGGCCCTCGGAGCCCGTCGCCTTCCACCCGTTGGCGACCTTCCAGAAGTTGCGCAGCTCCTCGGTGCTGCTCGGCTCCGGGGTCGAGGGCTTCACGTTCACCCTCGGCGGCGGCCATTTCCGGGTGGCCGTCTGTTGGTGGGTCCGGGAACTATTGGCGCTCATGGGGCTCCGCAGAGGGCTGGTGGTGTCCTCATTGTGCTCGGGCCTCTCTTCAGACGTGGGTGAGTATAGGCGGCGGCTGATGGCCCCGGCCGGGATGTTGGCCGGGTGTGTTGGACTTGACTGTGGGGGGTAGTAGTTTTGTTGGGAGAGCGGGAGGTTTGGGTTGTACTCTGGGAATATGGAGCGCAGGGGGGCCTCTGATGACCCTTCCCCGTACTGGGTCGCTCGGTTGTCCAGTGGTGGCTTGGCTATCGAGTTCCTGGACCGGTCGCTGTTGGCGCGGACGAGGGTCTGGGCCTCGGAGAAGGCAGTGCCACAGCGAGCGGGAGGGTCGACGGTGACAACGGCGGCCGGCCGCTGTATTATGGGCTCTGCCTGTCTGCTTTCGGATGGCCAGACAACAGTGCTCTCGCCTGTGTCTACGGGCTCGGGGGAGCCCATGGAGGGGCCCATGGAAGGGCCTGTGGCCTGGCTCGCAGGGGCCTTCTTGCCGTCACGGACGGACATGTTGCGCTCTAGCGGAGTGCGTCTTCCTGCTCTGGAGGGGGAGTCCCGAGATGCTGAATCTATCGAGGGGCGTCCTGGGGTGGCGTTTTGGGTCCTGGACGGCGGACGTTCCTTGGGGAACAGGGAAAATGTCCCTTGCTGGGATGGTCCTGTCGACATTGTTGAAGTCGTGTGTCTGCCCCGAGCAGATGTCCCGGCTCCAAGTCTGCCCTTGTTCTTCTATTCCCTTTCCTCGAGGCGAGCACCCAGGCTCGGACGGGAAGCTGGAGGTGAGATGATGGGCGCCGAAATCTATTACCGACGCATGTTTGCTAGCAACAGAGCGAAGCCAGGACCGACTGAAGGCTTCGAGGGCGTAATGCGATGGAGAAGAGCACAGCAATTTTACTTTGGGCCCGGCAGATGCGGAAAAGCAGACTATATCAGGAGGTACAGAGTGTGAAAAAAGGGACCAAGCTTCTTGATTAGACAGAAGCCGGGAGATAGGCTAGATCCTTGGTCGGTGGGCGACGGTCATTCGAGAAGCACATGGCGTCCGCACCCGCTCACCCGCAGGATATCTATGGTTATTTTAAGCGCTGTGGGTACATTGCCAGGTCTTGTCTGGGGCGATCTGGACGGCGGCGGGAGCTCGTCGTGTGCCGGGCGGCTCTCTGGCTGGGCGGGGAGGTACTGTGTAGGTCCCTCTGGCACGGGATTTGCGTGGTGGTGGTACGTAAAATGGCCCGGACGGGCTCATGTTCAAAATAGCAAGACAGGGGTCGTCTAAGTGGTGTCAATCCTCCGTGTCCAATGGTTGGGCCCGTCACGCTGCAGTTAGACGCCCGGCGACAAAAACGGGCAGGTTTCGCGCGGGGGAGCGAGATCTGCGTGCCCTCCTGCCCCCCTGCCCCGCCGAGCTCGCCCGTGATTGGCAAGATTTGGCCTTGTTGGAAATTTCCCGCCTTCCTGCAGCACAACGGCTCTCTCACTCAGCTGCACACTACACTGGCTGACTGGCCTGTTTGCCTGTGTACTTTAGCGCTCGCGGATGCGACGGTCGGTCTCGCTGCCATCGAGTCGGGGCCACGGGGCATGTCGCCGGCCGCTTGTTTACCCAGCATTTAGGTAACAAATGTGTTAGGCGGCGGCCGCATCCGCACACTAACCACACTACCAGTGGCGCTGACGAGGTGAGTGAAGTCGTCGACATTGTGCAACCCCATCGCCCTCTTCCCGACCCATGTCTCAACAACACGACGGTCGGATCTCCGTGGGCCAAGCCCCCGCAGCCCGGTGCTTCCCACGCCGCATTTCTCGGTGGGGGCCGATGCTTTGTATCTGACATCGGCAGCGCACCAAGCCCACAGGTACCACTGCATACACCAAGCGCTTGGCCTCCTGACTCGTCAGCTGCGCCAATTCGAGGTCCTCTTCTACGTGCTTGGAAATCACGAGCCCAACCGGTCGACGTCTTTGTTCACATCTGATGCCGTGAAAGCACCGTAATATATCCTGTTCGAAACCGAGGGACCTCGACCGTCCTCCCCAGGGATACGGTGAAGTTCTGAAAGTGCCTGGGCCGGGGCCTATGAACCAGTCCGCACTCTGCTCGTTATACTTACCTCGACCCGGAATCCTCTTCTCCTTTTTTTCTCCGTCTCAATTCACTCCAATATAATGATTCACCTTCTCAGTGGTACCCATCCTACATGCTCAAATCCTTGATAGACTTGCAGACAGACTAGACCGTCTCTGGCATGATTGTAGCACCAATATTCAGAGGTACACACAAGCACACTGTTGAAAAAAAAAAAAAAAGGCGTACACAGAGCAACAGGTTTTGTAGTGACCTAGGTTCCCTTTATTGACTCTATCTGGTATCAGCTATCTCAGCTATTCACTTTACTTGTGGTTGATTCAGATGATGATTCTGGTGAAGATACGAGTACTCACTGTTTGTGTATCTAACCGCATATGGCCGTCTAGTGACTTTGACTTATAAAATAGTTGTCTGCTCCTGTGAAGGGTTAGACCTATGTGGTTCAAAACCCTGAAAGAACAACAACAACAGGGCAGTCGCAGTTGGGCCTGGCTTGCATGGGTTCTTAACCCCACTTGCTATCAACCCCCCAAAATCGGCCTCATTTGTTGACATCAGGGATGGCCTCACATGGATACACCCGTCTCGACCTCGGGAGAGACGCTATTCGACTTCTTAGGCTGGAGAAGGGCTACCCTGCAGAGCCAGTCCGCTGCGAGTTGTTCGACGCCTATCTCCATGAGGTCGACGGAGTGCCCTACGAGGCACTGTCTTACACCTGGGGCGACGCTTCCTCCAAGCAGGACATCACCGTCAACCAGCAGTCCTTCAGCGTGACGGCCAACCTCAACACGGCCTTGAGGGCCCTGAGATTACCACATCAGGACCGACTCCTCTGGGTTGATGCAATCTGCATAGACCAGGCCTCTGATGCAGAAAAGAGCCACCAGGTTGGCCAGATGAGGCTGGTTTACAAGCTCGCGGAGAAGGTCATCATCTGGCTAGGACCAAGCATCGAAGGCAGCGACCTGCTCATGGGCCTCGCAAAGACACTCGATCTGAATGCCTCCAAGACAAAGGCTTGGGAGCAGGAATGGGAATCAATTGTGGTGGCGAATGGAGGGCCAGCGTCCGACTTGTTCCGCCAGGCCTACGCGGCATTGCAAGAGCTCCTTGCTAGACCATGGTTCCGACGCGTCTGGGTCCTGCAAGAGGTAGCAAGCGCGAGGTCAGCAGTTATTCTGTGTGGTTCAAAGGACGTTTCAGCCAGGACCTTTGCTCAGCTGCCGGCTCTCCTGGGCTTGGACAAGGTTGATGCTCACGTTCAGGCCGTTCTTGATATCATGCCGGGCCCTCTCAGGCAAAAGTCTTGGTGGACTTCCAATCGCGAACTCAAGACTCTCCTGTACAAATTCCGCTCCAGCCAGGCCAGCGATCCCAGGGACCGTATCTACGCGTTGCTTGGCATCTCGTCTGACGCTCACAGCGAGGCGGTCCTCCCTCCAGATTACGGGGCAGACGTTTATACCGTGGTTCAACGCACCATATCCCACCTATTATTCAACGACATGAGGCCCGACTCACCTCCTGCACCTCTTTGGGGTCTAGACGATCTCTTTGACGCTTTGGATGACCTTCCTCGTCGGGTGCTAGGCTGGTACTATGCAAATGAATCCCGCCGCCAATATGAACGGTATCGACTGATGCTGTACGGCATCGAGAAAGATTGTGCGGTATCAAGACATGATGTATTCCCCCCACATCGACCAGTGCCAAGGGTCAAACCCCCCTAAGGCTGCACTTTCCCCTGGTCCATTTCCGTCGTGTCCGTGGCAAACAAATTATTGTCAAGATAATCATCGACTCAGATCATGTCGATGGCAACGGGTAGAACGCTCCACGAGATACGGTACAGGATGGCCATGGTGTCTGAATACAGAAGACAAGCATAAGCTTGCCGATTTGTCATTGACCTACGACAATGCCAGTGTTGGAGAAAATTAAACTGAAGAAAAGTAAAGCTCCACTCCACTGATGAACGCCGCACAACGAGAAGCTTGCATGAAAGACACACTGGCCAGAGACATCCTACATGCACCCTCTGGCCAATCCAACACAAGGTGTACTCAGAAGACTCCACCAGATTGAGCTTTTGACACAGCCTGATGGAAACGCACTGTCGAACTGCTGCTGGGCCGGGAAGCCTACTACAGCGCAGGCATGTACCGTACCTGGCACTCTCAGCCTTGAACGTGCCTCGTGGAGATGTACCGAGATCATGGTGAACACATTGCCCTCTCGAGTCCACCTGAACAGAACCGAGAGTTTCTGGGACGCGGCCGCGGGCGACGCTCCAGCATAATTCGTCGCATGGAGCGGCCCTTTGAGCGTGGTTTGAGTGGTCTCGCTCTTAGGCCTTACACATCCGTAGGCGTAGGCGGCCCCTTCACACAGTGGTAAACGCTTAAAGACCTGGCTAGTAAGCTTGATGATTTTGGAATCTTCATCGCGCGAATCAAGAACGCCAGAATCGGCGGAGGCCCTAGAGCCGAGCGACCTGTGGCCCGTTCCCTGATTTTGCAAAGGTGGCCCTCGCAATGGCAAGCAAAATTTACGGCGTGTTCCAAACCTGCCAGGGCTAGCACTGGTGCCCGCAGATGAGGCGAAGTTCACCAGCCTCTTTGTATTTGGATTCCACAGGTACACACGGCATCATAGAGAACATGAAGGACGCCAACAGAGGTTTTTCCAAGGGCGACTATCAAGGTTTATGAAAACAAGTCTTGCCTAGAATTTTCTCATGTCTTCCCAAGAGTCCCCCACTGATTTTGATCATGTTCTCAAAGGTGCCAATCTCGGAAAACCTGAGCTTGGATGAAGAGTACCATACAAGCGCCGAACATGTGCCATCTACGAGCAGGTGATCTGGCAATTACAAGGGTGCCTGCTGCTTCGTGATCGCCACCAACCGCAAGAGCAGCCGCCAATATGCACTCCGCAAGATGAATGACGTTCGAGCTCGGGCCTTTCCTGAGCCCAAGCCCGAGCCGAGCCAAAGACTAGGAGTGATGAACAGAACAAGGACAAGAACGCTGCGTCAGACAGCGAATTCAGCAGTGTTGACACTGACAATCTGAGTGAGGACTCGGACGACGGTGCCGAGTTCAAGGTTCGAGATAATAACCACCGCGCTGGCGAGTGCAGGAAGCCGCCCAACGTCTTGTGTTAGAGTGGCAGTGGCAGCAGCGAGGCTCCTTGCCTGGACTAGTCGAGAGTGGCTTCTCACAGGTACTGCCCAGGTGGTCAACCACCGGACTGCCTAAACGAGTTAAGGAAAATTTAGTCAAATCATTCTCTGATGACATCCATGATGTTACTGTTTCTAGGTAGCTTCTGTTACCCAGCCTCAATGAGTGAGTAGCTACAAGGTGTCACTTGATATCGGGGGGTGGTCGGAATGTGGGCCGGGTACGTTACATTTTGAATACCAACAGGCACAGTCACGCAGTCGGAACAACAATGAAGACTTGGTCAACGAATGATGCATAATGGTCATGATGTCCTATAAGGGTATGCGTCGCCAACAAGATCTCTAAAAAGGGTCTAGGAGATGCCCAATCGCTTGACTTGCTCATGTAAATGTAAAAGTATTTTCCGGTACCGTCCCAAGTTCCCAAACAAAAACAGAAAGTAAAGCAGATGCCCAAAAGAGAATCAACCCCTGCCGGGGGTTTGCCTTAGCCCTCCAAAAAATGAGGTGCGTTAAGGAAAAGACCCATGAGAACGCCGCCCAGTGTGCCGGCAATGGGGATGGTGGCGATCCATGCGATGACGAGCAGGCCGACACGCTGGAAGTTGACGGCCTTGAGCGTGCCGTTGCACAGACCGACACCAACGGTGGCACCGGTGATGCACATGGACGTGGAAACGGGGAGGGAGAACTGCGAGAAGACCAGGACGGTGACGGCAGCACCCATCTCCATGGAGCAGCCACGGCTGGGGGAGTGGTATGTGATCTTGTTACCCATGACTATTGTTTGGTGAGTTAGTTCTTTATCTCTGAGCGGCGTGGGGTTGATGGGGGAACTGGTGCTTACCCTTCATGATGTTGTAACCATATGTGATGAGACCAAGGGAAATGGTAGCAGACAGGACAGCAAGCTGCCAGATCGGGACAGGCGCCTTGGAGGCGGCAGCCTCGCCCGTCGACCAGGCTGAGTAGATGACAGCCCAGGGGCCGACCGAGTTGCCGATGTCGTTGGCGCCGTGGGCGAATGAGGCAGTGCAGGCCGTCAGGATCTGCACAAAAGAGTACGTGTGCTCGACCTCGTTGGGGTATTTCTCGGCGTTGGCGTAGACACGCTCCATGCGAGCTCCCTCCGGGGTGCCGGCGTGGCCGCTCTGCGCGGCATGGATGTCGTAGTGCAGACCGTACAGCAGACCGACGGTGATCATGGCGGGGATGCGCTTCACGAGCATCTTCATGTTGTGCAGCTCGTAGATCTGGCCTGCGCCCATGGGGTTGTCGCGCAGCGTGCGCATGGCCCAGCCCAGCGGCCCGCGCTTCTTGAGCAGCTTTGCGCGCAGCCTGGCGTCGCCCTGTTCCTGTAGCTCCTTGTAGGTGAGCTGCTTGGTCTCGGAGGCGACGACGGCCTTCTCCTGGTCTGCCTGCTTCTCAGTGGGAGTCGAGGTACCGCTGACGGATCCAGGAGCGGTGTGAGCGGCGTCGGTTTCGTCCTCGTCCTCTTGGACGACTGCGTAATTGGGCACGACTGCGCGCTCGGCCTCGGCGACGGCCGGACGGCGGAAGAGCAGAGGACCCTGAAGGCAGTGGTACCACTTGACCGAGGCATCCCTCTTGATGATCTTGGCGTGGACATATGGGACGAAGATGAGAGCCGCCAGCAGAGCGACTCCGAAACCGGTACCCATGGTGACCGAGGCGACATACCAGTCGGGCTTCTTGTTGAGGCCTAGGTTGGGGGAGCCCTTGTAGACAATGGAGAGCGTGCAGATGGTGCCGGCGATGAGGAAGAAGAAGGGCGAGGTCCAGACGGCCCAGGGGACCGGGTTCTTGCGCATGTGCACGACCAGCTTGATGAGCATGAAGATGGTGGCGCCGAAGCCGGCAGAGATGGCCGGTGCCATGCCGAGACCTGCAAAGATGGCACCCAAGCCCTTGCCCCCATTCCATCCCCACTGGACCTCTGAAGCACCGACAGTCGCGACACCAACACCAGCGACGGCGGAGATGAGGGAGTAGGTGGATGAGACGTGAGCAGAGTGCTTTGTGCACCACATGACCCACGACGAGGCGGCGGCGAGGGCGCATGTGAAAGCGAGCATCTGAACCCCGGCGTTATCCCGGAAGGCAGAGGTGGGGATGATTCCGTTCTTGATGGTGTCTGCTGTCCGGGCACCGACGGTGATGGCCCCCAGCATTTCGAAGATGGTACCGAAGATCATGGCCTGCCTGTACGAGATGGACCTCGACGACACGCTGGTTGCCCAGGCGTTTGCGACATCGTCTGCCACACGCGGTTATTAGCACACCAAGGCCGGAAGAGGGGGAAAAGGGGGGACGGCCAAGAAGGGGGCCAAGCTGGAGGAAGAAGCTTACTTGCGCCATTGTTGAAGGCATCGAGCATCGCAAAGAGCGTGCCGATCACAAAGACGTAAGTATACTGGTCAAGCATTTTGGCGGCTGATGACAAGATGCAAGCCTAGAAAAAAAGTCTTGGGGTTGACGCTGAATCCAGGAATCCGAGCGTTGGCACATGTCGAGGGTGGGCGAGAGTCAAGATATTATATACTGGCCCTGCCAGCGTCGTCCTCGCCCTCCACCGCCGCTGGGAGGGCAGGAGAGGGCACACGTGCTCGCCCAAGACCCGGGTGTCGCCTGGACCCCACAAGCTACCATGCCATCCCATGGAAGGCCGTTGTCCCTCGAGGATGGAAAGTCTGATGGGCGTTTTTGCCCACTTTGGCGTCCATATCCGCTGGGTCGTGCTGCCCACTAGGAGCTAGGAGCTTGGACACCACGGGCGGCAGGAGAGGCACACGGTGCACACCCCTAGCGGAAGGGACCGCGTCGAGGCTTGGTGGCTAGCCAAGGCCGGGCGTGGCAAGCTCTCGGTGTCCTCAATTGGGTTGTCTGGTCAGGGTCGAGGTCGAAGTTTAGAGAAATGTGTCGACTTGGCAGATCCAGCAGGCTGGGCTGGGCTTGGAAGCCAAGAGGCCTTGTGGTGGAGGTTTATATGATTCCGGGATGGTGTCCTGCTCGAGGCTCTGGGCGAGACTTGGCGACGTGGGCAGCGCTCGCCTATAAGATGGCTCTGGCCGCCCACGTGGGTAAGCTTTGCCAATGCTTTCTTGTCCGTTTGACATTGACCCGACGCTGCACCCGAGCGAGGGCGAAGGCAGGCCGTGGCAATCTCTGTCCGACTCGATGCCCACAGGCCCAGCCTCCCAAGCCCGCTTCGCATGTCAATCACGTACGGCCAAGTGCACCAAGTCCATTGTCGGTCGCCTCTTCCCACCGTTCGGTCGGCTGCAGCCCAGCCCGCGCATATGTACGCAGACGCGACAAACGCCGTGGTCGTGCGGGCGGCAGGATGGCGATGTTCTAGCCTGCGGCTGGGGCTGGGTCGTTGACAGTGGTTGCGTGGTTGCGCATGGCTGCACGATGCACGATCAGCGATCCTTGGTGGGTGATGAGGAGAGCACGTGCCCATGCTCTGGGCAGCTGCCAGCGCCAGCTCGAGACTCCGCCGAGGCGCCCATGACAGATATTATTGAGACGGCCGTTTCTTGAATCGCCATCGGGGTCGCTATAATTGGAAATCACGCGATGGTAATATTCCATAGACTGGGCTGCCATATATGCCAGACGAGGTGGATTGTCGTCGACTGCCGCAGGCTGCAGTCCCTGGGAAGCTGAGCCGGCTGGCCCGCCCTACCCGCCCTCGGCTCCGAAAGGTCCTGCCGGCTGGGCTACTACCATCAGCGACTTCGGAACTCGACAGGGCTGCAGTTGTAGCTCATGGCATGCAGACTCACACTGGCATCGCTAGCCCTCCTCGCCACATCTCAGCTTGCTCACTTTGGATCAACCCATTAGATTCGGCCGGCCTGGACGTGAGCTTCTCGGTGAAAGGCGAGGGCGCCACTTGCCTGCACACCACCACAGCCGCAGTATCGTTCCACGCACGTGTGATAGCACCGGGCAAACCCAAACTTGGGCCGTGTCTGCGACCGACCAACCACGAGCACCGGGCAGCCAGGCAGCCGGGCTGAACATGTCTTCTCAGATCGTAGTCATAGGGTGCACACACACGCCCCCTCCTCGCCACCTGTTCCCTCTGGCAGCCCAGCAGAACTAACACACCCCATGTCTCAGCGCCGGCGTCATCGGCTTGAGCTGCGCCATTCAGCTGCAGGAAGCCGCCCACGCAGCACCCGGGGCAGTCACCATCATTGCCCGGGACTTCCCAATGCCCTTCGCCCTCATAGACCCCAAGGCCCAGATCAACTTCACCAGCCCATGGGGAGGCGCTCACAACAGGTGGGTCCCGCCCCCTGTCGATGGCCGCGCCCAGCCCAACGACAAGAGGGATCACCGCCTTGCCCTGGCCACTTTCCGCCGCATGAGATTACTGCAGGCGTCGAACCCCAACCAGGCAGGCATCACCTTCATGAAGGGTATCGAGTACCTCGAGAACCCTGCGCCCGAGTACCGAGCGCTGGTCCGCGAGGGCAGTGGTGAGGGGAGCGCAAAAGCGCTGGGGCTCGAGGGTTTCCGCGTCCTGGAGAGCAGTGAGCTGCCGGATGACAAGGTCAGCCTGGGTTTCGAGTACGACACGTGGTGTGTCAACCCCATGGTGTACTGCAGCTTCTTGCTCAACAGGTTTGTCTTTCGCGGGGGCCGGATCCTCCGCAGGGAAATCAGCCGCCCTGACGAGGTCTTTGAGATGCGAGATCTAGGCGGGCCCATCCGGGCGGTAGTGAACGCCTCGGGGATTGGGTTCAATGACCCAAAGTCATTCATCATCAGGGGTATGCCAGCTTTACGCTTTACCCCCCGACCTTACTCGTTGGGGCCTCGGTGCAGGAGCTGACATCTGAGCAAATAAGGACAAACTTGCCTAGTCGCCAATCTCTGCCACGAGACGGTAACAAGACAGAACGCAGACGGCAGCTGGACGTTCTGCGTACCGCGCAACTTCGAAGGCGGCACCATCATAGGCGGCACCAAGGAGCCCAATAGCTGGGATGCAGAGCCGTCCCTGGAAGTCAGGGAGAGGCTGGTGCGGGCATTTGTGGCCACGCACCCAAGGATTGCTGATGAATCGGGCTCGGTGAGAGTCCTGAAAGATGTCGTAGGGCGAAGGCCAGCCCGCCACGGCGGCGCGAGACTGGAGAGTGAGGAGATCGCACCCGGGAAGATCGTTGTGCATGCGTATGGGCTGGGTGGCAGAGGATACGAGCTGTCATGGGGCGTCGCGGAGACGGTCCAGAAGCTCGTCGACGAGGCCAGCCCGATCAAGGCCCGCATGTGATCCCAACAGTAGATCTAACATGACCTCTTGCGAGCCAAAACGTTAATGTGTGTACCACAAATATTGAAAGACTCAACTCACACCAGCTGCTCAAAGATACCTGTTTGATTAGGGACTTGTCGGGAGGTCAATGTCGTGATATGCAGGCCGTCATCTTCAACTCCCGACCAGCGCACGCCGCCTTTGAACATCAAATCTATTCCCATCGCCATTCACGCATATGTACACTCATCAGGAGCATCGACTCCAGATGCCTCTCAGAGTAGCGTGGTGTAATTTAACCCAGGCCATCAAGTCGCTGGATATGCCTGAAAACATCACCCCTGAACGCCGAATCATGCAAGTCCACCAACACATCCGAGCCCCCCTCCCCTCCGGCTTGTTGTGAATATCCCTCTCGTCGATGTGTCACCCCCAACCAAGTCCGCGCCACACTATTTCTTCTCCCCCTGCCCGTCACCCCCGTCAAACCTCCTCCTGCTGCCCGAGGCGAACCCGCCGACGCGCTCCCCCCTCGTGAGCTTCTCCTCGGCCGCCCGCCGCAGCTGCTCCTCGCGCTCGCTCTCCTCGAGCCCCCACCACTCGCGCATGAAGCGCTGCTGCTCCGCCTTGCGCCGCTCCTTCTCCTGCCTCTCCCTCGCCCGCTCCTGCCGCTTGGCGAACCAGTCCTCGCGCGCCGCGTCCTCCTCCTCCGGCGTCGCGTGCCGCTTCATGCACGCGTTCATCACCCGGTGCGGCTCGCGGCAGGCAAATGGTACCGAGAACGTGCGGCCTAGCGCGCAGGCTGCGAATGCTGTTGTTTTTTGCCCGCGGAGGCGGTCGGGGTTAGCCAGCGGCCCCTTCCTTGCTTTGGCCGGTCTGTCTCGATGGGAATGGGGGGGGGGGGGCGGGGCGTGAGGCTGGGTGCCGAGAATGGCGGGCGTGTTTACCTTTTATCTCCGGGCCGCAGTAGCCTCGTACCCTCTCGTAGAATATCTCTCGTACTTGGGCCTCTTGTGATGCGGAAAGGGGCAGTGGGTTTCGCGAGGGCATCGGTAGCCGCCCTGTCGATGTAGAGTCCGAGCTGCCGCCCGACGGTGATGATTCGGCGGCCATCGCGGCCATTGATACAAGAGGATGCCGTTCGACTGCGTGTCCGTGGTGCTCGAGTACACCTTTCCTGATGTCGGGCCAGTCGGGGGCAAGTCTGCGATCTGATGAGGTGTGAGAAAGTGGTGTAAGTGGGTAATAATAGGTGGGCTCTATGTCTGATGTTGAGCTTTGATCGACTGATCTGGAAGTCCGAAATCGAATCTGCCGCCCGGAGCTTAAGCTCGGCACCTCCCACTCGTTCACCGCCTATGCCGTTTCGGGCCCCTTCTACATACAACCTGCATACTAAGTGCCTGCCTGCCTGCCCGGCTGCCCCGGTACCTACCTAGGTACTAAGGTGCCCATGTCTGTAGACATTCAGGGGGCTGGCCATGGATTGCACGACATGTGGTGAGCGGGCTACATGTTTCCTGATCGTGAGCGCGTCCCAGATTTCTTACAGAGCTGGCAATGTATCCATTTTGATTTACTATTCTTTTGACGCTGACAACAATGGATGCTGTCTCTTTACGCTAGACATGCAGAAAAATCTGAGCTTGGCTTGGTACAGAAAGTCTGCTCACAAACTCAGGCCGAAAGCTGCAGAGGCGGCTGCTCCTCAGCAGTGGGCGCCTCAGCACTCTTCTCCCTCTCGATATCCAGGCTCGCCTTTTCCTTTTTCTTGCCCATGGAGAACCACCTACCGCCTTTCGACTTATTGGTTCCAATGGACGGGCTGGAATTGAGCGAGTCGAAGCTCTTGCCCAGGAGGTCCTCCCCGGCGCCGCCTTCCTTGCCGGTCCAGCTGTTCTCAGCGACATCACTGCCGCCAAAGCTTGGGCGGTGCTCCCTGTCCGAGCCTGCAGCTGAACCTGGCCCGGTCGCCTTCCTGGAGCCGCCGAGCCTGGATGAGATCGCCGATCCCTTACGAAACAGCTTTCTAACCACATTGTCCGGCCCGGCGCTGGCTGAGAGCTCCTTGAGGCTCATTGGTGGCTCCGAAGGGGTATTCGAAAAGGACTGGTCGAGAGATAGAGAATCATGAGATTCGCTGATAGATGCACGGCTGCGGACAGACATTGACAGTCGGGAGTCGGACCGTTCAGCAACGGAGTCGTTCCCAGATGAGGCTGGTGGATCCTCAAAAGCCCCCCTAGCATGGTCCCTGGCCTCCTTGGTCCTCTCTCTGTTCTTGGCCTTGTCCTTGCTGCTGAAGATACTGCCCATGAAATTCGGAGAGAAGGACGGCACAGTAGGGTTCAGGGCTTTAAGAGACTTCTTCGTAGGCCTGCTACCGATCACCCCAACCTGTGACGGCGAGACCTGCGGGTTCAGTAGTTCATGCTCGTCAAGAATCTCATCGTCCGCGGACGCGAGGGTCGTCTGAAGAGCTGAAGGTGAACCGCCGATCGAGGGACGCCGGGAGGGGTTTCTGGACCATGTGTTGTTCTCAGGTGACCAGACGAGTCTTGATCGAGGGAAACCTTGCTGCTCCGGCGGCGGCGCCCAGAGGTGAGATCCGCTGTCGGTTGACGGCCGAGGCATTTCGGACGAAGATATCGAGGCAGGCCGTGGGCTGCTCTGGTCGCGATCAAAGACGCCAGTCATAGCTCGAGCACCAAAGGGCAGCAGGCTCCTAGCTGAGAAGCCTCTCGTCCCCGGAGGAGGTGCGTAAGTGTCCATGGTATCTGGCCCGACTGAGTTGCGATTAAAAACGTTCCAATTTGAGAGGCTGATCCGGCGCCTGTTCGGCACTCCATCCAGTTCGTCTGTCTGGCGGGGGAATGACTGGCTTTGCCCATGCTTGAGACTACCCAATTGAGGTGGCTCGTCCATTGCTCGCGGGGGTTTCCCTCGCTGGAACGAGAACAGAGAAGCCAGCCGTTGAGTGGCGGGTTGTCCGGGCGCCGGGGCGGGGGACGCGAAGTTTCCCGAGCTGATCGAACGCCTTTCGCTTTCGTCATTTGGGAACGCCGGGAACGGTAGATTCTGCTGTGACCCATGAGCGCTGGAGAAGATGCTGCCAGATCGAGCTGATTGGGGTGACTGAGGGTCCCGCTCAGGGGATGCCGTCTGCACAGGTGCGAAGGGACTGGCAGGGTCGCGATGGGAGACGGGGCTGCCAGGTGCCTCCTCATCCCCAGAATGCTCATCATCCGTGAAGATGTTGCTGGGCAGTAGAGCCGCTGCCGAGGGGCTGAGGGGTGCTCCAGCCGTCAACGCCCTAAGTTCATCGCCATCCATGCCGTCCACGTCCAAGGAAGACAAATCTATGAATGGCGCAGCTGCAAAGCCTGGCGGAGGTCGGGTGCCGCTGTACCCCAATGGCTGCGGGAGCGATTCCAGCGTAGCGAAGGGAGGCGCAGGCGACATGACAGCATTCGAGAGCGAGCTGCCATGATGGCTCCGGCGCTTCGCTTGGGACTGCGAGGGAGCATCGAACTCGGCGCCCGAGGTATTTGCCTGGTTGTAGAGGGCGAAGGCGGCTGGCGGAATCTGTTGAATCTGGGCGTGGATCGAGTTGAGACTCTCGTCGAGCTCCTTGGCCCGCTTGGTCTCTTGATACAGTTTCATGTTCCACTCGCGCTCCCTCCGCTGCCACTCGCGTCTCTTCTCGAGGTTGTTTTGCCTCCACTCCTCGTCGTCCTCGCCACCTGGCAGCTTCTTCCGATCGTCCTCCAGGAGTTTCACCTGGTCCCTCTTGAACTTCAAGTCCGCTTCTAGCTGCGAGCATTCCGCCTGCAACTTTTCGTTGCACTGGCGAACTTCTGCCATTTTCGACTTTGCGTCCTCCTCGACTGCTTTCTTCTGCTCTTCGAAACTTTCCTTCTCCTTGCGCCACTCTTGGATCTGCCTCTCCATCTTCGCGATGTTGTCGTAGTATCGAGAGCGCTCGGCTTGTTTCGACTTGAGCTCCTTCTCTAGTTGCGTCCGCCGCTGCACGGTCGAACGCATCGCCCGCTCGGTCATGCCCATCTCCTTCTTCAGTTTCTCCGTCTGTTCCTCCTTCTTTTTCTGCTCCGCCTTTTTCTGTTGTTTCTCCTGTTCCAGCTCATCCAACAGTTTCTTGCTGTCTTCTTCCTCCCTCGTGATGACCGCAATGGTGTCCTCAATCTCCGCCTTGATGCTGCTGAACCGTTCTCCAAGCTCCCTGACTTCGGCTTCGGAGGTACTGTCCTTGCGCATCGGTTTCTGCTCTATGCTGCTAACCGAGGGAGATGCTCTCCTACCAATGGTATTCCTCCTAGGCACAGACCCGGCTGTACTTTGCTCTCTTGCCAAAGCCGGGCCACCGTCTGGGATTGTCGCGGATTCAATAGCCGGCAAGGGACTCCGAGGCGCACCATTCTCGTCGGCGTTTTCGCCCTGCGTCGTGGAGGGAGGCTCCTCGGGCTCAAAGTTCGGGGGCAGGCGGGAGTTGCCCAAGCGCGGCCGGCCGCTGGGATCAAAGGTCTGTAGGCGGACGACCTGGCTGCCGGCTTGAAAGCTGTTGGACCCGACGGCGATGACGCGTACATTGTAGAAGTGGTTTGGCTTTAGGCCGGTCACGGTGATGGCGGTTTCTTGGTTGGCTGGAGACTCGCCCACTTTTCCAGTGACACATGTGTCAGAGTTTGGACATGGATATTGGTTGGGCCTTCAACATGACACCCGTTTCCTGTGATGAGTTTGCTTACCGACTACGCCGTTAACTTGTATGAGGAACTTGTGCACCGGCTTGCTAGGGTGTGGTCTCGCCCAGCTCACAGTCGCCTTGTCGAGGCCAATGCCGGAGAGGACGACATCGGGGGCGTCGGGAACATCGACGCCGAGGATGTTTATGAGTTCGGGAACTGGCTTCCACAGCGTCTGTGAGGCCCTTCGAAGCAGCCTGTGGGGAATCATTGTCAGCAACAGCCTTCCCAGGCATCCGAGCCAGGTCGCATGCCCGTACAGAAGAGCCAGGGCAAGCACCGGGGCCGGGCGGGCTCGTACCATAAAGCTGCGACGCTGAAGAGCACCATGGTGGCATTCTCCTCGCAAAGACGGTCCAGGTGGTCAAAGTCGATGTGAGAGGCAGCTTTCATGTAGATGTTGTCGACGGAGATGTCGTTCTGATCGATGTAGGCGGCGACGTAGATGAGGATGCAGCAGGTGGCGACGGTGACATGCACGAAGGCGCTCTTACGCTCGATAAGCCAGGCGATGAGCAGACAAATGAGGGTGAGTAGCGGCAGAATCGACGTCCAAGAGATCCATAACATATCGGAGTGGGAGTAGTGCCGGCCGAGGAGAGGAGGGAGGGTGGAGCGGATCGGGATCGGGATGGGATGGTGGTGAGGCGGAGGCGGAGGAGGAGGAGGAGGGAAACATAGAATCGGTCGAATTGGGGGGGGGGGGACTGGAAAAAGTAAAAATGCGATGTGATGTGGTATCAAAACGTTGTTTAATGCCCGGACGGGGTAGTGCACACACAAGGTCCAGGTCGGCCGAGTCAAGCCACGGGAGGCCAACAAGGAAAGCTGGCACATGCACGAGGATCGAGAGCTGTTTGCTGTGAACGACAAGGTCTCCGTCTCGGCGCGACAGGACAGAGAGAAGGGATTTTCTCTGATGCGATGGTGACGGCCTTGTGACTCTCTCGGGTAGCAAGCAGTATGGAGAAGTCGGCAAGAGAAGGACAGGGCGGCCAGGCGGCACATGCCCTGGCCTGCCTGGACGCCTGGCTCAAGCCTCAAGCAGCCAAGCTCGTCTCCACGATCTGAGGGCTCAGGGGTTCCTCATTCGCCGGCCCCCGGGTACCTAGGTACATCCGCAGCAAGCAGCAGCAGCCCTGACAGCCCTGACCAGCGTTTTCCCGCCCTGGGGCCCAAGACCTACCTAGGCAGGCTAGATGTTGACGCTAAGCCCTGAGCGAATCTTCCAACCGCCAAATTGCAGCGGGTTCAATATAACCTTGAACAAAGCGAGAGCCTCACCTCGGCACTTGGGCCCGGAGGCAGCACCAGGTACGCCCACCTCTGCACCCGAGTGCTAGTCAAGCTAGTGTAGTAGCCCTGTGTTCCTGGCACATTACCTACACGTGTAGTTCCCTGCCTACCCACTACCTACAGGTCCCCAGGTGGGCAGTGGGTGGGTAGCAGACCTGCAGGATGCTAACCTACCTAGGTGCACATACATATGTCCAGTGCTTGCATTTCCGCCCTGCGATTACTCTCACAAAACCGATCGACACTGCAAACGGGAGACTGGGCCCCAATCATGCCCTGCGCAGCGGCACAATGCGATGACAGTTGCAGTAGTGCGCTTGAGCTGGCAGGCTGGCAGACTGCCGCATTATGCCTGATATGCATGATATGCCAACGTGCAGTTGCACAAGAAAGCGTAGTCCGGCCCCCCGGAGGTCCCCTCGGTGGCAACCGGCGCGTCGCGACGAGAGTACAACCAAGAACACGGGCGGACAGGCGGACAGGCGGACAGGCGGACCAAGAGGAAGCTTATCTTGCACGCGTGCTAGTGCGGTCCTAGTCGCAACGGTGGTTCGCACACCAGGTCCGCAGGTTCCATCGTCTCACTTTGGAGTTCATCAGGTGCGAGTGGTCGAGCCCCAATGCCGCTCTTCGTCCGTGGTCCTGCGGGGTTGTCGACCACATGCGCATGCGTACAGCGATCTTCTCGGCCATTGACTCTGGGATTCTCCAGGTTTCCGGTTGAGAGGCACAGTCCAGCCCTCACAGATGTGCGACTTGACAACAGCAGACCAGGGCTTGCTCGCTGGGGATACGACTGGATTCAACTATGTTTCCTTTAGGGACCAAGGGCGCCTGGGCGCGGCCGCCTTGAGAACATCACGGGGTCTGGGCCTCAGCCTCGTCCACCAATCCTTCGGCCTGACGCCTCAGCAGTAGGTCTGTTGGGGGCATTTCGGCGCACCGTACCCTATAGCTGGCATAGGGAAGGCTGTTTCAGGGACGACTCTGTTGTCCAGGGTGGGCGAGGGTATATATCGGATGAACGTCTGAGTGTCGACGCGGCCTCTGCAACAATATGGGCAGCGCGAGGCCTTGTCACGCATGGACGAGACGAGACCTTGGTTTCTCAGCCTAGACCAACAGGCACGTACAGATGTTCGCGTATGGCTCCATGAACATTTACCCTGGCAGGGGAAACATGAGAGCACAAGCTGTTGTCTGACTCGCGGGAATCGAGGCATGGCACTCCAAACATGAGAGAACATCATCGCTGGTACATATACAGTCATGATGCCCAGAGGGCACTGACAGGGCAACATGTCTTTGGACCATCGCACGCCCATGTCTAGTGGTTGTCGGCAGTGAACCGCGGCGGGGACCACATCAGCAGATCAAAGAACGCGTGGGCAGTTAATAGCAGTTAATGGCAGGTTACCGGTTGAACTTGGAAGAATGTTGGGACGTGTTTCGTCCTCACCGTCAGCTTCTGGGATGGAGGGCCTGCCCAACAAGGCCGAGTGGGAGGGAAATGGGCAGCGGGGCTGGGCCGGATTCGCCCTCGCCGCGAAAGGCCAAAAGGCCTGGGTCCCCACCCTACAATGACCATTTCCCCACAGTAAGGACTTGTACAGAACATTTTGCTTTAGGATAATAACCCAAGGAGGCTTTCCCATAGGAGGCTTTTCTCCTTTTAAGAGGCTACCCCATAAGAGGCTGTCCCGTGCCCAAAGCTGTGAGTGGGCCATATGGTGTACCACTGCAGATTGTGGAAGATCGTCGAGATGCCGCCATGGGTGTTGCTGCTGTTCTCTCGAGTGAACGAGTGACATGCAAAGCAAGCACCGAGATGGGTACTCCACGATAAAGACATCAATCAGTCCATTGCATGATGTCATTGACCGCTCGCAACAGGACCGCGTTCGGCTCCGTTTCCGGCCGTCTCATCCGGACGGTCACCCCCTCGGCCTCTCTCATGGGGAGACCTGGGGGTGGGGGAGCAAGGCGAGGGCCGACCTGACCAGACGATACTTACTTAAGTAGCTACCTAGGTACTTAGGTAGGAACTTACCTAGGTAAGGTAGGCAAATCCCCAACGGCCCTGGCCTGCCTGCCCAGGTGTCAGCGCGGTCAGCCTGTCAGCCAGGCCCAAGGACAAAACGAGTGCGAATCAGGGGCAAAGTCAGGTGGTCTTTTGGTGGGCATCCATTACCTAGTGTAGCTAAGGTGGTGAGACGTAGGGACGCCTGGGACGCCGCCTGGGCAGACAGACGGCCAGCGGACGGGGCATCTCACCTCGGCTACTTGGCCTGCCTGGGCCCTGGGCACACTAGGTACCCCGTACTGTGGTAAGTACTCAGGCAGGTCACGTAACGGCAACCTCCTTGTTCGTCCCTGGGGCTGGGGCATGGTCGACTATTTGTTGGGCGCTGGACGGCTTTATTATCCCCGGCCCCATGCGAAGAGGTTTGAAGCCTCGTGACACAACAATGACTTGACCATTTTCTTGTGTCTCTCAGTCCCGCAGCTAGCCTTGCTTCCCATCGTTGATCGCACCCTTTCGAGCCTGGCCTCTCCCCTCGTTGTTTGTGTCATGTCAGACAGCCAGCAATAAGAAGAAGAAGACCTCCTCTACGCACCGCGCAGCTCGAACACCCAGATGTTCTCTCCTCTTCCCTCTTCTCCCCTTCCTCCTCTTCCGCTGTTTTTCTCGGCAGCACTGAGCAATTAGTTCCCGTTCCTGAGCCTCGCCTGTCCTGGTTTTGTCGGTAACTCGGCACTGCACGCTACTCTGTCGCCTTCTCCCTGCCTCGGACTGCAACTCCATCGCACATAGACAGGCCCTCAGCCCCGGTTTTTTGGCCAGAGCAAATTCGCACCCGTTGATTCGTCCGCCGCCACTTTCACAAGCTTGCCAGAATCACCAGCAGACATTCCAGGGCCCGTAGCAACTCCCAAAGCAGCCTTGTCCCATCGCTAGACTCCTATACGTTCCCACTCGCCTCGACGCCTTCCGAGGCTCACCGCGCCCGAACGACCCGTATCTACCCCCCCGACGCTCGAGCAGGCCACCTGGAAAAGAGTTGAACAAACGCCGTCCAGCTCAGGGTCACCCCCTTTTTCTACACACGCCCCCCTCACCCATCGACTTTCCACGCCGCCTGTCAGGACCAAAAGTTGCATGTGACGATTCCCACGCTGCACCACCAGTGGGACACCCACGACGACATCCCTTAGCCTCCACAACAACGCCTCCCCATCCTCACATCGACTCACAAAGCCATGCAGTACGTGCGCAACCTGTCAGACTCTGTCTCGACAGCATGGAACTCCATAAACCCAGCCACCCTCAGCGGTGCCATCGATGTCATAGTGGTGGAGCAGGAAGACGGCACTCTGTCCTGTTCGCCTTTTCACGTCCGCTTCGGCAAGTTCTCGCTCTTGCGTCCGTATGAGAAGAAGGTCGAGTTCAGGGTCAATGGAAAGAAGCAGGACCACGCCATGAAGCTGGGCGAGGGCGGCGAGGCCTTCTTCGTGTTCGAGACCAGCGACACCATCCCCCAGAGCCTGCAGACGTCGCCACTGGTATCCCCTGCGTCGAGCCCGCCGCTGCAGCCTTCTACGCCTGGGAGGGCCGCCACCATGCCACCTGCCTTGCAAGAGCCGCCACTGTTGGACTTGGATTTGGATGCGCAGAGGGATGCGGAAAGGGACGCCGACGGGGACCTTGACAAGCTCGCACCCCAGAGCTTCACGAGACCACCTCCCGGGCCCATCTACTCGAGCTCAGTGCCACGGGAAAAGGGTTCGTCGCCGCTTCTCTGTCGCGCTCAGAGAGTCCGCAGGCTCACAAGGCTAACGTTTTTACAGGAATACTTTCACCAATGCTGGCATCGTCCGAACTGGGGGGTGTTAGGCCCGCCTCAGGAGACTGGTCTTCACTTCGACCACATAGCGATGACATCCTGCGCGAGTCTGCGCGCCACAAGCGCAAGGGGTCGACCCTGAACGACACAGCCGACCTCGCGGACTTCTCTGATAGATCTCACAGCCCCCCACCGTTGGCGCCCAGCGAGGCTCTCGAGCGCGCAATCAATCTGTCCAGGGAGCTGCAGGCTGTGAATCTCCCCACCCATGTCACGGAGACGGGCGATCTTATGTTGGATATGACTGGCTTCAAGAACAATGAGGAGGATGCCATACACGCTGAGATCCTTGCGAGGAAAGTACTATCTCAAGAACTCGAGGGAAACTACGACATTGGGGCCCTCTTCGGGATTGATGAGCACGGCAATCTCTGGATTTACAGCAGTGAGGAGGCCAAGGACGCAGCTATGCGCAAGACAATGGAGTCTGCTTCGGGTCTTCGGTCGCAGACCTTTGATGCCGACGCCGTATCTGACCCGGGCTACCATAGTGATGACAGCAGCCGTGATTCGGCGACGGCAGCGTTCCCCGGCCACCGCCGTACCGAGTCGGACGTGGGCCACGGGATGGACTTGCAGACCCCACCTTCATCACCCGGATCAAGCAAGGCCGGCCGTGTTGGTGGGATGGGCGATCCCAACATCAATTACGCCAAGACCCTGCGCCTGACTAGCGATCAGTTGCATGCCTTGAACCTGAAGCCTGGCGAGAACTCTATGAGCTTCACTGTCAACCGCGCGACCTGCACGGCAGCTCTTTACTTGTGGAAACATGACACTCCGGTGGTGATTTCAGACATTGACGGAACCATCACGAAATCCGACGCCTTGGGCCACGTGCTGAACATGATAGGGCGTGACTGGACACACGCCGGCGTTGCGAAGCTGTATTCGGACATTGAAGCGAACGGGTATAACATCATGTACCTCACATCACGCTCAGTTGGACAAGCGGATACCACCCGCGCCTACTTGGGCGGCATTGTGCAGGATGGATACAGACTGCCCCGAGGCCCGACGATATTGTCTCCGGACAGGACGATGGCGGCCTTAAGGAGGGAGATTTACCTGCGGAAACCGCACGTGTTTAAGATGGCCACACTCCGCGATATCAAGAACCTGTACGGCTCGGATTACCACCCGTTCTATGCCGGCTTCGGCAACCGTCTCACCGATCAGATCTCGTACCGCACGGTAGACGTCCCGAGGACGAGGATCTTTACGATCAACTCCAACGCCGAGGTATCCCTCGACCTCCTATCTCTCAACAAGCTCAAGCTGTCCTACGTGTCCATGACAGACGTGGTGGACCACTACTTCCCACCTGTGTCCACCATCGTCAAGGGCGGCGGGGAAGAGTACACCGACTTCGCCTACTGGCGAGACAAGCCGCTCGACGTGGATGAGTTCTCGGCTTCCGAGTCCGATTCGGATAACGACGACGCCGCACGTAGGAGGCCAGGCGACCTCGAGAGCCAGTACGCGGAGGACGATGACGAAGACGACGACGAAGTCGAGGGTGACGGCCTGGCGGACTCGTACATCTCGCGAGGCTCCTTCGACGATGGGTATGGCTACGCCGAGGGCGAGGGTGACGCCGAGGGCAGCGTGTTCAGCGGCGATTACGATGACGAGCAGTTTGACGGCGGCGTGATGGGGAGCCTTGTGCTCGAGGAGGACGAAGCTGACGATGAGGATGACGAGGGCGATGTCGGTGAGCCGCAGCAAGGGGAGAAGCAGCAGCAAACGCTCGCGCTGCCCAAGGCGGCGGCGCCGCCCAGGGCCCCTTCGCCCAAGGTCGCGGTCGAGGATCTCAGCGCGGAGATGATCACGGGCATGATGAACCTTTCTGTGGAAAAGGAGCTCGAGCAGTGAGTGTAGTGACGTGGCGCGGTGCCCAGGTTGGGAGTATTTGTATAATTTGAAGGGGACGGGTAAGATTTGGTTGCATACCTAATTCGGTGGGCTTCTCCGGGGGATCGGGTCATCGCAACAGCGCTACAGTTGGTGTTGGCTGCAACCCGGGTTCAGGAGATTGGTTTGTAAGGGGCTATGCACAGTTCCGAAGTGCCGTTCACCACTATTGCACAGCAAGGCGTCTTGGCTTGAATTCATGGGGGATAAATAGGAGCATTAGAAATACGCATTAGAAGCGTGGAATTATCATTTATGGATCTTTGGTCCGTATGAAAGATCGGCGTGGCTGGCTTGAACTCTTCCGCGGTGCTGCATGATTATCATGCGAACCGCCTATGACGATGTTGCATGGCCCTTTCCCGTCCTGCTTTGAGGCGAGTAAAATCGGCCGTTGGTCCTCGCGCAAAGTGCTGTCAGTGACGATGCTAAGCGATCAACACACGTCTAGTAGCAAAAACCCAGTGTCCCCACCATCACTCAGCATTGGCGACCTGGCCTCGATTCTTGACGACGATCTTATGACCTCTTGGGGCCCATCCTCCCCCACTTACTGCTCAATGCCGTCAAGAATAGACTGAATGCCCAGTCTGGCTGGACTACTCGCTGTCTACCTGCGGTTATGTCGTGTGTGCTGCCCGCAATGCCGCGAGCTCTCTGGAACCTGTGCGTCAGACTCATAGATGCTGAGCTGGCCAGACATTGACCTCACCGCCTCCCTTAGACTGTTCGAGACGACTCAGCATCAGGCTTTTGGAACTGAGCTACACATGAGACCCAAGATCTGCTTTTGTTCATCGCATCCTATCTTAATCGAAGAGGATCATATGGTGGCTCAGGTACCCCAACTCGCGCGTTGTGCGCCTCTACTGCTGGCTGTTGTGCTGGGCCCTGCGCCCGCGCTGGGTCTGCTGTGGCTCGCGTCGACTGGCCCGGTGTCCATGACGGTCGCCCAGAGACCGGCGTTGTGAAAGCTGATCGCGGGATGCCCAGGATGTCCCATGGGTGTTGCTGCAATGACCACTGGTTAGCTCCGGCGCCGGCTTGTCCGGGAGCCCAGGATCTGGGTGAGACATGTTGGCCGGCGTTGCCATCGCTGCCTTCGGAAGTGTGACTGAAGCTCCCTGCACTGCCACCGCGGAGGTACGTTTCCCCCTCGCCCGACGACTTCGGGAGAGCACCATTAGCCATCATTTGATGGCCGTGGAATGTCATTATGTCGCCTGGGGACACACGATTGTATGCATTTGGCGTTGCAGGTTGAGAAACTGACGCAGGATTGCGGGCGCCTCCCGATTGCGAGGCATTGTTAGACGCGCCGTCGAAGCCGTAACGGAATTTTGCAGATGGGTTCCAGAAAGAGCCAGGTGCGAGGTTGTCTTGTGCAGAGCCCTACTCCGCCATATCAACATCCTCTTCCCCGACTTGCTCGCCAACCTGTGCGCCTTGGCCTGCACCAAAAATGTCTTCCATAGTGCCGCCCTCGACCCCATCACCGCCGACGTCCTCGTCATTCGGCTGATGTTCCATCGCATCGACCATCTCCTCGTCATCGTCGTCGTCCTCGCTGTCATCTTCGGCGCTCCGCGCGAGAACATCTCGCAGCCCCCAGCCTACGCCGCTGAGCACGAACTTCTCGCTTGGTAGTCGCACGCCCCACTCTCCGGGTGGCACACGTGGCAGCGCGACCTTATTCCTCTCTGCGGCTATGCTTGCAAGAGCATCCTTGCTGATCGCTCCGCCGCCGGTCGCGCCGCCGCCGCCGCGGAACTGGTAAGCCAGCCGGGCACCGATGGCCAGTTTTACAGCGTTGGCGGTGACCATTGCATCCCCGCCACTGCCTGGGACTGTAGCTGTGCCACCGGCCGTAGCAGATGGCTTCGATCCGGCGTGGGTGGTATAGGGATCGGCAGCCAGGTAGATCGAGTCACTAAGGACAGAGGCCGTGTGTCGGTATGCAAAGTCGAGCAGGAGAAGTGGTATTCGAGACTCGAAGGCTGTAACACCTTGGGCGTTGAGGAGCAGCTCGATTGTGCGTTGGTCGCGCGGTCGTGGGGCGGAGGCAGTGGGCGATGTCGGTGGCGCAGGTTGGGAGGCTGCAGCCGCTGCTACTGCTGGGGAGCCTTGTGCTGCTGCTGAGGCCTGAGGCTGTGATTGCGACTGCGATGGTTGCGAGTTGGAGGTCACACCATTAGTCGCTGGCTGTGTCTGGGAGGCGGACGGTTGTGATTGCGACTGGGTGTTGTTAACATTCTGAGAGGCGGAGCCGCCAGGTGAGGAGGAGGGCACGCCGTTTGTCTGGGGCGCCGTGGCGGAAGACATCGTGGAGGATGTTGGGTGTGATGGCAACCTGATGGCAAGTGGTTTCTGGGACAAGTGAGGTTTGCGACGGTACAGTACACCAGCGCCGAGCCGAGGCGGAAAGTGGAGGATTGGTGCTGGCCTGACCACTGTCAACTGTCACCCACAGAGCGTGGGGTCTGATGACTAAGTGTTCCGCGGTATGATTGGCGGGGCTGTGTGTGTAGAGGTATCAATCAACAATAAATTAACAGCATCAATAAAGCTGTCACAGGGAGAGGAGGTCAGATGGAGATGGAATAATAGGTCTTGCCCAAGAGCAGCTCGCATGGGGAAGAGACTGGCCAGAGCTCTGGACCGCGTCTCCCTGGCTCTGGGATTGGAGCCCGCGGCTGGCAAAACAATTGGCCGCTGCTGGCTGCTGCTAGCGCAGAAGCAGCAAGGGTGTGAACCTTGTGTCTAAAGAGGCTGACGGGAGGCAACAAGCGGCAGGTAGTCTACATGCACTTACTGCCTAGGTACCTAGGTACTTGTTCACCTGCAGGTCTCGAGTGATACTTCTGGCCCACTCATGCTATTCCAGCAGGAGTGCTGGAGTTCACAATGGGGTCCTTGATGCTACCTAGGTACCTAGGTACTTGGGTATCTACTTAGGCAGGCAACCAGGTAGCCCGATGTGTGGGCATGGCCGTGCCGAGCAAGATGTTCCCGCGACGGGGCCCTGCCAAGTACATGAACCCTGCCGTGGTCTGCCGATGCAGGAGCTCCAGTCGTTACGTAGTACGTGATACTAGCGAATTGAACTTTTCCAATTAGATGACTCTACCTTCGACTCATATCAAAGATAGTGGTGTGACTTGTAAGAGAGAAAACAGTTAATAGTTTGACTTGGATTGGTCTTTGTGATCTTTCAAGTTCATCTCCAAGTCAGCTTAGCCCGTCTGTCTCTCTCTTGCTCCCCACCCCTCTCTCTCCCAGTCGCATACCCCGTCATCGCCGTTTCGGCATCCGCACAAACGTTATGGAGACGACTTTGCCCCTCCCCTTCCTGGTCTGCCTTGCTGCACTCCCCGGCCTGGCAGGGCCGGAGGGTCTGAGTCGGGAGGAAATCAGCTGCCTTGGTTTGGTTTTTGCTGAAGTTACTCCGGAGACCGTGGATGAGACCCTCACCTTCCTCAGCCAGCACAATGTCGATTTCCTGCCGTTTCTGGACTTGACTCGCCTCGAGTCCAAGGACGACGTCCTGTCCCTGCTCGACGCCGGCGCACGGAAGGTATTCGTGAAGCCTGAGAACCTGTCAGAGTATACCCAGTACGGCTCTCGAGTGGCCCCTGCCGTCAAGAGTCTCGATGCTCTCGAGTCGGCCACGGAGCATGGGCTCCTCCTTTCAGACTTTGATCACTCCAAATGTGAGATTGGCCCGTTCCTGGAGAAGGCAAAGTCGACAAAGATCAAGAACCTCTTTATCAAGCCTGTTGAGGGCGCCATCCTTGAGCACTTCATCGATGTCGCTGCCCAGCTGGGGGCCACTCCTATTCTTCCCTCCTCCGGCATGACCACCGCCAAGGACACCAGCAGCAAATTGTCAGTCTCAAAAGTGCTGTGTTCCACCTGGAGCTCGGACCGTCCAGACAACCTCATCCCCACCGTTGTTACGGATGAGAACGGCATCGCTCTTGGTCTGGTCTACAGCAGCGAAGAAAGCGTCGGGGAGGCTTTACGAACCCAGACTGGCGTCTACCAAAGTAGGAAGCGTGGCCTTTGGTACAAGGGAGCGAGCTCAGGAGACACGCAGGAGCTCGTCAGGATCTCTCTGGACTGCGACAGTGACGCATTGAAGTTTGTCGTTCGGCAAAAGGGCCGCTTCTGCCACCTTGAGCAGTTTGGCTGTTTTGGGGAGCTCAAGGGCATACCCCGGCTGGAGCAGACGCTGAAGTCTAGGAAGCAATCCGCACCGGAGGGGTCATATACGGCGCGTCTTTTCAACGACGAGAAACTCCTGCGGGCCAAGATCATGGAAGAGGCCGAGGAACTGTGCGACGCCAAGTCCCAGCAAGACGTGGCCTTTGAGGCCGCTGATCTCATCTACTTTGCCCTGACGAGGGCTGTCTCGGCCGGTGTGAGCCTGTCAGATATTGAGAAGAGCCTTGACGCCAAGAGCTGGAAGGTGAAGAGGCGGACGGGTGACGCCAAGGGCAAGTGGGCTGAGAAGGAGGGCATCAAGCCTGTCGACGGGACCACCACGGCAGCAGTCACCGCGCCAGCCACATCGAGTCCTGTCTCATCCTCGGACAGGATCACTATGCAGCGTCACGACCTGTCCGCGCTTGCACCTGGTCAGCTGCAGCAAGTGCTGAACAGACCATCACAGAAGTCTGCCGATTCAATTATGAAGATCGTCGTGCCTATCATCGACGATGTCAAGAAGAATGGTGACAAGGCTCTCCTGTCTTATACTCAAAGGTTCGAGAAAGCCAGCTCCCTGACTACCACAGTCATCAAGGCTCCTTTCCCCGAATCCCTCATGCAGCTTCCCGCCGAGACCATCAAGGCTATCGACACATCTTTCGACAACATCAAGAAGTTCCACGCTGCGCAACAAGAAGAAAAGCCTCTCCGCGTCGAGACCATGCCCGGGGTGGTCTGCAGCCGATTCTCCCGGCCGATTGAGCGCGTTGGTCTCTACGTTCCTGGTGGCACGGCTGTTCTACCTTCTACGGCCCTCATGCTTGGCGTTCCTGCCATGGTCGCCGGCTGTAAGAAGATTGTCCTCGCCTCGCCACCACGGTCCGACGGCAGCGTAACCCCTGAGATTGTATATGCTGCACACAAGGTCGGTGCCGAAAGCATTGTGCTCGCTGGTGGCGCCCAGGCCGTTGCAGCGATGGCATATGGCACCGAGAGCGTGAGCAAGGTGGACAAGATCCTCGGCCCGGGCAATCAATTTGTGACTGCCGCCAAGATGTACGTCAGCAATGACACCAACGCCGGCGTGAGCATCGACATGCCAGCGGGCCCTTCGGAGGTTCTCGTCATCGCCGACAAGGATGCCAACCCCGCTTTCGTGGCAAGCGACCTGCTCAGCCAGGCCGAGCACGGCGTGGACAGTCAGGTCATCCTCATCGCCGTGGATCTTTCCCACGAGGGGCTGCAGGCTATCGAGGACGAGCTACACAAGCAGGCCATGGCCCTGCCGCGGGTTGAGATTGTGCGCGGGGCCATTGCCCACTCTGTCACCATCCAGGTCAAGACGGTCGAACAGGCGATGGAGGTCAGCAACGAGTACGCACCAGAACACTTGATCCTACAGCTCAAAGACGCCGAGAAGGTCTGCGAGCTGGTCATGAATGCGGGCAGTGTGTTCATCGGCCAGTGGACGCCCGAGAGTGTCGGTGATTACTCCGCTGGAGTGAACCACTCACTACGTAAGTATACAATGCCCCCCCACCAAAAAAAAAGGCTTTCATAGCATACGAGCTGACTGTTCTGTGATGCAGCAACCTACGGATATGCCAAGCAGTACTCGGGTGTCAATCTTGGGTCATTTATCAAGCATATCACCAGCGCCAACCTCACAGCTGAAGGACTGCGAAACGTTGGCGGGGCTGTGATGCAGCTGGCTAAGGTGGAGGAACTCGAGGCTCACAGAAGGGCCGTTGGCATTCGCATTGAGCACATGGACAAGTAGATGCATTGTTGCCCATCCATCAAAGACAGTGACGAGACGCAGATAGCTTGACAGCCATGTATAGAACTGCCAGGATGTGAATAGGAATGAGATCGTGTAGATACTTGAAGTAACGCTAAACCGTTAAAGCATGGCTGACCTGCCCATACAAATCCATCGGTCCCGAATATCCACTGCTCACTGCCACCGTTGAGTATGATGTCTTGCCAGGTCACACCAATCATCAGATACGCAGGCGCGGACACCTTTTGACTTTATCAGAAGGGCGAAGTCGAGAGGAGTGGCGGTTGCTACGATGTTTCATTGCAATTACCTAGTGAAGTGGGTCGCTTTGTCGATGTGCAACACTCCCATCGCAAAGCCAATAACCAGGAGCGCTGATCCTATGGTCGCGTATGGGTATCTTCGAACATGGTGTCGAAGCCAATATCCTAAGGGAACGAGGACTATCCAGATAGATAACCATGTTCGGAAGCCCGCCAGAAGGAAACGCAATAAATCGCCGGCAAGCTCCACTAGACGAATGATGTTAGCATGGGGTTCTCTGACAGCAGTGTGGCGGGGATCTCAATAATAGAACCATAGTGGCCCTCATGGGATCGCGATCTTCCCCTCAGGATCACAAACTCAGAGTTCTCGTACCTGTCTGATAGATCCTTGTAAATGAACCCAAGGTCGAGGATGCCGGCCCACGAACGACCTCGATGACATAATCCGAGGGTATCGTCACAGTGGTCGTATGCATCTTCTTCTTCTCCGACGGTGTTGCGACTCTTTGAGTCGTGACGCCCCGAGAGGTGATTGTTCCATCTTCGTTTTTGGAAACAGTGGCCGTCTCGGCTTTTATTTCTTCAGAAACAATCCTGCTGTCAACTGATGTCGCATCACTTTTTTCGTAGGTGGAGCGACCCTCACTGCCCTCACTGGCCTTCTTGCTCGCCTTGCTCTCACCGGAAGTGCTAGTCTCGACGGATGTCGCAGCTTGTTCCTCGGCGGGAAATTCTAGTCTGGTCGACTTCTTCTTGGTTTTTTTACTGTCTCTCTCGGGCGAAGGCTTGTGATTATTTGCGTCCATGAAAGAGACCCACGAATCGTGCATCGCCTTCCTGCGCGCATCAACCTCTTCATCGCCACCACCAGTATCATGATGACCGCCCATTTTAGACGCGATAGTCTCCGAAGCTCGATCAGCTCCTGACGTGAAGCTCTCGGCAACCTTCTCTTTTACGGACTCAATGCTTGAGCCAGCCTTGTCCGCTGCAGACATGATACTTGTAGCGGCCTTATCCTTCGCGGAAGCTATGCTTGCGCCCGCGCCCTCCGCCCCAGACGCGACATTATGCGCTACGGATGCAGCATTGTCGGCGACCCTTTCTACTCTGGACGAGATGCTTGCGGCGATACCGTCCCCTGTAGCTGTGGAGCTGTCATCTTCGTTGGTGCTACTGCTTTCGCTGTAGCTGCTGCTCTCGCTGACGTAGTCCTTTTGGCCGTCATCAGCGCCACGGGAAGCCTCGCCTTGCCCTCTGCCTAGCATTCTAGAAATTGTCTCTATGAGTGTCTCTGTTTTCCTGGTAACAGACGGGGCCTTGGATCTCTGCCCAGACTCATAATTCCCGTCCTCATCATCGATCTCTACCACAACAGTTTCCGTGGTAGACATAGTCCTCACTGTCGCGGCCCCGACAGTAGTGGTCTTGCTCCGTTGCAACTTTTGGTCGGGCGGAGATGCGATGGGGTCGCCAATGGGCCCTGGATCTTGTGAAAATGGCAGTGGCCTCAAAAGGAGGAACAATACGACGAAGACCAAGACGAAGAAAAGGATTGCCCTGGTCGTAAACAACTTAATCCAGCGACCGCTCTTGACATGATCGCTCAGTGTCACACGCTCTTTTAGGTCAACGGCATCTGAGTCGTCGCCGTAGTAATAGACGGTCTGTGCTTTGATGATCTGCGTGATGGCTTCGCCCGAGTTGTAAGCACCATCGCCCGCGTCCCTCTCGCGCATGGGAGTGTAGCGTTTGACGAAGGGCCACATGGCGATTTGGACCTTGGCAGCGCGGCGAACAAAGGGGCGAGGATTCCGTGTCTCATATTCTGTCAGGTGTTCCTGTGTTATAGGCTGGCCTGGGTATTGCTCAGCGAGTTCCGCGTCCCTCGTTGTCTCCCACTTCACTGATTCGGCGTTATCGTACTCGAGAGCCTTTCTCTTGGACCGCTTCCAGATGTCGTCAATAGCATGCTCATGTGAAATGTCATTCATCTCGCCTGGCAGGGGGAATTGGATCCAAAAGACCGATCTGGAAGCCCGCGTGCCGTTGGTAAAATAGGCGGCCTCCGCGACGATATCGTGGAGCCGCTGGTGGACTTGTCTCAACGGCGGCCAAGGGGAGTCTGGCATGTCACGGCCAAGAAGGTTTATCAGGGGAAGCAGGATATCTAGGATTCCCATCGTGATACCTTCAACCTCGTTCCAGAAGTAGTCGGTGAAGAGATCCGTAAGGCCTATGCCCAGAGGTGCCCGATTCGATTGAATGTAGTTCCTCACAGTCTCCGCGCGAGTCCGGTTCCTCTGGTATGCTTCAACCCGGAGTGTTAGTCAACAACAGGCAGCAGTCACGAGGTGAGGTCACGTACAGTTGTCCAGAAAGGCTCTTGCTTTATCATCCGCATCCAGGGCAGCCTTCTGTGCTTCGGTGGCTCCGACCAGAAGAGAGTTGAACACATTGTTTTCAAGCAGCTTGGCGATCACGCCGACCACGAGCTTGACCCGAGACATCTTGTCCAGAAACATGAACTCCCAGTTGTTCGGGTCTTCCGGCTTAGGGTCCTTCACAATTGTCATGTCGCCTCTTGCGACCTGTGATGCAAGGACTATAAACTCGCGAGGTAACTTGTCTAACCAATCGGCTGTCCAGTCTCGTGAGTTCAATTTCCTGATGAGGTCATCCTCTTCGATATTGTCCGCGCCGAAGGTTTCGGAACAAAAATCCCACACGCGCGCAAATAGGTCCTGCGACATTCTTTCAAACCATAGGGAAGGAATCCTGTCCCCATCCTCACCACTATCGAGACGCTGCCGGGGGGAAAGTCTGGAGTTTTGGCGGTCGGCCTCGTCGTAAAATTGAGTCAAAGGGGCAAACCCCAGTTGTGTCGGCTGGTATTTGTCGTTCCCAGAACCCTTCAACTCGTCTATGGAACGCTCCGTAAATCTAGGCGGGGCAGGGTTCTGGCGGGCAGCGTCTCTAATCTGCGCCGTAAGCCTGCCATGCAGGTGCCTGCTTACGTCCGGGAAAGACCTTGGGAATTTGTCTTGAATGTCGGGCCGCTGTTTGTACAGTCGCCATCTGGCCCATTGTGCACTGGGGACGGCTTCAGCAGTCGTTGGAGGGGCATTGGGTCTGTTGGTGTAGTCCACTGGGTCCTCGGGGTCCGGGTTGGCGGGCACAGGGGGAGCACCGTTGGGAACACCACCAGGTGCTGGTGCGCCTGGAGCGGCGTTCACACGAGTGCGTGTGATGACCTGAGTGCCGGACATGATGTCTTGTTCTTGAGAGCCGGCGACGTTTCTTGTCGCGTCTCCCGTTCTGTGCCCTATCTACTCAGCTTCCAGGTTGGCGGCAGTGGGTGTGTCAACGTGAGGGAGTGCCGAGTGTCGTTAGGCTACGACATGTCCCGTCCTCAGAGGGCGGCAAGCAAAGCTGTCGGATGCCTTTTATGATGGTGGATCGACGGTTTGGTGGGCACCTCCTTGGCTTTGTCCCCTTGAAGCTTGAAACCTGTGGGAGGATGTGGCCCGCCCGGTGGCCGGTTTCGCACAGAACAAAGGAACAGGACACGACAATTCCGGTGGGGGGCTGAAAGTATTCAGGAGAGCCATCTGAGCTTCCTGGGGCGACGAAGGTGTGCTTGGGGAGGGGGCACTTGGGGACAATGGGAAGCCTGGCTCAGGAAACAGAGAACCTGAATGCGGAAAATAAAGGTACCACCACACAGTTGGCGGGGTCTCCACTAGTGAAAGAACAGAAGTCGCGATTTCTGCTGCCCAGGCAAAATTGTGTCCAAGACATGGTTGTAACGAGTGAAGAAGGAAAAGGCAAGCAAGTAGTCCATGATGACCTGGTGATGATGCACTCCACTTGGAGTTTTTGGGCCTTGCGGATGGCACAAACACAAACAAGTGGCCCGTGATGGTATGGCCCCAGAGCGAACCTGGTGAGCTTATCCGTGGGAGCCCAACCTGGCCGTCTTCCGAGTCAAATATCACAGCACCGCCCCTGCAACATCTTCAACGATGGCAGAGGGTGGCCTGATACAAGATGCTCCGTTGACTTAGTCAGGCACAAAGTTGAGACACGACAGCACCTGTGAAGGGCAGCTCGGTGGCGGTGTGAGCTGGGCAGGATAGACAGACCCGTCTACCTACTTAGGCATGCTGGGCCGGTTTGCATATCGTCGAGGGTGGTTTGCTGTAGTCTTGAAGTCTTGACTGCTTGCCGTGGTACGACGGCACCTAGAAGTTGTGCCTAATTACATAAGGGGCTGGGTGCGGCTGGACCACCCCGTCTGCCCGTCTGCTGCCTCAAAACAGCGTTTTTGGCTTGGGTGGAAACTCCGAAAATCCGTTTGGTGAGACAAGCGGGACCAGCGAGACGGGACGAGACGGGACGAGAGCACTCTGCCTGGCCCAAGTACCTTGCTCAGTAGGCCAGTTTCTTGAGTGCGGTCCCGTGGGAACTCCCCGGGGCTCAAGTGGCGGACAAGAGGCGCACCTCTACCCAGGCAGGCAGGTACTTGGTAGCTTGGAACCTGGCAAGCTTGTTGGGCAAAATCGGTAGTCCCTTAACTGGACCAAACCTTGGGGTACTCACGAACTTTTTGCAGCCCACCTGCTTCAGCACCCTACCCACCCACCACCGACAACATAAACCACCGCACCACCAACGCCCCTGCCATTATTGCCGACGACAGGTCAGGCGCACCCAACCTCAATCCGTCCGCGCAACCATCGTGCCTTCCCTCGACGGGACCCTCCGATCTGCTGCCACTCCTCCTCGCGACCCCCAGACCCCCAGACGCAAAAGCCGGAAACTCTCCCGCACCCCACCCTAACCAACTCGCACTCCCGCGCATCAACTTCTTTGCGCCAGCCCTCCACCCCCGATCACCCTCCCACATCCCTCGCGACAATCGTCCTGGACCATCCGCCCAAGATGGCTGAGCAAGTCGATCTGTCCACCATCCCTGTCTCGCCCGAGGGCGGCAACAACGCCTCCGCCTCCACCGATGCCGCTGCCTCCTCCAGCAAGCCCGTTACCGTCTTCGATGACAAGGATAACTTCAACGTCAAGCACCCGCTGGCACATGACTGGACCCTCTGGTTCACCAAGCCCCCTTCTGGCAAGGCAAGTCCAAACCCCTGGCCCGCCATCCTGGTTGCCATCTCCGCTAACATCCTGCATCAACAATAGGGCGACAACTGGAATGACCTTCTGAAGCAGGTCATCACCTTCAATTCAGTCGAGGAGTTCTGGGGAATCTATGTAAGCGCCTCTCCCGACCAGGCATCTTCCTAGTCCTAGCCACGCAAAAAGCCAGAGCTGACCCTGTTGCACAGAACAACATCGCACCGGTCTCTGACCTTGCCCTCAAGTCCGACTATCACCTCTTCCAGGCCGGCGTTCGGCCAGAGTGGGAAGACCCCCAGAACAAGCACGGCGGCAAGTGGTCCTACCAGTTCAAGGAGAAGCGCAGCGTCAACATCGACGAGCTGTGGCTGCATGTCATGCTGGCCGCCATTGGCAACACGCTGGAGGACGAGGAGGATGGCGAGGTCATGGGCGTTGTTGTCAACGTCCGCAAGGCCTTCTACCGTATCGGCGTCTGGACCCGTACCGTCGGCAAGAGCATACCCAACCGTGGCGACGGTGATGTGGCCGGCGGCAAGGGCCGGACCCCCGAGAAGGGCAAGGAGGTCCTCATGACCATTGGCCGCCGCGTCAAGGAGGTCCTGAAGCTGCCTCCCAGCGAGATGCTCGAGTTCTCGAGCCACACCGAGGCTGCACACGCTGGCAGCACGCGGGCCAAGGCTAAGATCACGGTCTAATTCTCCCCGTTGTGCTCGGGAAACAAACCGCCAAGGATTTGCTACGGCATCCGTACTTGACCACGAGCCATTGGCGGGTGCAGCTGTTGGGGCTCTGCCTGCCTACGCAGGATAGCGCCTCGGTGAAGGCGGAGATGCTTCAATGAGGCAAAGTGGCATTTCCACGAGAATACCCTGCATGGATTTTCTTTTTTTGGTAGGCCAAAGTCAGGCTGAGAGAAAAAAAGCATTGCATTTTAGGAGAATACCGGACGAGTTATGGGTCCATATCGCCCATCACGAAATGAGGCGTTGATTATTTTGGTAGCTTTAGAGAGCCCAAACGGAAACAGATTTGCGAAATGATTCCCCGAGATGACGTCTTCAATATCGGCTCATGGTGTGTTCTAATGCCTACCTACTTAAGTAGGTAGTCTTGGCGTTCAGAGGGCCAACCGTACTCAGTACTGTGCTCCTATCAAGGGTTGTTTGTCTTACAGGAAACGTGCTCAGCCGATGCGCCGGCGTCCTCGTATAGGGTTCTATGAGCTTGTTTTCTCTATACCAGCCTTGATGCGACCCCCCTATATAGTGGTGTTTGATATACAGTACAATAGTCTCCACAGTTGTCATCAAATCTGGCAACAGCCTTCCTCTATCTTGTCTTTGACCCCCTTTCACATCACCCACGACGATCTCAGAACTGGCCATCCCGGGTCCTACATCTCGTCCCCGCTGAAGTCGTCCTGGAAGACGGCCTTGACGAGCTGCTTCTTGTTGATCTTGCCCATGGCATTGCGCGGGATGTGGTCGACGACGCGTAGGACCTGCGGGATCTTGTAGTTGACGAGGCGGCCCTTGAGCGCGCGGCGCATATCCATGGGCGTCCAGCGGCCACCTTCGGGCCCGGCCTCCTTATCGAGGATAACGACCGCGCCGACCTTCTGGCCCCACTTGCCCGACGGCACAGCCAGCACGGCTGCCTCGGCCACCTCGGGTAGCGACAGCAGCTCGCGCTCGACCTCGAGTGCCGACACCTTCTCGCCGCCCGACTTGATGATGTCGGCCGACTTGCGGCCCAGGATGAAGTACATGTCCGACGAGCCCGTCCAGTCCTGGCTCGGCAGCCGGTCCGCCGCCTTGCCCGCCGTCGGCACCGGCCGCCGCACCGCCACATCGCCCGTCTTAAACCACTTCCCACCCCCGGCATTGTCAGCCACAAACTCGGCTGCCGTGGCCTCCGGGTTGCGCCAGTACTCCTTGAACACGGTCGGCCCGCGAAGCTGGATCTCGCCGGCGCGCTCGCGTCCCTCGGCGTCCGTCTCGTCGCCGTGGGCAATCACCTCGCCCGAGTCGACATCCACGAGACGGGCCTCGACCGAGGGCAGAGGCCATCCCACGGACCCGTCGACGCGGTCGGAAAAGTCCAGCCCGCATGAGAGCGCCATGCCGACCTCGGTCATGCCGAAGCGCTCCAGGAGCACGTTCCCGTGAGAGAGGTCCTTCCAGGCGCGCTTGACGGGCGTCGGCAGCGCCGCGGACCCAGATATGCACAGGCGCAGGTTGGCCGGGGAGATGGCCTCGCGGGTGGCGGCTTGCATCCGTGGCGAGAGCGATTTGTGGGTGGCGAGCAAGCGGGAGTAGACTGTCGGTACCACCGTGAAGAACGTGATCTTCTCTTGTGGCCCGTCTGAGTGAGTGTTGTTGCCATTGGTGGTGCCATTCGTAGTAGCATTGCCACGGGCGTGGCCGTTGACGCCATTAGTGGTGCCATTGACACCGTTCTCAGCGGATCGGCCGTTCGTCTCGGCGTGCTGCTCGTGCTCGTGCAGGAAAGGAGCGGCGAAGCGTTTCCACACGGCGTCCGCATTAAAAGGATAGAGGAACTCGATGCTGCTTCCGGCAAAAAGAGGGGCGAGAATCGCATTGATGGTTCCGTGGATGTGGTGCAGCGGGAGCACGTGCAGCAACCGATCCGCAGGTGAGTACTCCCAGGCTTTGAGCAGGGACCGCGCCTGAGCGGTCATGACGGACTGCGGGATCAGCACGCCCTTGGGTCGGTTGGTCGTGCCCGAGGTGTAGAGCATCATACCGGCCTCGCCTGGGTCGTCACCTTGCAAAGATATCGACTCGCGCAGGGACGAGCCCGGGTGCTTAGGGATCTCCACGTGCCTCGGCGGCGACACCAGGGGCAGGCCGAGGGTCTCCTCAGCCTTGGCGGAGAACTTTGCCGACGAGAGCAGCAGCAGGGCCTCGCTATGCCCTAGAATGTATTGCAGTTCTGGTGCTGGGAACGCTGGTGACAGCGGCACGGCTATGGCCCTGGCTGCCAGAACCGCGAGCCATGTGACTATGAAGGATGTTCAGCGCAAGTTCGTGAAGGGCGGTGGAACGAACTATATCGAGCTTACCTACATAGTCGTAACTGTTCTCGACGAGGAAGGCTATGCGCTCGCCGTGGATGTCGTCCCTCCCTGCGGCTTCAAGCAGCCGGTTGCGCATGCGGCACACATCGCCGAGCAGCTCGCCGTACCTGAAGGTCCTCTGGGATGCCGAGTGGACCACCACGGTCGAGTGTGGGTCATGGCCCGAGATTGCCTCGAAGACGGGCAGTCGAGGCAGTGTCGATGCCATCCTGGAGAAAACAAAGCCGAGCCGGTACACAGGGCTGGGCCGTGGGTGGTTGTGGCGGTGGGGAAGCCCGTGGCCCAGACGACGAGGAGCTGGTGGTGACGTTGAGATGCTGCAGCTGCAGCTGCTGCCGAGTAGTCTCCTTGTGGTCGCGGACAGCCTCAGTGAGGGGCCAATGCTCATCATGAAGGGGAGGGAAAAGGTGGGCAACAATCTGGGATAAGACCGGGGATATATCAGACAATCGAGTGCGCGAGTGACTGGCTGCCAGACTGCCAGACTGCACGCTCCGGTTCTCTTTCCTGTCAGGGAACTCGGACGATCTGACAAGGGTAGGTCAGGGTTTGGTGTGCTTTGGAGTTGCCCGTTTGCCATGTTACGCTGCCCGATCGGCCAGTCGGGCCCATTATTTGAGACGCCGATGCCGATACCGACCAACCACTCTCCCAGCTGCCGTCCGACCTGCCGCAGCCCCCAGGCCCCCAGGCAGCACCTCTGCCGGACCCCCACCGCCTGCAAGAACGGCTGCAACACTGCAGCCCTGGGGGTTGCAATAGATCTCTCGGTTCCTGACGCCCAGATCAAGGGGTTTCATGGTACGTGGTATATTGAAACTTGACTGACATGCACACATTTTCTCAGCATGCACGCAACATGGCCGTGGCATTCCCTGTAACTCAGAATACAGGTCTTTGGACTGAGCATTCCGGCGACCGGGCAAGACTCGGGATGGACTGCCGAAAATGTTCCCAATGTCAAGCTTCCCTCCCGAATCTTCGGCATCCAAAACTATAAGACGGCCCCAACAGTTGGGCTCTTGTTGGCCGTGTCATGCGCGTCCACACAAACGCGCGCGCCGATCAGGCCCTTCCATTGAGATCATGAGCTTTCTTGGCTACAATAATTTCAATAATTGCAAACATCTCAAAACAACAGCAAAAGGTTCATCGAATCTCAGGGTTTGCGAATTTGATAAGGGTATCTGACCTGCCAAAAAAATAAAATGAAAATAAAAAGTGATGCCACGCCACTGCGGCCACACTACAATGTTGGTAAACGTGTATCCCGACTCAGAGAAGCAACCCAGCACCAAACTGTAATGAAAAACAGGCTACTTTGTAGTTCCTGGGGTCGAACCGGGCGTCTTCTTTGACAAGAATTTCTTGAAGTGCTCCACGTTCCTTTTGCTCCGTTGCTCTTTTGTCTCCCCCACCCGTGGCTTGAACAAATCCAAACTGGCGCGCGATCTGTTAGATGACGCTGGGCTCCTTCTGGCTCCTATGCTCGGGCCGATCGATGTTCGGGACGAAGTGCTTTCGTTCTTATGGATACGCCCCCGACCCGCTCCATCATGTTTCAAAGCTGATGCTGCCTGCTCTTGCACGGGGCGCGCCTGAGAGGCCACGGGGCTTCTTGCCACAGACTGCCGAGGAGCTGGTGGCATGGGCTCTTCGGACGGCCGATCAGGCGTGTCGGGTATCTCATATACTGCTTCTGCCTGTGTCATGAACGCTGGCTCGTCGTTGTTTGCCGGTTTCGACGGTGGTAAGGCTGCTTTCTTGACGGGCGGATCAAATGACTCTGACTCGTCTTCAGAGGATTCGGCCTGTGACAGAAATGCTGGCGAGTTCTGTCTGGCCGCCCTTTTGGAGGGGGCATATGTGGCTTTGTCATTGGCTGACCTATTGACACTCGCAGTAACGCTCGACGGCGACGATGACTGCAGTGTCGCTAGAAACTTCCTCTGACTAGATCCCAACTTGAGAGCTGAACCAGCAGTTGTGGCTGCGTCGCGGCGACTCTGGCTCTGGTTCGGGGACTTCCTGCTCGGAGGTGTCCCCGCAATCCCTGGGGTGGCCTCTCTCAAAGGGGCGCCTCTGTCCTGAACTGTTTCTGGCTCCTGAGGGTTGAATGTAGAGTGGGTTCTGAACATATGAGAGCCCTCTGATACAACTATATCTTCTGGGGGCGAGCTGTCTGAATGGGCTTCCTCCACTGTTTCGGTGTATTGCCTTTTTCGAGAGGAAGCAGGCACTATCGTGGTCGGTCCGTCTGTCTCCTTGGGGTCGTGATCTCCAACCACTGCGGGTGCTATGGCTGCCACTGGCCCAGGAGAAGAAACGTGGAATTCTGGCGAGCACCGAGGTTCAGAAATATCAGAATCTTCTGGTCCTAGATGCTCTTCTCGGCCCAGATCCCCATCATTTGCCACGTGCTCATCACCATCGTGCTTCAAATTGGCTTCATCGGTCGATTCAGGAGGCTCGGAGTCGGCCAGGATGGATTCCCTGACTTGGCGCACTGCGATTGAATGTGCGTTCAAGATTGCAGACAAATTGTCTCTTCGGATGATCTTCTTGGCGTAGACTATGTCTTTGACATTCTCATTATACCAATGTATGGGCTTGAGTACCTCCTTGTACTTTCTTCGCTGCGCCTCTTCGTAGTAGTCCAGGTACAGCGTCGAATTCGCCCGAACGAAATCGTCGTACAGGAATTCTGGGAGTGCGCGTTCAGACTCTAACCTTTTAACAGCTAGGCACGCCCTGATGAAGGCCCTGGTGCTCTCTTCATAGTCCGGATACGCCGCCCTGAAATCCTCGTATGGCGTGCGATGAGGCACGGTGTCTTCACTGTTGGACTGGGGTGATATGACAACGTCCAGATGAGCTGGCTCAGCGGACGGCTGCGCCGGGGCCGGGGGCATGGACCATCCGGAACCCATGTGTCGAAGGATGTTTTTCTGCTGTGTGGGAGTATCGCGAGGGCGGCCTTCGTAGGTTGGTGTGCAATTAGATGAGCTTTGTTCGTGTGGCCCCCCTGCAGACGCCGCCTGCAGAGCACCACCAGGCTGATGTTGGAGCACAGCAGCCTGCGAAGGGAAAGATGGCATGGAGGCACTCGCGCTTGAAGTGTTGGAACCGTCATGGGTTTCCATGGGTTGCGGCCTCGGCTCAAACTCAAGAGGTGGCTCTTTTTGCCCCGTTGTCTCATATTCTTTGTCCGAAGGCTCCATCTCCTCTACACGCCTTCGCTTGTTGAAAGGGCGGACTGTTATACTTTCGGCTTGGCGTGTGTTGCTTAGAGTGGTTAAAACAGCTTCAGCCTGAGCAGATGGAGGTGTAGCGGCTGGCAGAGTCGACTGCGTTGCCGCTACTGGATTTGCACCACGGTTGACTGGAGGCTGTGGTTTCCCGCCAAGGGCCGAGAGAGGCTCATACGGCACTGTGTCACTCTGGGCCGAGCTACTTGGGGTGCCACCACCCAAGGAGATGTGTGGGTATTTCCTCTTCAGAAGATCCGGCTGAGAAGGCAGCTGGTCTCTGAGTGATGAGGTGAGCTCTGGCTGTTGGGTAGGTTGGACCAGGCGATCGCCAGGCGGAGGACGAGGCGGAGATGGAGACCAGGACATCTGCGTACCCCAATTATCGCCGACCTGGTCTTCCTGGCTGGCTCGAGGGCTTGACGGCGGCTCGCTCTTGATCAGCTTGGGCGGTGCGCTTGATCCAGCCGAGTGGGGCCGAGCGAGACTGGGTTGTTGTGACGGCGGCCTCGAATGTTTGCGTGCATAGAAGTCTTTGACATTCTGGAGGACCTCTGGAGGGACATTGGCCATGCCGTGGGGCCCCTGGCTGAGGCTCTCGGACCAGGCGTCTGACCTCTCCAGCAAGTGCTTTTGCGCGCCTGGGATCTGAACATAGCGGCGCCTGATCAGGCGATCTGCCTGGACAAAGTCCTGAGAGAAGGCGCTGGTCATGTTTGTCAGGCGCGAGGGGCGTTCCACTTGAATCATTCGAGGGCCGCCAACAGCAGCGTCGGCATTGTCGCGTCAGGGCCAAACCATCGGCTTCTGGTAGATCACGGGCGTGAGTGACAAAGTCAACGCGACCGATAGAGTGAGGCGCGTCAGAGCAGGCGCGATGCGTGCCCCTGCAGCTCTTCCCAGCGGGACCTCCACTCGCTGTCATGTGCTTCTTGGCTTTGCAAGGTTTGTACGTTGCACGTTGTACTCGGTACTTGGTACCTACCGAAGTGCCTAGGCGGACTCGACAGGTGAGTAATATGTAGTGTACTCGGGGCCGCATGCCCAGCAGGCCTAGGCCCAGTAAAACTTGTCGGTGACTTCCCCAATGACGCAGCAGCCTCATGCCGATCCTTGCCCCGCGTTACGGTCGCACTAGGGGAGAGGAAGGACGACGTTATGGGCGGCTTATTACGGTTCCCGTCCCGCCCTGTCAGCCCAGTACATAGGAAGACCACTGGACTGCCCAACTAATCGTTAGTGCCCGGGTACAGCTTCCTTGACCTCGACCAGATCCAAACGGGCCTCCATCCCTCCTCGTGCGGCAACCTTGGAAGCCAGGCTCACACGCGACCTCCGTTTGTGCATTTCTCACCCAACTCAAACACGGCCGCGTCCCAGGCGTTGCCACCGCCCCTCACTCTCTCGCATATCAGCCAAACACATTCATCACCCCTGCGACCCGCTTCTACGCCTGCGCCCTGACGACAACATCATGAAGCTGTGAGCAGTCAGGCAGTCAGTCTACTCCATTCGCTAGGTAGACACGGACGGCTGGGGAAACGGCGTTCTGAACACGCAGTGCTCCCTCGCATTCCCAGTGATTGGTCTGATGTGAGCCTATTGATTCCCAGTTCTATTCCTCCCTCCCCACCACGACAAGCATGTGAATCCAGACACTGACGTAGCATGCGTGGTTGGTAGCGAGTGACCCCCGTCATTCTATCCTCTCCTGAAGCGACTCTTCTCCGATCTTGGAGCCATGAATATCTGTTTGCCGATCATCCACGTCGTTCGGTTGCCTTGACCTTCGCAGGACACCTGGTGAGGAACCGTCCTAGACACGCCCGGCCGAACAGCCCTCCAATTCAAAGCACCGACAACTGTTGTATCAGTTGTGATTCCAAATGACGAGATGGATCCCACATATCCGCCAAGGACACCTCTGTCCCCCGCGGCCGCTTCTTCGTTCAGCGACCTCAGATCTCGCCGTGACTCTCTCAATTCCATTTCGGCTACTTCTCAAGTAGATAAAGAGCAGATGGCACAGGCGCTAGACAAGATACATACCTCTGCGAGCCAGTCCGACGTCTTGACCACCTTCAACGACTTCGCCCCGCCGCCCGCCTCCGCCCCCACAGAAGGCAAGGGCTCTCCCGGAGAGCTTGTGCATCAGGGTATCAGCGGGCTTTACAGTCGCTTCAAGGAGGCTGTTGGTGTGGGCGGAAAGGCAGCCCTGCAAGAGCCAGAACTGACGGAGCGCAGCGAAGGGCTGTCCAAGAAGGGCAAGACGTCTCTGGGGTCTTTGAAAAGTGCAGAGGGCAGCGCGAGCCAAGTTGCAGACTATCCACCCAGTGCAACACCATCGCATGCGCCAGCCCCAGCGGAAGGCGTCTCGCAGCCTCCACAATCATCCAAGGCATCCTCGATTGCAACGGTTAGCACAGCAAAGAGTGCGCCTAGCCTCCCGAAAATAGTCAAGGGCGCTGCACCCTCGGTCGCCGCTACCGCCGTGGCACCAATCACAGTCAGCGCCTTCAAGGACAACGATGCGACGCGCGGGGTTACGAGTCGTGTCGAGGAGACAGGCCGGCGGACGACACAGATGCCTGAGCTCAAGACCACAAGCGCGTCCAGGGGCTCGAGTATTTACGATCCATCAGATGCTAGGAATTTCTCCCACGGGGATCTCCTTACCAGCCCTAAGGGTGCGCGGAGAGACAGCTCATTCAGTCACGACGCTGCCTCGGATGATGCGTCCTTGGGCCATGTCAAGTCAAATTCAACTGCTGGTGGGCTTGAAATCCCTCATGCTCGTCAACCAAGAGACAGTCTCAAGAAACCGGCCGTAATAGATCGGATAAGTCGGTCCAGGGCATCAGCCGGAGGTCATTCGAGATCATCGTCTGTAGAAGGTACCGCTGAACCAAGCCCCATCAATATGTCGGCGCATGGATCTGTTTACCATGAGTCCTTCGGTCATAATGAGAGACCAGAACAGATCCACGGCGGCGGCATCAAGATCCCAGGCACAACCGCTGTTGAGGGGCCACCTGGAGGTGTCAGCAACCGTTTGGAGATGATGAGAAAGCAAGTCCTCAGCAAGGAGTTTTGGATGGCAGATGAGACGACCAAAGAATGTTTCCAGTGCGGCGCGCCCTTCTCGGCTTTTCGGCGAAAACATCACTGCCGAACCTGTGGCTGCATTTTCGATTCCAAGTGTACCTCAACTATATCTGGCCAAAGATTCGGTGTTGCAGGTAATCTGCGAGTCTGCAAAACCTGTCTGGATGTCATAAACAGCAGGTATGACAGCGGTTCTGATTCGGACAATGACTCCTATCTGCCTGCTATTTTTCGGTCAAATCCTCTGAAGCCTGCACCTTTTGCCAAGGCAAACATGGACGACAACATGAGCATTTCTGAGAGGACAGAGGATCATGACGATAACCGGATGGCGACAGCTCCAATGATGGCAATCCCGGCCATGAGGAGAACCGGGGGTGATTCCGCAAACAGACGGTCTGCTATTCTCGAAATTGACGCCGCTCCACAACTGAGTCGGCCGAGCTCATCGCGCTCGTTGAGGTCGTTGGCCGCAAACAGGCCGCAGTCTTCGGGTCATAGGAGGCACCATTCAAAACATAACCTGCTGAATCGCCTGAAGGGCTCCCCAGTACAAGACGACTCCGCGCCATTCCGCAAGTCAGCCAACGAAGAACTTCAGAGGAAACCCAAGCTGCCGGCCTTCCATGACGACAATATTATTGACCCTGAGCTTGCCCCATACATGTCTGACGAGTCGAGCGGCGATGAGCAGCAGATGAGCATATTTGCCACAATGAACAGCAGTGATATCACGCCTTCTAGTCTCGACCCTGACAAGTCAAATTTCGGTCCATTTCTGAGCGCCGGTCGCAGGCACAAGGCACGAGGAGAGAAGAGCATCAGCGGGTTGAGCTTCACCAGCCGTGGACCACCAGATGACAGTAATGCCGGTGTCACGGTGATCAACCATGGGAGGCCAGGCCGACGGAGGAATATGAGCACAACGAGCAATACCGCTCATCATCTTCGATCGCCTCGGCCGAGATCTGGCATATTCAGAGGTCCAGGGGCGTCTACAGAGTCGCTTGCGATATTTGACCCGACCACACCCATTGAGCCGACGTCACTCATGAGGAGCAATACCATTCGGAAGAAGTCAACACAAGACGATGAACTACCCGCAGCCAGCTTGCAGCATGTCCAGACACTTTTTGGGCAACTGCTTCAAGACAATGGCATCCAAAATCCCCTTGCATGGGAAAAGGCACTGATACCGATACTTGTTCGATGCTCAAATGATGTAGACCCTGACACCCGAGTTGGCGACCTGATGGACATTAGACACTATGTCAAGCTTAAAAAGATACCAGGAGGGAAACCGGGCGACACAAGCTACGTCTCTGGGGTCATATTCACCAAGAATCTTGCTTTGAAGAGCATGCCCAGGCGAATACTCAATCCTCGCATTGTCCTCGTGTCCTTTCCTATAGAGTACCAAAGACACCAGCAACAACACTTCATGAGCTTGCAACCGGTTATCGAGCAAGAAAAGGAGTTTCTGCGGATGGTGGTGAATCGCATCATTAACCTTCGACCTCATGTCCTCCTCGCCCATAAGTCTGTCTCAGGAGTCGCTCTCCAGTACCTCTCGGAGGCTGGTATAGCTGTCGCATACAATGTCAAGCTTGCCGTCATCGAAGCCGTGTCTCGGTGCGCCAAGGCGGACATCATCGAAACGTTGGACATGCTAGTCTTGCCTACACAAGTTGGTCAAGCGGGTGGATTTGAGGTCAAGACCTTCGTGAACAACAGCTTTCCAGGTCGGAAGAAGACATACATCTTTATCTCCGGCTGCAAGAAAGAGTTGGGCTGTACCATTGCTCTTCGAGGTGCCTCGACAGAAGTGCTCAGCAGGATGAAGAGCGTCACAGAGTTCATGATCTACGTCGTCTACAACTTGAAATTGGAAGCCGCTCTGCTCCGAGACCACTTCGTATACATGGGAACCGACCCAGATACTGCTCCGACACCATCGAAGGATGGCCTTGGTCAAAGCCTCAGATCGCTGCCAAGTTTTGAGAACAAGAGCGTGTTGGGGACTTTGTCAACCAATGGCGACCAACCTGCGGACAGCGAGCAGAACACGCTATCTCAGGCCGACTCGGACCCAAAGACAGAGGAAAGCCAGCATTCTGATCCCATGCCGCCGCAGCCCCCTGAGAAGACCCCAAGTATGCTTTCACTGCACTCCGCTCATTCAACACATGACAGTCACATTCCCGAGGATGTACCAGCACCGCAATTCTACAGCGAAATGGTCGCGAAATATGAGACCAAAATCCTATCTGCTTCGCCATTCGTCAAATTCACGCAGCCGTACCTGCTCGTCAAAGCTCGAGAGCAAGAGCGCCGGTTGGTGTATCTGAAGCGGCTACGCGACCAAGACATGATCGAGGAACTAGGGGAGAACGAGAAGGCCAAGCCACAAAAGTTCCAACTCATCAAGCCCGAAATGGTGCACAAGATCGGACAGAAGGCTCCTCGACAAATAATGGAAGTGCTACACGCGGTCCACGACGCCGAGTATGACAAGGCTCTGTACAACTATAGAACACAGACTCGGCAGTGGGAAAACTTCATTGCAGGTGCTCTCGACCTATTTGACCCTTATTCGCACCAGAACATTGTCGTCCTTTACTCCGTCATCTGCACAGAGACGAAAATCCCGTGCTCTGAGCCCGGGCTGATCGCGTTTGGCTTCTACCACGACGACCCTGCCGACAACATGGACCCGGATTGCACCTTGGGCCAATATATTGAAGATCTCTGCGGAAGTGCTGACTCTATCTGCCATGCCAATGGCTGCGATCGTCAAATGGCTGAGCACCATCGTACGTATGTCCACGACGAAGCACACATCACTGTGTTCATCGAGAAAAACGCCCCACTGCCGTTCGACCCGACCGTGCTGAAAAAGGGCGAGGCGATACTGCAAGATGGGGAAGATCCAGACGATCCCATCTACCTCTGGAGCTATTGCAAGATTTGCAAGAGAGACATGGGTTTCGGATCTTTATCGCCCACTGCGAGGAAGTATTCTTTTGGAAAGTACCTCGAGCTATCGTTCTGGGGCCGAGGACTGAAGTGTTGGCCAGACCTGGAATGCCCGCACGACTATCAGAAGGAGCACATCCGTTATTTCCACTACCACGACACGTCTATGAGGGTCCACTTTGATCCTATCGACCTCCTTGAGATCATTGTACCACGCACCCGCCTGACGTGGAAGGTTGATAACGATTTGAGGCTTAAAAACGACATCTTCACCAAGGAAGAGCAACGGTGGAACCGCTTCATGAATTCTGTCAAGACTAGATTGAAGAGCATCCGGATCGACAGCGTCCTCCCTGAAAAAGCTGACGCCTGCAAAGCTGAAATCGAGAGACTCGGTAAGAAAGCCTCAGAGGACCAGCCAAGGATGATTCGCGAACTGCAAGCCGCCTACATCAATTCAGCATACTACGAAGTCATCCCACTCAATCGCGTTGTCCGCACAATGATAGAAAGGGTTGCAGAGTGGGACTCTGCCTTTGCCAAGTTCGAGGCCGATTTCCTATCTGACAAGGATGTCAGGCAGATCACCATCAATCAGTTGAAAAAGATGTTTTCTGACAACGACTCCAAAGAGTCCCTGCCAGTTTCCGCAGATGGTACCAGCATTGCTTCGGCGGACACGGACGAGAAGACTTCGCCACCGACGACTCAGAATTCAGTCATCGAGATGAATGAAAAAGCCCAGAGTGAGCCTCACTTACCTGCTACTTCACCGAAAGCGGGTGAGCTTCCGGATAAGGATGAATCCTTACGGGAGGAAACCAATGCTGGTTCTGTGGATATCGAGGCCCCAAAGCCAGAGGGCAATGATCCCAGCCCAACATCGTCTGGCCATCCCGTTCCAACGAAGGACGAGGAACCAGCGCGGGATCGTGCGGCTGAGCGAACTGGTAACCTTGAGGTTGGGGACTATGATAGCAAGCAGGAATCAGCTGTTGAAGAGTCCACCATGCCTCAGGTGGACGTTGACGAGACCAAGGCAGACGCTCCGCCGTCTACGGAAGCAATGGACATCCCTGAAACGCTACCAGCCACCCAGATTCCCACCCCAGTGCATTCCAAGACACCTTCCCGAAATCATTCTCGGTCCACTTCTTTGCGGCCCGATTCCTCGCTCTCACTCACAGAGAAGGTCGAGCATTTACGGCGCCAGCAACGAGAGGCTGTTGCAGCAGAGCCAAGCGGTGGAAGAGAAGGCAAGGATGCTTCGAAGGTTCCAGAAAAGGGTCCATCTCGTAGGGCGGGATTGACAGTGTCGCCTCCGATCACTCGTGCCATTTCTCAGCCAATAGGTGTGCTCCCTAGAACGCAGACGGGCATTAGCAGGCCACTTCAGGCCAATGTGCCAAAAAGTGCTGAGCTTCCTGCAGGAGGTGACTCACGGCGTATTTCAACTGCCGAATCCACCAAAAGCGACAAATCCAAGCTATCGGATCGGTTTGGACTTGCAGCTCTCAAGACCAAGAAAGCCGGGGGATCCTCCATCCCGCGGTACGTTCACAAAAGGAAGGAGACCAAGGTTTCGAATCTGGCCCGACATTTCGAGCAATTGAGCCGTGAGTTTGAGAAGGAGCGCATCCGGGACCGCAAGCAGAGAGCCGCCAAGCTTCAATCATCTCGGGCTTTCTTGCCACGTACATCGGCGAAGGCGATAGTAGAAGTCTATGACGACGTAGATCAGGCCGTCTTGGAGCCAGGGCCATCGGATGATGATCATTTGCAGGTCAGTCAGCAGAGCCAAACAAAGATGCCAGATTTCAATCCGGATGATCCGCCAACCGCACCCGAGTCGGAAAGGACGTCCGATGAGACTGTTGGGGATAACGATACGGCTGGTTCGGCCGAGCCCATCTCTCAGCCTGACAGCACCAGCACTGAGCATGAAAGCGAGAAGAAGCCGGCCAGTCCAGTTGGTTCAGACGACGAGGCCGAGGGCGTGGCCGGCAGCGATGCCGAGGGTTCACTTCTCGAAGATATCTTGCCCGATGTGCAAGAAATTGCAGACTCCCTGGACTCGAGCGAGGAGATACCTCTCGAGTTGCCCAAACACCAAAAGACCAGCCTCATGAAGATGCTCACAACGTTCTGGGCCGAACGCTCTGCGAGTGGCTGGCCCCAGCTTGACTACCCCATGAACTTTACGGACCACATCTTCACTGATTCTGATGTCATTGTGAGGGAAGACGAGCCAAGCTCTCTTATCGCCTTTGCCTTGGGATCCGAGGATTACAAGGCCAAGCTAGCAGTCATTCAAAGGCAATGGAAGATGAGCGAGCAAAAGGACAGCGAAGGCGAGGCTTTCAGCGACACCAAGTCTCTCGACCCGTCGGAGCCTGGTGACGAGTTCATGGGTGAAGAGGAACTAGAGAAAAGCCTGTTGCGCGCTACAGGTACGCATTTGAAGTACCAATTCACTGAAGGCTCAGCGAAAATGCTCTGCAAGATCTTCTACGCGGAACAGTTCGACGCCCTACGCAGGAAGTGTGGTGCGGCAGACCGTATCATCGAGTCACTGTCGCGTTGCCTTAAATGGGACTCCAAAGGCGGCAAAACCAAATCAGTGTTCCTGAAGACTCTCGATGATAGGCTGGTGATGAAGTCGCTCTCACCGATCGAAACCTCCGCATTCCTGCGCTTCGCCCCAGCATATTTCAACATCATGGCTGAGGCCCTATTCCATGACCTACCTTCGGTGATCGCCAAAATGCTGGGCTTCTTTCAAGTGATTGTCAAGAACCCTGCCACCGGTACGGAGATCAAGTTAGACCTGCTGGTGATGGAAAATCTGTTCTATGACCGCTCGCCAACGCGAATTTTTGATCTCAAAGGATCAATGAGGAACCGCAAGATACAGTCCACCGGCGAGCAGAACGAGGTCCTGTTGGATGAGAACATGGTCGAGTACATCTATGAAAGCCCACTCTTCGCGAGGGAGCATAGTAAGAAGCTTCTCAGGGCATCTGTAAGTCTTATCCCGCATTCAGGGCTCTGGCCATCCAACGGCCCGCAGGGTTTTGTTGAAGAAGCTGACACATCAACAGGTCTGGAACGACACGCTCTTCCTGGCAAGACAGAATGTCATGGACTACTCGCTCATGATCGCAGTCGACGAGTCCCGTAAGGAATTGGTCGTAGGCATCATCGACTGCATACGTACCTACACGTGGGATAAACGGCTGGAATCGTGGATCAAGGACCGTGGGTTCGCAGGAGGTGGGAGGAACAAACCAACGGTCACGTCACCAAAGGAGTATAAGAGCAGGTTTAGGGAGGCCATGGCGAGGTACATACTGCAGGCGCCGAATTGTTGGCACCATTTTGGCGTTCCTGGCCTCGGTTCGATTGAAAGGGGTTTGCTAGAAGGGCCAAGATCGGCCTTTGAAGGCGATGCTTGAGGCAGAAAGCTTTGTACTCATGGATGCATGTGTGGATATGGGCAGATAGGAGGACCACGAGAACGACTGCATGAAATGGGGCGTGTGGCATATTCACAGGCGTAAGGGGCTTACTATGATACCTAGGAGAGCATAGCCAGCGAGTAATGGCATTCTGGTTTGTTCCCGCGGAGAGACTGTGTGCACAGCAGGGGCTGCCGTCTCCCTTGTGGTGACTGGCCAGATGGATGTAAGTGAACGCGAGGTTCATGACAGATCTGCTTTCAAAATTGGGCACACTCACTCTGGGGTCAACCCCGCGAATGTCGATACCCGCAAGGGAGATACTAGTACTAGGCGGGGTTCCTATTCATGCCCATGCTCTTGTTGCAACTGTATACGGTCGGCATGCTCCTGCGGCATACGGCCACCAAGGCCACATCTCGTAAGAAGCTCCCTGTATTTCTACTATTACCCCTGCATTCTGCAGTACTACGTTCACGTCGGATGGGTCGCCCGAAGCGGCAAGTATTTTCACGGCGCATTCTTGATCACTGTTTGCTAGGAACCATTCAACGAGGAGTGGTTCCTTCTTGCCGCGGAAGAAGAACTGAGGAGCAGTCTCAATACCTACTAAGTAGGTACTCTGCAAGGTCTGGTTTGTGGCGCACTCAAACACTTTGCTTCTGTCTCGGTCAGCTTTTGGGTCGCATGGCGCGCGGTGCGCATGCCATCAGTTGACACAGTCGCACCGCGTCAGGGGTCTCGTTGGCGTGAGGAGCACAGCGTCGATTATACCCTATGATTCCTCATAAGGGCCTGACACCGTGTCCCCTGCCTTTCGGGTACTAAACAGGGTTGGTCACCTTGTAAGAAGAGCGCGGTCGAGCACCAAGTCGCCTCACCTAGATCTGTCAGTCAGCTCTAGACGGGCGCAGGGGGGACTCCGGGGCTAGTTGTTGCGGCTGTAAGTCTCTGTGAGCCAGATCAATCGGGTGACTGGAAGGCGCCACCCTGTTTGGCCTGTTCTTAAGACCCAGGCTTGGGGCTTTGGGACAAGTGCTTGTTTACTTTCGACAACTGGTATGTTGCAAAAAGCCTGACATCACAAGAACAGAAAACAACACGAACAACAAGAACAACAACAAGAACAACAACAAGAACATAAATCAACATGTTCAACCTACCAGATGGCACAACTTGCCTCCTCCTCGGCGTGGCTCTTCACCTTCTAGCTTTGAGGAAGGGAGAATGGGATCTTGCCGTCTTCAAGATGTTGGCTGCGGCAGCAGTCGGACCTTTCGCACTTGCGGTATGGCAAACCGCCCTTCACGGCGTGACTTTCTCATCGGCGCTCCATAGATCATACTATCTTGGCGGAACCTTGATTTCGGGCATATACCTCAGTATGACCGTCTATCGACTCTGGTTTCACCGGCTGAGGCGTTTTCCTGGGCCGTTCCTGGCCCGAATCTCAAGTTTCTACATCACGGGAGTGGTGTTCAAGGGACATCAAGAGTACTTAGAGCTCGACAGACTGCATAAAAAATACGGTGAGGTGGTCAGGATAGGTTTGTGAGACCATCCGGGAATAAGGAGCAAGATCGATACTGACAAGAACCGATCTAGGCCCGTCTGCCCTGTCCATCGCCGACCCGCAAGCCCTCCACGCGGTCCACCTCAACCCCAGGTGCCTCAAGGGTCCGTGGTATCAAGTCCTCGCGCCGGATACCTCTGTTCAGACTGACAGGGACGCCGCAAGCCACGGGGCAAGGCGGAAAGTCTGGGACCGAGGTTTTAGCAGCAAGGCGCTGCGAAATTATGAACCGCGGGTCGCTCACTACAGTGATAAACTTCTCGCCTGTGTTGACTCCCACGTGGCGGATGGCAAAGCACGGCCGCTAAACGCCTCGTTGTGGTTCAATTTCTACTCTTTCGACGTAATGGGCGACCTTTCCTTGGGCGAGAGCTTCGGAATGTTGGACCGCGGGGAGAGCCACTTTGCTATGCGGACACTTCATGGCTTCATGTTCATGATTGGGGTCTTCTCTCACGTCATGTGGGCGTTCCGGGTCATTTCTAACCTTCCCATTGTAGGGGCTGAGAACGTGAGGTTCAAGGCGTGGGTCGCGGAGCAGGTCAAGAAGAGAATTGAGGTGAGTCACTCCTACTATGACGAAGAAGCGGTGGTTATACTAACACAGCTGGTGAGAACCCACCGGAAATCCCTGATGTGTTTAGCTGGATCATCGAAGAGTACGATTCCAATCCCAATCGAACAGAGCAGGAGAGGCTCAATCTCACCGCGGATGGTCTTACCATCTCTATCGCAGGAAGGTATGTGATTGGTGTATGATGGGCAATAGTGGACGTGGATGACTTTGAGCTTCTGCTCATGACTGACACGTCTTCCAGTGACACAACGGCAGCCGCACTCTCTTGTCTCTTCGTGGAGCTGGCCACGCACCCCGAGGTCATGGAGAAATTACAGACAGAGCTCGATGCGTTCCTCCAGGAAAACTCGGAACCCGACGCATATGCCCTTTCGAAGCTCAAGTATCTGCAAGCCTGTATTGATGAGGGATTGCGCGTGATGCCGGTCGTCCCATCAGGCCCTCAGCGTGTGACACCGCCCGAGGGCTTGCGGATCAGCGATAACCTGTTCATCCCGGGAGATACAATCGTCCAGGTTCCGACCTATACTTTGCACAGAGGTACGGCACTTGCTCTGAGCGTGAAATCATAGCAACCATAAGCTGATATGATCTCAACAGATGAGCGCAATTTCGTGTGTCCGAACGACTTCATCCCCGAGAGATGGACTTCGAAGCCCGAACTGATCAAGAACGCATCTGTTTACTCACCTTTTTCGATTGGTAAGTCCTAACAAGCATTCCTCTTTCATTCAAAGGAAACATGTCGCATATCCTACCTTTCTTACCTGCGATATAGCTAACGTACCTTGGTCAGGCCCGTACAACTGTGTTGGAAAGCAGCTTGCCTTGATGGAGATCCGCAAAGTGACTTGCAGTATACTGTGTCGTTACAACGTGGGTTTGGCTCCCGGTCAGACGAAGGAGGCATTTGTGGGAGGTTTGGTCGATGGCTTCACCACTGCTTGCCCGAAACTTGATCTGGTATTCACGCTGAGAGAGTGAGACGGCACAATGGCGAGGTGCGCAACTCATCGCAGCTGGGCAATGCAGGAGCTTCTGGTCAATACAGCAATCGTTTATGGGTGATTGATTAGCCCACAACGTTATTCTTGAGACAGAATCACCAGACACCGAAAGAGAATCACCTTGCATTCCACCTGCCGAGCCAGTAATGCCGTGCAAAAGAAACTACAATTTAACTCATCCGGATCGTCGAGACTTTCTACATAAAACAATTAATTAGCGATTTCAAGGACACCAGCGGCTCGGGTGTCTACAGGTCCATAACGCGGCCACGGCATCTCCCGTAATCTCTTATGGGGCAACCTCCTATAATTACTAGGCCAACTTCTTGGGAGATTGCCTCTTGAAAGATGGCTTAGATACTGAACCGGTGTCTGCAGGCAGCCCGCAAGAGTTACGGAGGCCCGCAAGACTTACCTCATTTTCAAGACTTATCCTTAATATAAGAGTTACACCTACCGTAAGAGTTACCCTTTCGCAAAAGTTAGAGTTAGGTGTAGAAGTTACATAAGGACTTTTAGGAGAGAAGTAGGTATGTACCTAAGGAAGAGGTAGGCAGTTATAAAGAGATAGTCATGAAGAGGTATTTACGAAAAGGAAGAAGAAGAAGAAGACAAAGAAAACGAAGACGAAACAATACTCTAGGGAAGGCTAGAGAACGAATATTAAAAAACCTTAAAATCGCTCTAGAAGAAGAATCCTTCTCGGCTATCCTCTACACCTAGGCAAGCAAAGCAACTTTTAGATCATTAAAATCTTTTTATGTGACTTTTACACCTTAATCCTCTAACTCTTATAGAAGGGGTTAACTCTTATGGTGGGCGCAACTCTTATAGTATGCATAACGCTTGCAGAGGGCCGTAATGCTTGCGGATCCCCCCTATTTACCAGTACGGTATAGGTCTATAAAAGAGCATCCTATAGAGGGTATTTATTTAGATAAGAGGTCCTTAACTAATAGCAATCTACTGTCATACATTAAATTTATACTTAGTAGAACATCTGTAGTAATAGTATGTTATGACTCTCTATAGTGTAAGGGACAGGACTACTGTAATGGTGTTTACTCGCATGGCCCTACTAGTCTCCGGGGTTTGTTGATAGCAGAAGGGCTCGCCTAGGTACCTAGGTACCCATGTAGACTGAAACACACTCCTATGCAGGGCCGAAGGTTGTTCTTCTGCGCAACACAATCTCACATTGCACTGTTCCGTTGTCCCAGATAAATTAGTGTGGTACTTCAAGCTACTGGGGATATTTTTATGTGACCGAGAAAAAGTTGTTCTTCTCATGCGTTGATGCATTTGCTGCTAGCCCCATTTGATGGTTTCGCTCTTGGCTTTTATGGGCTCTGGGCCAGCCAATAGTATTCGATCTGACATCAGCAGCTGACATCTTCATGGTCTGATGTCCGAAGACGTCTCACACCTTTGGGCAGGACTTGCGTGGATGGTGTGCAGGTCTGCTCCGTCCTTACGGTCTTGTGCCAGTCTGCTGCTGTTATGGTCTTCGCATGTTGAATCATCGTTGATGAGTACGAGTGTCAAATTTCTATAACCTCTTCCAGCATCTACAGTCGTTTTGAAAGAAAGTCTCAGCACAATGTCCACTGCCTTGCCACACGGGACAACAGAATCTGTCCACTCTGGACTTCCGTCTTTGCCAGATGGCATCACCCCTATATGGCTTACTCATGTGCTCGGGGACCAGGTTAAAACTGTGGAAATCACCAAGGTTGTGCATGGCACTGCGAGCAAAGTCTTTGTCACAGTTTTATATGATGCTGAAAATGCATCCGCCATGAGCAGACCAAAGTTCCTGTGCATAAAGGGTGGCTTCAACCCGAAAATCAGAGTCCAGTACCCTTGGATTGTCCAAGGTGAGCGTCACTGTTCATCTGCCGCTCATCCACGTCTTTCTTTGTTTAAGATCTTCTTATAACCTAAATTTGAGACCCATACCTAGGTAGCGTGACTAATGTCCCTGGTAGTCTACCTTCGAGAGGCCGACTTCTTCAGCAAAGTGGCGCCAAAACTGGCCAACATCGACCTACCCAAGTCATATTGGGCCGGCCATAACGGTTTGGACCAGGGAATCGTCATCATGGATGATCTCGCTATACGGGGAAGCCAGTTTGGCGATCCAGCCAAGTCGTGGCCTGTCTCAAAGGTACTGGCAGGCGTTGAGCAGCTCGCAGCCCTCCATGCGGGAACATGGAACGCCAAGGGAGAGAATTATCCGTGGCTGACGGCCCATTACGACCAGGCCATCCTATCCTTAATGGAGACCTACGACGCAGTTGTCCTTTCCGATGATCGACCAAAGGGCATCCACGACTATCTGAAAGACCAGGGCCGCATGACAGCCGTGTTGAAGAAGCACTACCGTTCGAGAAACCCCAATTTTCAGTGCATAGTTCACGGGGACCCTCACACCGGAAACACATACTTCTTTGAGGATCAGCCGCGCTTTCTCGACTGGCAGATCATCCACATCGGCTCGGCATTCCACGACGTAGCATACTTCATCGGAGGGGCACTGGCCATCGACGACAGGAGGGCTCACGAGATGGAGGTCCTGGACCACTATCTTGAAAAGCTCGCTAGTTTCGGCGGCCCGGCTCTATCGAGCTCGCAGAATGACGTCCTTGTGGAGTACCGGAAGTCTTTCCTTGCGGGTGTCGGGTGGATTATGTGTCCATATGTGATGCAGCCTAAGGAACAAGTCCATGCAATGGCAGCGCGATATGCAGCGGCCTTGGATGACCACAAGACTATTGAGCTTGTAGAGTCGCTGAGCGATGCTGAGTGAAAATCTAGCTCCAAGTGCCCAGGTGCTCAGTCGTATTCTCTCGTTTTCTAGACCGGCTAGGTCTCTTGCTTCTACAAATCTGCAAAATTTAGAACACAGTTGGGTTTCAATTGAGCCATGACAGGTGAAGATATGGCCCCCATGGTGTGACGGTGCGGGCTTATAGAATGCCGGGAAGTAAACAATTTGAATTGGTCATCGTGGTCTTTTGGCCGAGCGGTCTGTTGCGCCAGCAGTCAACGGAGTTCCCACCGTATCACAAGGCTTCATTGTAGCGGCTTTAGAAGCTGGACTTTCTTTGGGGATTCAAGTACTTGTTTCCATATCTGGTTGAAGGCACGCGATTTCGGAAATTAGTGGACAGACGAGCTCTGCTCAGATGCCCACTACGCGGCCACAGTACCTCTCAACCATCCTCCTATGGGATTCCCTCCCGTGCTTAAGTAGAATACCCTCCTATGCAACGACTTTCTGGAGAGAAACCTCCTATTAATTTCAAGATAATTCTTCAGTTAGCTCAAGCTATAACGACTATATTATGACATATCCCTAAAGTTCCACTTCTGAAGGGGTGGATGGCTGTGATATGGCCATGGTACAACTGATGGGTATCTGTATATTTATATGGAAAGCACTTCATCTTTATCCATCCCAGCACATCCTTGAAGCACCCAAATCCAAAACAAAGCTAGGATAATCTAGTCTCATGGATACACCGAATCGCTACCTAGGTAAAGTCACTTGGGCGAACCAAATATTCTGATTGTTCATGTCTGTAAGCAATCTCGAGTGGTTTGGTCAAGGCCACCTAGGTACACGGAGCCTGCAGAGAATCTTTGGAAATCGAGGGTCTATCCACAGAAATGACTGGGTTACTAGCTAGCCACATCAGACTTTCAATCCATTTCTTGAAGCGTGATACTGCTTCTCCATAATAGCTGCTGCCATCGGCGCCGAAATTCCTTGGTCCAGCATCCACGCTGGTCCGTTGGCTCCTAGTTGCCACTCTCTTGTGCAACCTCTCCTCTAGGAGGCCAATGTCGGAAGTACGGCACATACTCGACATGGGCGTATTCATAGCCGTCTACAGGTGTTTCTCTGCAAGAGTAATGCCCTGGTAGAGTGCTTGTGTCTGATTTGACGGCATCTGCTCAAGAGCCTCAAACGCGTATTCTTGGTTGCGTATCTCTGCTCTTCGTTCTGTTGACAATCCGAGCTTGACGTCGGCAATAGGGTGGCTCGGGTTACTCAGGGGTCTGAACTTCTCTGCCCCCTACTCCAGCAGTGGCTAAGAAGAACCGAGACCCACGGGTAGGGGGAAATACGAAGTCAGTCACAGCACAGCCGTCTTGGCGGCAATGAACGGGTTTTGCAGCGTGCCAGTCAGCCGATCAACAGCATATACATGTCAAAAATATATTGATTATGTTCCCCTACTTCCCATGTCCCTTTTACTGCTTCAATCCTTCTCCAGTTTGGCATGATTCACTGAGTATAGACCGCAGGTGTACTGCCTCCTGCGCCATCAAGAACTTTAACGCAGAGGGATCCGGCCAACACCAAGATCAATGCAGCCCAGATGGTCCAGAGGGCCATGTAGTTCAATTTCCCACGAATGAAAGCCGGATCGTGTTTTCCAAGTAGTTTGCTGAGAATATAATGTGACTGGGTGGTCACGTGTGAAGGTTGGTTGTGTAACGCAACTGTTGGGTCGGTCCACCGTGGACTTTGGCTGTAGGTGGCCCAGCTGCTCGTCAGGGGTGTGAATAATCTTGTGTGGTAATCTCAGTATGGGATCTTGCAGTTCTTGCTGAGATCCAAGTATAAAATCTTGTTGTTGGTGGTTGGGATCGCGACCCAGGACAACACCATGCAATCCGCAACCAGCCGAGGAACAGCCAGCCACCTTGGCCGATCAGGAATGGAAACGTGGAATCAAGCCACATCCAAGTAAAACGGGTTCAATAACTGATCTCCTGGTACTTATGAAGTCTAACGTGTGCACAGGCCAAATAGGCCGTCCTTTTCTCATGACGTCCCATTCTCTTGACTGGTTAATGTAACATTCTCCCCATGGGATATAAGAGTCGGATAACATTAACAGTTTGTCAGTATCGTGGCTAATTCATCATACAATGTTCTACTTTCCAATACTAGCCAGTATGGTGTGGCAGACATGGCCAACCATCAAGCGGCAGCTCGGACGATATGATAGGTATTACACCGGGCAGGTATCAGGCAGGATCTAGCAGTACAGATTTATGTGTTCTATGTGTACACCAACCAAACTGACCAGGCATGTGGAGACATGAACTGACTGACTTGCTGTTTGCAAAACACTTGTTTCGTGAAGCTGACCAGGCAATTGGAGACATGAACTGGCTGACTTGCTGTTTGCGAAACAATTGTTTCACGAAACAGTTGTACTAGCCATGGAAAGAAAAAGATTTCCAATAAACATTGCAATTCCTAAGTAGTACAATGGTTAGGGATAACAAATGTTAGTGTGGCGCTAATAGTGTTGACTATTCATACTCATATCTAATATGTTCACTGGCTAGGGACAACAAATGTTAGTGTGGCGCTAATAGTATTGACTATTCATACTCATGTCTAATATATTCACTGGCTACCTAGGTAGGGAGAACAAATGTTAGCGTGGCGCTAATAGTGTTGACTATTCATACTCATGTCTAATATGTTCACTGGTCTTCTCTTCCTGTCTCTAGCGCCAAGCTAACATTTGTTATCCCTGACTATTGTACATAGCCTTAGAAGTGCCATGATACTTGCCGACAAGTGCTCACCACGAAACTCCAATCTCAGCTGAGAGATGAAGAACAGCACGAGCAGGGAGGAGGAGAGGATGAGATTAGAATCAAAGAGGGAGCATATGATTTCATTCATCTCTTTTTTCTTTTTTCTCTTTCTTTTTTACAGAAGAATGAGCATACAATCTAGGACTTCACTGTGGTGTAGATTGACTGTTCCCATCACGTTGCAAATCAAAGCCGGGAGCAAACAAATACCTCTGCCCACAATTTGATGCATGTTTTGGTAGGCCCATCCAAACATCTCTTGCCTACCGGTACCCAGGTAGGTATTGTCTGACCCCATTCAGTGACTCATTAGCCTCTTAAGTTACCTCAATACTGACAGTCAAGGCTGGCCCGTGCCTTCGTTGACTGGACCCAGTCTGCCGCCTCTTCAAGCTCAGTCCAACTGCTTTCGTTTCTAATCCTCATACCTGGCAGGCTTCGCTTCGATTCCGCAAACGTCCGAAGACACACATAGCGCCTTCATACAGTGGCAAACGCTCAAGACCCAGCGTTTGACTTGGAAAAACAAGCTCAGCCAATCCTCCCTTTTTTATCTTGGTCCAGCCTCCTTCTAAGGTTTCTTCCACCAGTCTTCGAAGCACACTTCGAAAATAAACATTCGAGGCAACCCAGACAGACAGGGCAAACAAACAAACAAACAACCAAAAACGTGCAAATCGCCTTCTGTCTGTGTTCCACATGGTTTCCCCCCCTTGGGCTTTGTTCCCGTCGAGGGACGGTAGGGACTGGAGGGACGAGCATGTCAGCAGGTCGGTACTTTTTCTTCCAGCGTCGCGTGTCTTCGTGTCCCTCAGAATCCCATGGCCGTTACTAGGCCAATTTTTCAATCAGAACGCTCAACCAGTCTCACAGATACAATGCCTGCTTTCCTCGGACCGTCCGCACTTCGGGCCACATCGGTGGGGATCAATCACATGGCAACGCTGATCCAAACAAGTGAGTTGTTTGATATTTGCGGACAGTCACAAGTAAATGTCTGGGCGCTCTCTGACGTATCTCCAGTGTTGGTAGTCCCAGCGGCCACATGGTCCAAGGTGACAACAATGAGAATTCGGGCGTTTCTGCTGATAAGTGAGTCTGCTTCAGGGTGTTCAAAGCACTCATTTTGTTTCTTCATATCGTATCATTCCTAGTTACAGACATACGTTGCTAATACCTATGCCTCCAGTACCCCCGGGGGAGCATCTGATGATGAGGAGAGGTCTGCGGTGATCCCCATCGAAAACACCTCGCGAGAGGCCAATCAGCCTCAGGCGACGACTCCCACTACTAGTCCAGCTCCATCGCCCACACATATTCAGCCGAGCACACCGGGCTATGGGCAGCTGCTCCTAGACCCCCTCAATGATCCAAGGGCTGCCACAGGGTTGCTCCAACCAAGACCGCTTGATGTCCTCTCCTGGAGGGGTTACCCACAGGACGCCACCTCTCTTCCATGGGGTAGAGCTCCGCGGCCAAATGTTGCCCCAACCCCTCATCGTGAGCTCCAGCCTCGCGCTCGCGGATTGGATGCAGCTGCAGAACGAGAACCCAGCTTACCATCAGCCGTGAACACGGAGAGATATGGGATTCTGGCACCGCCACCCCGCGTGTACGTTGAGAACAACCCTGATATTAGCACTCAGCCACGCGCCGTCAATCCTGCCTCCGTATTATGCCACCCGACGACCAATCTTCCTCCGACGCTTGCCGAGTAGGACTCGGAGCTCGAGCAGCGAGGTTTTGGCCCGTCGGCATACAAGGCACGAGCAAAAGCGAACCGCGGAAGATCTACGGCAAGCCAGAGTGGTGCTGGCCCTGCGAGCGGCGGTGGCTTGAGAGCTTCCCAGACGGTCCACCGGCTGATGGCTCCTGAGCAAGACATGGCTTCCCCAGACTCACCTGCTGCACAGCCTCGTCCTGGGTCGGCCCCCTACCGCCATTCCAGCCCTCGACCGATTCCCACCCTTTCAACGCCGGCTCGTAGAACCGAAGACGAGCAGGTCCGCCAGAGGAGGACGATTTCCAAGCCCTGGAACATTCTGGGAATCTCTAAGACGAGCTGGACACGCACCCGTACGCCCTGGGGAAAGGATGGCATGTCCAAGAAAAAGTGGTTGAGAAAACAGGGAGTTTCTGCATACCATTACGAAAAGCTCGCTCGTGCTGGGGTTATGAGGCTCCAGACGGTACAGGAGGCTGCCGACGAGGCTGCTTTTGCTGATACCGGCGCTCCCGCCTCAAAGGACCAGGAGCTGGGCGGGAGGCGTACCCGCTCTGAGGCCCGCATGGTGGAGGAGGACGAGGAGGAAGACGAAGACGAAGACGATGGTAACAGCGCGAGGAGCTCCTCTGACGGCACTGGTGCACCTTGCCCCGACTCCGACTCCGACTCCGATTTTGTTCCCTAGAGTGCAAATAGGGGTGCCGGGGAGAGGTACGGATCACCATCCTCCCTCGGACTGGGGCCCTGTCCCCGCGCATAAGCCCAGCAGCGAGGGCGTCAAATCACCAATGCTCTTTCTCGAGAGCCGTGATATAATGATGACACCGGAAGACCCTTCATCCTGAAAAGAAGGAGTTGTTGAGACAGATTACCACGACTATCCGCTATGCTGCTGCGGTATCTCCCCCTAAACTATGAGACACCCTCCTATGAGACACCCTACAATGAAGTGGTGCTCTATAGAGGAACTTCTTGCGGAAGGTGACTACATAGATAGGAAGCAGTTCAGCCATTGGGACTCCGTCATGATACATGATTATTTCCAAAGGTGCCTGGCGGTACCGTGATAGTCAATACACGTGATTGATCAAGCCTAGTTCGGGTCCTTGAACGCCTTTTGTTTTGACACTGACAGCATCGCAGTGGCGTTGTCTGGCATCTTGTTTACAGGATGGATTTTGTAATGATATTTGCCCTGTGATCATACATACCTCGATTTAGTAATATTCCACCTCGGAGCAGGTAATTACTTGTTCGTGGCATATTTAATAGTTTGCGTGTTGAGATAACTTTCGCAAGACTTCCCGCGGCCAAGGTTCCTGGATTCGCTGCTCACAATGATCTTGTTTCGCCGACCTGGCCATTACACATAATAGTATGGGTATTGAGCTCGACGGATGTGAATAGCTAAGCCTCCTCGTGAACAGAACACTCTCTCGCCGTGCTATCTGTGAGAGTAGAAAGCCGGTCCGATGGGAAATCATTCGGATTCCTCCTCATCCTCGGACTCAGCTTCGCCCTCGGACAGCTCGTCCTCGAGCTCATCCTCTTCGGATCCCTCACCGTCCTCGCTGCCTTCGCTCTCTTCGCTCCCGGCTCCCTCTTCCTCCTCCTCTTCTTCGTCATCATCGCTTCCCTCAATCTTCTTCTGCTCCTCCTCTTTCCTCTTCCTGTCGTCCTCCTTTCGTGCCTCCTCCAGCATTTTACGCCTCTCTTCTCTCTGCTTCCTCTGGCCCATCGCAAACGCTCCTACGGGTGTCTTCTCCCAGTCGAATCCGCTGAGGAACTTGTCCACCTGCGTCCTGTTCTTAGGAGCAAAGTCGATCTTGGACCGCTTCTCCTCGATGAACTTGGCGTTCGCATCCAGCTTCTGCACCAAGAGCGAAATCTGCGAAACAAGCTTGGAGTTCTTGTTGCCACTGTTGCCCTTTTTGTTTCCCCTAGCCTCCTTGCTCCATCGCTTGAGCATGACCACGACAGGCAGAGCAAACTCCGGGAAGGCAATGTTGGTGGACCAGATCGCAAAGTACTCGCAGAATAGTTCGACAACCTGCTCGCCAACACCGTCCTGGTAGACACGAGTGCGCAAGTACGACTTGGGTGCCTTGTACTGGACGCTGAAGTCCAGCGCCTTCAGCGTCGTAGCTTTTGGAGGCTTCTTCATCTCGGCAGAATTCAAAACCTCGATCAGGGCTGAAGCCAACGGGATGTACGTGCCCGTCGCACGGGACAGCCGCAGGAGGGAGCGGATGAGCTGGAATCGCAGGGGAAAGTAGGTGGCTGTGGGGATCAAGCGCATGGCGCCGAGGGTGACCTGGACGAGCGGGTAGATGAGCAGCTTCAGCTGGCTCTCCTTCCCATGCTCGGCCTCCTTCAGCATACTGCAGTGCTCGGCCAGCACGCAGGACCAGAAGTCTAGGGAGTGCACATATTGCCAGTTGTAGACGGCCTTGTATGACTCGTTCTGGTTGTGGGTAATGCTGTTTCGCAGGTGAATGGCGAGCTGACGGATGAAGGTGAACGCGGTTGTGTAGCCGATGCTCTGGTCGATGCCCCAGAGCTCAGCTGCAGAGTTCTTCATCAGGTTGATGCCTTGTATGGTGTTGGGGTTCGTCGACCGGCTGCCCTGGATCAGGCCCTGGTAGGCGACCTTGAGAACAGCCTCCCGAATGCCCTTGTCCCCGATAACAACGAGTCTTCTTAGAACCAGGAATGCCGTGATTCTGGTGGCGTCACTGCTGGAGGACTGTGACCAAAAGTGCACTACAGTCTTGATGAGATTCTTCAAGACCTTGCGCAACGACAGCAGGTAGGGCAGTAATGGTGTCAAGGCGGACAGTGTAAGTTTAAGTGTGGCATCATCAGAGAGTGTTCCAAGAAGGTGAAGAACCGATGCTGTGTAGCTCTTGACAAGTATCGAGAGTGTCTTGAACTTCTTCGAGTCTGTTGGCACATAGACCTTGCCACTTGCCGTCTCCTTGACAGGCACGTGATGCTGTAAGACGTCTGGTATTTGCTTCAACGCAACGACGAGGATGTCGTGGTAGACCTCTGGGCTTGTGATGGAGTACTTTTGCGTGTTCTCTTCGTCGTCCTCGTTGAGATGCGCAGCACTTCGGAAGGCCAGAACAACTTGCCTCGCTGCCCTGAGGGAGTTGTTGTCTTCTATTGAGGCTTTCCATCTTGCGATCATCGCCTTTGTGAGCTCATTGCGTGTTGAGAACTCGTCGTCCGACTCCTCATCAGCCGCTTTCTTGCCCTTCTTCTGCTTCTTCTTTGGTCGGTCCTCGTCTTCCCCGGAGCTCAACTCGTCAATCTCGGCCATGTCCACGTTTTCGTCGAATTCGAGCGCTTCAGGGTCATTTTCCTGCAGGTATTTGTAGAATTCCGGGTCATCCTTGGCCAATGCATCCATGTCCTCTCTGCCAATCCCGATGTTCTCTCCGCCTGATTCATCTTCGCTGTCGTCGGCAGATTCCGGTTCACCAGCGCCACCGCTGTGGTCTTCGTCTGAGTCCTCCGAATCCTGGCCATCTCGCTTCCTCTTGCCCAGCTTCTTGCCAGCCTTCTTGGTGTCCTTGCCCTTGTCGAGAATCTCGAAGCCACCGCTGAAGAAGTCGTCGACGCTCATGCTGCTGACAGTGGCGCCTGGTTTCTTCTTGTCGCTGGGCTGTTTGGAGGCATCCTTGGGGCCCTTGAAGAACTCATCGTCCTTTGTGTGCTTCGATTGCTTCTTGTTCTTGGCTTGGAATCGCTTCTTGACCTTTGACTCCTCCTTGCGCTTGTCCAGGACACCCTTGAGATGTTTCTTTTCAAACTTCTTGGTCGCCTTTGCGTTCTTTTTTGTGGGTGCCATTTTTGCGGGCGACTGTGCTCAAATGGCAAGAGAAGCGCAAGTTCGGAGGCTGGCTCTGGGGATTGTCAAAAAGTTCCTAAAGCTAGGGAATGCGACCTTGATTCTCAGAAAATTTCCAGGCTAATCGTTATCGGGCTATCAGTTGGAATTACTCCAATCAGTGCCGGCTCCTAACCCTCCAACTCGTACAGTAAGTCGGGGACTCGTTCCTCCTGGGCTTATTCTTGGCAGTGGTTGTCGAAGCCTAGAGTGGCACCTGAGCACCTGGGCAGGTAGGTGGATGAGCGTCCGCACGCATCAAGTTTTCCTTTCTCACCGTCAACATGATCTTTACAACATACCAACTCCTCTTTTTCACGATAAGATGATACCCAGGCAAGCGTACGCGCCCACGCCGCACAGCTACGTCCCAAATACAGCGCTGTCGGCAACAATAAATCTGGACGAGGCGTGTCTGCCCAAAGCTGCACTGTGTGAGCGCCGCTAACAACACATCCAGGAGGTGAAGCTCGCCGACACTCGTGCGGAGCGAGACTTGCAGGACTCGCTCGCCGAGATCTTCAGCATCATCATAACCCTCGATGAGCTGGAAAAAGCATTTCTCAAGGATGCAATTCCCGAGGCAGAATATACCGAGATCTGCGAGAGATCGCTGAAGCAGTACAAGTCGATACTGGCCGATGAGGCTGTTGCGAGGGCGTTTGTAGGGCTGGAGGAGTTCAAGGCTGAATGGGATGTGAGTTCCCAGTCACCTAGTGTTCCACACACAGTGGAGATTCCCGCAGAGGGGGCAAACCCAAAGCTCGATCTGACAGCATGCGACAGCTCGAGGTCCCGCGCGCAACAGAGCGCATCCGCGTCGGCATGCCGTCCACAGCTGTGACGGCGTCCTCAGGGGCCGCGCCCGCGCCCGCCGCCACCGGGAACACGAGCGGCGCGCTTATCCTAGAGGCCACGCAGGATTTCATCACCTTCCTGGATGCGCTGCGACTTGGCCTGCTGGCCAAGGACCAGCTGCACCCGCTCCTGACGGACGTCATCCAGTCGGTGAACAAGGTGACCGACAGGGATTTCGAGAACAGGGGCAAGATTGTGAACTGGCTCATCACGCTGAATCAGATGAAGGCGAGCGAGGAGCTGAGCGAGGCCCAGGCGAGGGAGCTGGAGCTGGATATCAACTCGGCTTATCAGGGATTCAAGTCTACTCTGACATAAAGCGGGCCAGTCGTCCCGGCATGAGTAGTGATGTCTTCATAGGAAAAGCCACGAGCGAGAGCCCGGCGTTCGATGCTCCCTCTGTGGCATTTCTCTTTTCATTTTCTGAAGTATGCTATACGAGGAACGTCCAGAAACTGGGGTAGACAAATTCCTCCTCGAATATGCGTCGCACCTGCTCCAGCACGAAGCGCTCCACCTTGCCCACGTTCTTGAGGCTTTGCTTGCCCCCTTCCCTCTGCCCGATTTCACTTTCAACCCTGATCTCTTGGAGCAAGCCGCCCATCTTACCTGGCCGAATGCTGGACGGGCCGGCACCTTCGGGCGGATCTTCAGCCGGCCCGGTGCCGTCGCTTCCAACAGCCGCCAGCGCGTCCTCGGGGCTCAGAAAACAAAAGTGCACCCGCTTCCTGATGTGGGCGACAACCCCAACCCCGTCGAACGACAGGCCCGTGATGCTCAGCCGTAGGGGGATGCCCACGAAACTTGGCATTGGGTAGTCGAGAAGGATGTCCGCGGTGAGCAACAGCTTCACGTCGCCAGAGTACTTGATCCGGAAGACGGCCTGGATGTCCTCGGTCCTCGGTTCGCGGTACCGACGCTGGTCCTTCTGGTACTGTTCGTCCTGTTGTTCCTCATCCTCTGTGATTGCCGAGCCGGCGAGCATGGAGGTGGATGCGTTCGTGTTATCCCGCGTGGGCGGCCTTGAAGTCCCTGCGGAGGAAGTGGGCGCGAAAGTAGACACGCTCGACTTCTCTCGCAGGGCCGTACTGCTCGGGTGTAATGGAGTGAGGCCACTGATGGTGTTGTGAGAGTCGGCCCCGGAGCCCGAGCTCTGGCTGGGGTTCCTGCTGTGGCTCGAGGCACGGCCGTCCAATGAGCGCTGTCTACTCATCGTCTCTGGAAATGTTGCTGAATTCATCGTAGACAGGGGACTAGTGCCGCCCGCCTCGGGCGTCCAGCGGTGATTATGGTGGTGATTATTGTTGCCGAGATGGGCACCCGCGACCGCAGCCAGGGGCGTCTGGGTGCCGGAGGGCCCACCCATGAGGTGCGAGTGGAAGTAGCTGAGATTCGAGGTCCCGCCCGGTATGCCTGGTGTCGAAGTGCCCAGGAACGGACTTCCCAAGTCCTGCATCGGCGCCAGGGGCCCGCCCCGAACCGGCGACCCAGCTATGCCTGCGGTGCTGATATGCGGGGGTATCGCCGTCAGCCTCGCCTGCTGGCCGTTCCTCCGCCGCTTCTCAGACGCCAACATGAGCTCCTCAGGGACGCCCGTGCCCTCACCTCCGAGGCCGTGGTCGAAGTGCTGCCCGTCATGCTCATCCTCGGAGGCGGAGTCCTCGTCGTCGGCCGCGAGGTTCTCCTCGTAGAAGTCGGGGAGCGGGTCTGTGATGTCCTTGAGCTCGAGCTCGGGCGGCGTGGTTCCGAACTCGAAGTGGTGGACTGTCACAGACTTGATGAAGCGAGGTAACGGGACAGACTGGAACTTGGTGTGGATAAAGTCACGAATGCTGTGGGCCAGCGCCTCGCCATCTGGGCCGGTGGTGAGGGTCTCCCAGTTGAGATCGATCGACATGAGCAAGAACAGCCAAATGAGGTCAAGACACGTTTGTGGGCTGTCAGGAACCGGAGGATGTGGACGCAGCTTGCAGCCTGGATGGCGGCTGCAAACCTGCTGAGGATCCCGATGATGCTGGAGCTTTGGCACAGTAGCGCCTCGGGTCGATGTGGACGTTTTGGGCTGTTCCACTCCTACGCACGGTACGGGAGACTCATCCGTGACATTATAGCCTCCAGTACAGAAGATGCTCTAAACTCTGGATCAAACCCCTTCCCAAGGTGAACAATCAAAAAAGAGCCGGTAAACGTGCCTCCGTTGGAAGCAACAGTCAGCCAAGTCCGTCACTTCCGCACGGGCCACAAGGCACTGTAGAGTGATTGTGGCCGGTGCTTGTTGATGAAAACCCCAAGGTGAAGCATGTACCGGAGAAGTGCTCTGGGCACATGGCTAATTCCTCAAACTTCCACAGTTATTTTCCATGAGATTCTTGCAACAAAGCTGGTATGGACATTTGTTGTATAGAAAGCTAATGGTCAATCTACCTCCTAGAGACCTACTTCGCATTAAACTCGTATCATACCGTTTTAATCAAGTCTGGTTGCATCAGTAGCCTGGCGCTGATGGCTTCTACTATATACATCATTCCCCAAAGAGTTGAGATGCTTTGGATAGTCCTGGTGAAGCGAATCTGGGCTTTCTGAAACAGGCTTTGGCATGACTTGAGTTTTCAAGCCGACACAAGCCCAACATTAGAAGATGACGTCAACATTTTGGGAAAGCATCGACAATGAGCAGATGGCGAATCCAAATACACAACCCTGGAAGAGACGGGATTGAGATATATTACATATCATGAGAATGGATTCTGTAGGCAAGGATCAGGATATAAGTGTGAATCTCCGCCATGCTTGGTTGGTGATTGTTCTTAGTCCCGACAGCAAGCGATAATGGTCATGATAAACGGAAAGATGATTAATACGGACGCATGCCTCATTCCTGAACACCAGATGCTGAATCTACTAGCTTGAATGCTGAGCCAACTGTCCTGCTCTCACTCTCAATATGGCCAATATGTTGGAGCCTGTGAGATAGCGGAGGAGAGCCTCAACGCACGCAGCTTGACAGGAACGACGTGTAGTTAGAGCCTAGCTGTCGAAAAGCGGTGACAATGCTATGGTGCCCCGCTTCATGTGATTTGTGATATTGGTGCATACCAAGAACAAGACGTTCCCAAGGCCGTGATTAATCTGCGCTGCACCTATTGTCGACGAATGCTGTACTTAGTGTGGTATTGTTTCGTTAAGCCGTGTTGATGCTGAACGCCTGGTTGGCCGCTATTCCGAACTCGCCTAGCGGAAGGTGTCAATTTCCCAGGAGGTGAAGAGACACCTAGGAAGACTGCAAATACGGTGCTGGTTGCCAGACCGTGCCAGACCAGCTCAGAGCTTCCCGAGTCAGCAGGGTCCAGCACACCGATTCGTGGCCGGCGGGTGGATTCTCTGAACCTGAGGCCAAAGAGTCCGTGTTCAAGGGCCCAGAGACGCGGCCAAGCCTGTCTCGGGGCTACGATGTCGCCCGCCCACCCCTCCCTTCAAAGAAAAACATGCGGCCGACCCGAGGTAAGCCATGGTCTCGTTGCCTGGCACTGGCAGAAAGGGGGTACGGCGTGGTTGAGCCTGCAGTCGGCAGCTCGGATTGACGGCCGAATAAACAGGCGGCCAGTGTCAGGCCTCTCTGCCGTGGTCCGGCCGGCCGAGGCATCGGACCTGCCTGCTGTGTCTCAGAGGCTCGGGGGCAAATCAGTCCCGGAGCGCACGCACAGCCTGGACGGCGTTATGATTTCATAAGGCGTTGGACACTTGCAGGGTGGTGTGCTATTATTAGCCAGCGCTCGGAGGGAGGCCCACGAGCTAAAAAGTCCCCAGGGTCTTCAGGTCTTTTGGTCACCGACCACCCCCAAGGAGCCGGGGCTGGGCGTGGGGTGGTCCGAGCTCTCCCCTGCTTGCCCGCTAGGCCTGCACAGCCTTCGGCTCGTGCCTGTAACTCGGTACAGCTGTCGTAATGTGGCGGGTTGGAATTGCGTGGACCCCCTCTCAATGTTGATGAAACGAGTCAGGCGAGGCTGCCCTTCAGACGCCCGCCGGACCTGCCAGCCAGCCAGCTTGCACGCGGTTTCCAGGATGAGACGAGACAGCAGAGGACGGCCGTGCAAGCAAATCGTCATCTGGCAGTCCTGCACATCATCAGGTCGGGGAGCGAGCTCGTATTTCAAGACTCCTGGGATCACGGCAGCCAGTCTGCCAGTCTGCCAGTCTGCCACTTTATCAAGTTGGTGCTTGGTCGAATCAAGCTGCCGATCGAGGGCCCTCATCCCTTGCAATAATAGCACGAGGTGGCATTAGCGGTGACCTCATCCCTCGCAAACACCAGGTGCTTGAACCAAGGTGTCTTGGTGGTTTCAGGCAAGAGGAAGGGAAAAAACTAGAATCTCTGCCCAGGCCAAGAGCAAGAGAAGGGTCCAGAGTGCCGACTGAGCGACATTGGTCGGCGGGTAAGCACTTGGTGTTTGATCGCTCATGCGACTGCCTGTGCTGCGTCAGCCTTGCCTTTCGTAGCTTCGTTGGCTGAGCATGTGGATTATAATTTGGTGTATGTAAGTAGTTGTTGTGGCTTGTCAGCTTGTGTTTCTGGAAACCAGCACCGGGACGACGCCCCGCAGCCAACGTGCAGACAACGAACGGTCTATGCCTGTCCAGCCGCAGGTCAAGGCCAGCCAGACCCGTCGCAGGGTGCTGCGAGGCGTGTCTGATGGCGTCTGATATGGATCCCATGAAGCGGCCGCTCTACACAAGGCCCGGTGACCCTGTTTGTGTAAACCAACAAGCCGACAAACCAACGGGCCAACAACAGCCGAGTACTGCACTCGGTAATAACCACAACAGCCACATGTGCTAGTTGGAACCACAGTAGAATGCGGAGGATGAGTTCTCAGCCGGATTCGTCATGCCCCCTCCCCCCCACCCACAAAATCCGATGCAGCTGATGGGATTTCTGCAGACAACGCACCGCCAGCCAAGCCTTCCGTCACCGAGCTGCTGCAGAGGGGAAACAGAGATCTGTTGACGTCGGGATGTTCCCAGCGTGGCACTTGTGCACAAGCATACACCAGCGGCGGCCGTCGTCTGGCAGGGCCGCTAGTCACTGCGCCACTGGCAATACACAATCACAAAGCGATCTTCGGCTGGGCAGCAAATCTTTTTCTTGCTGCGGCAACAAGCCAGACAACCACAGCTGAGAAAAGTGGGCCTGCCAGGCTTGGGACCCCGTACCTGGCAGGGGTGACGTTGAAGGGCACCGCCCACTCTGCCACCGCCCACACATATCCCACCCTCGGGCCTGGCCTGGCCTGCCCATGCCCAGCCTGGTGTGTTGCCCAAGCCTGGCATGCCCCAGCCCCAGCCCCAAACCCAGCCAACACCGCCAGGCCCTTGCACGTCAGTCTTTATTTATCTGCTTCATCCCCCTCTGCCAGCTGGTTTATGTCTCACGTCTGTCCTTCTCTCTCTCATTCTCTCGCTCTCACCCTTTTTTCTGGACAACTTCTCAACAGGGTTTGGTATTCCATCGTTGGTGTTTTCCACACGACCTCACCAAGCCAAAGGTCCCATAATCGAGTGACACCTCACATAGCGACGACGTCATACTACGCGCCTGCAAACTCTCCACCGATCGATCCTCTTTGGACTTAATAACAACACGCCAAGATGGGTAACATAGGAAGGATATTCTGCGTGGCTCTGCCATTTGCCCTGACAGTGGCCAGTTTGATCGCCCTGCTGGTCGCTGGTCTCTCGGGGGTTACCGACAAGAGCATGTACCTTTTCAAGGTCAACACCACCGATCTGTCCATCAGCTCGTCCTCCATCACCAGCTTGTTAAGCGACCGGGGCCTCCACCAGCGTGATCTCTCGGATTCCATTATTGCTGCCACCAGCGGTGCTGCTAGCGGTGCCTCCGACTTCGTCTCGAGTGCCACTGACTCCGCCCAGGCTGCTGGCGCCTCTTCCCTTGCCGACGTCGAGTCCTCCATCACCGGCATTGCCAGCGGTACCAACATCACAGCTTCCGACCTCGGCCTGCCTGACGCCTACCTGGTCAGCCTGTGGGGCTACTGCGAGATTGCTGCTTCTGGAGACAAGACCTGTGAGAAGGCCCAGTTCGACTGGGCTTCCAACGCCAGCTCCAACTTCCAGGCCAAGCTCGACTCCGTCGCCGGTGCCTCTGGCGAGAATGTCACCATTCCTGACAGCATCAAGACCGCCATGAATACCTTCAGTACCGTCACCAAGTGGACCGAGGTCGTTTTCATCATCGCCTACGTCGCCCTCGGAGTCTCGCTGTTCCTGGGCATCTTCGCCAACTGCTCGCGGGCCTTCTCGTGCTGCACCTTCATCACCTCGGCCTTTGCCGCCTTTGCCGTCTGTGCTGCCGCTGCCCTGGCCACTGCTATGGCTTCTGTCGTTGTCGGTGCCGTCGAGGGTACCGCCAAGGTGTACGGCGTCACCGGCTCCATCAACACGAAGTTCCTGGCCGCCGCGTGGATTGGGGCCGCCTTCGCCATCGGTGCGGCCTTCTTCTGGATGTTCACTATCTGCTGCTGTGCCCCCGACCACAACAAGTCCCGTGGCAAGAGCGCCGGTTTCAGCCGCAACAAGCACCTCGACGACGCCGAGAAGCTACCCATGTCTGGTGCCTACGCGCCCCTGGGCGAGTCTCAACACGCCTACGGAGGTGGCCATGACAACGCGTACGGCAACACTGCCTACGGTGGTGGCTTTGGCCAGGGCGCCGCATACGGCAACCCCCGGACTGGTCGTAATGACCTGGCCTACGAGCCTTACCAGCACCGCTCTTAAGCAGCCACCACTGGAGATCTAGCCAATCCGCGGGGTTTGGGCTTTCTCGGATGTACAAAGAGCAGTGCAGCCCTGGGCCGTTGAGCGCCACGGATGGAAATGCTCCTCAACTTGTTCTAAACCTGTGTTTTCTACTTGCATGTATGGCGTTTTGGGCCCTGTGGATAGGGCATGTTGGGTTATGACGACTTTTTAATCCCTCGGGAGGGTTGAGGGAGGATTTTCACGAATTTGGGCCAGGTAGACTGTTAATATTACAGGATATGATACCCGCTAAAACCCCGGGAAGAAATGAAATCATAAGTATTAGAAACATAAAATGCGGCCCAGACATTTGATATGCCCTTGTGGATACTTGCCTGGTGGATTCGGGTCGTTAGCAAACGGCTTGCAGTCGTCTCTGAGTAGTAAAAAATGCACAAGACATTGACAGGTTTCTTAAAGCATATAAGCAGTTCCATGACCAGAATTTGAGGATGATTGATGCACGACACAGATCGCGGTCTGGAGTCCGTCGTCGCCTCGCTGGTCTTGACGCGATCGCAGCCACAAACCGGCACGCCGCCGAATTTTTGACTCACCCACCCGTACATAATTTTCTTGACACCCGCACCCACGACCTTACGACATGAACCGCCATGTGCCGCCCCGTCTCCAACGGCAACATGTCCACTGCCCTATCACTGCGCTAGCATTCTTCAGGCCGCCGGCCGCCGCCGGCAGCGGACCGCTTTACGTCCTCTCGGGCGAGGACACCTGCCTAAAAGTCTACGATGCTGAGACCCGGCTGCTGCGCGCCACGGTTCGCGTCTTCGCCGCGCAGCCCATCCAGGGCATCTCAGCCCCCAGCGCCACTGGGGAGGAGGAGGAGTCGGCCTCGTCGGACAGTGTGCTCATCTGGGGTGGCCCGCTCGTGACGGTCCTGCCGGCGTCGGTGCTCGCCGGCCTTCTCCGCGACGGGGAGGACGGGGAGGACGGGCCCGGCTGTACCGCAGAACACACCGTGCCCGAGAGGCTGGTGCTGCGCGCGCCGGACTGGATCTACCACGGCGCCGTGTCAGCCCACCAGCCCGGCCTGGCAGCGGTCGTGACGGCTCACAACGAGGTCATACCCTTACTGCGTGCCCGAGGGCCCGCCGGCGGCGGCTGGGGTTTCGGGCAGCTGAGGTCGCCCCCGTCCCGGCCGATCCTGTACTCGGCGCAGATCAGGTGGACCCTCGGCGGCGAGGTACTGGTCGCGGCGGGGACCGTGTTCGGGGAGATCATTGTGTGGAAGTGCCGCGTCGCCACCGCCGGCGGGGATGACCATGATGACGAGGCGGCGGTCGAGGTCCTGCAAGTCTTCACCGGCCACGAGGGCTCCATCTTCGGCGTTGACTTCTCCCCGGAGGTCGTGATAGACCGCACGACCAATGCACCGTCCAGGCTGCTGGTGAGCTGCAGCGACGACCGGACGGTACGCGTGTGGCATGTTTCCGAGGCGGGTTCCGCCCGGAGGAAGAGCCTGGCCGATCGCGTTTTCACCGAGGCGAGGGAGACGGGCTTCGGCGAGAACTTATCTGCCACGGAGCTTGAGGCTATGGCCAGTCACCCTTCTGCGAAACCGCTGGCGGTGGCCATGGGACATGTTTCGAGGATATGGAGCGTGCGATTTTCTACGCAGAGCATGAACTATACTTCCTCAGGCGGGGCACTTAGGAGCTTGGCATTGTATTCCTTCGGCGAGGATGGCACGGCGCAGAAGTGGAGGCTTCAGTTTGACGAGAAGAGCGGGAATGGATCGCCTGGTCCAGACGACACGGTTCTGGTGGCCGGTCTCACGCACAGGGCGACGTTCCACAACCACGATGGGAAACACGTCTGGTCGAGCGCTCTGCATTTCCCCGCGCCGTCGTCGGCAGAGAAAGAGCTCCTTGCTACTGGTGGCAGTGATGGCAATATACAGCTTGTGGAGGAGAGCCTGACACGGCTCGAAGGGGACGCCGCCTCCGCTCTGCAAACTCATGAAGCCTCGGCGCTCTCGAGCAAACCCCCAGCCGGCCAGACCAGCTCAAATGCTCGTTATCTGGCTGACAGTGGTCCCGTCGACAGCGAGCCACTGCACATGTACGGACTCCCATCGGCAACGTCTGTCGTTGCAACGACAGCATCAGGACGCATCTTGGCCGGATCCCTGGGTACCGCTGGGGCGTCCTGGAAGGAATGTGCAGTGCCTCAATCAACATGCGATGATCTAAGAAATTACCAGACTGTCCGAAACGCAGGGCCGGATACCACGCTCATCGGGTCTCCCAGTGGACAAGTCTATGTTTATGTCAACGATAATATTCGACCGGTTATCAAACTGCACCGGAAGGTCGCCGATATGTTTGTTCTACCCCTGGAAGACTTCTGTAGGCTTGGGCTCTGCGAGGCAGTGTCCGGCCAAGTAGCGACCGCCGTGACGACCATGGGGAGCTCAGAAGTTAGGCTCCTGTTGCTGGATCCTGTGGCAGAGCAAGTTGTTGTGCATGAAGTCTGCATAGAACTGGAAAGAGGATTCATACCGACTGCAGCCGGGATCTGCCAGGATCTTATAATATTTGGCTCTCGCATTGGCTCACTCTCGCTGCACAGACTGGACCAAAGCAGGGGAGGCTTCCGAAGAGTAGCCCACGCCAGCCGCCCTGGCCAGAAAGATTCGGTCTCCAGCATCGTACCCTTACCTGCAAGGACCGGTCTACCCTGTCCCTACTTCCTGACGACTTCTCGAGACGGCCGCTACAGGATTTACGAAACTACCAAGCAGGCTTGTGGGTCTGACGATGCCGTCAGCCTCTCTCTCCGCCACGAAGCCGTCCCGCCGCTGGGGCCCATCATCGAAAGAGGCTTCTTCACCACCACGACCTCCGATCCGGGCTCGAAGCCACATCTCATCCTCTGCGGCTTTCGCAGCAGGGAATTTGTAGTGTGGGACGAGACGACGCAGCAGGAGCTCGCCAATGTCGAGTGCGGCGGCGGCCACCGTGCCTTCACCTTCCACGTCGACCCGGCCTCGCCCGAGAGGGTCTCATTCATATGGACCAGGGCGTCACGCACCTGTGTCTACATGCAGGATGGCGTTTCGAAGCGCTCGCTCAAGCCGGGCGGCCACGGGAGGGAGATCAAGGCGGCGGGGGCGGCGGCAAAGGGAGGGCTCCTGGCGACGGGGGCGGAGGACACAAACATCCGGATATGGCGGGTCGACAGCAGTAACCGAGCCAGCCGAGGGCCGAGCCCGGGGCTGAGCTGCCTGGCCGTCGTGGAGAGGCACACGAACGGCATCCAGTGCCTGAGATGGACGGGTGAGAACTACCTGGTCAGCAGCGGCGGGGGCGAGGAGATGTTTATCTGGAGGGTCGCACAGCTGGAGCACACGGCGTATGAGGGCATCACGGTGCTGTGCGAGGGGGTATATCCCGACAAGACGCGCGACGGGGACCTGCGCATAATGAGCTTTGACGTACAGACCGTGAGCGCGGTCGACGATGGCGGGGACAAGGGCGGCGAGGTTCTTTGTCTGTCGCTGGTATTGTCCAACTCGACGCTCAAGACGTACCGGTACTCCAAGGACGAGGGGTTTGCGCTTCTGGCCCAGGGCCGCTACACCGGCGCTTGCCTGATGCAGATCCGGCACCTCCATGTCCAGCCGGAGTCTGGCGGGCCCTGGGGCCTGCACGTCCTGACGGCGTCCACAGATGGGCATCTCGCCGTCTGGAAGGCGACGAGCATAGCGACGACGCCCGGACAGATGCCAGCCGCCGAGTACGAGCTGCTCGAGACGCAGCGGCTACACCAGAGCGGCATCAAAGGCATCGACCTGAGAGCACTCAGCCACCCGGGGTCCTCCCGGGGGTCGTATGCCGTGCTCACCGGCGGCGACGACAACGCCATCGGATACGCCCGCCTTGACTGGACGGCAGGCGCGGAGTTCAGGATCACGTCCCGGTCGCTGGTGAGCGGGGCGCACGCTGCCGCCATCACAGGCCTCTGCATCACCAGGGTCGACTCGGGCGGGGGCGCGGCCGGCCCGTGTCGAGTTATGCTGTGCACCGCCAGCAACGACCAGAGGGTCCGGGCCTGGGTGGCTGCGGTCGGGGCCGGGGGCGCCCTGGGGAAGGTGTCACTGGTGGGCGACCGGTACAGCGCCGTGGCCGACTGTGGGGACCTCGAGCAGGTGGGCGAGGGCAGGGTGGTCGCCGTCGGGGTTGGGATGGAGCTTTGGGGTGTATAGATCAGTCTTGACTGCGCGTTCACCCTGTTGTTGGCTGGCATGTTATGGACCTTAGACAGCCCTTACTAGACCCCTTGCATTTATTTGCCCCTGTTCCTCCTGTAGATACATGTTGCTCAGCTTCACGATATCCGGGCTCGTGCACCAGGCCGATGCAACCCATGCCATGGGGCCTGGCGCACAAGAGCATGTGGCTCGAGAGCCAGAGTTTCCACAGCCCTGGGCCCCAAGCAGCTGCAAGTGCTGCGGTATACTGTATACAACTTTACCGTGGACTTGGCTGCAGGTGAGGCGAAAGCTACAAGTGTGTATTACAGTCCGCACACGAGCGCACACGCTCAACCCGCAGACGGCCGGTTGATCTGCACGGCCCAAGTACGGCCCCCGGCTGATGGAGTTGGGGCAAGGATGTCCCCGTGGCGGCGAGGTGAATGACTCTCCGTGTGCTCCCATGACAGATCGAGGGCAAGAGGTTGTACTCCGTAGTCCGTTGGCACGTCGCCGGTTGAAACCGTCCGCCCGAGCTGCCAGCAGCGGGTGGCTTGCCTTGTACGGCTGGCTGGCGCTCTGTGGCTTGCCTCTCTGTCTGCGGGCAAGATAAGATGGACGGCATTGAATTTCAATGCGGTGCTCCCCTCCCCCTCCCCCCTCAAGGCCTTGTTCATGTGGCCAAGCCCATAGGCCCGCTTGGCGCTGTTCCTGGCGACGATGGCCTTCTAATAATAAGGCTGGGGGACGGAGCGGAGTTGGTGCCAAACGAGCAAGCCGGACGATATCCCCACAAAACGATCATTGGGGGCGCATGTTGCATTGCCAGACAGACCATTGTTGGGTTGGTGGTGGCTCGTCCGCACCGGCGCAGGGAACGGACTGAAGAGCCATGAACGGGTCGTAATTGTAAACTAATCAGCATTTATTACCAGTTGGACTAGGGGAAATCGGTCCATGGACAGTGCCTGCACGGGCGGGACGCTGGCCGAACCAAGGTGCTATCAAAATAGACATGTTGGGTGGTGCGGCTGGGCCGGGCCTGGGGCAAGAAGGTGGGCAGGTGGGGTGCGGGCAGCAAGATGTACCTAGGTACCCAGGTACTTTTTATTCGGGTGTCGAGGGGGACGTGACTGTCAAACGGCACCCCGCGTCTCCATCGCTGGAAGGTGCAGTCAGTCAGACCGACCTTTGGGATGCTGGACACGGGCGTTGCTGGCGGACCGCTGTCGTGGAGCGCCCAGAGGTCCCAAGGCGCCAGTCATGCTCGCCAAGCCTCTCTTGGAACCAAGATCATGGCCGTCCTTCTGCTCTCCCTCTCCCGGCTGCCACTCAGCACCAGCACAGCACCAGCACAGCAGACGTCCAGAGTGCCCGTCCAGACTGCCCGACCTCAATGTCGGTCCGACCCCCCCTCTGAAACATTCTGCTCGAGGGCGCCCTCTCCCAAGCTTGCTCCAAGTACTCCGTACCTAGGTAGAGGCAGTTAACCCAATCCTCCCGGACCCGGCGCCCAGCGCCCAGCCCAGCGTCACTCACCCAAGCTTCCGCGCCGAACTCCACAAAGCCTTGCCCCTCCTCTCCCTCTGCTGTCCCATTTGATCCATCGCAACAAAGCCAGGCTCTGCTCCTGGGCCTCGCTCCTCGCTACACCGCAGCCTCAACCACACGCCCATACACTCACACACTCACACACTCACACACTCACACACTCACACACTCACACTCACACACTCACACACTCTTACGCCCACACGCACCACCAACTGGCAACTGCCCCCCGCCTCACCCCTGGCAGGACTCATCCCGTTCCTGCCTCCCTTACAGCCAACGCACGTCTCTCGGCTGTCTGTCGACCGGCCAAAAACCCACTCCGCCAGCCCCTCCCAAAAGAGAGGCGCTCCTTGACCGAAACAGAGGTACCGCCAACGAAACACTTTGGCCCGTCCTAAAACAACCCGACCCCCGCGACTTTCCTTCCTGATTGCCTCTACATCCCACTCACTGCCTGCTGCTCGCTCTCGGTGTTCCGAACGGTGAGTCAGGCACGCCCGCCCTGCTGCCCCTGCTTGGCTGGCCCGTCTCTACGCCCGCCTCCGTCCACCCTCCCCGTATCTCCCGCTCGAATCCCCGGCCCAAGCTTCTGCCTGCACCGTCGTATTCACAGCCTCCTCGCTCCGTCGTCACCCACCCCGCCGTCGCCACCCGCCCATCCATCCTGCCATACCAGCGCAAGGCTGACAACTATTGTCTTGCCCTCCCGGCGTCTAGACCACCTCCGCCCATCGCTCCCCCACCCTGCTCGGGCCCACTCACCTGACCTCATCGCCCTCGAACCGTCGACGCCCGCTCGTCATCCTCGCTCTCCACCGCCGACCCATCCATCCACTCCTCTCGACACCACCTCCCCGCGACCCGCGTACCAGTCACCAAACACGGAGTCCATACAGCGCCTTCGACGCCCCACCACTGCCACGCGTCTCGTGGCTGTCCTCGTCAGACTCTATCACCCCCCCTAGGACCACCTCGCGCATCACGGGCTCACAACACACAATCACCACCTTCCCACGGCGAAAACGGGTGCAGCGATAGGCTATCGTGGCATTGTCAACCCGCCCACATACCTCACACGCGCACACCGTTTAGCCTGCCGGATTCTCTGACCTTGCCGCCCACACCTGGCCACGCCCATTTTCGCCATGGGAAACCAGCCATCAAAGGACGGTAGCAGCACGCCGAGGCCCAACAGCTCCGCCGGCGCGGGCGACCGCAGCCCGGACGGCCTGCAGTCCCTGCCGTCATTCAGCAAGTCAGACACCAAGGACTCGACGAGGTCCTTCAAGACTCTCCGCTCAAAGATCCCGGGCTCGTCCGCCAAAACCGATAGCCCGCGCAACTCGGCGCTCTTGTCTAATGGTGACGCCGGCGATAAATCAGATGCAGGGTCTGTCAAGTCCGGCCGCAGTGGCCGCTTCTCCCGCAGCAGGTCCTCGGATCCTGCCGTGTCCCCGACCTCGCCCTCGTCCATCGACACCGGCGTGACCTCTCCCCTCGACGAGGCCCAACCGCCTCCCTCCCCCATCCAGTCTGGTTCCGGCATGTCAGGAAAGCACGATGTCAGCGCCGCACAGGCGTCGGGCGAGGTTGACCACGTGTCCGATGCGCCCCCATCAGGGGTGCCGGATCCAAACGGCGAGGCGCAGCAACCAGGCCAGTCGATACTGGTCAGGCGCGACAACTCGGTCAATCCAGTTCACGGAGGGACATCGCCCGGTCAAGACCAGTCTGCCAGCGTCGCCATGAGTGAGATCAAGGATATCGACCTGGATGACTTCATCAAGCGATTGCTGGACGCTGGTTATGCCGGCAAGGTGACCAAGAGCGTGTGTCTGAAGAATGCCGAGATTGTGGCTATTTGCCAGCGTGCTCGGGAGGTGCTTCTGACCCAGCCTGCGCTGTTGGAACTGGACGCGCCAGTCAAGATCGTCGGCGACGTGCACGGGCAGTATACGGACCTCATCCGTATGTTCGAAATGTGCGGGTTCCCACCCACCGCCAATTTCCTCTTCCTGGGTGACTACGTCGACCGAGGCAAGCAATCGCTCGAGACCATCCTCCTCCTGCTCTGCTACAAGCTCAAGTTCCCCGAGAACTTCTTTCTCCTCCGTGGCAACCACGAGTGCGCCAACGTCACGCGCGTCTACGGATTTTACGACGAGTGCAAACGGAGGTGCAACGTCAAGATCTGGAAGACCTTTATCGACACTTTCAACACCCTTCCAATCGCCGCCATTGTCGCTGGCAAGATCTTCTGTGTGCACGGCGGCCTGTCGCCTGCGCTCAGGGACATGGACGACATCCGAAACATCGCTCGACCAACCGATGTACCCGACTATGGGCTACTGAACGATCTGCTGTGGTCTGACCCGGCTGACATGGATGCGGACTGGGAAGCAAATGAGCGAGGTGTCAGCTATTGTTTTGGGAAGAAGGTCATCACAGACTTCCTCACGACCCATGACTTTGACCTTGTTTGTCGTGCGCACATGGTTGTTGAAGATGGGTATGAGTTTTTCACGGACAGGGTACTAGTCACCGTGTTCAGTGCGCCAAATGTAAGCCAACTCGTCGTGGCCCGTCCCTCCCCTGTGTACCTATACTGACCTGCTCTAGTACTGTGGTGAGTTCGACAACTGGGGCGCCGTCATGTCCGTCTCTTCGGAATTGTTATGTAGTTTCGAGCTCCTGAAGCCCCTCGACTCCAACGCCCTGAAGAGCCACATAAAAAAGGGCCGAAACAAAAGGCAACAAATGCTGAACAGTCCGGTACGTCGCGGCTCACATCCCACTCACTACTTGCCACAGCACCATGACTAACTCTACCCACCTCGCAGCCTGCGAACGTCTACCCCCAAAGTGTCTAAAGGCGGCCGCCAACAGAGTGGTGTACAATTCAAAAGACCGGGCGGTCTTATATACAACAAATGTCATACAGACAATTTCCATTCGCGCCGGTAGAAGGCTAGAAGGACAAATATTCGACAATAGCATCGCATAAGTCGAGCCAGAACGTTCCGAGTGCAACATGGCTAGAACAATAAGGAGAACATTGACGGACAACCGGGTTCAACAGCGACCGGAAAGATCAGAGGCAGCGCGGCTTGCAGCTCCAGGTCCACTCGACGCTATGAACGCGTCAAGGATGGTGACCACAGCCCGTCAGCGACTCGGGGCGGGAGAACAACCACGGTTTGCCGTGGTCGGATCAGGGGTTCAGATCTTGTGAAAGAGATCGGCCTTCGAGGCCTTGGCTGTCTACTGCTAGCCGTGTGCACCCGGGCCGTTTGCTCAATCCTCTTGAGGTGGCACATGAAGGGGGCATGATAACAGGGCGCATGGACGCGTATGCGCGCGCACGTGTGTATCAATGGGTTGTAGCGACGTTGGTGGCTACCAGCATCGAAAGGGATGGCAGAAGCAAGTTGTGTGGTTGACTTGTTACAAGAAGAGCCAGGCGTTTCCGATCAGGGCACGCCGTCTCTATGTGATGTGATGGATATGGTGTAAGATGATGACGATTCTCCTGTACGGGTACACATGTATTTTTTCTTCACACCCAATTGGAAGCTTTCCAACATAACTTTGTCAGAGGTGTCTTCACCATAGCGGAATTCCATTTGCTGTTGTTCGCATGACCATTTCCAACGGTTCTCTTTTCTTTTGCGGTGTCTGCTAGTTTCCTATCAAAAAGAGAAGGAAGGAAAAGAGCAGTGTGAATGCTCTAAAGTTTCCAATGGGACTACTGATTCTTGCTCGAATAGAACGCCTGCGCCAGAGACCGTTTCCCTGTACACGACCACGGATGAAAGTGATAGATATGAGACCCGGTGTCTTTGCTTCAGGTCTATTCGTGACGGCCAAAGATGAGCAATCCCGACGGAGTAAGGGGCAAGCAAAGGCGCTCTTCCATGCAGTCTCATGCATGTAGGTCAGCTGCGAGAGAAACTGGGACGAGGAGCGCGCGACACGGGACGGGCTTGGGCTGTTGCACACAATATCCGTCGGGCTGTATTAAGCTATAGTTGATGTTATGGATTTTGCTGTCAAAACCGCGAGTCTGTTGCACGGTTCGACGCCTCCTGGTTCGACACTAGCGAAATTCTACATACTGTTCTTCAATCTCTCACCTTCCTCATATGCCCCCACCAGCCTTGAGAGCAGATGCTGCCATCGACTTGTTCTCTGCGCAACTGTCTTCCGCCCCAAAATCCCTCAGACCAGGACCAATGGAATGCTCTCCTCAAAGCTCCTCTTCGATTTGTTGCCTGACCAACAGCCGGTTGCGACGACGAACAAAGACGTCGTCATCACTGTCATCATCATCATCATCGTCCACAACCTATTGGCCTTTCAATCCCACATCTGCCTCCATTGTCAGGGTGTCTCCGCTGTTCTGGTCCGCCTGCTCCTCTCCTTCTTCCATTTTCTCCTGTTCCATCCTTCCAGCAGAGCAAGGTTCATGCGCAGGGGCCCATGCACCCTGACGTCCCGAGTCCTTGATCTCGTCACACTTGCTGGAAAGCGGCTCCGTCTTCAAGGGGACCCCGAAGTCGCCGAGGCCAGCAACGCTGCGGGCCTGATGTGGCCACTAGGGAAAGTGCCATTTTCAGCAGTATGGACAAGACCTCTGCGCAGGCCGTCTGGGTGTCTCATGCCGCTCGGTCCACGTCCATAGAGTGTTGAATGTGCCGCCCAACGCTGGTTAACTGCTGGTGCGTTGCTTCGGCCGGCCATTCAGCCGATATCTAGTCGTCATCCTCTGCATCAGGCCCCGCTATATCACCCGAGTCCTGTCCAGATGCTTTTTGGCCGGCTCCACCATGATGTTCCCCACCTTGCTGTTGCGAAGAATTGAGTTCGGCGAGCATGCGCTTGATTTTAGCATGATCACGTCGTCGAGGGCTGACAAGCTCTGGCTTCAGACGCGCGTAGAATTCGCCGGCACGATCGTATTGTTTGCGCTGACGCAGCCAATCTGGCAGAGGTGAATTATTTGTTGCAGCCTGTAGAAGGCCCCGCCGCAGACCCTCGTTGAATCTCTGTCTGTTGAGCAATGTCTCTGCTGAGGGGTCCGCAGTATTCCGGACATCCTTGCGCCTCGTGATTTGTCTGCGAGGGCCCTTCTTTGCTGCGGCATTCCGACCAGAGTGCTCGACGTCAGGGCTACGATGGCTCTCCTCAACAGTGTCCTTTTCAGAAGTAATTTCAGTACCGTCAGGCGACAGCGTCCCCCTCACGCCCTTCTCTCCGCCGCGTTTGCCTTGCAAGGAAATGCCGTTCACGGCGCGTTTGGACCGGGCACGCTTCGTGGTGAAGTCCTACTCCCCCAAGTCGCGGTACCTAGCCGGCCTCTGCCTCTTGCGCTGTGACCGGTCTATAGGGCTACTACCCTCCGCGGTGCCTCCGCGTATGAAATCATCTCCTTGGTCAAAGTCCCCCATCTCATCATCTGAGTCTTGGATTTCTCTCCTGGTGCGCCTTCTCGCACTGGGGCTATGTTGGCTGCCGCCTGATCGGGGGATATGGACCTTGAACTCGGCCTCGGATTCATCCCCATCGAGGTGTTTTCGCCGCTTGCCACGTCCGGTACGGCTGCTAGGCGTGCCGAGAATTGCATGGGTCGGCATGGTAGGTGCGGCCTCGATAATAGAGGCGGCGGTGCCATTACTAGATGATTCGTCTGTTCCGTCCAAGGCAAATGCTGCGGTTGTCGTAATGGAATCGACTTTTGTTGTGGCTCGCCGACCACCGCGACTCCCACCTCGCTGAACCCCACGAGAGGCCCTGGCTCTAACGCGTCCACCTCTAGTGACGCGAGCAGGCGGCGGATCATCAGAATCCAAGCCATGCGAGGTGAGCCTCTTTCGCTTGCGGCCGCCCCGCACTCCCAAGACAGTCCCAGCCCTCCTGGGCTTGTATGACCGTCCCGGCCGGAAGTCCCCATCGTCTTCGTTGTCTGGGTCGTCTATGACGACGGGCTCGACTGATGAAACCTCATCTTCCTCCTCCAGAGTGGCTCTAGGCGCCTTCTTGGTTCCGGTGGTAGTAATCTTTAGACTGCCTCGCCCTCTGCCCCGACCGCCGCGGCCGCGGCCGCCACGTCCTCTAACAGTTCCGCCACGTTTCGGTTGGTTCTCTTCATCTTTAGAGTCGAGAAGTTTCTTGGTTAGGTTGGGGAAGTTCTCTCCGTAGTTGAAGAAAAGCTCCTCGCCCGCCTTGATGTCCCGCTGGGCCTTGAACTTGATGCGATAATCTCCATTCACGAACAAGATCTGCGGCACAATGTTGACCAGTTTCTTTCCTACCTTGTCGTACTCAGACGCGTGGTTGATGTAACGGCTCAGATTGCCATATATGGCGGCGTCGACCCAGATACCTTCGTAGTCCAGGAGCGTGAACAAGTAGCTGCTGTGTTTAGAGTCGTCGAAAACGTCGCCGCGTCGTGCTTCTCGACGGACACCCTCGTCGTGCGAGATCAACTCCCCTAGGTATTCAATAACGAACTCATCCTGGGCGATGTCTTCTGCTGTGAAGAGTCCATACCCGCAGCCTTCGATTTGAGACTCGCCAAGCAAGACAGTCTTGGAGACGCCACGCTGTAGAGCCACATTTTGGCAGCCATATGAGTGCAGATCGTTGTCGTGGGCGTTCTTGGGGTCTGCCCGATCGAAAGCGCCACAGCCTTGACATAGGACTGGGTCACATTCCCTGTTGAGCTGAACGCAGATGCAAGGCTTCCCTTCTTTCTTCGATTGCAGGCAAGTCTTGCCCTCGGCTTTACACGCACAGCCTGTAAACTTGTATGCGCAATTCTCCGCCGTGCAGCGGCAGAAGCGCTCACACAGAAGTTTTGCATCAACACATGGGCAACCCTTGCCACACGGTCCACTGTGGGTGCAAGGATCCTTAACCTCACGGCGAGTGAACTCGTGCGCATTCAGGTGATCTTGCCAATCCTGTTTCAGTTCTTTCCGGTGGCGATCGTACCAGGGCAACGGCTTGACCTTTGGTGGATCAGGATCAGGACTCGCGAGCTCGTACAGTGATTCGTACTTGTCCAACCCAAGCTGGAGCTGTTTCCGGTACACGTCCCAACACGGGCGTCCCAGTAAGGTTGACACGAGACAAGGCAGATTCGTACAAAGGCTCGGGCTCGCAGCTGAGGCAGCGTAGAGACCCCGGAGGAGTGCGACTTCCTCGTCGGTCCAGGGTTCCACTTCAGCGTTGACGTTGCCAGATCGATAATCCTGCCAACAGAGATTCCGACACCGAGTGGGTGATCTGCCTGCAGAACTCTGAGGGTCCCGCAGGTGCTTGGCCATGTTCTGTCTCATCAAGCCACCGAATCTTCCTATCAGGTCGACACCAAGGGATCGTCGCTGATTGTCACGGTCATACTCGCCATGCTCGCACGAGTGGGAGTAGCAGTATAAACAGCCCAAGATAGTGTAGGTAAGCAAGTTGCTTTCGACCATTTCCAAGAGGCGCTCTGCCACCTTTGATTTGGCCTCTGGCTTTTCGTCCTTGACTAGCTTTTTGTTCTCGACGACTGCCTCCACAGTCTCGTCATGGGCGAGCACATCTTTCAGCGTGAGCTCGGTGTGCTTCCATAAGTGGTTGAAAGCCTCCGTGAACATCTTTGCCGTCTTAGTGGCCCGTGGAGAGCTGACCTCATCGAGCTTGTTGATAATGGTGTTCTTTTGTTGCGGTGTCATCTTGTCGTTGTGTTCAGGTTGTGTAGCCATGTAGCGGACGAGGGAGGATTTGCTGCAATTGTCCAAGCCGAGTTTTGCAGTCCAGCGATCGATGTAGAGGGAGATCTCGGCGGCGATTTCTTCCTTAAGTCGCTTCCTCATCTTGTCGCCCCTATTGAGAGACGTCACGTTGAATCCGGACTGGGCGTCCATAGCCTCAAGTTCCTTGATCCACCTCGAATAGCGCTCCTCCTCGTTGTCTTTCATGTCACGCAGGTGGGGGATGAATTTTAGCATGGTGTTCGGGGTCAGGATATTCCTCGAGATCTCCACATGGTGGAACTTGTACTCTGGGACTCGTGGTTTGTCAGATTTGATGCAGACGACCTCGTAAGCCATTTTCTTCCTTCCAGAATTGGCGCGGGCCGTATCTTTTGAGCCATGTATCTTGAGATGAACTTTCATAGTGCCCTCTTGTGACGTCTCATATGGCATCGCAGACAGCTTGAGGTCAGCCAGATGCGCAGTCGAGCTCACATGTTGTCGTCCCGGTGGGTTCTGTGCGGCGGCAGTACGCAAGTCATAGTTGACAAGCTTGGAATGATTCCAGTCAAGCTCGTTTGACAGATCGAAAAGCGCGTGTTCGATCTTGTCTACATTCCAATCATCCTTGGTAGGAGTCTGGAAGGGTGGGCTGGCTCCAGCTATTATATGGGACGCAGTATCTCTGCTTGGCTGCGGCGTGGTGCTGGGATGAGCCAGCCGAATAGCTGGGCTTGGAGAGAGATGGATTGGTGTGGCCTTGCTAACTCTATGGCCCCTTGCAGAAGAGGTTTCCGGCTTTGCGGGCTTGGTTGGGGTGGTGTCCAAATGGGTCCTGGAGCGGGATGCTGACGGTTCGCTCGAGCGTGAAGATGGCCTTGGAACGCCATGGCCACGAGATGATGACGGTTCATGCAGTTGGAAACGGCTTTCTGAGAACCTGACGGGTGGTGAGGCGTTGGTGTTGGTCCCTACGCGCTGTGTCCGTCCATGGATGGGTGCCATGTCTGCATCACTTTCACATGTAAGATCGATTAGATCCATTGTAGCTCCTCCAGCCAGATTCAATCAGCACTTGGAGAAATGCTTGGGGATGACCATGGCCATCCAGGTCGCAGCAGAGAATTTGACCGGCTCGCCCGGGGTCGAGTAGTCCCAAGATGGTGGACCACAATGACGGACTTCGGGGTTCTGCAGTATATCGACAGCCTGTCAAGCCCAGCGAGCGAGGCTTCTCAGTCAAGAATTGTTGTCTGACTACTGTGGTGGGACAGGGACGGCCAGAGTCTAGCCCAGGATTTGCTGGTAAACAATATCCGAGGTTGGTGGAGTGAGAACGGAGACGATCCGGTCTCGACAGGCGCGTGTGAAAGTCAAGTCAGCGGGAAGCCTTCAAATTCGGCACCTGCCTGCTATGCAAAGCGGCAGGGGGAATCCTCTGGCACGATGCACAACTCAGAGGTTGATAGCTTGGTACCCGTAAGTGAAATGCGACTGGTGGAGAAGGCAGAAAATCTGAGGGCGGCCCGTATGGCAAACGCGTCGCTGGCCTGGCCTGGCCCGGCCCAGTAACAGAACAGAATTGGAAGAGGCTAAAGCTGCCACAATAGAAGCCTCACTTTCTTGGATTGGGGGAATGGTTTAGAAGCATGAGAGACCAAGTTGGTCTTATGTTGAGATGGGCTTGGAGGGTGTAGCCTTTTCCCACAGTCAAGTCGCGTAAGACGCAGGCAGGCGCAGGTGCAGGTGCAGGTAAAGATTAGAGGTGCAGGTAGAGGTAGATGATTGACGTTGCCTGTACGGAGTACGCGTGCCCCTGCAACCAGCCGAAAGGTTCTGTCTGGAACGAGCTACTACCGGGTAGCACTGTAGCGGGGCTGCAGGTGCGCTCACCTGCAGGTACACTGGTGGTACATTTCCACAAGGGTTTGATGGGCCAAATTTTGAGAACCCTACATCGTACGAAGTACCCAGCATTATCCCGCTCTTCACTCCAAACTCCCCCATCTCCTGATGTTCATAGAATCATGATTCGATCAAGTACATACTTCTCCCTGGTCGGTGGAAAGTTTTGGTCTAGAGTGAGAAAGGACGTGCTTTCTCTGCTCCATGCCTTCTTATGACTGACTGTTGCACAGTTGATGTCGATGCCTTGGTGTCGGATCGTGGTGTCCTGTTGACATGTAAACAACATGGATTTGAATAACAACAGGCCTGTGTCTCTGAATTCCCAGCTCAGATCATCCTACAACAAGCTTTTATTAATGAGGAGCAAAACACATGTCGAGTCGTTGTACAACGTGGACTGCAGCTGGACTTGGGGGGCGCTTGGGTCAAACAAACCCTTTGACCACACATTGGCTTGTGCCCTGTGGGCATTGCAATCATCATCGGCCACCCCCCCCCCCAGCACTTTGGCATCAGCGGCTGGTTGAATGAAACATTCCCGTGGTCTCCAGTTTGCCAAAAGGTGCATGGACTGAACAGACTGAGCAGACCACCAGAACCACCCAGGTTGGCCCATCCCAAACAGGCAATGTGTGCACGGTTTCGAACTCTCAGTGCCACGCTGCGAGCGGGGCGTTTCCCAAAAGGGAGCTAAGACCATCCCTTAGCATCCTCTGGCAGACTAGCATCCCTTAGCACTGCTTCTCAGTCCGGTTATGACGTCGGCCGTCTCTTCCGGGCTCTCAGTGGCCCTTCAGCTTTGCCATTGTCCGCCAACGAATTACCATCTCAGCCTCGACCTCTCCCGACTGATCTTCGCCTCCCCGTCTCCTTCACCTCCACTATTTACTCCCGAGCCTCCCCAGCTTTTCCCGCGCCCCCCTGCTTTGCTACCACCGAAACTGTATCTTTCTCCGGACGGCCCACGTGGACTTGGTTTGTTGTGACGCCAATCATCAACACCCATACCCACACAAGTCTGTCAACAACAACTTCTTCCCTTCCTGGTATCAGCGGAGAGGCCCATCATGCATCGCACCTATTCTATGCGCCAGACGAGGGCGCCGACTGCCTCTCAGATCCAGGTAAGTCCCACCCCTATTGCACCATCAGCAACTGTAGCCTGATCGCCGTGTCACCAGAATCCTCCACCGCCAGCCTCGAGCACCAAGTCAGGCCGTCTCTTCGGCCGTGGCGGCTTTGGTGCGTACCTTTCCCCAGCAGTGTGGTATCGTGATGGCGCAAAACGGAAGAGAGTCGCGATTGACCCGCAGAGTAGGACATGCCCTCCGAGGAAAGACCGCGGGCGCTTTCGGCCCAGACCTAGCTAAGAAGCTGTCACAGCTCGTTAAGATGGAGAAGAATGTCATGCGCAGCCTGGAGACCGTCGCAAAAGAACGCATGGAAGTTGCTGTACGTCTCCGGCCACCCTGACGGATACTCCTGCCGCTTCTAACTCGGGTCACAGCAACAACTCTCCATCTGGGGCGAGGCTTGCGACGAGGACGTTTCCGACGTCACGGATAAGCTAGGCGTCCTAATATACGAGATCGGCGAGCTTGAGGACCAGTACGTCGACCGTTACGACCAGTATCGCGTGACCATCAAGAGCATTCGGAACATCGAGGCCTCGGTGCAGCCGAGCCGCGACCGCAAGCAAAAGATCACCGATCAGATCGCGCAGCTGAAGTACAAGGAGCCCAACTCCCCCAAGATTGTCGTCCTGGAGCAAGAACTCGTCCGCGCTGAGGCAGAGTCTCTGGTCGCGGAGGCGCAGCTGTCCAATATCACGCGGGAGAAGATCAAGGCGGCCTACACCTACCAATTTGACGCTCTGCGGGAGCACTGCGAAAAAGTGGCCATCATTGCTGGGTACGGCAAGCATCTCCTGGAGCTAATCGACGACACGCCCGTGACGCCTGGGGAGACGCGTGCCGCTTACGATGGATACGAGGCCAGCAAAGCCATCATTCAGGACTGCGAGGATGCCCTGACCAACTGGGTTACACAGAAGGCTGCTGTCTCCTCCAAATTGTCCACTAGAGCCCGTACACTGTCAACCCGCCGCCGCAACAACATCAAGGCCAGGTCCGAAGGCCATGATCTATCAAACCAAGATGTCCCGCTTAATGACCGGGACTCTTGGGTACCAGCAGGACAGCACAAGGGTGAATATGACGATGAAGAGGAGGACGATGAGGAGGAGGACGACCTGCTAGAGAGCGATAATGGTCTGAACGGGGAGCACCGTGGCCGCACCCAGGAGGCCGTTGCAGCTTAATCTAGCCGGCAGAAGCCGGCCAGGGCCCAATCTACAGTGTAATGTTTACAATGACGCGACTTCTTAATTGCCAAGGCTTGAGGGGTTGGGGCTCAGATAACTCATGGTCTTGGACTTGGGATATACACGAACGAAGGCGCTGGAAAATTCAGGATCGCAGGTGGTAATTTTGCGGCAGGAGAAAGGGGGGGCCGGGGGCGTGATTGGGTTCACTTCATGATTGCTTCGGTATCAATTTTTGGCGTATATGCAATTCCAGTTCAATTCTTCAGCCTAATGAGCAAATAGAGCGTTCCTGGTGGCTGAGCATTGAATTCAGAGCCACGAGCGTCAGAAGAGACTGCCCCTTGCTCATCAAACCACTCCACGCCAACAACATTCATCTGCGCCGGTCACGAGCTTGAAGATAGGAAGTGGTTTTGGACTGGCCCTTACGACGCCAACCACACACCCCCCCCCCCCAAAAAAAAAACACATCAAGTCCAACCCGACCAACGCTCATGGCGAATTGACCCAAAAAGAGGCGCATCCTGTACCGCAGCCTAGGCCGACCGATTTGTTCGTAAGCTTGTTCTTCCCCTGGGGAAAGAGAACATGAACAGGGACACAGATAAAGCGGTTAACAGGTATGTTGCGCGGGCACTTCATCGCTTCCCGCTAGCCTTTGAGCCTGTGGCTGCAGAGGCTCGTGCTGTCAAGATCCGTGATGTCCTTTGTAATGGATAGACGCATAAACTCAGACGTGACGAAGTCAGGTTGGGGTCCGCAAATTTGCTGGTTCAAAGCGCCTTCTTGGGGTGCTCCAGGGTGGGGTGACTGAGGCAGATCGTCTAGATAGTGTGTGCAACTGGGCGTAATGTCGTGATTATAAACTCCTCCACTGCGTCGATAGTCAGCCACAAGGAAAATGGATGCACCCACGTCCTCAAGGCGTAGGTTTGATGCTTAAGACCTTAGCTAAGGTTTCTAACTTCGACAGCCGGCTGGCAGATGCTGCTGGCACGGATGCGTAGTAGAAAAGCAGGAATACCCCCATTCCTGGAATAATCATGGGTGGGTGGGTTTGGCTACCCATGCTCCTGACGCTTTACACAGAACTCAGCATTGGTTGCCGTCGTTTCCTGTCGCCTGGGGTCAGACATGTTGTCACCCCCTCTTCACCTGGCTAGCGAAGTCTTCCTTCTCGATGCGCGTGATATGCTCCCCAGGAACAACGACAAGCCCGAGATAGCGGTGGGTCAGCTCCATCTTGATAGTCGTGGCGTCCGCGCTGGAAGCAGCTGCTGCTTTGGCTCGCTGTTCGGGCGAGGGCTGGCGATACTCGTAGGTATGTGCGAGAACTATATTCCGGTCCTACGACGAGTCAGCCGCATGTCACCGCCAGACGCCAGAAGGACTGGCATAGTGAAGAGGTGTAGCTTACTGGGTCGGTACACTTGAATTCTCCCCAGAACATGCGCTCGTCTGTTGTGTGAATGCGAAGCTGCTTGTTGAGCAGAGACTCGAGGAAGCCTCGTGCTTCATCCTTGTCCATCGTTTCAGCCGAGGCCGACATCGTCCAATGTCTGGTTCGGCCCTTGAAGAAGCTGTGACGAGAACGAGCGGCGGTGAATCGTATTTTGCGACCCTGGATTTACGAGCCCGTCGAGATCGGTCCTCGGCAGCCAGGTGGAGCCTTCGCGGTCGAGGATGAAGGGCTGCAGTTCGGAGTCGACCGATGGAGCTCCGTTTCGCTCCCGTCCCGTGACGGGGCGGGTGCTTCGCGAGTGATGACGGCATTTGAGTGGGGCGATAAGCCGCTTATCACCCAGAACGCGCGCCCAGAATGCGCCTCTCGGACCCTTGGAATCAAGTCCAACCATCTTGGGAGGAGTCAGACCGAGCGATCCTTTATTCACTCCTCTCCATGTTATTGACAAGCAGCTCTACTTCCGGTGATGGTTTGATATACAGCTACCATGGGACTGACGAGGTTGCGAAGGACCCCTCAGGTAGACACACCATACCCATCTCCCGAAGGTCACCTTCAACTCCTCGCACCCCACTCGATCCCTTGAGGCCTGGAACACCGACACAATGGGAGTCAACGGGCTTTGGACAGTCGTACAGCCTTGCGCTCGGCCGACCAATCTTGCAACACTGAACCGCAAGCGTCTCGCCGTAGATGCTTCCATCTGGATTTACCAGTTCCTCAAAGCAGTGCGCGACAAAGAGGGAAATGCCCTTCGCAACAGCCATGTAGTAGGTTTCTTCCGGAGAATATGCAAGTTGTTGTGGTTCGGCATCAAACCCATCTTCGTGTTTGACGGTGGCGCCCCTGCCCTGAAGCGCGCCACCCTACAAGGCCGCCGCAGGCGCAGGGAGGGCAGACGTGAAGATGCCGTGCGCACCGCAGGGAAGTTGCTGGCTGTACAGATGCAGAGGATCGCCCAGGAGGAGGATGAGAAGCGTAAGGAGAGAGAGCGACAAAGGGATGCTAGCCAGGAGGATGGTGCGGTCCCGACGGAGGAGCTGCCCGACATGAGCAATATCGTCTACGCCGATGAGGCGTTCAAACCTGAAGAGGAGCGCAAAAAGGAGAGGAAATTCTTTCGACAGGATCAGTACCACCTACCGGAATTGGGGACCAGCATCGAGAAGATGGGCAAGCCGGAGGATCCTCGAATCATGAGCGTCGAGGAGCTGGAGGACTATGCGAGACAATTCCACAACGGTGAAGATGTCAATCTGTACGACTTCAGCAAGATCGATTTTGACGGCGACTTTTTCAAGAGCTTGCCACCCGCAGATCGGTACAACATCCTTAACGCAGCACGGCTGCGGAGCCGGCTCAGGATGGGACTAAGCAAAGAGCAGTTAGGAACCATGTTTCCTAATCGCATGGACTTCTCGAGGTTTCAGGTCGAGCGCGTCCAAGAGCGCAATCGTCTTACGCAGAGGCTAATGTTCGAGATGAACATGGGGGGCGACCTGACAGTCACCGGCGGCGGACGAGTTGCCGGAGACAAAAATCGAGAATACATCCTGGTAAGGAACGAAAACGCTGATGGTGGATGGGCTCTGGGTGTTGTTAGCACCGAGAAAGACTTGGGCGAAGCTCACAAGCCGATCGATGTCGACAAATTGCACTTCAAGTTCGAGGCAAAAGACGAGGGTGATGATGCAGACGAAGAGGAGGACGAGGACTTTGAAGACGTGCCTATAGAAGGCCTGAACCGTCTACCGAAGATTAGAGGCCACAGAGTGCGATTTCAGGACGGCTTGGATCAGAATTCAGAGTCTCTCTTCGGGGACGATAACGAAGCCAGCAATGACTTGTTCGTGGCCCAAGACAACGAGGAGGAATTCGCGGCAGACGAGGAGGAAGACGTAGCACGAGCGATTGAGATGTCCCTTCGAAATCAGCATGGTGCTGGCAAGGAGCCTGAGGCAGTCCGGGGTGACGAACATCTCGAAGACGTGCAAGTCCCGGAGTGGAAGCAGAAGGCCGTGGATGGACCACAACCTATCGCATCCACAGCCGGCAGCATGGTTGCCCATATCATCAACAACCGAGCCAATGCATCCGTACCAAAAAGAAGACAAAGCGTCGACAGCGACAGTGAAGAAGACCTGCAAGCAGCATTAAGGGCTGCAAGGAAGAGAAAGTCCGCAGTGAAGCCGAAGGCGACTGAGCCGATACGTCCAAATGTGAAGAATCCATTCGACGGGCCTCTCCCTTTTGAGAAATTGAATTGGAGGAGCTCGATATTCGAGAAAAAGCCTCCGCCGAAATCCAACCCAGATCAGAGCCTACAAGACATCTTTGAGTCCGAAGGTGGCTTCCAAATCGAAGTCCCTGACCCGATGTCGGTTGGAGATGCTCAACTGGCAAGTTTGGAAGATGCAGGTCATCTCAAGGACAAGAGCCTTGAGGGAGGGTTCGAGAAAGGAGCTGGCGCGGACAAAGCACCGCAGCCTCTGCCTCCGTGGATGATCAATGACGAGTCAGACATTCGGGAGAAAATGCAGAAGCAGCGACAAATCGAGACAGTGGTCAATGATGAGGATCAGCGGCTAGCTGAGGAAGAAGAGCGTCTCCGCCTCAAGCGACAGAATGAAATCGTCGAAATTGAATCATCCGACGACGATGACGGCTTTGAGATTGTCGATGCGCCGCCACTCAGGCCTGCCCCCCTCAAGACTCAGGGCATGAATGAGGCATCATCCACAGGTAGCGGTTTTACAGTCACACTACCGTCACTTGACAAGGACACTTCTGAAGATGTACCGACAGCAGCCCCAGCGGCAGACTCAGGAGACACAGTCAGTCAAAATGGCGAGGGTGGTGTAGATCAGTCCCGGACAGCCCGTTCTCCGTCATCTGAGATGGATTTTGAGAATGTCGAGTTACCGCAACAACGCCATACAGTAAGCTCACCCCCGATACAGGAGCAAGACAGTGGCGAAGCCGAAGATATAGTGTTTGAAGACGTTGGGATGTCGGAAGAGCAGTCGGAAGTTGCTGGTCTGTCCACACCGACCGGAAAGGCTGCCGAAAGCGAAGAAATCAGCTTCCAGGATGCCGCGCCTTCAACACCACCAGTAGCTCAGCAGGAGATGGTCGAAGGCCTTGCGCCAGTAGCCGACCCACCCGTAGCGGATGACGATGGCATCTTCTCTGACGGCGACTACGAGGAATTCAGTGACCCCGAGGAAGAGCAGCTCTTGGCGCAGATGGCTGAGGAGGCTGAAGAGCATGCTCGGTTCGCAAGCCAGCTGAACAACAAACCGGCCTACCAGAACCAAGAAGACTACGAGCGGGAGCTGCGAGCACTACGAAACCAACAAAAGAAAGACAGGCGCGACGCCGACGAGGTCACGCAAATCATGGTGACGGAATGCCAAGCCCTGCTGCGCTTGTTTGGCATACCATACATAACAGCACCAATGGAAGCAGAGGCTCAATGCGCCGAGCTGGTACATCTCGGGCTCGTCGATGGTATTGTCACCGACGATTCTGACATTTTCCTGTTTGGCGGTACGAGAGTCTACAAAAACATGTTCAACAGCAACAAGTTTGTCGAGTGCTACCTGTCTGGCGACCTCGAGAAAGAGCTGTCGCTCTCCCGCGACCAGCTCATCTCAATAGCGCAACTGCTGGGGTCCGACTACACCGAAGGCCTTTCGGGGATCGGGCCAGTCACGGCTGTGGAGATCCTGTCCGAATTCCCGGGCCGGGATGGTCTCGCCGAGTTCAAGGAATGGTGGAGCGAAGTGCAGCAGGATGCCAACCGCCCAAAGGAAGCCGACGCGCACTCTTCTTTCCGGAAGAAATTTCGCAAGAGCCAGGCCACCAAGCTCTTCCTGCCGCCGAGCTTCCCCAGCCCGGCTGTCTACGACGCCTACCTGCACCCGGATGTCGATAAGAACCCAGAACAGTTCCAGTGGGGTGCGCCAGACCTGGAAGGGCTGCGGCGGTTCCTGATGGCGACAATCGGGTGGAGCCCGGAGCGGACGGACGAGGTGCTCGTGCCGGTCATCAGAGATGTGAACCGCAGGGACATGGAGGGCACGCAGAGCAACATCACCAGGTATTTCGAGGGGAGTGTGGGCGTGGGCGCGAAGGAGGCGTTTGCGCCCAGGCAAAGGCAAGCTGGGAGCAAGAGAATGGCGGCTGCAGTGGGCCGGCTGCGAGCCAATGTCAGTGGTGCCGTCAGTGGTGCCGTCAGTGGTGCCGGCGCTATGGCGGCAGAGCCAGACAAATCTGGTGACGGCACGCCAGTGGAAGGGCCGAAAAGGACAGCTCAGGGGAGCAGCGCAGGGAAAACACGAAAGCGTAAGGCTCGGGCGGCAGCTGTTGTCGAGAGCGACGGAGACGGCCAAGACGATGACGCCGGCGATGAGGACTTTGTTGATGAGGACATGCCAGGGACCGCCAGGAAGACTGGCTCCCAAAATACAGGTCGGGGAAAGGCGAAAGGAAAAAAGGCCAAGAAGTAGGCCCTAGGACTAGAGAAAGAAATGTCTGTATATGGGAGCAGGTTAGATGGGGCTGAATACTGTAGTTGATCTGTTGTACACAGCAGGTATGTTGGGCCAAAAGGGTACGTACCCGTCGTGCTGCTTACGTAGCCACCAGACCCACCGTAGCTCCGAATTGGGGGCGTCTGATTCGCCAGGACCAGCAGCCCGTTCTGTTCCGAGCTCCATTGGAATTTTCGCAGCACGAGCACGCACCTCGCCCCGGCCCTGCTCCCAAGTCTGCAGCAGGGTGGCCGGTAATCCAAAAGCTGCGCTCTCAACCTCCATCGCCACGGCCTCAATCCGACTCGCCTCCAGCCAGTCAACCACACGACGAAACACTCCTTTCGATCACCACCACCAGGGGGCCCGCCTCTCTGTCTCGCCAATTGACCTCTCCTCGGAGCTCACAACCACAGCCGGTCCACAGCAGACCCGAGAGGCAACTCCCGTCCGCCACAATGTCGTCCGCCGTCGTCGCCCGCCCTCTCCTGAGGCAGAACCTCCGCTTCGCCGCCCGCCGCTTCCAGACCACCGATGCCGCCTCTGCACAGGCAAAGAAGGCCGCCGACGCCGCCAAGGACACCGCCCAGAACGTCCAGTCCAAGGCCGCCCAGGGCCTGTCGCGCGTCACCTCCGCCGCCGGGCCCGCCCTCGCCGGCGCCGCCAGTGCCGCCAAGGGCGCCGCCAACGCCCTCAGCAAGGTCGGCGGCCGCACGGGGAGATTCGTCGGCTTCGTCGAGCGTACGTCATTCCTCCCACCTGGCGGGTAGCAAAGGGGCTGGATGACCCCGGGCAACCATGTCACTGCCTAGGGACCGGATGCCCGCCGTATGAGAATTCGCGCTAACTCTTGTTTGCTTCTGCGTGTTTTTAGGCCAGGTCCCCTTCGTCGTCTATTACAGCAGAGTTGGCCTCGAGCTGAGCAAGCTGGTCTTCCAGGGCCAGAAGATGCAGCCACCGTGAGTTCCCGGCGACTTGGTTGCTCCATCCCCCCGTGGCCGAGCCGGCCTTGGACGGTTTCGCTTTCTTGTTTGCCCTGAAGGGCAACGCGTGATGCACTGCTGCTAACCACGGCCTACGATGTAGTTCCCTGACCACCGTCCAGAGCTACTTCAACCGCGCGTTGAACGCTGTCAAGAACCCCCAGACCCTGCTGCGGTCCGCCTCCAGCAGCGCCGCCAGCGCCCCATCTCCGGCCTCGGCCGTCCAGCAGGTCCGGAACCTCTCCAGGGCTCAGATTGTCGGGGGCGGCGTGCTGCTCGCCGAGGTGCTGGGATTCTTCACCGTTGGCGAGATGATCGGCCGCTGGAAGCTGGTTGGATACCACGGCGAGTCCGGCCACGGCCACCACTAAATTGTTCTTGTGCAATGCGTGAAGTGAGCGTGGTGTGGCGAGGCCCGTTACCCGTCGCCAGGAGCTACAGGGGTGCGGGTGTAGGTGCGGGAGTCCCGGCACTTCTCGGTGATAGCCTGCAGTAATCGACGTGTGGCAGGACAAGGCACGACAGCTTGGAACACCTCGTTGCGTGTGCCTGCGTCTCTGTGTACTTCTGTGTGCGTGTGTAAAGTTGGAATGGCCCTCTGGGTGGGTGGTATCAAACGGGGGCGGAACACTGGTTGACCTGACCAGCTATAGAGAATCAGGAAATAGACGGCGGTTCGGATGACCAGGTTGAAGGAGATTTGCCTTGGCACACCTCCGGACCACTCACCTTTCCAGCGATGTTCGCAAGCTCGGCCCGTTCTGACAAGTTTCCTGATGCGACGCAATGGGGCACGATGAGTGGTCAATGGCATTTGACCTGTGCCGTCTCTGGCATAAACTCGCGAAGTGGGGTGAGAAGGGGAAAGTGTGCAAGTGTATCTACTTTTCCCTTCCTGTATATCTTTCTTGTGTCAAGAGAAGGGGAAATACATCTCTGTTTGTATCATGTACCACCAGTGTCACATCCGGCCGCAGCGTGACAACGTAAGCCTGGAGGCCCTGTGCTACGGTTCTCCCCTCTCAAGCATGTCCACCAGGACCGTGAGAAGGCAGCACGTGAGGAGACCGGCTGCTGCAGTGCGTGGACGTCACATCGTCCACGGTCTATGCCTGTCCATATCACCGCCCCTCTGCTCCCAGAAGGGTTCCAGAGTGGCCACTCCATGATCCTCAAAAGCTGGGAGACAACTGCTGATTTTGCTCTCTTATCGTCCGAACCAATGTCTACCTATCTTCTAGCCTATCCACCGTTGTACCAGTCTTCTTGAAAATACCAAGGACACAAGTGTATCGGCGGATGGACTGACGGAAGAAACAGAACGGCAAGTCGACGGTGGTTTGGCAACCACTCAATACTAATCCTATACAGATGATACAGCACACCAGTCAAGCCCCTCCGATGTATCTGGTGCACCGAATGCAGTAACTCTGGGTGAAAAACTGGGAGGCTGCAAGAGGAAGTGGTGACATCGACATCTCCCGCACAGCCAGCCAACATGCCGCCTTCGCTGTAACTTGCCGTATCTAGCCCCGATAGGCAAGACATACTCATCCTCCTGCCCGGCCGCCGAAGCAGGGATAGCCGAGCCATGATATCCGAACGCTTCGGTAGGTTGGAACTGAGGCAGTACACACGGCCCCTGGGTTGAACGCACTCGAGACGTGCTGTGGGGTGCATGGCATGGCCGCAGCAGGGAGGTGGAGGCAAAAATGCATACGGGATAGGCAACCAGACAGGTAAAGAAGGGATGGCAGGCAGGGACGTGGCGAGGACCCCATTTCTGGCGGGACAGTGCCAAAAGACCGTATTGTAGGACAGACAAAGCCATCTGGCTGGTTCAGCACTCTCTTGGGTGGAGATGGAGTGGCCAGGCTGCAGGCGGCCTGGAGTATGTTGGTTCTCAACACGGGAAGGGGTTGGCCATTAGCAGTCTCACCGGACTCACATATGGGGTCACATTTCGACGTCGCTTAGGTGCCGTGCGTCCTGGGCGATGTGCTGGCAGAACATCGTCGTCGAACTTTAGAAGTGCGGGTGGAGAGCAGCCGGGAAGGGTGGACGCCGGCGAACTCCTGTGTGCAAGGTGTAAGCGCGCAGGATGTCACAGAGAACGCATTTGAATTCTCCCGATGTTACTATTCTCAGCCGGATATCGTGGGACCCGGCCTGGGGCTGACTATGCAGCAGGTTTAATACGTGGACTTGTCCGGATGGCGCTCTCATGCGGTTGGTCGTGCGCCGTAACGTCGTCCGCAAACTGCATGCGCGTGTGTTCGTATGTCGACCATGCGACACTGAGATCCTTCCCTGATCAAGCGTGTGCATGTGTGCCTACCTGCTGCGTCTGCGTCTGCGTCTACGTCTGCTTCTGCTTCTGCTTCTGCTTCTGCGCGAGTGTGAGCGTGAGCACATGCTGCTTGGCCTATGCGTGGTGAGGAGCAGACTTATCCTCATGGAACTTCATATTGCTAGTCTAGTAAGACAGGCTTCGCCATCACCAACGTTACCACTCTAATGTGGAGAGAAAGCATAGGCATAGATCGACGAGCCATGGCCGCACGCTGTGAGCAAGCATGCCTTCAGAGTCCCGAGACCACTGCATGGCTGTGGAGCTCGTCGTGACAGGTGGTTTATCCATGCTGGGAAGGGAAAGATTGGTTGACTATCCAGAGTGACGCGTGTACGGAAAGGATTGGAGTGCCGATTTAGCCTTTTGTCACTCATCGTTACCTAGGGTATAGATGTCAAATCGCAACAGGCTGAGCACCTGTGGGATCGAAAATCTGAGGTCCACGCTTGCTCATTCATGGCGACTCCTTCCTCAGTTGAGGCACGAGTATGTTTCGAACCATGACCTTGGTGGTTGGGCCAGTGACTGAGTGGGATAACGGCATATCCGGGAAGACCTCAGCTCGCAGCCGGATCACCATCAAAAACGGTGCGAGGCGTATGTATTCGTGCAGCTTCACGCGTGTCTCCAGGTCTGTCACAGTCGGAACACCTGGTCAACTCCGGCCGTGCTCATCTACATTTTTTTCTGATGAATACCGAGCGCACGTTCCCCAGACCTCAGATAGCAGGACAATCGTAGAAACAGTCTGCACCTCTCCTAAAGGTACAAACGCTGTCCTAGTATTAGCATATGGGCGTGTGATGAGACGTCGGAGACGCGAGGAGGACGGCGGTACCAAGACAGTCCTGTGGGTAATGGGGTCTCTGTCACGGTGCGAGGCCAGATAAGAGACCCATGGGCAAGGATTCGATGGGATAATGCCGTGGTGTATTATTTGAGAAGTAGAGCCAACAGACTCGAATGTTGGAGCCTGAAGAGTGACCCAAGACGCGACCAGAGCTTCAGTTGCAAGGACCGGCTGGAGATAACAACAAGAGCAAAATAAGAACCACCTGACCATCAAAAAGGCTGGGCCCTAACCTCCTACCCTTTCTGACACCATTATTGCCCACCTCATGCATGCTGAAAGCACCAACAGCAGAACTGCCCCTGCCCGATTTATCGGAATAAACAGACACCCGATGCTTGTCCCAATGATCCGCCCTGCGCGTTCGCATTGAGTACCACCAAGTAGAAGGAGGTGGCCTGGACGCCGTAGAAAGAGGCAAGAGTGACATCAATGACTTGAGTTCTGGCAAAAGCACAGGCGAAGAGAGCAAGAGGGCTCGGCGCTGTGCTGGACTCAAATCATTGGCTTTCCAGTGAGGGAGCTTGCTGTCATCGAAAGCTGTTTCTGACGGTGCTGCGCGCCCAAATGAGATGCTGCGGTGGGACACAGAATTTGGGTATGGAGATTGCCGGTGGGGTTTACTGATGTCCAAAGCCCACGAGACCTGTACAAAAGGGTTGCCGCGCACTGGTCTTGTAAACAAATAGAACCGCGCGTCAAATCATTGGTAAACGTTTGTTTGATTCTTCCGGCCCACCCCACCACACCTGTAGCCTCACAAGTGTGGTGGCTGGAGCTGGCCGCGGCCGTGGCCGCGGCCACGGTGGCCCTGCATTGGCTCTTGAACCCATGTGAGAAACCATCCGCAGCAACATGCTAGCATGTGCTGTTTCTCCATCCGAGAGGTTGATTGGGGGAAACAACGAGACCGATTTCTGTTTGAGGCTCTCTGAAAGCACGAAAACATTGCTTGCTCCATAAAATTAAAACAGCGTCTGGAACAAGCACTTCATCGCGGGTCATGATGTGAAGGCCTTCTCGCCGTCCAGATATACCTGGTTGGAGGTTAGGTATGGGGATTAGAAATTCCTTGGTGGCCGGAAGTGCCGGCTTCTGACATGACTTACAGCTTGCAGTATGCGCGGTTGTTGCGCTCAGCGATCTCATTCAGGACGTCTCTCTCGAGGAGCGAAATATCCTCGGGTCTCCAGTTCTTGGCCCTGAATAAAGGAGCCATGCTGAGGCCCATGAAGCTCTTCTGCAGGCTTAGATTGAACCATCTGCCAACATCCATCTCGTATGGATCGAGTGAGCCTCCGTTGACAGGCAAGTGAATAACCTCTTGTTTTATGTCAACAAATCCTGTGTCCGTGAGCAGCTGCTGGGTCCTGTTGGGGTCGACCCTCAGAGGGCGCTTCATCTGGTCCATTGCACCGTGCAGCTCCTCGGCCCAGAGCCTGAGATGATGCGAGACGGGCCCGTCATCGTTGCAAGGATACCAGTCGACCTCAACCTGTTCTAGCCAGCCACTGCCAGGGATTAGATGGCTGTATCCCGTCAGTGAGTAACCTAGGCCTCTGGAAGAAGAGTTGCCCACCTGAAAATCTCGCCATAGATTCGTGGCCACGACTCAGAGTGTATGCTCCCAGCAAGCATGCGTGCGTGAATCAGATGGTAGTCCTTCTCGATGGAGGATGGCCATGGCTCCTCGATATCCATGGCTTTGAAGTCGTTGTTTGAGTAGATTTGTGAGGCCTGCATCTCTGTCGACAAGTCGACACCACGGACGAGTGAATTTCCGAAGAATTTCCTGGCCATATCGAGAGCCCACATGCCTGTCCCACACCCGAGATCGAGTATTTTCAGATTGGGTATACTGTCCAGGATGATCCGAGGGCTGTATAGGCGGTAGTTCCGGGTGACCAGAATGCACTTGTGCATGGCATCCAGCCGGTCCAACTCGGTCTCGTCGATTGGGAAGAGGTACTGACCGCGATGCCATAACTGGTAGTCGCGCCCATTTTCTTTGTATGCGCCCTTCCCAGGCATGACATGGCCTGGCGCATCCTGAGGCCGGCCATTCGTGTATCCATTAGTCGCCATGTCGACCACGGACAGGCGCTATACGCCCCCCCGGACCAGCAGGCGCGGAGCGGGGCGTGGCGAGCGTGATGTTCCTGAGACGCCGTTAGCGAAGGGCCTCGGCAAGGCTGGAAGCGTCCTCACGCAGCTGCGAGGCCGGGAGAGCGGAGGTAGCAGCGGCCCAGTGTCATCAGTGCTTGTGGGTGAGAAGGGCGGGTGAAGAGACACGGTGACCTATGATTGGGGAAGTGGGAAGTTGAGGTGGGCGCGGCTGGGAGGGCGCCAGGCACATGCTAGGCATACGTGTCCTGAGCTGCAGGATGAGGGTGAAATGCAGACGGGCCAAGTGTTGAACAACAGTCGAGGCTGAGCAGTACGAGGCGCAATGAAGAGCAAGGGGAGGCGTGGGAGGGTTCGAGGGACGGAAGGGCGAAGCCTCGCAGCAGGGCGGGTAGGGCGAGACAGGATTAGACCTGACCCCTGCGCGGATTGGGGGCAGCCCGGTCGATTTCGATTCGATGAGCCTTGTGTGGGTATGCAGGCGCGCAGATCGGGCAGATACATGCAGTGCGCATGGGAATAAAAAACGACAGCATGTTGGTGAGATACAGTAGCGTGCTGTACTCGCACAGACCTGGCCATGCCCATCTCGGCCCAGTAGAGACATTTCTGGAGTTCCCGAGCCTAGACAACTTTCTTCGCATCCCCCAACAACAGGCCCAGCCCACTGATGTCGAGGCAGCCTCGGCGCTGGGGGGGGGGTCGGCGAAAAGAGAAGGGCTGGTTCGAAGCAGCAGCTGGGGTTCGTATACGCCCGAGGGCAATACGGGCCGGTGTCTCGAAAGACGCGGAGGCTCAAGGAGGAAGATCCGACCCAACGACGCCGGCGACAGAACAGAGCGACAGCGCAACAGAACGACCAACAAAGAAGGACACGGAGATGCCGAGACTGACCTTGCAAGTTCAGGCAACGGGGGCCAGCTGGGATTCGAAACTGCAAAAGACGCAGTCGGGTGCGTGACGCGAGGCTGCACAGGAATCGACATGCGGCTGGCCGATGCAGTTGCTGCTCGGTGGCGCCTGACGCGGGGGAAGGCAATGAAGGTCGGTGGCACACAGCAGAGCTTAGCAGAGCTTGCCGGTGCGAAATGTCAGGATTTATGTCAAGATGGGGCCTCTTGACGGTTGCTTGACGGTTGCTTGACGGTTGTCCTAGTGTCGGCCGGCGAGGTGAGCTAGGCAGCGGTAGCAAGAGACCAGTCGAAGGAACGGGGCTGACCAGGACGAGAAGGCGATGGGGCAGGATGGAAACAAGACAGGACAAGAAGGGTTGCGGGTGCAGAAGGGGCCAGGCAGGCCGGAATAAGAGGTCAAGGTGAAGCAGAAGAGGACCAGGTGAGGTGAGGTGGACCCGGATGACTTAAGTCATCACTGGAGGCGCGGGTCCAGTGTTTGCGAGCGAGCGGTGGAGAGGGCGAGGGCAGGCGCAAGGATGAGGTTGTAGCAGAATCGGGAATTTTTTATACAACGCTGGCCAACCCCTGCCTGGCAACGAATGGGTGGCCAGGCCCCTGTCTCTGCTGCGTACATGTGTGTGTGCGGCCAGGTGTGATGTCAATTTCACCCGGGTCACATCAGAAACCCAGAGGCCACGAGAAATCCGAGACTACCAGCCAGGTACGTACTTCGCTAGCCAGGTAGCCAGCAACCAGGGGGGTTGGGGCCGGGAGGCATCTCGAACCAGAGGGAGAAGGGGAGGACGAAAAGAGGCACGAGTAACGGTACAAAGAACCAACCAAAACCCATGGGACAGACACTATGCGAAAGGTACAGGCACAAAGCCGCAAGGCAGGTGGGTGTGTGTGGGCGTGTTGTGCCGGCCAAGGACAGAACAATGGGATTCGGCAGAACACAACGCTAGGTACCTAGGTAGTCTACAGATCCATACCCAGGCTCATTCAGCGCGCGTGTGTGCGTGTGTGTGTCCAAGTACCCATGTGCCCAAGTACCCCAGCCCAGCCTGTACCTCACCTCCCAGGTTGTGAGCATGGGGTGGCCACCGCATGCGGGCCCAGGATACACGACAAAGACCACCAGCAGCTGCCGTCATCATCATCATCATCACCATCAGAAACACAAGAGACACAAGAGATACAAGAGCAGCAGGAGAGAGCTGGCTGCATCGCTGATATGAGGGCTGGTGGTAGGCCCATCGCCCATCGCACAGCGTGCCCAGCCTCGGAGGGGCCCAGATATCCCATGTCCCAGTGCCTAATAAACGCCGTCTTATTTAGAGTATCAAGATGCTGCACGGTTGGGCTGGTGTCGGCCATGCCTGCAGAGAGATGAGTGCCGGGCGGCGGGGAGGGAACATGGCCCCTGGGGAAACTAACTGCAACCCTGGCAGGTGCGGACAGGTTGGCAGACAGCAGCAGCACAATACAAAGTACATGGTTGACATGGCATGGTCAGGCGTGCACGGCCGAGGCCACCGTCCTGATCCTAGATGGTTCTGTTGGTCCCCCGCCTGGAAATATTGCCCTCCTTGCCTCCGTCCAACGGGGCAATAACATTCACAGAACCAAATGCTCAGGTGGTTACTGACAAGAGAGGGGCATTCCAGGTTGCACAACAAGCGCAGCGGCAACATGGATTGCCCCTGTCGCTCAGGCCTGTCCGACGGCTCTGATCTGCGCTCAAGGATGGCCCAGGGCGGGACGGGGGGCCTCCCCTCTGCCCCCCCAGCGTCGAACCCACTGTCCTCCACGGCAGGGCCGCAGCCCTCTGGGAGCCGGCTCCTGAAGTACCGCGGTACCCAGGTACCCGCCAGGTGATCCGCTGTACCTGTACTTGCTCTCGACCCTGCTTTGTACTACCAACAGCAACACGGCACACCCGCAGTACCGCCGTACCGCCTCGGTGCTCACTCACTCTGCTCACTCTTTGGCCCGTGCACCCGCCCAGCCCGTGTTGGGGGCCTTGGGGCCTGGCTATTGCAGCTGTCTCAATAATCTCAAATCTGCCTCCTTCCCTCTGTCGCATCGCATCGTGTCGCGCCGCATCACACCACGCATCACACACCCAGCCTCCATCTTCGACATGTTGTGTTGTCAATGCAGCACCGGCTGGACCACATGCAGTCTAGCTCTGAACTGCGGGCTACCAACACCTACTCTTCGCCAACAGTCTGCCTCCTGGCGAGTCGTATCTCTCGACAGACACACTCTGGCAGCACCGTCGACGTGGCCCGAGGCGAACCCTTCATGACCGAAATTCTGCCTCGACTTGACCGGGATTGAGATGCAGTGCTCTGGATCCCCCCGCATAGATCAGCACCAGCTGTTCTCGGCAGAACTGCACATTCTCGCCCTCACGCTCGCCCTGCTCGACGGCACGGGTGTCCCCTTTCGTCGATTACGAGTGATATTGACCGGGCTCGGACACAACTCACCCACCCTCATCTTTCTTGTCTGCTGAGCTTTCAGGTTTATGCCATGCATGGAGTGTCCCGCCTGGACCCCACGGATAGGAATCTACCAGTAGCTCAGTTACCTCTTGCTCCTGCTGAGCCCGCGAGTATAAATCGGTCTTGTCTTCTACTTGGCCATCTCCATCCTTGGCGCCATGGGAACGGAGTTGGCCGATGTTCACATACCTCGAGATACTTGTGCGTTATCTCCTGGCACACAGGGACCCGCTGCCTTACTTAAGTGGCGCCTGGGGGGGTTGGAGTGAGATCAATGGATCGGATTGGCCTGAGCGAAGGTTGGAACCACGTTACCGGGTCGTGTTATGCATCATGAACCCCCTCCCGAGTGGCCCAGGGGCTGCTGACTCTGCCGGGGCACCCACTAGGAGTCCCCAACCAGTCGTCATCGACGTGCTTCCTGAAGGTCTCGCGCTCGGTGGAACGAACTCCACCTTGGATCACACACCTCGCCTTGACGGAAATGCACCAGGATGAGTTCCGCCCCCAGTCTCCGGCTACATCGCTGGCATGCAAAGCATTGGCTGCTATAAGGCCCAGTTGCAAGGCGAGCAGTGCTTGCAGCATGTGACCTGATCCTCCGAGCCACTGTGCCGTCTCACCTTGGGATGCTTTTTCGGGCCGGCGGAATAGGCCTGCCCCCACGGCGAGGCAGCTCAACAGCTCAACAGGACCTTCGACCTTCACCGTGGTCCCGGTCCACATCTTGAAACGGTGTTGAGATCGCATTGGTGCAGCGGAACGAACGCACTAGTCTAGCTTTGATGGCATTCGGGGCGGGCATGGATCGTCAAGGATCTGGCGTGAGTAGACAGTAGGCAGTTCGGCAGGGCGAACTCCTGAGCCCGCATAGAACTCGGGCCGTCCGGAATGAATCTTGCTCTTGGAGCCGCCTCTAATTCACGTCAGATGTCCCGTTAATTTCCTTTCTTGTCCACTCCTGCATGCAGGCTGGGCTCATGAGACAAGCAGTTTACCAATCAAGATCTCGCCCCACGCCTGCGTTGTAGATGGCTATCATGGCAGAACTGCTGTCTTCTAATGGTCGAAATGCCATCGAGCCAACATGCAACTGTTTGCTGCGCTTCCGATGTGACCCACGCGGCAATGCCCGTTTGGCTTTTTGGTCGACCATCCCCACCGCTTCCTGGTCGCTCGCTGCCTTCGATCTGCTTCAAGACACCACTCGCCTGCTACGATTTCTCCGCGATAAGGACGGGTTCGCCGCATTACGCCGCACGACGAAGATCCCACCGAGCAGACCCATCAATGTCGCTGTTTTTTTGTTTTTTTGTGTTTTTTTTTCCTGGTGGCAATGATAGCAGTGTGCAGCCAAGTCTTGGTGAAGGTCGGTCCCCCGACCTGGGCATCACCGGCAGAGCTTAGATCCACATCATACCAACGGACATGTTCATCAGGGTCGACCGGTGCGGATTGGTCGATCATGATGTTTGAAGCGTGCTTTTGGTCCCACACTGCCCCGCGCGAGCAGTTTCAACACGTGGAGCGAATCCCTCCAGGCTGCAACATTCTG